CCCTAACCCTAACCCTAACCCTAACCCTAACCCTAACCCTAACCCTAACCCTAACCCTAACCCTAACCCGCACCTGCCCTGAAAACGCGCACTGTTTCGGCTTGTAGCGTGTCGTCCTGATGTTGTGTCTGTCAACGCACGCTTCGCTCCGTTCCTGCCACTTCGAGTTACACATCTCCCTTCTTCCGCGCTCTCCTGAGCTCGCGGCTCCGCCTGGTCCTTCCTCGGTCGCATCGGCATCGAGACACCGCCCCCGCTCCCTGCCGTAGTCATTCGCGAAATCGAGAATCGACGGTCCGACCAGTGGCCTCTGACTCGCATGTCCAGTCATGTCTTCGGTCGCAAGCGATACAAGGTCCGGATTCGAGACACACATGCGCTACATCGTCCGGATTCATATTAGGGGCGATACAAGTGGAATCCGACAGTGCGCATCAGGTCAGGCCGCATAGGCTTCGTGAACCTGGCTTTCGATCTCGGCGAGCATGTTCTCGGTGGCCTTGTCGGGGAAGGGACTCATCTGTGCGTGGACCATGCCGCAAGTGCCGTCTTTGAAGTCGCACCACCCTGTGCGAGATCGAGTGCAGGAAGAGAGAGATGCGTCAGGTGCGGTCCGCATGCCAGCAACGGCGGAATCAAAGCGAACTTACAGTAGCTGTTCTGCACGCCGCACCAGCTGATCGTCTTTTGATGTACACCGTTTGGCCGGGCGATTGTGAAGAGCAAGAGCGGAGAGGTGGAGAGAGAGTCGTTCGGCGTTAGACTGTAGGTCAGCTCTGCCCGCTCTACGAGGATCATGAGATCGAAATTCGTTGAACACTTACATCGTCGCTGTGACCACGGGTAGGATGCTTTTCTGTAGACGTGGCAGACAAGAAACAAACGAGATCTGATCAGCACGAATCGCGCGGCACGATGCCCAGACTTGCAACGCAAGCTTGAGGAGTACTCACCCTTCAGCCTCAGACCGCCGTAGGACCAGTTCTTCTTGATTCCGGGCGCCAGGCAACCTCGGAAGCCTTCGCTGATGACGGCAGGGATGACTTGGTCGAACTTGCGTTCGAGATCGTCGACCAGCTTTCCCGACAGTTGATCTTTCTTGAGCAGCTCGACGCTTTCGGGCTTGAGGATGGTGCCGCCGGTGATCGGGTGCGTTCCTCCGTTGAGGAGAGCGACGAGGATCCTGGTGTACTCTGCACCGTTGGCAAAGAGGCCGGCGCCCGGATAGATGGCCTCCATCTTGTCCTCCTCCGGCAAGAGCAGCTGCATGAATGGAATCACCTCGCCGTTTTCGTTTCGCATATGGCTCCCAGCAAGACGATTGAGGAGGCCAGCCGATCGGGGCTTGAAGGTGATCGCCTTGATGCCGAGGGGCTCAAAGATGTTCTTGCGGTAGTACGACTCGAGGTCCATACCGGTGACGACTTCGACGGCCATACCGGCCCAGTCGATGTTGAAGCCGTAGTTCCACTCTTCGCCCGGCTGCGAGGCGTAGGGGGTGAAGAGACTGGCTCGGGTCGAGTCGAGGTTGGCGGTGGGCGGCAGTCCTTTGCTCTGGAACCAGTCGGCGAGGTCTTGGTTGAAGAGTGCGCAGGCTTGGCCGGAGAGGATGGCGAGGCAGTCGTGGACGGTGGGGATCTTGTTGGGCTTGGATCCGTCCTTGAGCATCTTGAGCTCTCCAGCTTCGGGGAGGAACTTGTCGATGCTGTCGTTGAAGTCGAGCTGACCTCGCTCTCGAAGCTGCAGGCACGCGATGGCGATGAGGAGCTTGGAGCAGCTAGCGATCCAGAAGATGGTGTCTTTGGTCATCGGATCCTGCTTGTCGACCTCTTTGACGCCAGCATGTGCCCAAACGACATCCTTGCCGCTCTTGTCCGAGACGTAGGCGACGGCGCCAGGTACGTTGTTGGGGCCCTTTCCGGCGGTGTAGGTGTCAAGCACCTTCTGCGCGTGCTTCTGCAGAGCTGCGGATCTGTCCGAAGAAGCGGTCATTTGGGCGGTTTTCTGGCGGGCTGTGGAGACGTTGGAGCTAGTTTGAGGAAGGGGGACGGAGGCAGGGCTGATCTCGAGCAGCTTCGCTTCTATATTTAACGTATCTGGTGCTCAGGGGGGGGGGGGGATGCGTCGAATCTGTGCCTCCGTCTTGCGATGCAGAATGGCGGGCTCATTCTGTATGAGGGAGGCAGTTCGGTCAGGCCGACTGCAGGCCTGCGGCAGGTCAAGGTTGATGAAAGCGGCATTTTCGCTGAACAAGATGAGATGCAAAGATGCGAACCGCGGGGAAATCATGCTCAATGCACAAGGCAGCATGGTGAGAGTGCAAGATCCCGCAAGGTCAGTCACGAGGCACAAAGTAGGACGAGCGAGCGAGCGAGTTGGCAGACCCGAGATTGTCAGAGGGCGGAAATCACGGTTGGCCTGGTCTGTGCTGGTCTGTGCGAGCCCCGCAAATTAAGCAGCATGCCCTCTTTGTCTCAGTCGGATAGGCAGCTGCGGAGATACGATGAAGAGTGCGGGGAATCGCAAGGCGGAAGCCGACCGCGGATGGAATGCGATGCAACGCAGGTCGCATCTCGGATGCTCCAAGCCGAATTGAGCTAGCCGAGGGCGCGACGATCCCGAAGTAGCGGCGCTCTGTTTATTTTAAATAGACTGCCTGGCTCCCGCACAGGCAGAACAGCCGAAGAGATCTGCGTTGATGCACATGTGTCGACCTGAACGAATCTGTGCTTCGCCGAAGCCAGTCGAAAAAGATCGCGAAACAACCTGGAAGACGCCCTTGGCACACTGCGCCGGGAGGCGTGCCGGGATGAATAGAGGCACCGGAGCTTGACCAGGAACCTGTTCATTTCGATCCGAGCCGTCCGCGAGCGCCAGTGAGGAGGGGGAAAAAAGTAGCCGACGACCGGGTCCAGCTAAACAATGACTCGTGCATCTTCTTTGCAAGCACCACCATCGGAGCACGCGGCCATGCCGAAGGGAATCCTCATCGTTGGCGGAGGTCTGAGTGGCCTGTACTTGGCACATAGGCTGAAGCAAAGCGATAGCAGCCTTGGTATCACAGTGCTCGAATCGCGAAGTCGCCTTGGCGGACGACTGGAATCGGCCCAAATGAGCGTTGGCGAGAGCGACGAGGTGGACGCGTTTGACCTGGGTGGATCATGGTTCTGGCCATCTTCTCAGCCTTTGGTGGTGACGCTTTTGGAGGAGTTGGGGCTGGAGAGCTTTGCGCAGTACGAAGAGGGGGATCTGCTGATTGAGCGCAGTCAGACGAGGCAAGCGCAGCGGCTGGAACCGAGAGGAGCAGGCATGGGGGATGCTAGAAGACTCTGCGGCGGGATGCGATCGCTCATTGAAGCACTGGCGGATCGAGTGGGTCGAGGCAACATTCTGTCGGGACGCAAGGCGACGGGTCTGCGTCTGATCGGTGGGTGCGGTGCTGGCACGAGGATTCAAGCGACGTGTTCGAACGGACAATGCCTTGAAGCGGAACGCGTGGTGCTGGCGCTTCCCCCTCGCCTAGCTGCTTCCAACCGTATCGAGTTCAGTCCACCATTGCCGAGAGATCTGGTATCCAGCTGGGCAGCGACTGCGACCTGGATGGCACCCCATGCAAAGTACGTCGCCGTCTACGACCGACCCTTTTGGCGGGAGCAAAAGCTGTCGGGTAACGCGCACAGTACCGCTGGACCTCTGGGCGAGATTCACGATGCGACCAACTACGACGGCTCGCTTGGCGCCCTCTTTGGCTTCTTCTCGATTCCCTCGAGTGCTCGACAAGCGCAAAGCGAGGACGAGCTGAAGTCGGCATGTCGATCGCAGCTGGCCCGACTCTTTGGCGACCAGGCTGTGTCTCCTCGAGACGAGTGGATTCGAGACTGGTCATCGGAAGAGGACACGGCGACCAAGGCAGATCAGACTGTGGCGGTGCAAGCCAAGAGGGTAGGCGCGCTCAAGGTCACGCCGGATGAGGACGAGTCGCAATGGCATGAATTGGTGCTGGGCGCGGGCAGCGAGTGGTCGCCAACGTTTCCCGGATACATCGCTGGCGCCCTTGACGCTGCTGATCGAGCCATGACGGCTCTTCTTGCCGCCTAAGTGGTGGCTGGTCTGGGCTCGCCCTCAGACTCTGCACTGATAGCTGCATCGCAACAACTCAAGATTGATGCCGAACGGCTGTCAGGCTGAGGCGTGCCTGACCGAACGTGTCGGATCGCAAGGCAAGGCTGCTGCAGCTGGGCTCGGTGAAAGAGCCGGGTGGGCGGTAAATTTGACGCGCTGGCAGCGAGCTGTGCCTGGCTTTGTGTGTTGTGGAAGGCAAAATCAAAATAATATTTCAGAAAACCCCCTGCCCCAGGCCGCCCATGACTACGTTCTGGTTACCGTCGTGCAGAAAACACTCCGACATCCGAAGCCACGGCCAAAAAAGGCACGCGTGCATCCGCCAGCAGCTGCTGCTTTCTGCCGAGACCAACACACACACACACACACACACACACACACCGCGTCGAGATACAGTGACCACAGGCGGGACCACGCGCTGCTTCCGTCCACCACCATCCCCATCTGTCCAGCATCGCACGCTCCCCAAAGGTGTCGCTCGCTCCGGCACCGCCCATCACCATTCCCACCCCACGCCATCTCAAGCGCCTGTCTCTCTGCTCGCCAACGCTGCCCTCCTTCCCGCTCCTGCGCGAGGGCCCCACCCACGACTTGTTCTCTCCGGCAGCCACATCCGACCTCGATCGCACACAGTCCTCGCCAGACACCTCGAGCCGTTCGGCCGTATCCGAGTCGCCGCCCTCGTTCGAAAGGCGACCTTCGCACGGTCCGGACGGCCTCGCCTCCGCATCTTCGCACGACATCAAGCTCCAACGCGCAAGGAAGGCCGTCCATCATATGCGAACTTACTCCTCCCAGTCCACCGCCAGCTTCGCCTCACATGCATCAGCCTCGCGTCAACCATCGGCAGAGATCCTAGAGGAGGACGAGCCCACCTCGTCCAGCCCGACCATACACAGGACCCGCCGCGATCCCACCACTCCCGCTGCCATGTCCACATCCTCTGCAAACAACTCGCCGCAGCACTCCCGCTTCGGCTCCCGCTCCGATGCAGGCTCCATCTACAATGCAGACCGCAACATGTCCTCCTCCATGCTCTCCGTCGTCGACCCCGCCGACATGGACGAGATCGAGAACAGCGTGCGCCAGTCCAAGACCATCGAGGACTTCACCAACATCATCACCGAGTTCCGCATGAACAGGCACACCCTCTGCTCCGACTCCCTCGCTGGACAACATCCTCCCGATTCAGGTACGATCCCAATGAGTGCGAGCAGCCACAGCATCGACCAGCGCTCCGAAGTCGGAGAGACGCCTCGATGCACCTGCTGCTGCAGCAAGGACGATTGTCCACGCGCCCTACGCGCTCGTCAGGAGTGGCGCGACCTCGAGGCCGACCTCCGCCTCAGCGCCGAGATCGGACAGGCCTTGCTCCGCCGTCATGACGCCATGCAGTCAAAGCTGCAAAAGCAAGCGGAAGAGTACATGCAGCAGCGCGACGGTCTCATGACCAGGCTCACAAAGAGCTACAAGGAGACATCCGCCCTCGAACGCGAGCTCGCACAGTCCAATCTCAACCTCGAAGCAGGCGACAGCAGCAATCGCGCCCTCCTGCACGAGCTCGACGAAGCTCGCAAGCAGCTCAACAAGCTCAAAGCCAACCACACACGTCTCAGTGGCGCCGAGGAAAAGGCCGCCTCGCTTCAGCGAGAGCTCGACGATCTCAAGCAGGAACTCGCTGCCGAGCGCAAACGCGGCCAAGCTGCAGAGGCCAGATCCAAAAAGCTCGAGCTCAAATCCTCTCAGCTCAAAGACGCGCTTGCCAGTGCTCGTAAGAGCGCAGCCGTCGAGCCTCCATCCGACGGTCGCGCGCTCATGGACCAAGCAGCCATCCAACTCGCCAAGGATCGACTGGCACGCGCCTCACATCACCAGCGCATCTCGTCTCTCGACACCAGCGCTGCAGCAGTCGACGACGATGCAGAGCATTCGCAAGCCATCCAGACGCTGGTTCGCGACAACGAAGCTCTCCGCGGCGACAATGAAAAGCTCAAGGCTCTTGTCGACGCCTCCAACGAAGAACTCGAAGTCCTTCGCAACTCGGTCACAAACGCCATATCCCTTGTCGCCTCCCCCATACCGGACGCCGCCAACTTTGAAGAGAGCGCCTCTTCTTATCTCGACATCCACGCATCAGCAGCAAGCAATCCAAGTGGCCAACTCTCTCCGTCAGCACATGCGACCGCCGTTGCGCCACGCGCTCCAGCACAACGCACCACCTCGCATGCCTCCTCGGCCGGCTCGTTCACCTTCCCTCCGACGTCGCCAACAACATCGGAGCGGGTCGAAACCTCCCTCTCGCGCAGCGCCTCGCTCGCGCTCACGGCAGACAGCAGCGCAGCGAGCCAGGCTGCGGAATCCATCGCCTTTGTGCCCAGCTCCCGATCGAGCGAAACCAGCCGCGATACAGAGAAGCAGACCGCCGACTTTCTCAGCTCGGATCCTAACCGCCGCGAGAATCGAACAGCGCAGCTCAGCAACCTCCTCGAGTACATCAACCGACTCTTTACGCGTCTATCCACTGCCGATGTCGACACTCTCACCCGACGCTTGCAACGCCAGAACCTCGCCGGCGACGCTGGTCACCTCGCTCGCACCACGGTACACTCCATCCTACGTGACGTCGATGGCTTGCGCGATCACTTCCGCAAGCTCATCGAAGCCGAGGCAAGGAATCATGCGCGCGACGACAACTCGTCGCATTCGAGAGACTTTGCAAACGAGAGCCTCGTGGCGAGAAAGGAGTTCTTTGCTCTTCTCAAAGCGTTCCGAGACATCCTTTGCGAGTTGGCCAAGCTCCGCCTCTGTGTCAACGACATTCACCTCAATCCGGGCCAAGCAGCCAAACTGCTCCACGAACACCTCGGCGCAAACACGGCAGAGGACAGGTCGCTCATCCCCATCCCTTCGGCCGTCAACTGGCTCGGCAAAATGCTATTGGGCGGGCCAAGCGGTGCTCCTTCCACTCCGTCTTCCGGCGTTGTCACTCCAACGGGGTCTTCTGCTGCGCCGGATGCAGCGTCGTCGAGCGGCGCGAAAGCGGGCCGTCCGCTTACGGGACGCACGATCTCTGGCCATCTCGCGCCTCGAGCTTCGCCTGCCGTCGTCTCGTCCACACTGGCCGTCGAGGTCAAGGGCACCCACGCGTCCGCCGCAGAGACGGCCCAGTCGCGCCTCTCCACCTCGCCAAACACGCCTGTGGGCGGTGGCTTGCGAGCAGGCCCACGTGCCCAACGTGGTCGATCGAACGCCTCTCTCACGCGCGTACAATCCCGCAACCTTTCTGGTCTGTTTGCAGGAAGCCTTGCGCCATCCTATGCCAGCCTCGATGTAGCAAGGGGTGTGCCTTTGGACTCAGGAAACAGCCTTGCACCGACAGGCTCCGTGCGGCCAAGGGACCATGCTGCCAAGTCGACAAAGCCTTGGCAGCGGCCGCTGTCGAGGATCGTGGATGACGACGAGATCAGCATTCACCGCGGCAGGGCGATTCGGCAACAGGTGTTTGAAGACAGCGGCGATGAAGGATCAGACGACGAGATGAATGCAAGCAGCAATCTTCTCGAGCGCACCTTGCGACCTCGTGGACTGAGCGACAGCTCGATCCGCAGCACGTTTATCGACATGGCCGACGGCATGGGCGGAGGACCCATTTCGCCGGCTGCCAATCGGATTCGGCCCTCTCCGATCTCGCGCATCATTACGCCAGCGACTCTTTCGCTTCACTCGACGCCGAGTGCTGCACCTGCGACGGTTCCTTCATCCAAGATCGAAGACGACGCGAGCGCTTCTCCATCCGTCTCTTCGGAAAGGTCGGGCAGCTTGACGCCAGGAGGCGCTGGTCTCGCAAGCGGTGTCGCCAGCTCCATCCTGAGCAGGTCCGAAAAGGTGCTGTCGTTCTTCAGCGGCGGTGTCGTAGGCTCGGGTGTACCCATCCAGCCTGCTTCGGCGACGGTGAGCGCGGGTGGGCCGAGCCTGCGTCAAACTCCCTCGATCGCTGCGCTCAACCGAGCTGCGGCTCGCGGTGCAGCTTCGCACGACCTTTCCGTGTCTCCACGCACCAATTCCGCATCGCCTGCAGCCGCAGCGGAGTCCCGCGCACAGGCTGGCCTCGGCCTGGGCTTGCCACCGCGACCAGGTCTGGGTGGCGCCGGTAGCGGACGTGCCGGTTTCTGAAGACTCTTTTCGTCCTCCTGTACACTATAATAAACTCGCTTACCCTGGCCAGTCGGGACCGAGCTCAACCGTGTGTGAAAATGTGACTCCTTGACTAGCTTCGGCCGTTCGAACCCGGTGGAGACGAGCTCATGGACAAAGATCGGAAACCGCCTTCCTCAGTGTCATGTCCGCTAATCGGCTCTGAGTTCCTTTACGAATAGCAGGGCCGTCTGGCGGTGTGAGGTTTTGCAGATGGGAAAATTGTCGGAATTCGGCGATAGGTGGTCGGTGTGGAGATTCACCACACTCAGACTCGTGCGCCGTACCTCAGGGCAGATTCCGTGCGTAGGGCGCAGCAACAGAGTGCCCACGCGCATCGCGCTGCAGCTGTAATCTCGAGTCGTTGTTGTTTCGCTCCTCATTGCACCTCCATAGCACGTCCATAACTCTCAGAAACCCCTTTCGACATCGGCATTGTCGAGCGAGAATTGCGTCACGAATCTATCTGCAGAACCTTAGTGCCGTAGACGCTCGCCGCAACAACGCCGCATTTGGCCTGAAGGACTCGATTCCGCCCTCCAGCTCCACCAAGCTTGCCGCTCGGTAGACGACGCGTGGATCTCATCCATCCATCTCGTAGCAACCATGTCGGGCCTCGAAAAGTCATTGTTCCAGCTCAAATTCACCGCCAAGTCGCTGCAGCGCCAGGCACGCAAGGCTACCAAGGACGAGACGGCGGAAAAGGCCAAGCTGAAAAAGGCGCTGGCGCAGGGCAATACGGAGGGTGCACGCATCTATGCATCCAATGCCATCCGCAAGAAGAACGAGTCGCTGAATCTGCTGCGACTCGGCAGCCGCATCGATGCTGTGGCCAGCCGCGTCGAGACGGCGGTGACGATGCGGCAGGTGTCCGGCAGCATGGCGTCGGTGGTGAAGGGCATGGACAAGGCGATGGAGAGCATGAACCTCGAGCGCATATCCATGGTGATGGACAAGTTCGAGACGCAGTTCGAGGACATGGACGTGCAGACGTCCTACATGGAAGGCACCATCGGCGCCACCACGGCGCAATCCATGCCGCAAGACCAGGTGGACCTGCTCATGCAGCAGGTCGCGGATGAAAACGGCATCGAGATCAACCACAAATTGGGCGAGGGCGGCCTGCTCGAGGGCAAGGTGGCCGATCTGGCTCCCAAGGTGCCGGACAGCAAGGTCAAGGACAAGGAAGACGATGCGCTCGCCGAGCGTCTGCGCGCTCTCCGTCCCGCCACCTAGCGTTCTCCTTCTTCTTCTTCTTCTTCGTCGTCTTCCGTGTAAATGTAAATGCATGCGCGTGTTCTTTATGGCGTGGTCTCGGCCTTCGTCTCATTGCCGCACTCTGTGTCGCGATGGTGTGGGACAGCGAATCGTTTGCTCTCGCCAGTTTTGCAATGTGCTAAAGTACAATGTGAACGGATGGCATATGGTAAGCGCTGATCAGCGCGGGCCGTACGTCGATCTGGATTGAGGTGGTGGATAGGAAGGGTTGGGCGGTAGCGATGGAGGCGGCCCGCGCATGTTGGGAGGCGGACCCGACGGGAACATGTTGGATGGAGGCGCTCCGTAGCCGGGAGGTGGGCCTCTCGGTGGATATGCGCCGTTGCCGCCGGGAGGAGCGTTTGCGCCGCCCATCATGTTGGGCGGAGGACGTGAGTAGGGGACGCCTTGCGGAGGTGGACGGTTATAGTTTGGCGGGGGTCCTTGATCTCTTGAGGGCGCATTGTTTCCATTGTATCGGTTGTAGCCTCCCGGGCCGCTTCCATAGCCGCCTCTCGGTGGACCCGTGCCGTTGCTGCCGCCTCCACCGCTTCCACCCATCGACATGCGAGGTGGACCTTGAGATCCGAAAGCTGTCGCCAAAAGGGAGAGGGTAGAGAGTTACTGCTGTCAGTAAAGTTGCTCTCATGTGAAAGCTGTCGAAATGCAACCAAGCTCTGGCATGCAACGTACCTCTGTCGGATGCTCCGCTGAGCGGTCCTGCGCCAAAAGTCATGAACGAGGATCCAGCGGGTTGCAAAAGGTCTCTGGGCTTTTCGATGCCGCGTCGATCGTACTCTTGTGCCAGCGTGTCGATGACCTGCTGGATCTGTTCGGGATCCAGGGTCTGGTAGTACTCGCGCACATTCTGCAGATGGTTGCGTCCGCTGTTGTGTGCCTTGCGCACCGACACCGAGTCGTGCGTCAGGAAGACGTCGCAGTAATCGCAGTAGTGTTTCCCCATGCTTGACCGTCTCGAGCGGGGGCTAGCTGGTTACGAGTGCGCGATGTGATGCGAGAGGAAGCGGAGCAGCGAGGAGCAAAGGTGCAGCTGTGACGAAGGTGAGGAAGGAAGCCGTGGGCTCGCGGCACCGAAACGCAATTCCGCACTTCGAGGTCGTGTGAAACTTTAACACTTTTTCTAATTTTTTCGGCTTTGAGCCTCCACTTGGATTCGCACCTCCCTTGCACCCTGCAGCCACAGCACAGCGCGACTGTCTGACCGACTGCGCATGCACGCTCGAGTCGCTCGCAGCCGCTCCGAAACCAACACGCACGGCCAAGACCCTGGAGATAGCTGTCGTGCCCGCATCGACTGCATCGTCCCTTTCGACATCCTTCCTCCTCCTGGCTCAATTCGCTTCTGCTCGCAACCGGATCAGCAGTCACCAGCGTTACGCCCATCGCCGCGCGACGTCCCAAAACTCTGGCATGCTATCCTCAGCGTAAACTTTGGACCCAAGCGTCGTCGGCCCAGGCGTCGTCCGCATCACTCCGCGCAGCCGACATGCATCTTCCACGACATACGATCGAGTCACATGCCGCTGCTCCTCTCTTCGAGCATGCAAGCTTCTGCTCCCCAGATATCTCCATCTTCCGCGATCGGCCGCCAGAGGATCACGCATCGACCAATGCTTCACCCTCGACTTCCGAGCTTGCCCAGCCGGCCGTCTTCGCTTGTGCCACCCTCAATGGCTTTCTCGTAGCTCAGTCCGACCCAGTTAAGCTCGCCGCTAACAGGTCCTGGTCCAGTGCACAGGGCGGTCTGTCTCACGCTGTGCCCGTCTCCCATTCCTCTCTCCTCTTGCTCGTCGGCGGTGGAAGAGTACCACGCTTCGCCCCGAACAAGGTCATCCTGTGGGACGAGGCAGCAGAGTATATCCCCTCACAGCCCGATCCGGAATCTCATCACGCCGACTCTGACGACGAAGATGACGACCATTCCAGCTCCTTCCCCTCGAGGCGCGCATCCACCATCTTTTCGGCTGGTTCCGAGTTCGACGCATACGGCAGAGCTCCTTCAGCCGAATTCGAGAATGTCCAACCGCCAATCTCATCCGAACAGTCATCACCTCGCCCTCCCAGCATGGACGACTCCGTGAAGTCGTTGTCGGATCTCGATCATATCCAGCACCGCACCGGACCAGCTGCTGGCAGTTCATCCCGCTCTGCTGCCGAATCCGGCTCTTCAGTCGATCAAAGCATGCTCGCGAGCTCTCTCGGCATCGGTCGGCTACAATCATCGTATCTTTCCGATACCACCGATCGTGACGCACAGTCGTCCGTGCAATTCAGCCGCGACTCTCCCAATCTCACTGCCTCAAGCCACTCACACGCCATCATGGCCAGCTCCGCAAATCTCGCAGACCCTTTCGCAGAGGACGAGGCGCTCCCACCTCACTTGTCGCCAGAGCACAATGCTCGCCCCGGCTCCTTCACTTCATCAGAATATCACGCCAGCTCTCATGCTCATGCGTCCAGGGTCGAAAGCGCTACTTCGTCTCGTCAATTCCGACCGACTTCGGCCGCACACAGAGACCGCGCGGATGGCCTCGGCCTCATCGATTCGGTCTCTAGCATGGCAACCACCGACACCCATGCAACCGCAAAACGTCCCCCTCGCGTCCTACGAGGTCGCGAGGTTGCAGAACTCGAATTCAGCGAGGTCGTTCGAGGCGTCTATGCTACCACCATCCACACCACCAAACCACGCTCTCGCCATCCAACCAGTAAAGGCAAGGCCCGAGCCACATCAGGCGCAGCATCTCCTCTCAATCGAGAGGCTGAACCTGGTTTCTGCGTCGTCCTTGTCGTCCTGCTTGCCACCAGAGCCATCGTCTTCGAACTCTTGCCGCCGTCGACCGCGCCAACGCTTGGCGGCCGTCCCACTTCGTCCGCGTGGAGTATATCGAAGCGAGCCGTCGCCCAGACGCACAAGAACCCAAAGGGTCTCGGCTCGGTGGCGCCTCTGTACCTGCACACGCCTCCGGGCACGGTATCGCAACCCAGCGCCGTGGTTGCGCTGCCTGGACGCCAGAAGGGACACGTACAGCTCTTGCTCATCCACTTAGGCATGACGCACGTCGATCAGTCTCGGCCCGCCTCGGTCCCGGCACCACCTGTCGGCGCATCTACCATCATCGTAGCTCACGAGGCTTCCCTCGCTGCGCTTGCCTTGAGCCCAGATGGTCGTCTCCTGGCAACTGCCTCCTCCAAAGGCACTCTCATTCGCATCTGGTCTCACAATATCGGGCAAAGTGACGGCACTGGTTCGCGAAACAGTCGCGCTTCTCCGCACGAGCCAAAGTCAAACGCACCAGGCAGGACCGGGGTCGGTGCCACACTAGCACGCGAGCTGCGCCGGGGCACCGATCCAGCTACCATCCTGAGCATCGCCTTTGCGCCTGACGCCTCGATCGTGGCTGCCGCAAGCGACAAGGGAACGATCCACATCTTCTTGCTTTCTCAGCCCGGATCCATGGCGCCGGCCGACGATGCAACCGAGCTGCCCAGATCGCAGGCATATTCGACGACTCGCGCCTCCAACCTGGGCCGAGTCGCCGCTAGCTATCTACCCGCAGGCCTCGGCAACCTCGCAGGCCAAATCCCGCCATCGGTGCTGCCCCAGTACCTCAAGTCAGAGTGGAGCAGCGCCCAATTTCGCATTCCCCTCAAGACGTTTGGATCCGCCTCGCGCCACTCGTCGGCATCGGCACAAGGCGACGAATCTGGTATCTACGGCTCAAACGCTCCAAGAAGCACCACGCTCGGTACCGAGAAGTCTACCGAAGGCGCTTGGGCGCACATGCGTAGCCGCATAAGCGACATCCGCAAGGGTGAAGCCAACGTGGACGAAAAGATGTTCTTGTGCTGGGTCGAAGAAGCAGCCCAATTGCCAGTCACAGTGACCAAAGGTAAAGCGTCGGCGCAGCCCTCTTCCAGGTCCGAACATGCATCTCGGCCGCGTCCACTGCACACGTCAAAGGATAATCACGATGGCCCCAACCCCGAATCGCCGTACCGCTTTCACCTCGTCGTTCTAACGACCTCGGGCGGGTGGTACAAGCTCGCGATCCATCCACCACAATCGAATGCCAGCGAGGACGCATCAGGCTCCACCGTGCTAGGCATGTACCGCCGGGAGTCGAAGCGCGCAACTGACAAGCCCAAGCCGCTGGAATGCGAACTGCTCGAGTTTCGCCCCATGGCGGCGATGCTGGACGGATGGAGAGCATGACACCCGCCACGAATCCTGTTCTCAGTTTGGCCACGTTGGTCGCCATCACAAACAATGTCTTTTGCATCATGAAATCCATTTTCAACAGGTACCAATGCGCGATCGAAGGAAATGTGTTGGAACTCAGTTGACGCCGCCAAAGACCATGAGCTTCTGGATCATGTACTCGTCGATGCCGGTGCGACCGCCCTCGCGGCCGAAGCCCGACTCGTGCACGCCACCGAAGGGCACCGAGTTCTGCGAGATGAGGCCAGTGTTGATGCCCACCATGCCCACCTGGAGCTCTTCGGCCACGCGCCAGCATCGAGCGGTGTCCTTGGAGAAGAAGTAACCGGCGAGGCCGACGTCGACGTTGTTGGCCTTGCGCACCACCTCCTCCTCGCTCGAGAAGGTGTAGACGGCGGCGAGCGGGCCGAAGGTCTCCTCGCGGTCGGTGGGGACGCTGTCGGGAAGATCGGTGATGACGGTGGGCTCAAAGAAGAGGCCCTCGCCGCGCTTGCCGCCGACGACGACGCGCGCTCCGTTCTTGACCGACTCGTTGACGTGCTCCTCGACCTTGTTGAGGCCGACCTCGCTGACGAGCGGGCCGTGGGTGGTGCCCTCGTCCATGCCGTAGCCGACCTTGAAGTTTTCGACCTTGGCGGCGAGCTTCTTGAGGAACTCGTCCTTGACGCTGGCATGGACGTAGATTCGGTTGGCGCAGATGCACGTCTGACCCGAGCCGCGGAACTTGCAGGCGATGGCGCCCTCGACCGCCTTGTCGAGGTCGGCATCCTCAAAGACGATGAAGGGAGCATTGCCGCCGAGCTCCATGGAGAGCTTCTTGAGGGTGGAGGCGGACTGGCTCATGAGGATCTTGCCGACGCGGGTGGATCCGGTGAAGGAGATCTTGCGCACCGTGGGGTTCTCGCAGAGCTCCTTTCCGACGGCGATCTCGTTGTCGCCCTTGGCGCAGGTGACGACGTTGATGGTGCCCTTGGGGAATCCGACCTGCTCGGCAAGGTGTGCAAAGGCGAGCGCCGAGAAGGGCGTTTCTGCGGGCGCCTTGATGACGACGGTGCATCCGGCGGCGAGTGCTGGTGCGGCCTTGCGGGTGATCATGGCGGCGGGGAAGTTCCACGGGGTGATGAGGCCGGCGACGCCGACGGGCTGCATCTGCACCACGTTGCGGACGCCGGGGAGGGGCGAGGGGACGGTGTGGCCGTAGGTGCGGGTGGCCTCCTCGGCGAACCACTCGAGGAAGCCGTTGGAGTAGGCGATCTCGCCCTTTGCCTCTGCGAATGCCTTGCCGTTTTCGGCGACGATGATCTTTGCGAGGTCGTCTGCGTTTTGCTGATGCGCGTAGAAGAGCTTCATGAGGAGGTCGTGGCGGTGCTTCGCGGTGGTCTTGGACCAGGACTTGAAGGCTTGTTCGGCGGCGTCGATGGCGGCGGCGGTCTCCTTTGCGCCCATGTCGGGCACCTGGCCGATTTCGGCGCCGGTGGCCTTGTTGAAGACCTTGAGGGTGGCCTTGGAGTCGGCGTCGGCCCATGCACCATTGATGTAGGCCTTGGTCTGCCAGAGCGACTGGTTGGCGAGCTTGAGCTCCTCCTTGCCGCCCTTTACGATTCCCTGGGGCATGTGCGGCATGTTGAAGGAGGCGGTGGTGTGGATGGGATGCGAAGAGGTGGGGAAACGAGGAGTGATGCGCCTGGAGGCGAGAGAGATGCGCGAAGAATTGAGCGAAGAGGACGCGGTGGCAGAGCGAAGGGCAGGTCGAGCGATGGAAGTGCGTGCAGAGCGAAGCATGCTACACGAGATAAGACGATGAGTGGGTCAGCGGAACCAGCCTGGCCGCAAGAGCTTGTGTATATATGGAGGGATGAAGTGAGCCTAGGAGTCAGACTGGTGGGAAGCCGAGCAAATGACCGTGAGCGCGCGACAAGGCTCGGCCGCTGTTGGACAGACGAGCTGCAGGTGGAGCAGATTGCGCCTCGGGTTCTACGGGTTGCAGTGCTTCTGGCCCAACGCTCCACTCGCTCTGCTCACTCAGCTGCAGTACCGCCCCACAGACCGGGGAAAGTCGCGGCTAACGCGCGCATCGCGGCTACTTGATTGAATTTTGCCCAGTGTGAGGCCGCGATTGCTGCACATCTCACAAGTCTGCGCGCGCTCTCAGGGTTCAAATGCGCGTACCGCACCAAGCCCTGCTCGCTTCCTTCCAGACACATCCATCATCCAACCTTTCGAGTTTACAGAGCAACATGGTGAGTGCACTTTCTCACATACAAAGACTTGCGATGGATGCGTCTTGCTGATCGCTCCGACGGCTGCTCTTGATGTCCAGCCTGCCTCTCTCACCGAGGCCAAGGATGCGCTGGTGCTGCGCCTCAAGTTCCACAAATCCACGCTCTTTCTGCCGTGCCAGCCCACCGACACGCTGGCTTCGCTCAAGACCGGCTTCGTCGTGGCCGTCCGCTCCAGCAACCAGCCCGAGCTCTCGTCTCTGCCCTCGTACACCTCCACCGACGCCAAGTCGTATCCGAGCTGGTCCGACATGGATCCCGATACCGACGTCGGTCTCTTCATCGCTAGCAGCACAGGCAACGATGCGGCAGGCCTCGAGGGCATGACCATCTTTATGCCGCTCGACCACGATGCATCCGGCGCTGACACCACCGTTCGCAAAGCCGGTCTCAAGGACTCGGACGCCGTGTGCGTCGGCTTTCGTGCTCAAGGTGCAGGTACGTGGCTCGATGTCTTCCTCGACGTCTTCCTCATTGCTCTCGCTCAAGCGAGGCTCGAGCTGACCCTGACCATCTTCCATCCTCTGTCCTGCGCCCACCTCTCCTTATTCTGCGCTGCATGCTCGATGACGAACGCTCTTACGCACGTCAGCCTCCGTCTCCCAGCCCATCGTCCAGTTTACGGATGTAGAGGAGGACGACGAGGCCGCCGACCCAGACTCTGTCCCACCACCGCTCTCAGAATGAAGAAGACCAATTGCAAGCTGCATTCAGAAAGGCCCGACCGCCGCAGAAAACGAGAGTACAATAAGACCATTCCAATCGCGACTCGTTCCTTGGTGCTGCTGCCTATCCACGCTAGTGTTCAGCGACTAAGCTCTCCGCCATCTGCTGCTGGGGTGGACGAGCGGAGGTGGCCGCTCCACGAGAGAGAGCCGCCGATGGGATTAGCATGGATTCCTCCGCGCCCAAGACCGGCGGGCCGTGCATGTGGAGGAATCCAACCGTCTGCATTTTTCGGGCGCATTTTTGCCGTGCAATTAAAAGCGAAGTCCCAACAGCAGAGAAAAGCCGGGTAATTGCTTGCTCACCTTTGCCGTTCTTCCAAACCGCAAGCCTGTCTGCCACCATCTCCACTCCCTTCTCCATCCGTCGCCAGACCACACTTTTGTCTTGCAAACACTCGCCCAGCTTCCACAATGCAGCGCCTCGGAGTGACCAGCGGCCAAGCTCTGGTCGCACCAAAGCGCTGGTCACAAACAAAGCTCCATCGTGTCGACCAAGCACACGAAGCTGTCTCATGTCTGATCACCCCCTTGTCACTCGGTTTCCACCACTCGAGGTCGGCCCGGACGCACACAGGTGGCCGACGACGCACAAGCGGACGCACCTTTACATCGTCCGCTTTGCGCACAGGCATTCCGATATCCGATTCGAATCCTCGCCTCGTCCCACAAAGTCCCGTCTCGCGAACAAAGTTCCCTCCCCCGTCCTTTCCGCCCTCCTTTGGCTCCAACCAGATCCTACCTGTACCACAAGACACAGACAGGCGTCTCCACAACATTCTCGCATGCTTCGACACTCCCGTGCGCTTCGCTTTTGCCTACGGCTCCGGCGTATTCTCTCAAAAGGAAGCAGGCCCGGAGCACTCCAAGAGACCTGCGACCAAGGATGGAAAGAAGATGGTCGACTTCATCATGGCCGTCACTCACCCACAGCACTGGCATTCTCTCAACATGGCGCAGCATCCAAAACACTACTCGATGTTCAGCAGGCTACTGGGTGGCCTCGGCATCGGCCTAGTTCAGCCCATAGGTGCAAAAATCTGGTACAATCCATACATCACGCTCGAAGACGAACTGGTAAAGTACGGCATCATCAGCGTCGATGACCTTTGCACCGATCTTCTCGACTGGGAGACCCTCTATGTCAGTGGTCGGATGCACAAGCCGGTGGCGCTCGTCACCTCGGACGCCCGTGTGCGTCTGGCCCAGCAAGTCAACCTTGCCTCGGCCTTGCGCACCGCCCTCCTTCTCTTGCCCACCCAATTCTCCGAGGTAGAGCTGTACACGCGCATCGCATCGCTCAGCTACACCGGCGACTTCCGCATGTCGGTGCCTGGCGGAGAAAACTCGAACAAGGTGCGCAACATCGTGCTCAACCAGCGCCAAGAGTTCCGACACCTCTACGCCGGCCTCATGCGCAACTTGGGCACTCTCTCAGTCGAGGAGGTCGGACAAAATCGCTACAACATCCACCAGGATGGCTCGGTTGCAACTCGTGCCTCGTATGCCGCGCGTCTTCCACGATCTCTGCGCCAAAAAATACAAGACTACTACACCGCACGACCTGACCTCGATCCGGCGTTCCTCAAACTGTCTTTATCCAGGACACTCGACACTGTCCCACGCGAACCATCTCGCATCGAAAGAGAGGAGACTCTCAACCACTTCTGGCGCGCCGTCGTCCAGCGAAAGGACTTTGACCAGGTGCTGCTTCAGATGATCGCCAAGACCGTCAAAGGTCCCGCTTGGTCACAGTCAATCAAAGGCATCTACACCGCCGGCTTCACCAGGACCTTCCGATACGTCGCCGCCAAGATCGGCAAGTACTTTGAAGGCAAAAAAGAGACCCAGAATCGCTGAGTACAGATGCTCAACGGTCTGCCCTGGAATTGTTCCTTCTGTAACTGTTCGCCAGATTCATAGGAGCCGGAGAATGCTTGCAATGAAAAGGTCAGACCCATGACTAATGTATCCTTAGCTGCGGTCGATACATCGTTGCTTGCGTGTTTGCTTGCGGACCGTATTGTAAAAGGGTGTAGTGTGTTGCATGGAGTGATGAAGCTTGCGGGCCGGGCAGGGTGGGAGCCCGTCCGTCCACGGACGGAGGTGCGGAAGCGCTGAAAGGGTTGAGGCCCCACCGCGTGCGGAAGCGGACGATTCCGCAGATGGACAGGTCCAACATGCGGGATGTCCATGCGGGATGTCCATGCGGGAGGTGAGCCACCCGCTATTCCTCCCGACCTCCATTCACAGGTCTGCATACAAACTCGGCAAGGATGCTCTGGCTGATGGTGTGCGGTATGCACCTGCGGTCTCGGGAAGACTGGCATCTGATAAACTCGTGGTTCCCATTGCACTACATCCATGGCTTTGGATTGGCCACAGCTTTTGTCGCCACCGAGGACAAGACCGAAGTGCTGACCGTCGTCATGCAGGCACAGCTTCTGCTCGGTTACGTCGTATGGGTCTCCGAAGCCGAGTTTGGGCACGCGATCGAAACGTGCGCCAATGCCGCTCCACCTCCTCCGACCAATGCTTTTGTGATCACCGCTCATGACTGGAAGGACTTCATAGGCAGCCAGATTGAAGGCAGCATCGCGCGAGGCTCGACCCTCTCCCATGCCTCCGAAACTTTTGTCGACAGTAGAGCAAGTAACGAGGATTTGGATGCAGAGACGGATCTCGACTCCGTTGCGGAGTCTGACTCGGATCCGGACGAGGAAGACGACTCGGACGACTCGGACGATGATGAGGACGACGATGGCGACACGTGGCCCGACGGGGAGGAGGGGTCCGGTTTCGACGGGGTAGCCATCGATGACCTGGACGGCAACAAGCAGCTGCGACCGGGCACAGTCGCGTTGACAATCGTGGAGAGCGTGAGCCTCTCGCTCTTTGACGAGCTGGGCATTCCTGCGAGCTCGAGCGCTGGTTTCCTGTTGTAGAAGACACGCCAGGCAGCGCAACGCGATTTGCGGAAGTGCGGAGTTGTCTCGTCGCCAAGGATCGCAACCAGCACGAACGTGTCGTTGCCAAGACCGGAGGGAGGGCCTTCAATGCCAAGGATCGCATCCAGACCCGCAAGCATCTCTTCCTCGCCTGCTTCATCCAGGCAGCCCAACAGCTGTCTGGTATCAACGCACTTATCTACAACTCGGGCACCCTCTTCTCCCAGTCGACCGGCCTCGACACCGAAAAGTCAGCACAGTCGCGCGCGCACTTGCACAAAGAGAGACGCGGTTCTAGACCGTAACATTTCTTGCTGCCAGGTGTAATCAATGTAAGGATACAGACGAAAGCTGCCAGGGAGTGAACGACATAGCGCTCGTTGGCTGCGGACAAGGCTCGGGATTTGGGATGCGGGTATTTTGACAGGCGGCAAATTTACCTCGAGTCGAGAGTCGCGGTGACAAGGCCGCCCTCTTTGTGCGAGCCCTTGTTGGAGCCGGTCTCGACGTCCGGGTAGTCGATGTCAGCGTTGCCTGCGGCGGCGGCGGCCTTGGTGTCGGCAGCGGCGTGGGAGTTGTCGATGCGCCAGCCATCGGTGGTGAAAATCTCGTCGATTTCCTCCAGCGCTTTGCCCTTGGTCTCGGGGAGGAAAAAGTAAATGATGGGAACCCAGCAGGCGTTGAGGATCGCAAAGATGATGTACGTCTTCCACTTGATGTTTTCCAGAGCAGAGGGGGTGAACTTGACACTATCGACCGCAAAGAAGAATAAAGGAGCTCCTGTCAGTACGAAAAGTCCGCTCGTATCCGCTGCGAAAGGCACCGCCTACTTACACAACAAAGTTGAAGATCCAGTTGCTGGCTGTCGAGAGTGCAGATCCCTTGGTCCTGATGAGCAGGGGGAGCACTTCGCTTGGAATGAGCCACACGGTTCCTTGGAATCCGAGTGAGAAGAAGAACTCAAAGACAAAGAGCATGGCGGAGGCAGCGCGGCCGTAGATGGCACCGCCTCCCTCCTGGGTCTTCTTGACCAGGCCGGTCTGAACGCACATGACGGCGGCCATACCGGCAATGCAGGGGATGAGGAGCTTCCTGCGGCCGACACGGTCGATAAGGAAGATGGAGATGGTGGAGCCGAGGATAAGGCACATGTTGAGGCCACCGGCGAAGAGGGCAGACTTTTYGSTGTCGAGGCCGRTCGACTGGGAGAAGAGGGTGCCCGAGTWGTAGATAAGTGCGTTGATACCRGAMAGCTGTTGGGCTGCCTGGATGAAGCAGGCGAGGAAGAGAYGCTTGCGGGTCTGRATGYKRTCSTTGGCRWYGARRGCYCKCCMTCCGGTSTTGGCARCGRCRCGTTCGTGCTGGATGGCCTGCTGGATACCGGCAAAGGATTGCTGGACTTCGGGGGAGTCGATGGAGGCGTTGTGGAGGCGCTCAAGGACGGCGATGGCCTCTGCCTCGCGACCCTTGGAGGCGAGCCAACGAGGAGTGTCTGGGATGACGAGGGTGCAGGCCATGAGCACGACGATGAAGACACACTGGAGGGCGACGGGAGTGCGCCAGATTTTGCTGCCCGTGAGGCCGCTGAAGCCGAAAGCATAGTCAGTCCAGTAGCTAATCACTATGCCAAAGTTGAGTACTGTCAAGTCTAGGCAAACGAGCTTGCCACGGGAGACGGCGGGCGAAGTTTCGGCCTGCATGATGGGGACGGTGGAATTGATGGCACCCATGCCGAGACCCGAGACGATGCGGCCGAGGATCATGATGCCGACGGTGGAGCTGGCTGCCTGGATGATGGCGCCTGCGATCATGACGAGCGAGCTGAGGAGGATGGTACGCCTGCGTCCGAGGAAGTCGCCGATGACAAAGGTTGAGAGGGCGCCGAAAAAGCAGCCGATCTCGTAAAGGGAGACGATGTTGCCGATGGTGTTTGCGTCCGGGTTGTTGAAGGTCTTGTTGAACTCGCCGAGGCCGACAACGCCCCCCATGACTCCATTGTCGTATCCAACCAAAAGGAAGCCTGCGGCACAGCTTGCGGTGATGACGGCGAGAAGCGACTTGCCGCGAAGTCCGACATCGATACCGAAGTAGTCGTTGTGGATTCGGCGAGGAGTGTAGGAGTGGGAATGCATGGTTGCACAAGGGTCGCCTTTCGCCGGCAGCGTTGATAGCGTTGACAGGGATGGGAGCGGAAGGGAGAGGCCGAGATCAAGAAGGATGTCGGGGATGATCTGGGGGAAAGAGATGCGGGGCCCAAGCGTCAAAATGGTGGAGGGTCTTATAGGAATAATTAAGTGGACGCAGGGCGAAATGAAATGAGCGAGTGGAGTGGGCGCGTTCATGCAGACCGAGTGGCGGGTGCGTGCGAGGGGTACACAGAGCAACAAGTGAAAATGTGTGGGGTGCGATGAAGGGCGGCGTGGGATGCAGCCTAGTGTGAGAGGGCAAGCGTCAGGAACCGGCGTGAAAATGTGCGGTAGGGCAGGATTGCCCTCGAGAGAAAGAATGGATGGCAAAAGCCAGCGGAGTTGCGTTGATGGAGCGGCAGACCGGGCCGGACATGTGGTGGATGATGCGTGCGGCAATGGTAGGAGGGCCGAGACTCGGGGCTTTGAGCAACGGAAGCATTCGGGCACGGGCAGACGGACGGCTGTTCAAATGTGTGTACAAGAACTGTATGGCGCGGGCATTGTGGGGAGGTTGAGTCTAGGGAGGGAGGCAACGAGTCTCGATTGCGGGGTAACGGTTGCACAAACGAGCAAACACGGCCAATCGAATCGGCGGCTGCTGTCTGCCTTCCAACGCCACGCGAACCTGTCGAAAATAAAAATAAAAATAAGAATAAAACTGGAAAATGAAATGAAATTGACGAACAGCCAGTTGACGGTACGGGCCATCGTGGGGCCATCGATGGCATTGGGGCCGTGCCTGCGCGGACCGGTGCGGATGGTCTGGATGAGCGGATTACAGTATTGGCACGCGTGAATGTGGATGCCGTGCCCTGCAGAGAAGCCCTCGCTTGGGGGGGGGGGGGAGGTTGCGTGCCGTCGGTCATGCCGGCCTGCCGCTGTAGAAAATGGAGCGTGGCCCAATGACTTTTGGCAGTGCGCATCGCGTGTCGGAGAAATAGTGTCCCAATTGGCGCCACACTGGATTTTTGAAGCTGCACTCCAGCCGAACCGGTCCGGTGGTCCGCCGTGTTTTGCATAAGCAGAGCCGCGCCGCATCACCGGTCCGCCATGTTTCGACTCCGCCTTTTGCAACGCGCGTCCACTCCGGCTCGATCCGTGCGGCCGCGTTTCATGCCGGTCAACTATTTTTCCTCGCTTTCAAAGTGTTAGAGCGTCGTCGTGGTTGGTGTGCGTCTGTGCGCGAATCAACTCAGTCCGTCCAGCCAGACCGGACCGAACCGAGAGCAGGTACCCCACTAAAAGCTGCTTCCGCTCCGCACCCCACCTCCTCCACAGCCGACGACTTGGACGATCGACCTCACCTTTGCAATTCTCGCTCCCGTCACCACCACCAACGTCTCCATCACCGACGACAGCCTCGCTGATTGCCACCATTTGCATCGTTCATACCGCATCCAAGCAAAATGCCATCGCAAACATCGACCGAGCCAGTCGGCGTCGTCAGCCTCGACCCAGAGTTTGATCGTCTCGCAGGTAAGCACCCGATGGATTCATGCTCAGCGCCGATCACAGACTCACTTTGTCCACATCCATTCCCGCCAACAGGAACATCGGCCACCATGCGCAAGCTCCTCACCGATCCAGAAGGGCTGCAGCGGTTCCACGAGGCCGGCATCTACCTCGCCAAGCACAACAAGGTGTACCTCTCTTCCAACCGCCTTCCGCATCCGAAAGTGCAGCAGAGCGCATGCATCATTGGCGTGCCCCTTGACAGCATTCCGTCTCCGAGCACCGAACAACGCGCATCCAACGGCTTGCTTCCCGATCTCACATCCGACGAGCAAAACTCGCTGTGGTCCGCGCTCCAAGTCATCGATGAGCTCCCCGGCCACCTCGCGCTGCCCAACGGCGCCACCCACTGGGATCAAGATAGCGTGCTCTGGTGCGAGCAGGGCCACGACAAGCTCGCCATCACTTCTTCGCTTGTCGTTCACAACGTCGCCGAGCGTACTGGCAAGGCCGTGCTCTCGCAGTTCGAGGGCAAGCCCTTCTCCAGTCTCAACGACGCCGTTCCCCATCCCCCCTCGGGCTCCTTCTTCTTCACCGATCCAGACTACGGCATCGAGCAGTCGTTCAAGTCGCCCGACGTCACGTACGCACCCAACGCCCTCTACATGTGGAAGCCGTCCACCAACCAGGTGCGCCTGATCGACTCCAACTACTCCAAGCCCAACGGCGTCACCTTTGTACCTTCGCCCGCCAACGACGGATCGGGTCTGCTCATCACCTCGGACACCGGCCGCTTCCGCTTCCACCGCAACGACAGCGTAGGCGAGTTTTACGTCGACGACAACGGTCCCGCACACCTCTACTCGTACAAGGTGCTGCCGGACTCCGAATCCAAGGATGGCCTCCCGGCTGTCGACGTCGGCTCGCGCACTGAATTTGCAGAGTCCACCAGCGGCGTGCCAGACGGCATTCACGTAGACACCTACGGCAACGTCTGGGCGGGTCACGGCAATGGCGTCCACGTCTACAAGCCTCAGCCCGACGGCACGGGTAAGCTCATCGGCAAGTTTGTCATCCCCGGAGAGAAGGGTGTCGCCAACTTCTGCTGGGCCGGTCAGACCTCGTCGGGACAGTATCGCCTCCTCCTCTTTGCAGAGGTCGAGCTCTGGGAGGTGACCGTCGCCGTCAATGGCCAGGACTGAGTCGGCGTCTTTTCGGCATCTCCGCACCCGCCTGTCACCTACTGTGATTGCCTGTAATCTAATGTGATTGCTTGTAAATTGCTGTGATCGCTTGCGATTCAATTGCAACACTCGCTACATTTCCGCGGGACACGATTGAGCTCAAGAGTGAGTGCTAGAAGGTGCGCGTGGGGTGGGGTCAGCTGCATCTGCAGTGGGCTGCACGGTGACATGTTGCGCGACGGTGGCGAGACGCGTCTGGTTGCGCAGAACGGCGCAGAGCAGCGCAGAGCTGCGCAGAGCAGGGAGCGGCTAAGCGAGCGTTGGGGAGTCGCCTCCTGGAGGATTGGCACGGCTTGGCGCATGAAATTTCCGAGCCGTGCTGGCGGTGCAGAGTGGCTCTTTTGTTGCTTCGCTGTCGCTTTTCTGACCCCATTCCGCGCTAACCGACGGCTGTGCGCAACTCCGCCAACCGCAGCAGCCAATCATTCCGGGCGCCAGCACGCACCGCACCGTTCTTCGACGCTCGAGCCCTGCGCACACGCACCAACCTTGAGCTTGTCTCGGTCGCAGCACCTTTGCGCATCACCAACCACAACATAAAGACCTCGCTTTGTCCTCTTTCTCCCTCCAACCACCACAATCCACAATCGCTGCTCACCGACCCCACGTCTACAACACCGGATCAGGACCCTCAGGATGAAGTCGAACATCGCATTGACTCTTGTCTGCCTCGTGCTGGCATCGCTAGCGACCGCAGCGCCTACGCCCGAGCAGCCTCTCTTCGTCTCGCGCATGGTGCGCAGGCAGGCTGAGTCTGCTGCCGACCAGCGACTTGCCGCCTTCTGTGGCGAATTCGCCCTCGAGGAGCCTCAAAAGCTCCAAGTGCGCTCCTACAACGACTCGGCCACCGCCTACCTTGGCATCGCCCCCAATGCCTCCGGAGCGCCCGAGCTCACCACCTCGGAGGAAGCCGCGCTCTTCGACTTCCAGACCTGCAACACCCAGGCCTTTACGCAGGGATACACGCGCAACACGGGCGGAAGCATGGGCGCCCCCCTCGAGTACTGGGGTCGAGTCGTAGCCAACGTGTCCGACACCAACAACACCACCACTCAGCGCTCGGTCTGCCTCACCGCTTCCGCTACCCCTCCCGAGAGCTCCGGCTCTTTCAGTCTGGCAAGCTGCGACGACCAGGACCCGCACCAGTGGTTCCGTCTCCAGGAAGCCATCGGATCGCCTTCGCTCTCCTACTTTCCGCTCAAGAACGAGTCTGGCTTCGAGTACACCGGCCAGACACCAGCTTACTTTGCCGTAGACCTTCACCCGCAGCCCTCGGTCAAGCCCGTTGTTCAGTACTCTACTGCCGACACGGATCAGTACGTCATCTTTGACGATTGATCGCCATCCCAACGCCGCGGCCCAGCATTTGAATTTCAACCATTGCTCCATCTCATCGCCACCGCAGTTCGCAAAGTGTGAGGCAGACTCGGCGAGAGGCAATGGGAGTGAATCGATTGTGATTGATCATCGCTCCGAAGTGCGGGGGAAGGGCAGTGAGTTGCGAGGGTGCGCATCGGAGTTCGAACTGCTGCGAGCCGTGCGTCGACGCCGATCCGAATGGTCGGCATCATCTTCGTCCTGCGCCGGCTGCACTTCGAGCCTGCGTCGTCGTTCGAGCAGGCGAGCGCGCTGAGCATACGCCTCGAACGTAGCCTGCCTGGCTTCTGCCGGTGTGGACGCGCCAGAGCCCGACACAAACACACGAATCCCCGATGCAGCCTCTCCGTCTTCCTCGTCTTCATCCTGGCTACCGCTACTGCCGTCGCCCGCGTCCCTATTGCGGTTACCCCGGACACGGCTGAAAAATCGTCGCCTCAGTCGCGAGTCTGCCGTCTCGACGTCCAAGCTGTCGTCGTCGTCGTGCGCGCGCGCAGCACGTCGCGACTCGGTGCGCAGGAAGTCGACCAAGTCGAAATCGAATCCATCCTCGCCCGCCATTCCCAAGTCCAGATCCAGGTCGATGTACTCTTCGGCCTCCGAGTCGTCTCCTTCCAGCACTTCATCCTCATCGGGTCCGTCCGAAGCAGGCGATGCGCTGCGCTGCTCCGCTTGGCTGCGGCTCTGACTTCGCTGTCGCGAGCGCAGCACGGCGGCAGGCGTCGTGATGAAGGTGAACGATCCGCTGCGGCCCGCCCGCGGTCGATCCGCGGGCGGTGCCAGAGACTCGACTGTATCCTCGCCGGTCGGTAGGCGCGTCGCGGTGCCGATCTCCATACTCGTCTCCACAGAGTCTTCCTCACCGGCGTCCAGCTCGTCGCCGTCGCCATCGGCTGTCATCGCGATCTCGGTCCGAGTTCTTCGTGCCGTGCTGGTAGGTAGATCCGCGTTGCGTGCGCGGCCGAGAGAAAGCGTGGTGCGTGCGGAGCGGATGCTGCCGGCATCCGAGTTGCTCAAAGGCAGTCCTCGAACGGCGTTTCGGCGCGTCAGCGACGTAGTGCGCGTCAGCGATACATCTGGATCGGCCTCCGAGTGGGCATCGTCCGCCGTTGCTCCTTCTCCATCAGCCGCGACAGGTTCACCTGCTGCAGCAACAGGCTGCCTTGCAGGTTCGCTGCCAGTCTCGGCAAGGATAGTGCAAAGACGGCTGCGAGCGGTGTTGACGGCGTCAGAATCGAGCGCAGCGCGTATTTCTGGATCGTCGTTCAGGTCTCCTGAAAGCGAAGCGTCTTCTTGACGTGCAGACGCCCAAGCCGCTCTCGGATCTGCGATCGGGTCGGGGCGCGAGGATGTTGCGGCTCCTGCCGACGGCTCGTGGATCTCGTCATCCAGAGGATACGCCAGCTCGACGTCGGGATGCCACCGGGCGTAGCCCTCCTCTGGCTCGGATGCAGTGTGGCGTGCGTCTGGATACTGTGTACGATCACGATCGAGGTGGTACCACGCGGCCACCTTTCGTCGCCATGTACGAATTGCTTCACCTGAAGGAGGTACTACGTCGGGTCTGGCCCAATGCGACTCTTCGATGGTAGCCATGAGGTGGTGATGCGCTTTGAGTTCGACGTCAACATTGCTTGTAGACGACGTGGAAGCACCCGCGCTCGTTTCTGCTGCATGTTGAGAGCGTCTGGACATGGATGACAGGAGCAAGAGGTTGCGCGCTCTCCACAACGAGGTGCGCATCTGCGACGAATCCGTGTTGCGCTCTGTATTCGAGACTTGCGTCTGCGCTTCCGCGACACGTCGGTCGTCGCGGTCGTTGTTGGAGACGAGGCAGGAGAGACGTCGGAGCGTATCGTCAAAGAGCTCGATGGTGTCCATGACGAGAGCGTAGGACGAGCCTATACCCGAGGCAGCGGAATCGTCGCTGTTTGACTGTTGGATCTGGTCGACGTGATGATTGTGTGCGTTTTGCAGCTGCGTGGAAGCCAAATCGATATGAAACTGGAAGAGGGAGGCACGCAAGGACTCGATGGAAGTGCGGATGAATTGGCTGGATCTTAGACGCTCTGCTTCGTCGATTGTCCTGGCTGCCTCGGCGTTGCGTCTTGAGGCTTCGGCGAGCCGAGCGCTGATGGAGCGTGCAGACATGACCGAAGTCGAGGGGCGAGGCGGTGCGCTACGCTGCGACTCGACAGAGAAGGGCGGTGCGCGGCGCGCTTGTGAGTGGTTGGCCGTGCTCGTTGTCGAGGTTGGCCAGGAGAGCGCTCTTTCTGAATTGGTCGACGGGAGCAGGAACTCGCGAAGCGAGAGACGAGCGGTGCGCTGAGGAGCGTTGGACGAGGAGAGGGAAAGCTGGCCATTGGCGGAGGAGCGGTTGGAGAGTGCACGAGTAGGCGGGGCGATGGAGCGAAGGAGATCGTAGGTGGGGTCGGGGTTCATGGCGCTAGCATTGGGACCGCGCACGTCCGAGTCGGGACCAAGCGCGCGAGCCATGCGTCGAGCGAGCGCGATGTCTGTGCGAGCACGGTCGGAAAGGGTGTTTCGATCCGACCGCGAGGAGGCGATGGCTGAACGCAACGAGGCTGCCGAATCGTGCGAGGGTCTCGAGGAAGCCCTGGCTGGGTCGTGGTCGGGATTGCGCTTCTTGGCGAGAGCCTGACGAGCGGTCTCCTTGATGATGATCTCGAAGCTTCGCTTGAGCAGCTTGTCGGTAGGGTCGAGATGCTCGGTGAACTGTTCGAAAGTGTAGTCGGGCTGAGACATGGATGGGTTGCGTGCCGAGGCAGGGTCGAGGCGATTGTTGGAGATAGACGAGGGACCTGGCGCAGTGCGGGAGTCGGAGTCGTCTTCGGAATCGATGGGATCGCGAACGTACTGCATCTCTCTTGCTCGCCTCCTGCGCTGTGCGGAAAGGCTGGCGACGCTGTCGGTGCCCAGCGAGGCCTGGCGCGATGGAAGGGCCGAGGAGGAAGGACGGAGAGAGGCAAGGGGCGGCGAGGCAGATGAGGCGGCGGAGCGTGCAGCAGGAGAGGCGGAAGAGGTGGCCGCCGCTGCGGCATCGACTTGGTCTGCATCGTGGAGGAAGGACAAGATGACACGGTTGCGTCTCGAGATGGAAGGGCAGAGGTCGAAGGCCTGTTCGATTTCGTTTGCTTCGTTGAGCTGGTCGAGGACGTGGACGCAGACCTGCTTGACCTTGTTGAGGAAGAGGTCGTCAAAGTGGGCCTGTGTGAGCCGACCCATGATGATGCTTGCCGACTGACGGCACTCAGAGCGATGGCATGCCGTGGTGGTGGAACGGAAGAGCATCCGCATGCCGAGGGCGCGTCGACGCTTCTGTGGCCCTGCAGCTGCGCCTCGCTTCCCCACACAGACTCTCCGTGGCTGCGTCATCGGGTCTCGCGTCGCCGATTCGAGATGGTTCTCCCCCGATTGTTCAGATTTGGCTCGGACCGCGGCGTGTCGTGTGGAGCGGTTAGGGCGAGAAGAAGTGGAAGGAAAAAGAGCGGCGGCTGTGAGCTCAGCATGGATGGCTGGGGCGCATGGCCATCCGGCTCAGCAACGTCTGATTCGAGAGAGTGGCAACGCAGATGAGCCGGCTGCTGAAACAGGAGCGGCTGGACCCTGCCTGCTCGCGTCATCCGGACGCAGCCTCGGGCTCGGAAGGATGTACTGTTAGCCTTGCATCTTGTCATCCATCTCTACTCCGTATCGGCACTCTGACAAGATGCCGTTCCCACTACCGCTCAACTTTCCAAAGTGGCTCGCCGAGAATGAGCACCTGCTCCAACCGCCCGTAGGCAACTTTTGCCTCTTCCGCACAAGAGACTACACGGTGATGGCCGTGGGCGGTCCAAATGCGCGGTCAGACTACCACTATCAGCCAACCGAGGAGTTCTTCTACCAGTACAAGGGCGACATGCTGCTCAAGGTCATCAACGACGACGGCAAGTTTGAAGATATCAACATTCGCGAAGGCGAGATGTTCATGCTGCCGGGTAAGTGTCTCGAGAGGTTCCACTTGTCCGCAGCTACCGGGAGACGACTGATTCGTATTTGTATTCGCTTTGCTGCAGCCAACACACCGCACTCGCCTGTGCGCTTTGCCAACACCGTGGGACTGGTCGTCGAGCGCACACGGCCAGAGGGTAGCCCAGACGCGATGCGATGGTACTGTCCCAACAAGCAAGCACACGCCGACACCCCCACGCTGGTCAAAGAGGTCAAGTTCCAGTGCACCGATCTCGGCACTCAGCTCAAGCCCATCATCGACTCTTGGGTCAACGACGAGGCAGGACGCAAATGTGCAGAGTGCGGCTACCTCCAAGCTGCGCGCGAACTGCCTGCGTAGCAAGCGGCCATTTCGCTCCTGGATCGTGTTTGAACTCCGACTGTAGCCTTTGTAGACATGCGACCGTAGTCTGTCAATCCCTTTTCCGTGAGGTCTTGTCGAGGTGTCGAACGCGTAATCTCATCCACAACGGCCGTTGCCGTGCGGAACTACCGCAGCCAAGTTTGAAAGGCAAGGGAAGTCGACGCGAAGTCAAACCCTTGGTGGTCACTCTTGGCAACCTTGAGGTTGACTTTCGACACATATACGGCAATGGGCTTCCATGCTAATGGCTGTCTGCACAAGGTGGTCCGCACATCAAAGAAGACTCTGTAGTTGCACAGATACGCTGCGGAGAGCGATCGATGTGCGTAACGATCCTCAATTCGAGATCAAAAGAGAGAGAACCCAAAGTCGAGCGGCTGGTTGGGCGCTGAGAATGCCGCCGCACCGGGATTGAGCAGCGACGACAGCCACTCGTCTGCGTTTGATAGAAAGAGATCCAATGAGTCGGCCGACGGAGTTACCGCACTCGGTCCGTCAGCGCCCAGCATCGTCTGCATGCCGTTCTCATCCCCTGCCAGCTTTGCCGTACCTCCTGCCAGCTCTGCCTCGGTGACAGAGTAACCAAAAGCGCGGGATGAGTAGCCTTGCGTCTGTTGATCGCCCATGGGCAGCACTCCGCCTGCACCGATGCCGTGTGAGGATTCGCCGGAGCTGGTGGCAGACCGGCTCCCTACCAGCGGCTTGTCTACGCCAGAGGGCGGAATCCGCGTAGCGTCGTCAATGCGCACGCCGGCGCGGGCCATGTTGAGTAACATATTTGCCGCGCTCTGCAGCTCTGTGAGCGTCATATCGAGCCGGTCCGCACATCCGCCGGGATAGCGCACGCCAAGCACCTGGAAGCCGACACTCTGTGGATTGAGCGTGGCGACCTTGTCCTGGATCCGCTTGAGCAAAGAGCGCATGACGTACAGCTCTTTGACCGCCAGATGGTCGCCGCGCGACTCTTGGATGTTGGCGCGGACGGTGGCGACATATTCTTGGATGTAGCCGAGGCGCTCCTGCACCTCGTCGCTGTGAAGCGCCTCGTCAAATTCGAGCGCAAACAGCATGTCGCTGGCGATGATCGTGTTCATGCTGAGGAGCGAGTAAGCGCTGCCGTACAAGTGGCAGAGCATGGTGACAGGGATGCGACGAGAAAGCAGCCGGCGACTGCGCAGATCGCTAAGAGCGAGCTCGACGCACAGCTCACGCGAGCGCTTGTATCGCTCGGCCGATACCGGATCGGACGACTCCATCCAGAAGGGCCGATGTAAGAGCGAGCGGAAGAAGAGGATTTGGTTGGTGCACAGGTGGTGGTAGAAGGTGGTGGCAAAATCCTGCTGTCGCATCGCTCCGCCCGATGACGGTGAAGCAGACGAGATGCACGGCGGCAGGGAATTCGTAAACTCGATAATGTCCCGGTCGATCTCGAGCGCACGATCGTAGATGCGCGAGGAGGGCGACGAGTTGGAGCTGGCGGCGATCTCTTGAAAGAGGCGCGAGATACGTTCGATGAATACGCGAAATGCATCCCGCACGACCAGGTACTGTGCACACGCCAGGTCGAGGCCAAAGTTCAAATAGTCCTCGAGTGTTGCGACCGGCGTCGTCGAATGAGGGATCTCGGTCATGGGGCGTCCAAAGAGTACGCTCCATTCGCGGTCCTGGTGGACAATGTGAGACCAGAGCACCCGTCGGTGCAGTGTTGCGGCGCAATTCTGCCCAAGATGCGCGCCATCGAGATGTAGGCCGAGATCGATGGCACCACGCATGCATGAAGCCACCTGCAACCAGGTCGATCGTGGCACACGGCACAGGTCAAGGTAGCGACACAAGTTGAGCGAGGCCGACAGCGAGTCGAGCGTGTGCAGGCCGAGGCTTTCCGACAGCGAGAGCGCCTTACGTGCGGCGAAAAAGTAAGTACGCGATGGCCGTGTCGGATAGGGACGCACCGCCAGGTCGAGCGTGGCGAGTCCAAAGATGGAGAGGCAGTAAGCCATGAGAGGCAGCATCTGAACGTCGTCCGAAATGGTACAGTGGTCGATGCATGCATCTACTGCCTTGAGCAGCTCTGACGGGCTCGCGGGGAAGCGCGACCAATTGAAGTCGTCGAGATAGATCTGCAGCAGCCTATGAGCCTCTGCCCTGCTCGGAAGGGACTGCTGCACCGAGCGCAGCTCGTACTTGGGGATCACCAGACCGAATCCGCGGCCCAGCTGGCCGGTCCAGGAAAGGAGGTCGGTGCCGATGCCCTCGTGTCGACGGAAGGGATTCCAGCCAAGTCCGTTCAAAGCAGGCTTGCCAATGAAGGCATCGTCAGCATCGACCATGCTGCGCTGGTCCGACTCGGGTCCATGTGCGCTCTGCCAGCTGCGCGATGACGAAGGCGCAGGAAGTCCGATAGCCGACCCGAACGGGCGCCCAGCAGCACCGGCAGCGCTATTCAAGGCACGATCTGGGCTTGATGCCGTGGCTGAAGCCTCGGGCATGGGCCTGTTCATGGAGGCCAAATGGCTTTCATGCTGTTGCAGTGAAGGCCATTGCGCTACGGTGGCGAGCTGTGCCAGCGCATCCGTACGATTGTCAGAGGCAAGACCACGTGTCGGAAGTGTGGACGAAGCTGCGAGTGTCTGCAAGGCTCCTACATCGTGCATCGGAGAGGTGTTGATGTCCGAGGGGCTGTGTTGGTTCATCAGAGATCGATTCGACGAGGAAAGGAGCGCACGAGCCTTTGCAACGGCATTTGAACCAGCGGGTGTGCTTGTGAGAGGTGCGGCATCGGCATGTGGATGCATGTGGAAAAAGCTTTGCGCGCGCCGATCTTGAGCGAGGTTGGCATTGTGCAGATACCGAGGAGGGGACATTGGCGAGACGTGCTGTGGACGATAGGGAGCATACGTATTGTTGGCGTCCTGGGAGGTCTGATGGAGTGGTTGTTGGTGCTCGTGCGACTTGTGCTGCGTTGAGAAGACGCTGAAGGAATGCTCGGTCGCCCCGACCTGGTTGAATGGGTGGCTCGACTGCATAGACGCTCCGTCACGTCTGCTGGCCGGCGTCTCGTGAGGAGCGTCAGGAGAGAGCGAGTCGGGCTCGTCGTCGAGCTCGTACGTGTCCATGTCATCCATGTCTTGGTTGATTGTCTGCTTGCTGGTATCTTGATCCTGATTCGAGGCGGCGAGGGCGCGTTTCTGGCGCATGCGAATGCGTCGAGAGGGCCGATGGAGATTGGACGGCGGCGAGCAGAGATGCGCGATGCCACGTTGCATACACTTTTCGCAAGGGAAGGTGCGACTACATCGCTGCTTGCGGCGTTGACATTGTAGGCAGCTATACTGGTATCGGTTTCGCTTACCGTTGTCCTGGATGTACGAGTCGTTGCGGCTGGAATGATCGAAGGCAGTCTTGCTAGTGCTAGCAAAGCTACCGTTGGCCTCGCTGATGTTGCTGACGCTGGTGCTGGTGCTGGCGGTGCTAGTAGTGCCGTGCGGATTGCCGTCCGACTCGCCTGGATATGCTGTGCCGGAGATCGAGGCCGAGTATTTCGTGCGGGAGCGATTGGGACTCATGCTGCTCCGATGTACTTATGCTACGGCGTCGCAACACTAGGGTTGGCACGCGCGTTAATAAGGTAGGAGAGCGAGGTCAAGGGCCGACAGTATGGGCGAGGCGCCCGAAGAGGGAGGGGATCAGGATGGTGGAAGTACGGGCGAGAGGCGCGTCGGCGAAGGCCAATTAGAGCTTTGGCGCTGCGCCAAGAGGGCCTATCTCCGAAAAGTGATGCAGCACAGGGTCCCTGTGGGCACTAAGCCGCATTTCAAGGGTCCATCATCTGCAGCAGCAGCAGCAGCAGCAATCCAAGACGATGATCCAAGTCACTCTACAGTTTCACTACCGCCTGATCTTTGCTTACCGCCACCGATCGCCAACCGAAATGTCAGCAGTCCTTAGACAGCTTCAGACGAAGAACTTATCTCATACATCAAAGTATCGTCGTGTGTGGCAACCTTAAGGTCGCTACGTACGAAAGGTCGGGAAGGTCTGCTGTGTGTGGGATGGTATTGTACCACCGAGCGACGCTCGCTTTTGCGCCTCAATTCAAGGTTGACCATGCCAGGAGCGTGCTGTAGAAAGGGAACTCTGAAGAGGAGGTGCGGGACGGCGTAGACCTCGGCGACTCGGTCATGCTCGGTATTGAGCTAAGCGTGGGAATACCTCATGACCTCTCGGCACGCGTCCCGCCGCCACCGCGCGTTGCCGTCCGTCATCTTTGTCGCCGCAAGCGCCTCGCACGGTTGCGTTATAAGATTAAGCATCTATCGCCACGACCTCGAGCTAAGTTAGTTCATTCAGCACAGTGACACTTCCGCAAAGGCGCTCCCTGGTGGCCGGAGCCATTGTCGACGGCGACAATGCACTGATGCATGGGCGGGCTTCGACCTCGGAGGCGTGTTGGGTGTATGATCGGAGCACAGTTAGCCGACCCTGCAGTAACATCAAAATGAGTGGGTGGTGATTCCAAGTGCGAGCAGGCCGCAGCACGAAAGGAGAGATTTCCATGATTCCAGCGATGAAGTGTGAGGGTGGACGGTTGGGGAGGGAAGGGGAGAGAGACTGGCTCTAGGCTATCGACATGGTTGCTGATTTTTCGATCATGTACTCTTTGAGACCCGCACCAATACCGGCCTCCTTACCGAATCCCGACTGGTCGACGCCGCCAAAGGGGATCTCGGCGGCGGTGGTGCTACCACCAACGTTGAGGCCGACGTTGCCCGCCTTGAGCTGTTCAAACATGCGCCACAGTCGCGCGGAATCCTTGGTAAAGACGTACGAGGTGAGTCCCATGTCGGTGTCGTTGGCAAGCTCGATAGCTTCTTGTTCGGTTCGGAAGGTGGCGACGTTGATCAAAGGTCCGAACGACTCTTCCTGGAAGACGAGCATGTCCTTTGTGCATCCGGCAATGAGGGTAGGCGCTACGAAATAGCCTGCGCTGGGGACGGCGGCGGTCGATGTGTAGATGGTCGCGCCTTTGGCTCTGGCGTCTTGGATGTGTTCGCGTGCCTTTTGCTGGCTGCGTTCGGTCTGGAGCGGGCCGAGGGTGGTGGTGCTTTGGGAGCCGTGGCCGAGCTGGACCTGGTCAAGCTTTTGGGCGATGCACTTGAGCACGCGGTCCACGACCGACTCGTGCACGAAGGCACGCTGCGCCGAGATGCATGTCTGACCGGCGTGCCTCAGCTTGTTGGCTACGAGGGCAGCAGCGGCAGCATCCACATCGGCGTCTTCAAACACGAGGTAGGCGCCTAGGCCGCCGAGCTCGAGCGTCAGCTTCTTGAGCGAGGGTGCGCACTGCTGCATGAGCAGACGGCCGACGCGGGTGCTTCCGGTGAAGGAGAGCTTCTTGATGCGAGGGTCGGTGCACAGCGCCTGTCCTATGGCAGGCGTGTTGCGGTAGGATGCCAGGACGATGTTGACCGAGCCCGAGGGAAAGCCGGCGCGGTGCAGAAGGTTGGCAACGGCGAGTGTAGAGAGCGGCGTCTCTGGCGAAGGCTTTGCGACGATGGTGCAGCCTGCAGCGAGCGCGCTGACGGCCTTGCGGATGAAGAGCGCCACAGGAAAGTTCCACGGCGTGAGGATGGCGACCGGTCCGACGGGCTGAAGCACGGTGAGGAAGCGGAGCGAAGGGTTGGTGGCGCTCTTGACCACCTGACCCTGCACGCGCTCGGTCTCTCCGACGAACCACCAGCTGAAGGTGAGCGCATATTGCACTTCGGCGCGCGCCTCCTCGAGCGGCTTTCCCGTCTCGTAGACGAGGATCCATGCGAGATCCTCGAGGTTGTCTCGGACGAGCCGATCAAAGTTGAGCAGCAGCGTGGCCCGCTCTCTGGCTGGAAGTGCCGAATACGAGGCGAAGGCATCGCTGGCTGCCTGAATCGCACGGTCCACGTCCTTGAGATTGGATGCCCTCATGCTGCAGATCGGCATTCCCGAGCCCGGATCTGCAAAGATAAGCATAGAGGCGAGAGTGCCGCGTTGTCAGCTGCAGCGTCTCAATAGACGGGAATGTGATTGGCGCCGGCGCGCGGTCGGAAGTGGCAGACTCACCCATGACATCAAAGGACTCGTTGTCCGAAGTCTCGAGCGACTCGGGACCCTTGAGGAAGTCGGCGGCGTCCAGCAAGGACATGTCTTTGAGCCTGGTGTTCATCGCTTCCGTTTGGCTTCTATGCAGCGTCGATGCAGTGTCGTCGCCAAGGTTGTTTAGCAGCAAGCGGGTGGGAACAAGGTTTGCAGTCGGAACTGGTGAGTATGCTTAAATCTGAGTCCGGTTGTCTCGATCGCGGGTCGTTGAGCCGATGGAGTGAGCGGTTGGATGGAGGAAGAGGAAGAACAGGCGCGGATGGAGCGGGCGAGCCAGAAGGAGTCGGTTGCTTTTTTCTGCTGTTAAGTATTGAAGCGGCCGCGAGTCGAATAACGCTTGCAATCGGCGACGGAGAGCGTGGATGACAGGCCTAGCTGGAAGCTGTGGGCGAGAGCTTTGGGGAAGTGGCCAGCTGTCAGAGACGATCGAAGGGCGAAGTCATGGGCGGCTCGAAGATGAGAGGCGAGCGACAACTCTGACCGCTTGGCAGCGCCCACCGTTGCGATTTCGGCGATTTGCACGGATCCAAATCCGCGTATCGCTCGGCGGTCTATGTCAGACTGGTGTAGGGGATCGCTGTGCGCTGCGTTCAACACAGCAGTTAGGCCACTGCGGCCCTGGCTTTCTAGGCGAGCATTGTTCTGTCATGCGCCCTTCGAACGGGTCGCAAGCTACGCTGTCCGGCGGGTTAGGGCGCTGTAGCAGGTGAGCTTCTGAGCATCCTTTCTATTATTCTTCGGGATTAGGACTCGCCCCGCACTTGTTCCTGGCACGCGGGGGAAAACGGCGTCCTAATTCCGACATCGCGCCCATGTGTGCCTGGCAGGAAGGCACCAATCCCGCTCGCACAAGGGTCCACCCTGCGTTAGACCTTCGCCCGCTCCATCTCCGCCAGTCAGCAAGAACTTGGACCATTGAAAGCGAGGCCAATTCCTCTTGTTCATCGCGCATCACCAACCTTCGACTCAAATCGCGTCAAGATGTCTGCTAGCCAACCTCAGCCAGGAGCCGCCAAGGCGTTCAAGATCCTGGTGCTCCAAGGCGATCACATCGGCCCCGAAATCATGGCAGAGGTCCTGCCACTGTTCCAACTCGTTCAATCTCGCTATTCGGTCGCGATCGAGACCGTAGAGCGTCTCATCGGCGGCTCTTGCTTGGACACTCACGATTGCCCCATCCAAGATAGCACGCTAGCTGAAGCATCGACGTGTCATGCTGTTCTGCTCGGCAGTGTCGGCGGACCAAAGTGGGACGTGGGCGACTCGAGCCGTCGACCCGAGACAGGCATCCTGCGCATGCGCAAACATCTTAGCCTCTACGCCAATGTCCGGCCGGCTAGGATCGTCGCAGAGCGCCAGCTCCAGCTCAGCTCGCTCAAGGATGACGTTGTCAGAGGCGTCAACATCATCACCTTGCGCGAGAACGCCGGCGGCATCTACTTTGGCCGCAAGCAAGAGCCCGACTCGCAGGCGCTAAAAGGTACGTTCCCATTTTATCATCTGCTCCAATCTGCACCCCATGGCGCATGCAGCTGACAACCACGCTTCATCGATCGCCATAGCTTCTGACCTTTGTGAGTATACGCGCGAAGAGGTGGCGCGCCTCACGAGGGTGGCAGCCGCCTTGTCGCTTGCCAACGGCGAAGATCCCTTGCCCATCATCTCGGTCGATAAGGCCAACGTCATGGCTACCTCGCGCCTTTGGCGCCAGGTGGTGACCGAAACCATTCGCGATGAGTTCCCGCAGCTCGTTCCCAAGTTGAGCCATCACCTCGTCGATTCCGCCGCCATGGTGCTGGCTCGTGATCCCCGCAAGCTCAACGGAGTCGTGCTCACCGAGAACGTGAGTGCCTCACACCATCATCCGCTGTCGCTGTGTTCGATGACTCACTGACGCTCTCATCTCTTTGCCTTATTCATGGTTCTCCTCCTGCTCTAGCTGTTCGGAGACATCCTCAGCGACTTGGCGTCGGTCATTCCCGGCTCACTCGGCCTGCTGGGTTCGGCCGAGATCGATGCTCCACCCAGGCTTTCATCCTCGGGCAGGTTGCCGGTCGGCGTCTACCAACCCGTCTCGGGATCGGCACCCGACATTGCCGGAAAGGGCATTGCGAATCCGATCGGTATGTTTGAGTCGTTTGGCCTCATGTGTCGCTGGTCGCTCGGCCTTCCCGAGATGGCCGACGCCATCGATGCCGTCATCAAGCGCAGCCTCGAGACAGGTCAGTGCACGCGTGACGTTGGTGGCACCCTTTCCACCCAACAGGCGGGCAGCCAGATGCGACAATGGATCCAAGAATCCTTGTCGTCGGCCTAGCAGCCTATCTTCTCTTTGTCGTCAGAAGTACAATGAATCGCGTGCCAAAGCTGTACGACGATTGACATCCGTGTCAAGAGTGCTTTCCGAGATGCTGACATCTGAGATGTCCTGCCTCGGCGCGCCTCGATGATTCCCGCGGCGATTTGAGCCTTTCCGACGTGCGGAAAGGGCAAGAGCTGGAAGCAGCTGAAGAATGGTACAAGTCGATTGCGTGATGGAGCGAAAAGGTGCAGAGCTGGTGTCTAGATCAGGATGGTCGGCCGAACCCAATACGCGCTCATCCAAAGACGGGGTTCTTCTTCTCGTGGACCTGCGCCTGTCCTTCTGGTGATCCCGGAATGTTCTTGGCCAATTTCTGTAGTGGTGATTAGCGCAGCGGGTCAGCATACAGTCAAGCTTAGGTCCAAAGCATAGGCGAGGATGATGGGACTACGTACGAGCTTGTCGAAGACACACTGGTTGAGCGTCTTTTCTGGCTTCCTGCACCTGTAGAACTCCTGGTTGTGCTGCTCCAGACATTGGTAGTGGGCCTCCCACTCCTTTCCGCAGCTATCGCTGAGCTTCTTGATGCTTTGCGGGTCCAAAGGAGGGTATCGCGTTCGAGACAAAGAGGCAGGTCAGCGATCGGCCTCCACCTTGCTCTTTGCACAAGTTCGCTCGAAGCCTAAGCGCGGCGCGAGACAGAGCTCGACCACGGCAGGCATAGCCGGCGTGGTATACTTACAGATCACGCGCACATCGGGTCACGCGACGGCCCTCCTTGAGGCAGTGTGCAGGGTCACGGTTCTCGTTTTTGCACAGCATAAAGTCCTCGTTGACATCCTTGCAGTGCGAGCCGATGAAGAAGCTGGCGGACTTGAGCGGTGCCGAGGTCACACCGAGCTCGTCGATGTGTGGCTGGCTCGCCGGCATGGGAGCCGGGTCGATGTAGGGCTTCCCTGGGAACTTGGCATCGCGGTGTGTGGCCATTTTGGAAGTTTTTGGCCGACTGAAGTTGGTCGAGAGCTGCGAAAGAGTCGGTCGAGCAGTTGTCAATCTCCACGAGCGCGGGTAGGCGAGACTGAGCTGAGCAATTCGACGGAAGAGAGATGCGGTGGCCAGGATAGAAGGTGGGATGCGGAAAGGAGCAGAGCAGCATGAACATCACGCGAAGCTCTCCATTCAAGATTCCGATCACGGGCCAATCAGCGCAGCGCCAATTCGGATCCGAAATTCAGGTCTGTGGGATAAGGAGGTCTAACACTAGCAAAGTTGACTTTTTCCTGGACCCTTTCTTCTTTTCCTCGTGCATGGGCGGCGTGAGAAAAATCCGAGTGGAGTCTTCTCTCTGCAGACGAGGTCGGACACTCCTCGGCTCCACCAAGTCCATCACGTCCTCGATCACGCATCGACCTCTGAGAACGTCCGCTCTCTTCCAGATCCGAGCAACAAAGTCATGGCGTGCAGTCGCAAGGTGGCTGGGCTGCCGCGACCCATGTACCGCTTGGCTCGAGCCAATGGGGTAAGCACAGGTGCCGTGGTTAGCACACCCACGCTACCACCCGCCTTCCTCGCACCGGCAGCCTTCACGCACTCCTTCTGCACTCAATCGCCCGCTCGAGCAGCGCAGCCTCGGTCCCGATCGAAGATTGCGACGGTCAGCTCCGCGCACAATCTCAAGGCTGTCTTGAGAAGGCTTGGTAAACCCAACAAGTGGAGCGAAAGTGCCCCTGACAAGTTTTCCGACTCTCCCAAAGGCCACCAGGAACGGGAACCAAGAAGCTTTATTGAGCATCCTGGCAGCAAGAAACGTGAACCAGGAAGCGATGTCAAGCAATCTGGCGGCAGGTACGCTGGTGCAGTAGCTCGTTCAGACCGGCCACGGCGGTCGGATGACGGCGAGCGCTCGACACAGCTCGGCTTTCGCCTTAGAGCCAAGAAGCTACTCGACTATCTTGCTGCCGCTGATCGAGCCATCGGAGAAGCCGCTCGATTTGGAACCGACGTCAACGCGGCCTTGGAGCATTTCGACAACGAGATGAGAGCGCTTCGTGTCATGGTCAAGTCCAAAGACGTGCTCATCGATCCAGACAACGCTTGGAAATCCGCATCTCGCATCAAGGCGCCTTACAACGCAGCGATACGCCTCTGTTTCAAGGCTGGCAAGGTCGAGCGTGCCATGAAGCTTGTCAACCAGATGAAGAAGGACGGCATCTTTCCCAGTGCCTCCACCTATACGATCGTCATTCAAGGCGTCTCGCGCGTGCTCCCGCGCCATCAACTCTCATCGGCTGCCGGCGATAACATCGCGGAGGAGACATCCCTCCAAAATCTGACACAGCGCGCCGAGCAAGCATTCGAGGACCTCGAAAAGCTCTGGCAGCAAGCTTTCCCCCAGTACTTCCAGCGTGGCAGCGGCGCTTCTCCTTTCAAATCCATCCTCACGATCGACGTAGACAGCTTCCACAAGCTCTCTGACCAGGCCCGTCGAAACCTCGTGTCGCAGCAGTCCAGTGTACACGAAGCCCGGCAGTTCCCACGCTTGCTGACGAACGCCATCAACACTTACCTAAACTTCCTGCGCTGCATTGGTCGCAGCCAGGACCAGATCAAGATCTTGGATCGACTCTTCCCGTCAGCCCTGATCGACAAGCTGGCTAGAGGTCTGGCACCGGACGCATCGTCGCAGGACAAGCTTGAGCTGGCCAACCGCAAGCTTTCAGACTGCTTGCCTCTTGGTCACGTCAGCACCTTCACGCCTATTCTGATTCTTCACAGGGACACCAGGGATCGGGAGCATCAAGCGGTCTTCAAGCGGATCTGGACGCTCAGTCTTCAGCTTATGGAAATTGAGCGTCAACAAGCATCCATGCACACATCTCAAGCCGACCCACCACGACGCTCCCGAAGCAAGGCGGATGCGGCAGAAGTCTCCGAAGCAGCCTCGGGAACGAGCGAATTCAGGTTCAGGCCCGATGATCGACTTGTGTCGGACTTCTTCATCCGCACGTCAAACTCGTCGGAGGCCGATGCCAAGTCGAACATGCGCCTCGGCCTCTCCATCCTGGCCAGGGTCTACGGCCTCGACCTTGAATCAACCGCGGACGGTATTGTCAGGGACCCTCAGTCCAGCAGCTTCTCAGACTCTTTTGGGCCCGATCGGTACCTGCTGTCGCGTGATGACATCGAGCAAGGCTCTGACCGAGCCTTCGCCGAATTGACAGACGGGAGGACCGCCGGAAGCGTGTTGCGCGGTTTGGCCGTCGCGCAGCCCTGGCAACACTTCGTGGCGCTGTTCAACTACTTTTGGGCGAGGGCACATAGCGAAGATCATGGCGGCTCGGAGCAACGCGATGCTCTGCTCGATGCAACGGTCGACAAACCCGTCTTTGGCGACGTGCTCCAAGCTTCCAACGCGCTCAGCCTTCTGTGGATCCTTGGAGACGCTGGCGACCCGGTCGGTGCGCGCGTGATCCTCCGAAGCATGAAGCGAGCCGCCGCACAACAGGCAGAGCCATCCAGACGTAAGCTTCGATCCGGCGACCGCCGCGCGCGCCCTTCAGACATCCCCGAGGAGGAAGTGCAAGACTGGGAACCGGCCGACCTCTCGTACGTGCGGGTCATGCGCGCAATTATGGTGGCAACGCAGAAGCGACCTGCGGGACTAACAGCCACGATTGTGAACGAGGCTGCCGCCCAAGAAGCGAACGCTGACGTCGCTTCGGATGCGAGCAAGCCTAGCTACGATCCTTGGACTGAAGCCAAGACGCTCCTGGTCGAATACAGCGCCAGGAAGGCCGTTGGCGGTTCTGTGCGAAACAAGAGTCAGGAGGCAGGATCCAAGTTTGGCACAGATGGCCGCGGCGATCCTGCAAGCCGAAGACAGTCCGAGGCGCCGGAAAGGTCGCCCGAGTGGATGGCTCGCATCCACCTCAATGCGATGGTGGCGTTCTTCCTCAACATTGCGCATGTCTGCGCGGCCAAGCACGCGGACCAGGGCGGCTTGATCGCGCGAGAAGCTCTCACGCTTCTCGAAGAGAAGTTTGGCTTGGAGGAGCTTGTCCGAGCCACACAGAAGCTGCAACACAAGATGAAAGCCATGGCGGCCGATGGCGAGACACAAGCGAACGCGATTGCAGCGCGCAGGCTGGGCTTGCTGACCAACCTGGGCAAGGTGACGGCGCTGGCGCTCGATACGTCCAACCACTCGTTTGCCCCCAAGGCGGACGTAGAAACGTGGAAAGGCGTGCGCAAGTTGCTCTCTGCGATGTCGGTATTCGAGGAGTCGGACGCCAGGCCCTCTGCGCCTGTACGTAAGATGCGTGGTGGACTGGCGGGAAATCACCTGCTACTTTCGAAGGACGACTACCTCGAGCTCGAGGGGGAAGGCGACTCGGAAGAGTTCGAGGAGCAAGCGTATGGCGAGGGTGACAACGAGGGGCGCTACGGTGCTCGCGGTTCACAGCGCACGCAACGGCGGTCGCGCCACGTCGAACAGGAGTTGCAGCGCTGGGTGCGCGGCGCTTCTTCCTGAGACCGCAGTGGCGATGTCGATGCCAGCCCCGTCTGGGATTCGCTCTCGAATGTTGAATCGAAACGCACCCTTGAAGCCGCACTCAGACCTCAACCGGGACTGCACACATGAGGTGGCGTGAAGTGGACTATGATTTGTGATAGATCGAGTACGAGTACAGAGTGGGGCGAGTCATTTTGAGCTTTTTAATTGTCGGCAACGAGACGAATGTCGTAAGTGACCTCGGTGTGCGTGCCGAATTTCTTTGCCTCGGGAGCGGTGGGCTGGGCAAAGTCGACGGTGAGTGCGCTCTTGTCGGCAAAGACGGCGTCTGCACCAATGTAGTCGCACTTTGAGTCGAAGATCTGGGTGACGAGCTGCTTGTAGCCGTTGGCCTCGATGAGGAGGTGGATGTGGGCGGGACGCATGGGGCTCCTGTCGAGGAGCTTGAGGATGTCGCCTGCGCCGCCGTCGTAGGGGATGGGGTAGGCGGTGGGTCTGAGGCAGCGCAGCGCATACTGTCCGTTGTCGTCTGTGGTGAACTTGCCGCGGTAGTTGAAGTCGGGCTGATCCGGGTCCTGCTGTTCGTAGAGGCCGTTGGGGCCGGTGTGCCAGACGTCGATGACGGCGCCTACGACGGGCTTGCCTGTGGCGGCATCGGTGACGGTGCCGTGCATGTAGCAAGTCTCGCCGGTCTTGCCCTCCTTGCTCTTGATGGAATGGTCGAGGACGACGTCTGCACCGGCGTCGTACTTGGGTGCGCCGGAACGGAAGAAGGGACCCAAGATGGCGCTCTGGGTGGCCTCGACATCCGGGGTAGACTTGTTGGAGGAGGACGAGGCCTGTGCGCGCTCGTAGGCCATGCTGTCTACCAGGGATTCGAGGCCGAGGACGTCTGAGATGAGGATGAGCTCGTTTCGGCGGTCGTCGGACATCTGGCCGGAGCGGATGAGCAGGTCGCAGGCGCCGAGCCATTCTTCATTGGTGAGATGGACCTCGCGCGCAAAGGCATGGAGGTGCTTCATGAGGCTGTCGAGCACGAACTTGGCGCGCGGATTGGCATTGGGTCCAGAAACATCCTGGCACGTCTTGGTGTAGGGATCGAGAGATCCGTTGGCATGTCCGTTGGTTGCCGCCATCTTGTGTCTGGTCGGTGTCGGGCGGGTATAGAAAAGTGTGTGGGAGCTTGGCGAGTGGTGGTGGATTCCGATGCCGAGTGGTGTAGTCGTGGCTGAAGAGGTGAGGACAGAAGTGCGGGTGCTGCGGGAAACGATGCAGTGGACAGAGCGGGTATATGTAGGCCCTGTGATGTGGTGGGCCGCTACACCCTGGCCCTCACCCTGGCCCTACCCTGCCGAGAGGCGAAACAGGCTTTGAGGCCGCTCGACCACAGGGTCCTCGGAAGTTGCGGAAGCGTCGGCGTGATGGTCTGTGTGCTCCAAAAAATCCGTGCGGGGAAGGCCAAAATCCGAGGCCTCGGACAAAGTCCGGCCGTGCAGCCGTGCAGCCGTGCAGCGGTCACTCTGTGCTGGGTGCCTCACAGCCTCCGCATGGACCCACCGCGCGCTTCGGATCTGGTCCGGCAGCCCGCTTGCTCACCCGCCAATGAGGCATCCGACGTTAGATAGCAACAACGCTTTCAGCTCCTTGGTCTGCATCGGGAGGCAAGGCTGAATCGCAATCGGGGATGGCCGGCTTCCACTTGGCCGAGTGATTGCCGTTCCGGCTACACACTTCCCCACGGCATTATTCTAGCTAACTTAACCGCAGGCGCCTCATCACGTTGCGGGACATCTTACGTCTTTCACCATCCCTGCCTCGCCGTCAACAGCTCATCACACCATGCCAGTCTGTGCATTGCATCTTGTGCGTCTCAATGACGCTTCCTCGTCGGGTATCGATTCCTTCCTCTATCGCCTGTTTGGCGGGCAGCCGGACGATGCCAACTTTGGCGTTGTGACGGTGAGCCGGGTGCAGTCGCCCATCATCCGTCCGACGCGCATCGACACGACGCTGCTCAATGCGACACCTTGGACGCTGCTGCTTGTCGCCAGCGGCTCCAACGCGCATGTGCTGCCGACACATCTCGAGCATGACGTCCGAGCGCACTACTCGGTCGTGGCCGGTATCCCGTCCAAAATCGTCACCAACTACCACACCATCTCGTCAAAGCTGCGCGATGTGCAGCCGCCACCTCCTTTGCTCGAGGTCAAACTTGACCACAACAACGATGTCATTCCGCCACCATCTTTCTCACGCGATGCCCGAAGCGACGGACAGGACCTCAGCCTCTCGCCCGCCCTCCTCGACCTCGCTCGCCACCTCTACCACAACGTCAAGCACCACGGCGCAGTCTCCATGCTCAACCTCCTCCACTTCCACACCGCACCCGGAGCTGTAGAGTCGTACCACGAATACGGTCGTCGATTCGCCACCGTCGCCGGCAGACGCGGCGGCAATGCCAAGCTTGTAGGCGTCGTCATCAGCCCACTCTCCCAAGGCCTTGCCGACTCGAGGGGTCAGCCGCAGCGAAGCAAAGACGATTGGTGGAACGAGTGCACCCTCGTACACTATCCGTCCATCAATCATTTCATCGACATGTCCATCGACCCGGAATACCAGCATATCAACCAACACTACCGCCTCTCGGCCATCAAGGATACCGCCCTCATCTGCACCACCGAGATCGACCTCGCTCCTTTCCGTTCCCCCGGCCACAAGCTGTAATCCCCCCTGCGCCAGTGGGGCGAAGTCCAGATCAAATCTCTATTGCATTTGGCGTATTCGGCGCTGGTGTCCGTGGCTAGAGCGAAACGTCTGTGTCCGATGCGACCTGCAGTTGTTGCTTTTGCATCCTCCTCCTCGCCAGACCCTTGAGCGCCCACGAGACGTTTTCATACACCACAAAGGTGACGCACGTGCCCGGTAGAATGCGCACCAAGTTGGGCACCAGTCCCTTGTAGAAGGCGCGTACGCCCTCGTGCGAGTACGTGAGCCGGATGCACGTCCTGATGTTCGGATAGATGTGCGATGTGGCATGGTTCTGGATGCGCGACCGCACCACCTGGTACGGATACGTCAGCAGGATGGCCGCCACCTTGGACACGCCCGACATGACAATGTACTCTGCATTCGAGAGCTTGATCATGCTCGTATCCACAGGCCGTGTATGGCCTTCGCTGCGCTGCTGCTTGCGAGCCGCAACCGAGGTGCGCCACTTCTTCAGCTCCTCGTACGCCATGAACTGGATCGCGCCGTTCGAGACGCCAAAGAGCGCCAGCCCTGCACCCTTGTACCATCCGCGCAAGCCTTCGGTGCGGTAGATCGACACAAGCCCGTGCCAAAGCCCGCGGTACACTTCGGGTGGCGCACGTGCAGCTGCTGTGCCGGCGCCTGCTGCCGTCGATGCGGCAGCGGTAGTCGATTGGGGCGTGGTGAACATGCGCGTCTTGACCACCCAGATCGGATTCGTCATGAGCGCCGTGATCGCTCCACTCTCGGACGCCGCCAAGAGATGCTGACCTGCCGAAAGTTTCTTGACTTCGCCTGTGCTGAGTTCCACGTCGCGATTGCTCGCCGACATGCGCTCCTTGATCATGGTGTACCACAGAAAGTACAGCCCCCACGACGCCGAGTTGCCAGCTACGTTGGGACTGAGCCCGCGGTACAGCCCCTTCCAGCCATCAGCTTTGACAATGTCGTTGAGCGCGCCGATCATGTCGTTGCCAACCTGGCCGCCCAGCGCATAGTATCTCCATCCGTGACGGGGCGCGGCGCGTGCCATCTGATTTTGTGCAGTCGAGCCGAGGTCGCTGGCGCGGGCTTTGCCCTTGAGTTCCGCCGCCAATGACAGGTTGGCATTCGGGATAGCCGATCGATCAGCGGCCAAAGATGCCGCTTGGGAATAAAGCGGTGCACCAGCACGGGGTCGGAATCCGAGCGGGCGCGGACGAGAGGTGTCCACCTGGTATTTCGTCTTGATCAGATCGAGCGGGTTCATGCAGATGGTCGCCACAGCGCCTGCTGCGATGCCGGCAAATGCATGATCAAGCGCAGGTGTTGGAAAGAAGGATGTAGTCGCTCCGGATGAGGATGCGGTCGAGTTGGGAGCAGCCTGAACGTTGCGGCCACCATTTGCCACATCACTACCCGCAGCTTTGATCTGGCTGCTACCGCTCGGCTGTGTGAGCCTGGACCTTGACGGGCCTGCTTCGACGGACCGGGTGTCCGACATCCTTGCAGCTAGGTTGTATCTTCACAGTTGTAACGAGCGATGCGAAAAGGGACAAGCCGTATGAAACGTCTAGATCAGCGCCTTGTCATGTCGATGTGAGGTCGGAGATTCAGTCTGGAGTCGAAAGGGTGTCGGCGGCCACCGAGCTGTCTCCGCTCTGTGTGTGAGCGCGAACGTCTGTGCCTGGAGATAGAGAGAGTGGATGGTCGTGCCGAAGGCGTCGGAGGTTACGTTGGACGGTTGGATGGCCGGAGGCAACGGAGCGAGCCGGCAGAATCGTTATCGTTATGTGGAGAGGAGAGGGTCTGATCAAATCCGAAGAGCGCGCTGCGCTGAGCGTGGAAAACCTTGCGAAGATTCCACCATCCGTTCGGTGGACCCGACTCATCCTCACGAAATTTCGGCTTTGCCGACGCAAGAGGGTCTCTGATGCCGCCATTTCCTTCGCCACAGTTGTTAGAGATGCAGCCTAACATGTCCCAAATTTGAGCTCGCTTTTTCTGGCTTCATCAAGTGGCAGAGGGTCCGATCGGCATGCCGAACCGTTCTGACATCTGCTCAGGGAGCAGGCCGCTTCCGGCACCCTCATGCCAGCTTCTCGCAGCTTCACAGACAACCATCCCGCACGTTCGAACTGCAGTCAGTGCATACAATCGCCAGCAGTCACGTCAGCATAAGTGGACCTCTTGACCACGATTGATCCTCTCTGACTGACCCACAGACGAGCTACAGCATCGCTCTCGAACGCTTCTTCATTATGGCGTCGAGTATCGCACTGCCTGCCCAATTCAGCCGCAGAGCATCTGGCGACGAGTCGTCATCGCTGCTACCGCTATGGATCATCCTCGGGGTGGGCGTAGCGTTGGCGATCGGCTGGTTTGCGCTCTCGTCGTGTCTCGGCGATCACGCCCGCGAGGCGCTCGCTGATCGCATCCGGGGCCTCTTCTCGCGCAATCGCAGCGGTGGTTCGGCCTCGTTCGGAGGCGGAATGGGCGCTTCCGGCGGCAGTCGCAGCGCCTATGGCAGAATGCGCGACGACGAGGCCGAGGCGTTCGACATCAACGCCGCCGAGCACGACCTCTACGACGACCTCGACGCCCCGCACCAACCATACGACCACCACTCGGCTTATCCTCCCACTTCAAGCGGCAGCCTCGGCACGTCCAAATACAATGACATCGAGGACGACGGATACGATCGCCGGCCATAGATGCTGCGAATGTCCCCAACGGGCGAGATTGCTCGTCCGGCTATCGCCATTCGCGGCAGGGCCATTGACAAACCGCATCGAGAGCAACGACAAGCGCGTGTTCAGGCGGGCCCAGCTCGGGACACGAACTGGCTCGGCGATGCCGGTGATGACTATCCTTCAAAATCCACCCGATATCAGCACGCCTCGCCAGGCCGGAAGCATCCAAGCTGACTCAGCGCTGTCCGTGTTGGGGCTCGGTCGACGGCCGGTCCTCTAGACAATCTACGCCATTCTCTCTGGCTCGATGGTCTCCAAGCGCTCTTCACTCGCCATGGGAGCTCGGAAGCGAAGACAATTGCTTCCGACGCCGCCGACCTGCCACGCCAACTTCGTCTGGGACGGCCGGGCTGTCGTACTGCACCTGCTCGCATTCGACTCACCGATCTGCACCACGTCGCTCACTACCGCACCGACCGATTTGCCCGAGTTAGACAGTCGGCCATTCCGACAAGATAGCGCTAGTCACGGAACGCGGCGCGGCACGGACCTCGAACTGATGCAGAGACAGAGTCTACCTCGTCGGTGGAAGGAGCGTCGAGCACACGGGCAAGATACCCGGCTCGGAGGATCGGAGGATCGGCCGAGTGTGGCGCTGCTCGGCGACGCCTCTACCAGGAATAGCCGCCTTGCCCTCGTCCGCGCCTTCAGCGAGCTGGCATTCGAAGTGGCGGCTGCCGGTGTGGCCGCATCCGCATCGTTGTACTGGCCTCAAACGCATTCGCCTCGCAAAGGACGATCACGGGCAAGGACAAGACGAGCCCTTTGTCGAGCCTGCAAAGCAAAGGCGACATGGGCCGACAGGCGCGGCCTGCCCACCAGCATCTGCACGCAGTGACTTGCCAGCTGCGGACGCTCACATGCTCGAACCCGCAATCAAAATTCACGCTCCTCCGTTCAAACATGGCTGCCAAAGCTAAGGATCCGCTTCGAGTGATGTCGAGCCTGTACCAGCGTGTCGGACATTCCGTAGACCCTTTCTTGCGGGGCGGGCACGCTTGTCACATCGATCGCGCCGAGCCACGCCTTTGTGATTAGGCGAAGACAGGTGCTTCCGCTCGGACACAAACGGTCGATGCTGAGTGATCTGCGGGCCCGAAAGGTCCGTGAGAAGAAGACGGGGCCCGTGTCGAGCTGGCCAGCTCAACTGCCCAGGCGGCCATTGCCCTCCGCGCTCACGCCGTCTGAGCAAAGTGCATGCAACTGCGAATGGTGCGCATGCAGACCGTTGCGCTGCCTGGCAACTCACAGTCATTCTATCGCCATGTCAGCACGCGCGCGTGGACAGAGCTTCCGAAGCCGCAGCGCAGCATCGAACGCTGTCGGCGGCCAAGGTTGAAACCCTAAGTTGCAGCTGCAGCACTCGGCTCCACTGGCCACATCACAACATCCGTCCCCTCTGCTGAGTCGACGTCGCAAAGCTGTGTCATCTTGCGTGCTGGCATTGTTCGGCTCTTGACCATAGTCGGCCCCTGCCGATCGATCCGACTCGGCCAACCTCGACCAGACGGAGTGACTCATCGGGGACAATCTGGAGCTTGGACCAGCTGCCGCGGAAGAGAAATGAAATCGACTGGCGCAGGCAAGCCGAGCCGCCCGCCACTCAAGCTCGAATGGACGCGTCGCGATGTGGTGGGCGCCAGAGTCGAGGCAGTAATGAGACGGGCTGAGTGGCTCGCGGTGGCTCGCGCTCAGGCCGCAGAAGCTCATGCGCAGCCGTCGCCGCAGCACCTCCCGCGGCCCTCACCCATTGCAACGCCCACTGTCACTGCCTCGCTCCGCATGCTCCCGTCGGCTTGGCCGCGGTTTGCGCTGCCTCACGCCGGTGACACTGACGAGGAGGCGCGAGGATGCCGTGCTCGGAACTTGACTCTCCGTACATCGACCAGCAACCTACCAGTAGGCAGGCTGTGCTTGAAGGTACAGCAAGACGATCCGCATAAAAGCGACGCGACGCTACGCACAAAGGACCTCCGGACCCCCTCCCATCCAGCGGCAGTCTCATGCGCGCGGAGTCGCATTCGTGAGAGCCTCGCCTTCATTTCGCCTGCAAGCTGCACGACGACGACGACGACGACGACGACGCCTTCGCCTTATCCGCTCATCTCAACCCAGCGCTGTTGCTCGCCGCAGCCGTCATTCCCACCGGCAAGCAGCGGCTTGCAATCTTGAGCCCTCGCTCTCATCTCTCTTGGCTCGCCACGCAGCCCACTCGTCGCCGCCCAGAAGAAGCTCGCCTTCATTTGGCTTTGCGCTTATTTCACCGCGCCGCGCCGCACCGCACCGCATCGCACCGCATCGCATTGCTCTGCACGCCAGCGAGCCCACACAAGCTTCTTGCATTCTCTTAATCCGAATCTCGAGCTCTTCCTCTTCCGTCCCCTTTCAGGTGTCAGTCTCAACGCCGCAGCACTGCATCTCTCCTCCGCTCCCTTGCGCAGGGGCGTGGCAACCATCCTTGGATGGCCCCACCGACCGACGCTCAGTCGGGTCATTTCCACTCTCGAGGATGAACTGGGGCTCACTTTCGGCCCCCAGTAAGCCCTAGCTCCCGCCGCCCTTGCAGCTGCTGGCGACATCCACATCGATCTTCATTCTTCTCCTCTCTGCATACGGCAGCAAGTCTAGTTGAGCAAGGTTGCAGATGCGACCAGCAGCACGCTTGCTGCAGCTCGTCTCGGCTGAAGCGACGTCTACGCCTCGTCTTCCAGCAGCAACAGCATAAAGGCCATCAGGATCTTTTACAGCCGTCAAAGCGAACAGCCGTGGCCTCGCTCCTGTGCGGTAGGACTTGCACCACCACTTTCCCGCCTGGCTTTGTCTTCGAGATCCTAGCTTCTTCTAGGAGCTAGCAAGGAGAGCGACCGCTAATCCCGCCACCTACTGTCTCGCCGTCATCGCACATACCTTCACGCTGATGGAACACCTCATCATGAGCGCTTCCATCGAACCAAGCACGCCGCCGCCTGAATTGGCTTCTCCCATCGTGGCCTCGCAAGTGCCGGCAGCGTCGACCCAGACGCATGGTAAAAACGATCAGAGTGACGCACAAGCCGTGCCACATCATTCGGGCACACTGGCCGATCTGGCGACCACGGCGCTTTCGGGCGTGATGCAGGATATAGGGTCCATTCACCGTGGCGCGGGCGAGACTCCCGAGCACTCAGCACCACCGTCGAACGCGGATCAGGCAAAACCAGAGCAAGAAGCCCTTGACTGGTTTGGTGCGGCATCTCCCACCTCGTCGTCAGAGGATGCACCTGGGTCCGAATACGACATCTTCGAGGATCAGCCCGTCTATCCCAACGCTGCGATGGAATTTGTCTCAACAGCAGACCACGTCATGTCGGCGGAGCAGAGCGCAGAGAATGATCAAAGTCGTGGTGGTGACGTCGGGCTGGACAGGGTCTCGCCATCGCCGGGTGATGAGGGCCGAGAGAATGGCCAGCCCCCCGGACATCGAGAGCCGGTCTTGCCGGAGACGGTTTTCTCTGACCCTTCTGCCCATCGGTCTAGCAATCAAAAAGGGTCGGACACATGTGCCGAAAGCGAGCACGAGTCCCACGCAGGAGACATTGGCTGTCTCATCAGCGTGTCGGCCCTGCTGGACGAAGTACGAAGCGGTCGAGCAAACGAGCAGAAGCACGATTTGCTGCAAGAGCCTGCAGCAGAAGCCAGCTCGACCTCGCACTTCGAAGCACTTCAGTCACAGAGTGCAGATGACGGAAGCGTTCCGGGCGGAAAGGCAGCCACAAACGATCTGCATCCGGACTTGCCTCTACTTGCCCCGACCCCGGCCACGGCACCAGTCCAGGCAAAGCCCAAGCAGTCCGGCAAACGTGCGAGAGCAGAATCCGATGCGTCGACTATCCCCAAGGCCAAAGCACCTTCAAAGCGTGCCCCAACCTCTAAGCCAAAGGCGCCGCCCAAGCCGAAAGCACCGCCCAAGCCAAAGGCCCCGCCGAAGCCTAGGAAGCCTGCCAAGTCAAAGGCAAAGCCGCCGTCAGGCTCGGCTGACCCAGCGAGTGCGTCAGCCGAAGGGCGCCTTGGCCCCTTGCCAGTCCCCCTCGCTGGGACACTATCCCTCCCGGGGCCATCACATGCGGCAGCACCACTCGCGGCACAGCCGAGCGGTGCAGAAGCAATCAATCCCCCGCAGGAAGCATCAGCAATCGACGCAGCGGAAGTGCCTGCTGCTGCTGGATCTGCACACGGCTCTGGACTTGACCAGGTTTCGACTGATCATCCAAGCTTCGCCGGTGGGGCCCATACTGCGACGATCCTCGATGCGCACATGGCAAACACCGCGCCCAAGGAGGCTGCCAAGGAGGCTGCAAAGGGGTCTGCCAAGGGTAGACCGAACGCGCCGGCCCGTTCCAGGGCCAAGCCGAAGGCCAAAGCAGACTCAGGCCCTTCAGGGTCCAACGTAGCTGGAGCTCAGGACTTCAGTGCGACCTCAGAGGCTCTACAGCCGATGGCTCCTACCGCTGCTCTGAGCGCGAAAGGACCTCTCGCCGAGCTTCGACCTGCCGAGATGGAAGGATCTGTCTCAGAGCTCGAGCTCGAGCCCGGCACTGCGAAGAAAGCTGCCAAGGGAAAGAGAGCACCAAGGAAGAGCGGCCCGAAGCTGGACAAGAGCAAAGCAGCAACTTCAGCGGCAGCAACTGGAGCAGAAGCTTCGCAGCCCACGGGTGACGCGATGACGGGATCGCAGGTTGCCACAGCTGGAGCGGCTCCAGCCTCGGAGTCCGGCGTCAGCAATTGGCCTCCGGCAAGCTCGAACATCTTTGCTCCAGTCCAACCGATGCTGTATCCGGCGCGGGCGTATTATCCTCCTCGGAATCACGCTGCTCAGACCCAGCATCCGATGAACTTGAAGTCGCTGACGAGCGCAGCCGACATAGCGAGCGCCGAGGCGCAATACTCGGATGCATCGTCGCTGAATCGAGCCTCCTCGCCGACCGGATTCGACAAGGCAAGCGAGAACACAAGTCCCGCGACGGCTCTGAACACGTTCGCGAGCACCGGAGGTGATGCTGCGTCGGATGCCACGTCTCTTTCGCCCGATCGGTCCATGTCGTTATTGGACCTCGATCCGAGGCTCTTTCCGCCCGGCTGGAAGCCACCTTATTTTGATCTGATGGATCCAGACGTGCTCATGACGACCATGCGTGACCGCACCGTGTGGACCTTTTGGGACTGCTATTTGCCTCTAGGTTGCCGGGACCAGGATATGGTGCTGCTATCCAACGACGGCGTTGCGTTCCCGTGTGCTGCTTGGGTACGTACCATCGCTCTGTTCAGCGACCAAGTCTCGGCGAGTCACTAACATGATGATCTCTCTCTCTCTCTCTCTCTCACACACACGCTCTCCACGCCTCGACTGTCAACCTCGGCATTTCAACTCGTCGCTTGCTCGTGACAGAATCCATGCCTCTTCTCGACGTTGCTGGAGCGCGTGATCAAGAACCCCAGCCGGGCCGTCCGCATCATCTTGCAACGTGGCGCAGAGGAGAATCGCAAGCAGCTCGGCTACACGCCTCTCCCCTGCATCACTCTGGACGAGAACTGGCACGCGAGCAACCTTCTTCTCTCGTTCTTGCATCCCATCCCGACCATGTTCCTGCCGGACCGGGCGACGTGTCGACTGGTGCTGGACCTTGGCATGCGCTACGGAATTGACCGCGCCGTCACGGCTGCCACTCAAAGGCTCGGTCAGCTCGAGCAAGAGGATGCAGCTGCCAAGGATCCGCCGCAGGCGATGGACAAGGGCAAGGGCAAGGCGAGAAGCACCGAGGAAGAAATCGCGGCTAGTCTCGCGCAGGGCGCTGCAGACGCAAGGCAATAGGATGATGAGTGCGGGCGCGGACGCCTGGCCTCTACATGTGCCCAAGTGGCCCGCCGTCGCGGCGGTGTCCGTCCATGCTGGCTTCGGGACGGTATCAGTCGAGCAGTGCGCACGAGCCGAGTAGTTCGGACGGCCCCATCGATCCTCTCTCAAACCTCTCTCAAACGACTCCCCGCCATCGCGATGGTCGTAGCGACGTGGTTGAATTCTAATCTGGCAGTTCTGATTCTTTCCGGCTGAGATGTCTACAAGTTCAAACAATGGAAGGGAGTGCGTGGTGGGAGAGTTTGATCCTTGGAGCAGAGGTCGCGGCCGCTCAGGCGCCCTGGACGACGCTGGTGAGGATGTTGCTGAGGATGCGCGGGATGTCCTTTGTCTCGCGTGCGACGTGAGTCTGGGTGGGGATCTGACGGGCGAGGTGCAGAGCCTCTGTGCCCTTGTCGATGAAGATGAGCGAGGTCTTGACCTGCGGGTCGAGGCGAAGAAGCTGAGCGAGGCGCTGATGAGTGATGCCGTACCTGGACAGGTTGGCGTCGGAAAGGACGATGACAAAGTAGTCGTCCATGGGCGAGGTCGATGGATCCTCCTCGACGATCGGAGCGCCCAGCCCCGTCGCCGTGGTCTCGTCGACCTTGGCGGCGGTGCCGTGGTGCGGATCGGTGGGCAGAGCGCGCTTGACCTGGCGGATCGACTTTTCGATGCACTTGAGCGTGTTGTCGCCCGAGTCGCAGTACTGCGTGTGACTGACGACAGCGCGGAGGATGCGATACATGTCTCCGTCGGTCTTGGGCATGCGTCCGACATCGACGAGCGGGATCATGTCCTCGTCGCCACTGTGGCCGACCATGTCGACAGCAAAGCGCTCGGTTCCGTCCTCGATGCGCGAAAAGGCCTGCATGACCATGAGCGCAACTTCGAGCTCGCGCTCAAGTCGGCCGTCGAACTGCATGTGGTACATGCTCGCCGAGAGGTCGAGCACGATGCGGATGCGCTTGGGCTTGACCTGGGGCGCGCCCGGGTCAGGCGGCATCTCGGCGCGTCGCTTGAAGATGCCGCGCTCACCAGCAAGTCCCTCCGACAGCCGGCGCTCGTCCAGCTCGCCTTCCTGCTGACGAGTCAGCCACGAGCGCTCATACCGATTGGCCTTGAGGTCGTTGAGCACGTTGGAGAGATGCTGCACCTGCGCAGCTACCTTCTGCTTCATTTCGTGCAGGTTCACCGCTTCGTGCGGCTGCATTCCGTTCTCGCGCAGCTCCTTCTCGAGCGCCTCGCGCGCCATCTCACGCGCCTGCTTCTTGAGATGGTCAGGCACATCGTTCTTGAGCTCCTTGCTGATTTGGTGAATCTTGTGGCCCGAATACTGGCGACCAAAGCCTCCGCGACCGCCGAGACCCATGGTGTCGCGACCACCAGTGCCGCCCTTCCACGTGTTGCCGCCGACGTGTGGCTCATTGTCCTTGTCCACCTTGCCCTCCTTGGGCTTGTTGAGGTGGGTCGCACGACCTGCCTTGGTCGGGTCGTAGTCCTCCTTGCCAGGATGGAATTCGGCCTTGAGCTTGTCCTTGTCCGCGTTACGGCGGCGCTCGAGGTCCTGTTCGCGAAGAATCTCGATCGAGAGCTGTTCGATGGGAAGGTTGCGCTTGCGCAGCGTCTCCACCACCCAACGGATGCTCTCGGGGCGGTGCAAGTCGAAAGCGAGCGTGTTGAGCAGCACCGACGAAAGCGACTCTTGCGGGTACTTCTCCATGTGCGCCACGAGATGAAGCAATTCACGCAGCGAATACGGGTGGTTGATCAGTCCCGCCTCGAAACCAGCGCGCAGATCGTGGAACGCAAGGTCGAGCCGGCGGAGCAGATCTACATCCACGCTCGGCGCTGCCGCCTTGAGCAGGCGAACCTCGGACTCGATGTCCGGATTGGCGACCGCGTAGCAGCTGAAGCCCTCGCCGATGACCTCGATGAAGTTGTTGCCGAAGAAGGGCCAGCCCGGTCGGTTCGACAGCAGCACGAGACGGAAGTCGGGGTGCACCAGGATGTCGCCCGAGTCGGTCGTGCTTTCCGAGTTCTGAGCGGCATGGGCACGCTCGCCAACCTGGGCGGGACGAATGCGGCGTCCGTCCGGAAGACTCAATTCACCCCGCTCCGCAAGGCTTTTGAAAACAGCCGAAACGGCGGTGGAACACTTATCAGCCTCATCGACGACGAGGATGCGGCCGAGCTTGACCGCACGCACAAGCGGCGAGTCGTAGTAGTGGATCTGGCCCTTCTCGAGCGCGATCTGCTGGAGCAGACCGGCCACGGTCGAGTCACGGTTCATCTGGATGTACTCGCGCGGCCTGCCGAGCAGCTCGAGTGTGCGGTCGATGATCTTGTTCTTGCCCGTGCCCTGCGAGCCCATGAGCAGGAGATGCTCGTTGAGCAACACAAGATCTTCGGAGAACGATCGGATCAAACCGCTCTGCTGGGCGTTGTTGTAGAAACTGCCGCCGAGGTCAGGAATGAGCGTCTTTCCCTCGGGGTCGAGCTTGTTTGCATCGTAGCGAGGGATCGAGCGCACAGGGTATTCGCGATCCGAGCCGTCGGACGCAGCAAACTCGAGCGTACCGGCGCCGTCTTGGCCGCTTGCAGGAGAAACGACTGCAGGATCGCCGATCCAGAGGCGCGGGACGAATTGGAAGGCGCCCTCGGTGCCCGGCTTGTGGATGCCACATTCAGTGAGCAGGTTTGCGATCACTTCGCGCACCGTGATCGGCAAAAAGTCGACGAGGAGACTGCGCCAGATGAGGCCATGGACGTCGCAGTCCTCCTGCCAGCGCGCCAGGCGTGCGGCCATGCGGATCACCTGACGCGTTCCAAGCCTCCTCGACTTGGCGAGGCCTAGGTTGGGGTCAGCACTGAGCGCGCGGTAGCGGTTGACAAAGTGCAAGAGGCGCTTCAGATCGGAAGTTGGCTCGTCGAGGCCGACGCGCGAGAGCACAATGTGGCGCTCCTCGTCCTCGTCCATGGCGCGAGTGCTGCAGATGGCAAAGAGTGTACTGGCTTCCTCATCGAGCCAGCCGGTGGGCTTGGACGCCGTTGCGACCACGCGGAATGTCGGCTGGATCGGCACGATCTCGCCCGGAGCGACGGTGGAGCCAAGCATGCTCTCGATGCTCGTGTTGGCGCTGGCGGTAATTTGATCGGTCGAACGCGACTTGTCGACACTGCTCTCTGTCATGCGGGCACCATTCCACAGCTCGAGCTCGCGGTCCTGCAAGAGTCGCGACAGACTGCCGAGTGTGGGTCCAAGCACGTCTACGCCAGCAAGGTGGATCAGCTTGCCTTGCATCGCGCCGCGCACAAGCGGAGCTGGCTCCCAGGTGGTGCTGCCGTCCTTGGCGGTGGCTCGGCGCATGAGCAGCTCTCCGCCGCCCAGGTCCTTCCACAACCAGACCGATTCGAATGCATAGCCAAGTGTGGCGGCCATCAGGCTGATGCATGTTGTTGTCGACGACGATGGCTGATGCGCTGCTGCAGCCGAAGGATCAGCGGTGGAGGCAGCACCGGACTTGTCCGCCGCCGGTGCCTTGCTCGCTGGAACGAGGCAGATGTCCCTGCCAAGCGCATGCAGCTGAAGGAGGCGGCTATATATCGACAGCACCCTTGGCGTCACAATGAGCTGTTGGCCCATGAACTTCGTGTCACCCAGGCGTGGCACGGGAGCGAGGTCCAAAGCGCCACAGGGAGCCTCGATGGAGATGGCGGGGGCGTCGCCAGCCACGTGAGCAAATGTGATCTTGGCATTGGTGGCAGAGATGCGCTCGATGCGGTCGACGAGGTAGCCCATGAATCCGGTGGCAGCAAGAGTGGCGGGGTCGGCGCCCTCGCCCTGCTCCTCGTGAATCTCGAGCTGAGAGAGAAGCGAGTTGAGCGTCTTGCGCTTTTCTGCATCGAGGCCAAAGATCTGCGGGTAGGCGGCGCTGAGAAGGGCGAGGGTGGAGGCGCTCGCCTCGACATCTTTGGTCTCCTCGGGAAGATCGCGCGGCCACTTGGGCAAGATGGGGTCGCTCTCATCGAAACCGAGAGCGCGGAGCGGCTTCGTTGGCGGAAAGGTGCTGACGATGTCGGTGAGGAGGGGCAGCGCCGTGGTGGGCAAGTTCGGAAGCCGTGAGGTCGGCGGGATCACATCATTGCCCTGTGCCAGGGTGGTGTGGTAGCGCAGGAGGGCCGTCCACTGAGACCAACGCGAACGCAGCTGCTGTGCATGCTCCGAGAGATTCTCGGGGAGCGGTACGGTGGACTGGACGGAGCCCTCGATCCAACGCGCTTGGAATCGAGAGCGGAAGGGTGGGTCTAGTGGATAGCCGCGGTAGGGTGGTACGGGAACGCCCGTGGCAATGACGCGGAAGTTGGGGTGAACGGGGATGAAGCGGCTCGCGCCGTCCTTTTGCTGTGCCTCTTCTTGGCGGAAAGCCTCGAGCTTTTCGGCGGGGATGAGATGCCGGCCGTCGGCCAGGTTCTGTTCGCGGTTTTCCAAGATGTTGTTGATGATGGGAGTGACGCCGCGCTCTGCCTTTTCGACGCCTTCGAGAATGAGCAGATGGCCGTTCTTCATGGCGCGGATGACTGGCCCGTCTTCGAAGACGAGGTTGCCGCCTGAAGAGAGGCTGCGGGTTTGGAGCAGCTCTGCCTCTCCGACGTCACGATGGAAGGAGACGTACTCGAAGGGGATCTGGAGGAGCGAAGCAAAAGTCATGCTGAGCCTGCGGGCATAAGGGCCAGGAGGCGAGAGGAGGAAGACGTCCTGACCGAGCTGCCATTTCTTGGCGAGGAACTCGAGGTGTTCGAGCGCGATGGGGTCGTCCAGGTTGAGCAGCAGGCGCTCGGAAGGCAGACGCTCTGGCAGCTTTGGTTGGAACACGGGGATGGAGACGTTTGGCCCAAGCGTGAACGTGCCGAGCTTGTCGCGGTCGTCAAAGAACGCACCGTTCTGGCTTGGCAGAGGCCGTGGCTGCTGGGCAGCTGAAGTGGTAGTGATCGGGGCAACGGGCTGAACGTGGCGACTGATAGCTTCGATCCTACGCTTGCCCGCAGCAGAGGAGTTGGAATCGTCCGACATGGCGAGTCTAGGCCGATGCGGCGGTGAAATGCGAGCTGAACTCGCAGTGCACGCTAGACGACTTGAAAGGTGGAAGGCGTGGCCGAGCGGGGAACTTTGCGGACGGACAAGGTGGTGAGCGAGAAGCGAGGATCGTGTCAAGCTGCCAGATGTTGGGCTCGACAGCAAACGTTGCATGGAAGCCTACGATGCTCCGTCCGGACTGTGGCCAAGCTCGGATAGTGGCTCTCGTCAGCCGGCTTGAGGATCAAAGCTCGTCCCGGTGCCGGTCCGAAAGAGTCAGTGCACGGACTTAAGGACGAGGCGGTGGTGGATGCTGGAAGCTGCACTGCTAGACTGATAGCAGGAAGAAGACGCCTGCGTGCCGGTCGGATTTGCGCTGGCAGTCGCTCAGCTCGCAGCCCCGCACCATGCGGAGCCACTCGTCACCGGCAAAGCACTCGCCGGCAACACCGGCTCGAGAAGTGCTTTCGTGATTCGCGCTAATCTGCTTCCGCTTTCCGCTTCCCATCGGTGTTTCGTTGACTTAACAGAAAGAGTTTTCTTTCGTTCGAGTTTGTTAGACCGGAATCTCGTCTGCTTGCGGGGATGCAGGGTCCAGCCATGTCAGACATCAGACATATCCAACCCCGCCGGCACCATCACCTCGACCAACCTCGCCGATCGGTATCGACACCAACGCTGCACTCCTATCGCAGAAAAAGTTAGTCCGAACAGCCGGGGTCGAACCGGCGACCTCTGGGATGTCCAGCTTAAATCCATCGCTGCTGCCAGCTGAGCTATGTCCGGTGCCGTTCCCGCTTCAAGAGAAAGTTAGGCTTGCATGCTCAGATCCACGCCGGCAGCCGCATCCAAGGGAGCAGCACTTGGCGCACGGCCACGAGGTCGCTCCCCATCGTTGCGCTGCAAAACTGACTCAGCTCAGTCAGCACGGCACACGTCGAGAGCCGTTCGCTAGCACTGTCACCGTGATTCACGTCGCAGAGTTGCGCAAACGTCGACTGCATCGAGCTAAAGTCAAATCCGCATGGCACGCCCGCGTCGCTGAAAAAGAAAATAAAATCACGCAGGAAAAAAGCAAAAAAAAAAAAAAGACTCCGGACAGCCGGAATCGAACCGGCGACCTATGGTGCTTTTCCGTTAATACCGGATTAGGGTTTCCAATTACAAACCATCGCTACTTCCAACTGAGCTATGTCCGGGTACGGTCTAGACCTTTAGCAGCTTGGAAACACATTGCAGACATATACCCTCAGCCGCAGTCTCGCAGACATGCTTGCAACATTCATGACGAGACTCGAAGCCTCCGCAGCCCCCCTTGCCGGGAGCAGAGCGCTGAATGAGTCCATATGACCATCTCGATGGTCATATACAGCGGCAGTCATCGTAGACATCAATCTCTCGAGTGCGCAATCGTGCAAGAGGGGCATAGTATTTCGTGGCTCTGTGTCCTGCGTTGCATGGTGACTCGCAAGTCATGCCCTGGTAGTGAGATGTTGGGCGTAGCTGTCTGCTGCCATCATGAAGGCTCAAGTAACGCCGTTTCTCTGCTGCATACCGAGGCGCTTGCGGAGTGAGCGATTCTCCAGCTCGAGCTGCGCCATCATCGAGGTGAGGGTGTCGTGCACTTCGCCTGGCATATCTGCGCCGGTACCGCTTGAATGTTCGCTCGGATCTTCGTTTTCTTCGATTCTGCCCAAGTCATGCTGGAAAGAGCCATGATGTGAGGTGGATTTGGCGATCGACGACCAGTCGAACTGCACCGAAGCTCGGCGATTGGACGGTATAGCTCTTGGCAGCGAATAGCTGGTGCTTGCGGGCAAGAACGTACTAATGGAATGACGAGGCGCATGGCTACCGTGCATGTGGCTTTGTACAGACGAACTGCTCGCGCTTCGACCGTAACTTAGATAGCGGTTGTGCCTGTTGGTTTGGGTGAGAGGTACACTTGTTGCAGGTTGACGACTCCAGTCTGGATCCGACGAAGACAGTGTCACCCACACTTTGCTTGCCGGCTGGCGGGCTCGACGAGGACCCTCGTCCGCTTTCGTGAGATTCTCGATCACTGGCTGAACCACTGCAGTGATCAGCCTACCCGCTACGTTTAGCTGAACAGTTTGTGCCAGCCCGACGATGGCAGCCTGCGCAGCGACAGGAAGCAACGGAGTGAGACAGGCAGTGTCCACAAGGCTCTGCCCGACGAGCGGTATTGGACAAGTAGGACCTAGAATCGAGTGGATCGCCGTACATCTGCTGGTGCCATTCTTTCCTCTTGCTCCTCTGCAAGTGTCTCCGAGTCGAGATGTCGATGTGCGCAGGATCAGACCATGTCTCGAGACGAGCAGTCGTAGCTTCTCGTAAGCTTGGTGTGCGGATCGAGCCAGTTTTGGGGCATACCACGAAGCTTGGGGGTCCAATGTGTAGGAAGTCGCTATAGCAGCCAACGCCGGAAGTCGACATATCCGCACTGAGGCGACTATGCAGATCTCGTCTGCGTCGCTTTGCTTTGCCACCGTGGAAACTTTGACCTCAACCAGCTGGTGTGCGCCTGACTCGGAGTTCCAGGAAAGAACCATCTCCTTGGAGTAGTGGTGAGGATGTCGGCCAGGTATCCTACCATCACGGCGGTCTTGCGAAGCCCTGCGGTCCTGTTGGTACTGCTGTAGCAGGACCTCGCGGCACGCTTTCTGCCACCATGCCACGGTCTGGTGGTCAGACAACAGCTCGGAGAAGTTGATTTTCGACGCACGCAGCGAATCCCAAGTGGCTGGCAGACCAACTAGACCTGTAGCGAGCATTTCGCACAGGATCGCAGAGTCTGCGGCCGAGACGATGTGATCTTGGTGATCTAGAAGGAAGGAAGCCATTTTGCCACCCAGGACTGCGTTTTGCAAGCAGCGCTTTGTCGCCGCTCGAATCTGTGCCGGCGTTGTTGCCGTTAGAGACGCGCTTTGGCTCGTGATCGGTGCCGTTAAGAAGTCCAGAGGATACTCTGATCCTTCGAATCTCGTGTCGCCTAGTGGATTGGAGTAGGTTTCCGCGTTGTTCTGCTGATACGACTGTGTAGTGGGAGAAGGGAGGCCAAGAAGGGCTCCAAGCCGCTCGGAGTGCATCTGTGTCACGGCTCGACTGTAGCCCGTGACTGTTGTAGGCTCGTTCAGAATTGTCAAGTTCGATACAGCCACCTGGTCTTGCCGGCCTTCAGCCTGTTTGGATTGGAAAAGAGGAGGCTCTGCGCAGCTGTTGGAAGCCAGGCTGGGGGCGCTCGATGAGAAAAGCTTCACTGCTGACGACAAAGCATCCGCAGCTGTTGCCGGAGCAGCACTCTCCTTTGACGCAAAGGAATAGCTGTTGACAGCATCAATGTCCCCGAAGGACCTTTTTCCGAGCGTCGTCTGCCCTTCTGAAGGAAAGAAGAGTCCCAAGGCCGTCGAGGTGTCGAGAGGGCATCCCGATGGCGTCTGCTCCATCGTTGAGTAGCTTGTTTCCGACCAGGGGCTCGATTCAGGCAAGATGTCCCGAAGAAGATCCGAGACAGACATGGATCGATCATCAGACAGTCCTCCCTCGAGGCTGAACAAGTTGCTTGCAGCTGCAATCGACACTGATTGTTGCGCCAGCATCGGATGTGGTACTTCTGATGTCCTTGACCAGCTGCAACTCGGCGGCACGGACATTTGAAGGCTCTGCTCGAGGGCTTGACCGCTGCAAATTGGCTCTACCATCCTGGAGGTCGTGCAGAGCGACGCCAAAGGGGTGTCAAGCCAGATGTCTTCCGGCCCCGACTCCGGCGTATCGTGCGTCTGAGACGACATCATCGGTGCGGCTCGCACTCGATGCGGGAACATGGTCGTGGGATAGGCTGCTGTCGGAAGCAGCGGTGTTAGCAGGTCCGAGGTGTTGCTGCTAGTCGATGAAACAGTGGCAAGTGTGCTGGTGTCCTTTTTGAGCATCGCCAGGGCGTCTGCTGAGCTTGCGATGGAAGCTGGGCGACATCGCCCCTGCGTAGTTGTCGACATGGCGACGGCCGGAACCGCAGGCACCTGTGTGAGGGAACGTGGCGTCTGCATCATCCGAACCAGCTTGCGTTGTGTTCTTTGCTGTTTTTACGGTGACCAAGGCGTCTTGATGTGTTGCTATGACGCAGGGCGATGCCTGAGTTCTTGGACGCCGAAATTATATCCTCGCTCGAGGTGCGTCGACAGTGATGCGTAGAGAGAACCAGCTTCTCGGTCCCCGCATTTCCTCTTGTCCGCGAGCCTGGCAGAGACCTGCGACCGGTCAATGACGTTGCGAAAGCCGCACGCAGGTGGGCTAAGCTCGAGAAAGCTGATTCAGTTGAACCTAAACTGAGCCTCGAGCTTGAACATGCAGGCTTGGGTTAAGGTTGAGGGATAATGTCGGAGATTGTTGCGCTGTCTGGGTCTGCCGGTGCCTGGTGAGGTGCTGCAGCTCCTTGAGCTCGGCGAGCTCGCTTTGTGCTTGCGCGCTTGCGCGCGCGGGTGCCAAGGATGGCCTTGAGTGAGATGGTGGGAAAAGACGGCGACGATTGAGGAGCGGTCGAGCCGCGATCCCGGACGACAATTCTTCTGCCAAGCTGGTAGTGATAGTTGAAGTCGAGCATGCGTCACGGATGCACCGGATGAATTGCAGGCAACAAGGCTTTCAATGTCGAAAGGTGAAGTCGAAGCGTCTTTGGAGCAGTAGTTCCGATGATGTGACGGCACCCACGTCATGAAAGAAGCTGCATCGTCAGCTTCATCTCTGGCCTTGAAAGCCGCGGTCGTTGTGCTTTAGCTTTTGCGACCCGAAATGGTGGTACTGAGCTGAACAGGCCGGTGTAGGAGTCCAACTCGATGAGCACCTTGTGACGTGGGGTGGCTCGAAATACCCTTGTTCAGGCTCAAGCTCATTCGTGCCTCGCATTGTCGCAATCGTTGCTCAACCGCAGTTGCGACGTATCTCCGCGGCGCCTAATCGATCAAGCGAGTGGACGCAACCCCTCTCGTCAGGCATCGCGCAGAGCAAGTTCGAGATGAGAGCAGAGTGAGCCGCTGCTTCAACGCAGCCCTCGATTCTGCTGTGCATGGGGGAGAGAGAGCGGGTCTAGCCATCTGCCGAATCTCCGAAAGCTGATCTGTTTCGCCTGTTGCTTGGCGTGGAGCTGGACCCTGCAGCATCAGCCGCATCTCGAACGAGCCCGTGGTGGGACCGGGCTTGAGGTGGAAAGCCAGGTACAGAACAAGTGGTGGCGACTTTGCGTCGCTAGTGCTCAATATCCCGAAACGTGATGTCGGATTCTGCAGACTTTGGCGGTGTATTTGCACAGAAAGCTCGGGCCTAGACCCACTCATGCAAGATGCAAGGGCCATTGGCGTTGGGGATGCTTGATCGGCTCAAACTTCAGACAAACATGACGGTTCCTGATGTATTTACCGAGACAGCACGCGATGCGTCCACTGAGCCGGGACTCGATAGCGATGCGCCTAAGTATCAAAGCATAGTGACAATTGGTTCGCACCCCAGAATTTCTACTAGCTCTTCTGGACCGAGCTAGTCTCACGAATCGTGCCGAGCAGCCTGCCTGCAGAGTCTGTTGCCGGTCATTTCACGCGACCTTGGCCAGACCCACCGTTTGCTGTGGCCGGCATCATGTCGAGGCTGTGAACGGAAATGCAGCTGCTAGCTCAGGGTTGCCTTGCTTCAGCTGGTCCATGACTCTACGGACTAGCTATCTTGCGCAAGCTTTTGACGAGCTCGTCCAAGGTGTCCTTCGCAAGGTCGAGGCATCAGGCGGCTGCGCAAAAGCGAGATACAACAGCCAATTCATCGCGTTCCCATTTAGTCTGGTGGTTAGTGTCGTCTCTGCGCGAGAGAGGAACGCAGGGTGACCCGTAGGGGCATGCGAAGGAGCCTGAGATAGATCCGTACGAACAACCTCATGGCTCGGTTGCGGACAACCATGGCTGCGCAGTTGTCGGCAATGCCACGCTGGCACCGTCTTACACGGTTTCGGCTTCGGCGCACTTCCTCGCTAGTCGACAAGATTCCGCAACGACGACCTAGGCGGAATCGCTCTTGCCGAGCCTGTCAAAGACGCGCCTCTGTTCGGAAAAGGGGAATCCGAAGATGAAGCGGCAAGGACAGGAAAGGATGGACCTGCAATCGGGGGCAACCGCCTTCGCTCATCGAATCGGCGATGTTGGCTCGTTGAGCGGGACGTGGCGACGAGGCGGATGCTCCGACGAGCACCGCCAATAGCACCGAACCCTTGTATCGAGGGAGGTCCTCTCCCGCGTCACTTTTCGACGCCGATGATGCCCATCTGTTCAACGCTTCCGCTTGCACGATAGTGGTGCCTAGCGAATCGAACACTCTGCAATCAAGCGCTGCGTTGGGCGATATCAGAACCGCAGCCATTGGCGCATGACATCTTCGATCGATGTACTGTTTGCAATGTGAGTACCTTGAAATGGCGATTTCGCGATGCTCATTTCCTGATCCAAAATTCGAGCTCTAAATCCCGAAATCGAAGCCGAAAAAGGACCCGATAAAGGTTGAATATTTGCCAGGAAAATGCGACTCGGCTCAAGAGTCGCAGTGTCCGGCGCGCAACGACCGATGGGGGCGGCAGATCGAGAACGATCGCTTGCACACGGGAACAATGGGGCTCGACTCGCGAACAAGACAACGAACAGCCGAAGCGGACCTTGGGTTGGCGTCAAAGGCGCGTGGCGTTGCAGGCGGTGTCCAAATTGCTGGTACCGAGGATCAACGCACCGCTTCGTTTCGGCAGCCGCGGTGAAGCCAGCTCGTGAGTCGCTTACCGCGGGCCAAGCATGCGATGCTGTACCAGGGGCCCCTTCGGAAGAGTTCTAAAAGCAAAGCCCGAGCTTGGCTTTGAGCTCAGGCGTTGAAAACAGTGTCTTCAGCAGCAGCGACCTGCGTTGACAACTCCAAAGCCCATCAGCGTGACTCACCTCCGCGCAAGCAGCACCTCTGCCAGGAAGATGGTCCAGAAGAGCTCAGTACGAGCGGCAGACGACGTACTTGGTCGAAGAGTTGACGGGTTGATGGCGAAGGAGCTTGCATGAAAGGAAGCCTCGTGCCTCTGCCGAGCCGATGCTGTGTTTTGCGTATGGTAGACGTGGTACAGCCGTCATGCTGCGGCCGTCATGCTGCGGCCATACCTCACATCCACCGCCGGTAACTAGCGGCGCTCAGCAAGGGCTCGCAGCTGATGACAATAGACTGTTTGCGATCAGTCATTCCTCTTTCGCCCTCGACGGTGACTCCAGGGCCGGGCACGTGAACGCTGGCGACGCGAACCATGGTCAACACTGTATTGACTCAGACTGATAGGTGCTCTGCCGCGTCGCAGCTTGTCAAGGAGTCGAGCGGGGTTGCTGAGGAGGAGAGCGGAATGCGGCGGGCCAGCGCTGATTTGCACAGGTTGCGCTCAGACGTGGGAACAATGGTTGAGTGGGGGATGCTACATTTTCGGACGGCGACTCACCTGCATGCTAAGCCGCGCGCAAACGACGTCAGCCTACAGTTTTGTGTGCAGCGCCAAGGGCCACCGCTTATTAATAAATCTGGCCTTTCGCCGCTCGAAGCTTCTTGCAACTCCGACAGGCGCAACTGCGTCGGGCGGCTGGGCAAACGCCGATGCCTATCCCGAATCCGATCAGCTCCATCAGATCCCTCCTCTCTCTTTACCTTGTCCACGTTCTGCCTGCAGATTTGATTGAACGACTAGGACGAGGCCAGACGACACGACTGTCACGAGGTGGAGTGATGTATGCATGGTGAGATGTTGGTGCTCGGCTGCGGTTTGGGATAGCTCGGATGAGCAGCTCGCCTATCCGGCTAGGCGTGAGGAGGCGACGCGTGCTTGCGGGCTGTCAGGTTCCTGGCAACGCGCATCTCTAAGTTTCTGTGCAATTGCGGTTGAGAGTGCCCTTTCTCACCGGCTCTCGCTCCTGGCTCGATGCAAGGTCGAGTAGTCACTTGCTGTGATGCCTCGTTTTGAGCCCGGTTCGCACGTCCAAATGCCGAGTCGAGTCGGTTTCGGGACGCTGTCGCCGGAGCCGCAGCCTTGGCTGAGACCAGTCGTGGCCCCTCACGGCTGCCACCTTGCACGACAAGACGGGAAGGTCGCGCGTGCAACGTGCAGCGCGACTCTCCAGTCGCGCCTCTCCTGAACTTTGTGCGCATCCTGCATTCGGTGCTGTCAAACATGCCACACGGGACGCGCCGGATTCGCGAGACCCCGGCTCTGCCAGCTTATCTGTGCTCTCGCTGGCTGACTTTACGCGCCTGCCTTCGCCAACTCGAGGTCCTGACAGCAGCCTCGATTGAGCAGCAGCATGCAGACAGTGCTGTCAGTGTAGGCTCAACAATAAAGCGCATTTCACAGCGGACATGTGATCGGCAAGAGGGCGTCATGGAAGCTAGTGCACACGAGGCTCATCCTTGCACGCGGCGGCCATTCGGAAGGCGAACCGAATGCATTCGCCGCTGCGCGCAACGATCGACCTGCTGAGCGCCAATTTGTCCATATTCTGTCGCTTGGCGGTACACAGCACATCCGCATGCTTTCAAACCGCTTCAACCCGACGATCAGGTGTGCGACAGACGCCGACGCAACTGCTGCGGTGTTTCCTGCGGAATTCGTAGACCATGGTGCATGGACGCCTGCAGCGGCCAACGGCATTTGGACGGAGCGGTTCGCCGGGACCGCTCTGCGTGCAGTCGCAGCGTGCTGACTGATTGGGCCCCGTCCTCATCGCGGATCAGTGATGCCGAGTGCCGAGCATGACTGGGCAGGGAAGCCGAACCCGAACACGAACCAGCTCACGGCCGTGCGTCGTACGGTGTCGGGCACGGCAGCAAAGTCGAGATCTCATCTAGTTGCTCGCTGGCTGCATCTCAGTCCAGTGCACGATAAGGCTGCCGGCACTCGAAGGCGAGAGGGCAGCTTGAGCGGTACTGGCGAGGACGGGATCTGCAGATAGCGAGCTGTCCACGGGTCAACGCAAGTGCTTGCCGAGGCGGTTCTGACATTTCCTCGCGAACCCGAGCTTCACTGATGGGGGGATACAGTACAGCAAAACAGCAGCTGCGAGCTCAAGAAAAAGGAAGCAGAATTGATGAGGTGGGTGATTTCTCTTCTTTTTCTTTTCTTTCCTCGTTCATTTCAGCCTCCGCCGAGCGGAAACGGTTGGATTGAAATTCAGAAAAAAAAATCGATCAAAATGCCTGACGGTGGGAGCTACGACGGCGTTTGCTTTCCGGACGAAGAGTGCCGTCATCATCGGTCGAGTGCGGCAACACGCCATCTGGGCAGTCTTTGTGGATCCCGTTGAAGGCGCCGTGTGCGGGCGAAACCCACTCCTATGCGGCGACCAGGCGCATTCGACTCCGCCCACTTGCAGCCGCTCTTGGCTTGACTCAGCCCCCGCTAGTGGCCCAGTTCGGCACCAGCGCTCCGTCCTGTCGAGCCGCTCGGCGTGTGCATTCCTGCAAAGCGTCGCTCCTGCTTCGCCCATCTGCACGGTTGCGTGCGAAACGGCAGTGGAACACGCTCGTCGCTTGCCGAGCGCGTGGCCGAAGTCCTGTACCGTTTAAACTACGTCGCTGTCCCAGTGCATTGTCAGCTTCCACAGACACTGTGTCGCCTAGCTTTTTTTCAGCTCAGCGCCGGCTGCCCTCGTCCAGCAGCGATGCTTATAAGGTCATATGTAGAGATTGGTACAAGGCCGATGCCGCCCTCCTCACCATCTCGCTCTCCGCTGCTTGTTCTCTTGGTTTCCGTCACCTCGCCCTCGAACTTGGCTACATCGCTATCCCAACCAAGCCTCTCGCTGCGCTCCTGACAATCAACACCTCCCCCCATCCGCGCCGGCCCGACCCTGACGCCGCAGAGTGAGCTTCACGCCTCGATAGGCGGCCACGACAGAGTCTCCGCAGCAAGTTCTTCGCGGGGGCACCGGATAGCACCCGCATTGGCACATCCCGCTATCCTTATTCTAGCTTCGCATCGCAGAGGTGCAACACCATGGCAACTATGATCATGTCGCAGCACACAGCCGCACCCAGCGCGAGCGCAGGATACCCGGCGTATCTGGGCTCTTCATCGTCGTCTTCGTCGTCTTCTTCCGAATCATCGTGCTACTACGCTTCGTCCTCCTCATCGCCATCCTCGACACCTCCGCCTCTGGCGTCAGCACCGGCAGCAGCGCTGCAAGCAGCGACGATGGTGTACACGCATCCGCCCGAGGAATCGTTGCCGTTTGTCGTGCTCGTTGTGGACGACAACGCGATCAATCGCAAGGTGCTTACCATCCCGCTTCGCAAGCAAGGGATCCAGGTGGTCGAGGCCGAGAATGGGCTCGAGGCGGTCCAGATGTACGCGCAGGTGCGACCGGCGCTCGTACTGATGGACATCTCGATGCCTGTTATGGACGGATTCGAAGCGACACGGCAGATCCGCATGCACGAGCAAGCGCAATCGGCAACCATGCCCGACATTGACGGCGAAGGAGCAGGAGTGGACGAAGTGGTCAATATGCTCCTCACGCATCAGCGCGCGCGCATTGTAGCGGCGACAACGCATTCGGCGGATCGAGACTTTGCCGAAGGCAAAGATGCAGGCATGGACGACTGGCTTCTCAAACCCATCCGTCCCAGCACGCTCGTCAAGGACATCCTCGAATTTAGGCGGAACCACCTGCAGGACTTTGCTGCCACTCTGGCCGCACTCGCGACCGCACCTGTCAGCATCGCCGCCGGCGAAGCCGCGATGGAAATGGTGCTGGACCAGGCATCAACACCAACAGCCACAACAGCCGCTTTGGCAGCATAGACTGGCCCACAAGTCGCCTCCGCTCAACTTTCCGCTCCTTTGCATCGCATTCGCATATTCCCATCTTCACGTCCTTTCTCCAGCCATGCCTATTCATCTCATCGAGCATGTCTAGCGCATGGCTGGCACAGAACCCTCCAGCATAACTTTTGTCGTCCTGCTTTCTAACTCCTGTACTTGTACCGTCACTCTATCTTTTGGCTGCTCTTTCTGGCCTGCAAAACATGCTCTTTCTAATCACGCCTTGCTGCTGCATGTGCCATGCCATGCCGTGCTTGCTGAGCTGGCTCGTTCGTGTGCTCGCGCCGAAGCGAAGCGGCTAGATAACGAAGTTACGGAGAAATGGAGTGCAAAGGACTGGACAGTGACGAAAAGAGGCGTGCGGATTGGCGAATGAGTTCCCGATGCTCCAGCTAGAAGGTGCGCAGGGCAGTGAATGAACGGAAGGATTGAAGCATTAGGCGTTGAAACGGAGGATAAAGTTGACGAGCACGGCGATGAGCAGCATGACCGAGAGGACGGTGGGGCCGAAGCGGTCGTCGTACGGGCCCGATCCGCGATTGCGGATGGCGCTCGCTCGCCAGTGGTACGTCAACAATGCGTAGATCATGATAGCCATGGCTGTGGAAGGGAGATCGAATTGAGAGGTCGGGTCGGGTCAGCATACGAGGCAGGCGCGGACGCCGAGGCGATATGACGTTGCAGAGACTCACCAACAAAGGAGAACATGGCAGCCGAGATGCGGCCGATCTTGTCACCGAAGTTGAGCAGACCGGCTGCGAGTGCGGAGAGGGTGACGGTGAAGTTGAGCCATGACAAGACTGTTCGAAGCGAGAGCAAGAAGAAAGGCAAGGTGGTCGGTGTCAGCTTGCTGCAGATGTGTGGTGGAGTAGGCGGTATGTAGGCGAAACGTACATGTTCGCTCGTTGGCGAAGAAGACTTTCGGCTCGACACGGACGGGGAGCGCGATACGCTTGCCGGCCGTGCGTTGGAGAAGAGGCTGGGTGGACATTTTGAGCGACGGCGAGGGATGGTGGAGTCAGGAGATCGAACTTGAAGAGCGGCAAGTGTTGCCTTTGGTGCGTGTTCGCCGTGCTTGGCCAGGGGGGATGCGATGAAGCTGGGCGCGCGGATGCGTGTGTATGGCGCCGATGAAGGCAAGCTGCGCGAGATGGATGGTGGATAGGGTGATGGCGGAAGGTTGGGATGGTGACGGAGTCGATGGAAGGCAACGCAGCGCCTCGACCGTGCATTCTAGCCGATGCGCATCGAAGCGGATCGGATGCCACTCTGTGCAGCGGCTCCAAATTCGTCGGATTCTGTAGATTTTGGGCCCAAAATCTGTGGAATTTCGACCGGTGCTTTCACAGCAACAGCCGTGTCCACTTCGAAGCCAGCTTGTCCTTCCTGGCGATGCGAGACCGTGCAGGCTTGAGCAGGTCTCCAGAAGAACGCCGTAGCCCACTGGCGATCCTATCTCAGTCGAACAGCATCCTTCTCCCGGGCGATGCTGGACGCAGCGCCATCCAGCGGCGGATTCCCCGTTGGGCCAAAAGAGGCGGTGGAGCAGCCGTCAATTTAAAATTGGCGCCTCCACGCGCTCACTCCTCCACCGCCCATTGGACGCTGCCTCACCACCTACTCCAGACCCACCTTGCGCCTGCCCAGCTGGTTGTCTGTCCGCCCTGCCCTCTTCCATACGCTCGAAAATGCAGGGCAGCCATAGCATCGTCTGTTCTCGGCCCACCTGAGCTGTCAAGACGCCGAAAGCTTGAGTGTAATCCTCAGGGCAAGCGAGCACCAACAAGGGCGAGGTTCGAGGCTGGCGCCGGCGGAGAGTTAACCCAAGAGCGCACGTGCGCACTATCGTGCATATACTCGCACAGACAAATTCGGATCCAACAGAGGGCCTGTGGATTCGCTTTGTCGGCCGATAGATCTTCACACCTTCTGCCCCTCACCAAATCACGCGAGCATGGCATCAAGCTCGTTCGGCTCTTCAGACACAGCAGGCCACATTTCTGCAACTGGAAGGCACCAGTATGGATTGAAAGTGCATTGTGGGAACGGGAATCATGTACGCAGACCTTGACCCCGAGGGCCGAGGTGAGCAGAGTCGCACAACCTGACGGCTCGGCATCAAGGCTCCTATTGCGACTGGGTAGTGCCCCAGTGAGGCGATTGGACAGCATCTACTCGTCCTTCTTGTCCGAGTCCTTCTTGTCCTTGTCGTCGCCTCCCTTGCTCGCCTCTTCCTTCTTCTTCTTTTCTTCCTCCTCCTTCTTCTTCCTCTCCTCCTCCTCCTGCTCCTTGCGCTCCTCCTCTTTCCTCTTGGGATTGCCCACGACGACGTAGCTGTCGCCCTCGGCGCCTGCGCTAGTCGCCTCGACGTCGCCGCCCACCTCGGTATGCTTGATGACGCCACCCTTGTTGCCCTGTGCGCTCTGCTTGAGCAGCTTCATCTTGGTGGGAGCGTCCGCCTTGACCTCGTCCGCCAGCTTGGACGCCGTGCCGCCGAGCGTGCTCCTGCTGCCGGGCGCGTAGTAGTTGGTACCCGCCAGCGTGGCGATGATGCTGGTGCCAACGGCCAGCGTCAGCCAGAAGCGGTAGGTGGAGTACCACTTGGGCACCCATCCAGCGCTCGTAGCGCGCAGGTCGATGAACCAGGCCACCACGAACGACGCCCACTGGCCAATGAGAGCCAGCTGTGGCGCGAGCAGCGTGGTCGGCCATCCGAGCACCAGAGGCAGTACACCGATGGCGTAACGAGTGTTGCCAATGCGTCCGCCGTACTTGCTGAATTCGAAGCCCCAGTGCATCGCCCCCAGGAACGAGAGCAGCACCGCGCCGTAGCCCACCTGGATGTTCTGGGCGTGCAGCAGCAGAGCGCTTGCCGTCTCGGCGTCCATCGACTTGTCCAGCCCGAGGTTGACGAGATGCTCCTTGCGCGCCAGCCAGATCGATGCGCCCGCCGTGCTCACGTACGGGATCAGACCCGCAACGCCCCACAAGAGCGCTGGCCGCGGCACCACCTGCGCCATCTCAGCCGTGATGCTCTTGGCATCCTTGAGGATTTCGGACGCACCCGAAGCTCCGCCGCCGCCAGCGCTCGTCTGGGCGCCTGTGCCCTCGCCGCCCTCGCCGCCCTTGCCACCGCCGGCGATGGACGACTCGATGCTCGAGCGGATCGAGGCAGCCTCCTCCTTGATGTTCTGCTTGGTGTGCGACCACGAGTCCGAGGCAGGCTTGCCCGACTGAGGGTTGGCAGCATATTGCTGCAGCGACGTGTGCAGCGCGCGAAGCTGCACTGGTGCCAGCATCGATCTGCGTGCAGCCAGCGTCGAGGCACCAGCGAGGGACATCGCCGACCTCTGCGCCTTGAAGCCAGACGAGAAAAGGCTGCGCGAAGCAGCGGTACCGATCATGTTGACGAAACGCTTCGGCCAGGAGAGATGGATCTGCTTGATGAAAACGTGAGTGCCGCTTGACTGGGTATCAGCGTAGCTCAACAAGCCCTCTAAGTCGACTCGGAGGGCAAAGAAGATGATGTGTTGGTGGTGAGAGGCAGAAGATAGGCGCCAGCCATGACGCCCCTCTCCGATCCACTGGCCCGTGACCAGGTTGGCCCGAACTCCAAGTGGAGGGTAGGCACTTTTCGACGGCCCAGCAACACCAGAGCGCCAGTCGACGAGTGCGGCGTTCCGGGCTGCGGCTCGGGAGCACGAGGCGATGTGCCCTTCGAATCGACCAAACGCTCTTCCCACCGACGCTCTTTCTCGTCTTTTTCTCTATCTCACAGGTGCTATTTCTGAGTGTCCTCTCGTGTGGCATTCCTTTTCATCCTTCCTCCCATCAGACGAACATCATGCATTGCCGGGGTTCAATACCACTCTCTGGTAAGCCAACACCGCAAGCACCAGAAAGACCTGGCAGGGCTGGGAACTCTTGGATGGATGCTTTGGCTCCGAAAAGGCAGATGGACAGGCCGTGATGAGATCGACGTGATCTCGCAGCCAAGCCATTCCTGCGGGGGGCCGTCAGACGACCAGGAACGAGCAGAGGCACAGATGACTGGCAATACGTCACTCCACATGGACGCCATGTCACAAGGACGCCGCAACACGGACCACCGTCCGTGCGGTCGGAATGCGTTTTTGTGTGCGCAATGGGCCCTAACAAATTCCAAATTCAAGGCCTCCGCATCGGACAAGACCCGATGCTGGTGAGCCTGAAACCCCGATTGCTTCGGACTCTCCACATTTGGTAACCAGACTTGTGACTTCTCTGCCGCTCGGGGACTTTTTCCGGTTAGACATCACCTGCCCACATGCTCTTGAAGCCTCCATCGCGCATTCACCATCACCATCGCCCTCGGCTATAGCAGCTTTATCGCAAAGCAGAAGATACTCTCTGCAAATACCTGAATCGGTCCGTGCTGACGTTCCGCTGCACTCGAGGTACAAGACACAATGTCGAAACGAATGCCAAGCTTTGTCGATTTGGCGCATCGAACCGCCGTGACCGGTCTCGTGGGTCTGGGCGTAAGTATGCGCTGCAGAAGCGCGCCTAGCCGTGTATACAGCTGCGTTCCCGAACGCTCTGTGCAGATCTTCCTGACTGACAACTGGACTTGCCTTGCTGAACATGGCCTTCGCGCTGATCGCATCGACTTTTGCAGATCTGGGGACTCTGGCTTACAGCTGCTGTATGGAAGTCTCGTCGCGATGAACGATTGGTAAGTGCTGTCTTCATGACGATCACGCTATCAGAACGTGTAGGAGAGGACTGACGGGCTTCACGCTGCTCCGGCGTTCTCGACTTGCGCAGATCATCGCGTCCAACGGCGGCCAAATCCCGATCTCGCAACAAGCGCTTGCACTCTCGCAGCAACAGAACGGCCAAGATCCATTCCCAATCACAAACGACCCAAAGCACGAGCCAGGTCGTCGCGTATAAGTCGAGCTGCTCTGTACACCTGCGCGCACACCGCCACTCCCGCTCACTACTTGAAGTGATACAGGCATCTGAACCCCAGCATCGCGCCCATGGATACTATGACGCATTGCAAAGCATGTGCGCTTGTGGCTGTTTTCGCCTACTCGTATTCAAGATCTGGGTCTATTCGGATGAGACGGAGGTTGCCGGGCTCCTCGTCGAAGCTGAGCACACGCCGAAGCAGCGTCTATCACGACTTCACAGCGAAAGGCTCTGCCAGCATTAAGGTAATAGCGACATTATCCGATCTCCAAACAGTGCGAGTAAGAGCGAGATCGTGTTCCTGAGCATAACCGGATGGCCCTTGCTTCCCCACTTGTTCTCGATCCAAAGACGAAGAACGTTGGAAGAGGGGGGTGAAAGCAAGTTTTGGTTGAAATGCAAATGTTGCGAGAGGTCGAGATGTGGGCGGTGGCCGAAATCCGAAATCTGAACGCGGTGGAGAAGTCAAGAAGCCCCTCTCTTCTGGCCATCATCGCATCCTGCACACCACACCCTATACCCTGCATCGCACCATGAGCGCGCCATCCACCTCGAAAGCCAACGGAGGCAACGGAGCGACGGGCAGCAAGGCGGCGCCATCGCCCACGCTCTACGTCAAGAACATCGAGGGCAAGATCAAGAAGCCGGGTAAGTTGTCTTTTCACGCATCCTCACATGCTTCCTTTCTGACCATCTTGTCTGTTCCCCCTGATTAGAACTGCGTCGGCAATTGTACTCGCTCTTCTCCGTATATGGACGCGTGCTGGACGTAGTGGCGACACGCGCACCCGGAATGCGGGGACAGGCGTTTGTCGTGTTTGAAAACCCCACCACGTCGACGGCCGCCAAACGCGCACTGCACTCGTTCGTCTTCTACGGCAAAGAGCTGCACATCGACTATGCGACGGGTGCCAAATCCAGAGCCATCCTGCGCCGCGAGATCGGTCACGATGCAGTGCACGAGATGGACCTCGAACGAAGCAAGACCACCGTGAGTCGGCGGGGCGAGAAACGCACGGTCGAACCCAAACCCGACTCGGACGACGATGAGGAGGCGTCGAGGAAACGCGCAAAGCTCGATGACACAGATGAAAGTGTGGTCAAGGCACTCGATGTACCAGAAGCTATCGAGGTGGGCGTCTTGCAGGCACTCTTTGCAAGGCAGGAGGGCTATGTAGAGGTGACAGTGTTGGAGCAGAAGGCAGGGACGTGGACAGCAAAGATAGAATTCGAGGATGCGCAAAAGGCTAGCGCCGCAAAGGAGGCCCTCAACAACATCCAGCTCGATCCAACGTACTCACTCAACCTCGTCACGCAATGATGTCGACGCCATGCAATTCGCACTAGATTGTTTCCCCCGGTGATTCGTGTCAGATAGTTGCCTGTCTGCTTTCGTGCCGTGCTTCTGGATGCCAGATCTTCATCCACACCGCAAGCCGTCCGTGGTATGACTTTGTCACCTCGCATCCGCTCACATGAGCCTTCCGAAAGTCTTGCGTTCGGCTGCAGCGTTCGGCAAGGGTCACTCACGTTCGGTCTGCCATTTCAGCCTGGGCTTCTCTGTCGCATTCTCACACGCACACGCACACGCACACGCACACGCACACGCACACGCACCGCCAAGCTTTTATCAAACCCAGAGATTGTGCATTACAAGAGCAGCCAGATCCACCCCAAACGGAAGCGCAGTGGATCTAGTGGTCAATGATGGCGAGGTTGCCTGAGATGAGCTTGTTCTCGAGCACCGAGCCCTCGGGGATCTCGATCTTGTTGCCCTCGTTTGCGACAATGATGACGGTGCCGCGGAGGGTGATGTTGCGGCCGAACACGACGTCGCCCTGCACGGTAAGGTGGTCGAGCTCGATCATCTCGGGGATCGACTTGAACCTCTTCTGGAACTGCGCCACCTTCTTGAACGTGTCGCCGAGCTTGACCACGGGCGTCTGCGAGAACATGCGGCCGGGGTTCATGAGCAGCTTGCCGTGCTCGAGCGAGTAGAGGTCCGAGGTGATGAGCAGCAGATCCGAGCACGATTTGACGGGCAGGAAGCGCGAGCGCGGCACGTTGACACCCTTGGCGCCGCGGAAGTGCTTGATCGCAGCACCGACGGCAGTCTCGAGCTGGATGACCGCCTCGCCCGAGTCGAGCGCCTTGTTGTTGACGATGATCTCGAGGTCGAGCTCCTCGTTCTCGAGCACACGCTTGACGGCGCGCAGGTTGAGCCAGAGGTTGTTGGTGTTGAAAATCTTGAACTTCTTGATCGACTTGAAGTCCTCGACGTGCTCCGAGGGCACCTGAGCGATCTCGAGCAGACGGATGGTGCCATCGTAGTCGATGAGCGTACCACCCTTGACGTCCGCCTTGGTCTTGTCGGTGACCTCTGAGATGAACTCGGCCTGGGTGTCGATCATGTGCTGGTAGATGTTGAGGTCGACGTCTGCACCGAGGTTGTCGACGTTGGAGACGAAGAGGTACTCCTTGCCGGCGGCGATGAGGCGGTCGAGGAGGCCGGAGTTGTTCATGGCGTCAAAGAGATCGCCGTGGCCGGGAGGGTACCAGAGATTCTTGTGGTCCGTGGCGGAGCGCGGGCAGGGGAGGAGCGACTCCTTGTTGACGCGCGGGTATCGGGACTGGTTGAAGGTGAGGATCTCGAGGTTGTGGTTTGCGTACTTCTGGATGACGCGTGCGGTGTCGTCATCGGTGTTGAAGGAGTTCATGAGGATGAAGGGGACGTTGACGTTGTGGGAGCTGTTGAGGTGCTCGATCTGGCGCACCGAGAGGTCGAGGAAAGTCATGCCCTCGCGCACCTCGATGACCGACTTGGGACCGGTGCAGCCCATGGTGGTGCCGAGACCACCGTTCAGCTTGAGCACGGCGAGCTTGTTGAGGATCGAAGGGTCGGTGGCCTTGCGGAGCTCGGCGTAGGGGGTGATCTGCTCGGGCGATGGGGGCTGGATCTTGTCCCAGACACTGTCAGAAATGGGAATTCGAGTCAGCCGGGATGCTATGGAGGGCCTTTCTGCGTCTCTTGGCCCTGCCGAGCTCAAGCGCGCGAGTGAACAGCGTACCGCCGAAAGCTTGACCGGACCAGACTGACAGCTACTTACAGCTTCTCACCCTTGGCCTTTTCGGCCAGGTATCGGTTGAAGAGGTTGAAGAAGTTGGACATCTCGGCGTCAACAGCCTGCCAGCGCAAGATCGCAGAAGAGTAGAGTGTCAGTTACCGTGTCGTATCTGTGTTGCGATTACTACAATCGCTCGCGCTGGTCCGCTCGTCCGCGGTCTGTGTAGAAACGTCCTTCGCGAGCGAATGCAGTTTCAACAACTACGCACCTTGCGAGCGACGGGGTCATCGATGCCTGAGACGAGCGCGTTGAGCTCGTTGCGCATAGCCTTGGCAGCTACGCCGGTGGTGGCCGACTTGAAGTCCTGTTTGTCGGCGGCGCAGGCGAAAGGACAACGTCGTGCAAGTCAAGTCAGCGGATGTTCGACCATGCATGGGGCTGCTAGCTGACACACTTACGATGTGGGAGGCACCGCGGGTGCGGGAGGCCTTGATCTGGGCGCCATTGTTGGGCGTGGAGAGGGTTGCGTTGGACGACATTGTGGAGAGTGCGACCAGAGAACGACGATTGGAGGGTGACTGTGGGTGGTGGGGGTCGGAAGGAAGGGTTGGAAGAAGTGCAGCTGGTCTATATTCACTCTCGGGGACTTGGCTTCACGCTAGTCGATGGTGGCGATGCGATGCGATGCGAAGCGCGATGCGGCCCGCGGCTGGTTTTTTGGGTCGGAGGGCGACGGAGGGCACGCACGCACGTCCGCACACACACACACGCATGCTGCTGCTGCTGTCCATCAGCTGCGCCGACCGACCGACCGACCGACCGGCGAGGCGCACTGTCGGAGCAGGTTCCAGGCCGCCGAATCGAACTGCACAGCGAGGGTGCAGCGAGTGTTGTGTTGCTCTGCTCTGCTTTGCCCTGCTTTGCGTGGCGCGTGCGTGCGTTTGGGCGTGGGCAGTCGCTTCGGGCCTTCTCGCACTGACCAAATTCGAATCCGCGCCACCCTGGCGGAAAAAGGCTCAGCGCAGGTGCCCGAGCCACCGCCGCTTCCGGCACCTCTTGAGGGAATTTTTGGAATTTTTGGAATTTTTGGAATCTCTCCTTCTTGCCACCTCGCCTCGGCCTGGCATCGGGAGGCGACGAGAAATTGCGCACGCCGCCAATCCTCCGCACCTCGAGATCCAATCATTTCTCGCCACCTCCTCTGCGCGCTCCCCTGAGCCTATGCTTGTCGGTCCATTGTAGCTTCTGCGCCCGTCTGCAACCGGATGAGTGCGCACACGCAGCTCCATTGCTTCGGAATCCTTCTAGCGTCTTGCAATGGCCATATGATTCCCAAAGAGCCAGGTACAGCAGCGCAAAGACTGGCTCGGCTGCGTGTAAGTTTCAGTTCGGCCGTCTCGCGAGGGGAACGCCAGAGACCTTGTTTGGCTCACCGGCGAGCAGCGGCCATTTTTTTCGTGCCTTGGTCGCATTTCCGAGCGCCAAAACCAAAATACAGTAAAAATAAGAATAAATTCAATGCACTCTCCCGCCCTTTGCCCGTGGCTGCAGCGCCAGTTTTTGTTCGCAAAACTCGCTTGCGTTGGTTCGAACGTGCGCCTGGCCGCTCCCTCCTAATCGATACAGACGCCCACGCCTAGCCGTCCAAAACGGCGCTCGCTCGGTCCGGCGAAGAGCGAGGCCCCGATCCCAATCGTTTCTCCCCCCGCGCTCAGCTGGCCTTGCTGCACCGTGAAGATCCCTGCAGCTCCCCTTCACCGCCCACATCGTTCAGGCGCACACAACCTAAACTTTGGGCCCCAGGGTCGCGTTCCGACCCGCAAATCATGTGGCAGATTGCCCCGCCAAACCCTCACCAGAGCCAAGGAAACGTCGTCTGAGCTCCGGGGCCAATCGATCGGATTCGTGTATGACAAAGATGCGCGCTGGGTCCCAGACTGACAAAAAAGCACGGGATGCGGTGCGGACGATGCGATGCTGGAACGACAAAAGCGAGAGTGGCCAACCCTATCCACGTGGCCGAGTGTGGTGCGCACTAGCTCCCCCTAAGCAAGGCGCGTGGGGCTACCCGACTGCATCCTTGCGCCGACTGGTGCCTCAGTGTCGGAGCCAGGCTCGCTGAGTTCGGCCCAGCTGTCGCTGTCGCCGGCATCGCTGTGCGCAGGCGAGAGCGCTGCCTCCCGACGCGCCGTGACGTTGAGCGCCTCGCTCGCGCTCGAGATCGTCGGGCTCGGCGGCGCGTCCAGATGCGACCAGCGAGCCTCCGAGTCTGCCGTGTCGCTGATCACCTCAAAGTCGGGCTCGCTCCCGCCTGAGCTCGACCCCGCGTCTGCGCCCTCGATCGGAGCGGCGAGCGCACGGTTCGAGCGATACGGAGATGACCCGACGCTGCTCGTACCGTCATCGCGAGGAGCTCCAAGGTGTTGCTCAGACAGCGTCTGCGAAAGACCATTGGTGTCGAGTTCCATGTGACCTTCCTCGCTCAAGTGGCCGTGCGCAGACGGATGTTCGATGACAGACGCCTCATCGTCGGTGTTGCGGCGAGAAAGAGCGGCACTGCGGTTGTCAAAGACCGCGTGCCAGGACGAGGCGGTGTCATCGACAATGTCTGCGAAAGGGTCGCACTGCGACTTGGATGGAGCAGGGTCCAGCGAGGGCGGAGTGTTTGGCTGGCTGAAATCCAGACCCAGAAGACCGTTCTTGGCCGCGTCGTTTTCGGCGGCGTCTTCTGCGAGAGTTTCGCGGGGCTCGGCATTGAGCGCACGCCCTCTGACCGTGTTGAAGCGCGAATCGCCGGCGTCGGCCAGCGAAGCGGTATCTCCGATGCTGGGTGAAGCGTCACCCAGATTGTGATGCGACAGCTCGGGTGAGGCTGGAACGCGCTTCTCTTCGACAGCGGCAGTGGTAGCGGTCTGATCTGCAGCGATGCCGCTCGCACCATCAGCGTTCGATCTGCGTCGTCTTCTGAGCCCGTCGCTGCTGTGATGGGGATTCGAGCCGGAAGCTTGCATCATCGATGCGCGTAGCTGGTCGCGATAGGCCGACGCCTCGCGCTCGTGCATCTCGAACTCGTGCTGCGATCTCTCGCTGCTCGCCTCCTCGCCCACACCTCGGCGGAAGTCATCGAGCTCGTCGTCATTCAGGCGAGTATGGCCGTCGTCGCCTCGTCGTCGCTCGTCTCTGCGCGTGCGGAAGTCGCGATGGATCTCGTTGACCGCCTGCTCCACCTCTTGGCGCAGCTTGAGGAACTCGCTTCGGACGCCTTGCGCGAAGCCGTGCGGCCAATTTTCATCTCGCCACGGCCGAAACACGGCAAGCTCGAAGGCGACGACTGCGCCAACGCCTGCACTAGCCGCAGTAGCGAGCACCAGCGGATGCACCATCAGCGTTCGCTCTCCACGTCGGCAGACGTATCTATCGAAGCTGTGCGCGGCCGGAACGACAATTGCAGCTGGTCCAGGAAAGAGTTGTGACCTGGTCGATGCCGGCGCCGACTTTGGTGCGTACAGTCGAGCTGCTGGTCAAGTGCTCGTGGTGTGGCGAGGATGCTGGTCGTTGTTGCTGTGACGGATAGTGGAAAAGCCGACTTACTGCGGGGTAGCTGCATCGCTGCGCAACTGAGCGGGAGCTAGGCGAGAGGTAGGGCTGAGCCACACGGGCAAGGCGGTGCATGGGCGCCAAAAAAGTGGAGCTTGGATCGCCTTTTTTTTCCGCGCGCAGAGCAGAACCCTGCATGAGCTGTGCCGAGGGTGTCTGCGCAAGGGCCGCCGCGAGAGTTGGTCCTTGTTAGAGCGTTAACTCGAATAGGGGTCCTGAAACGCCGCTCTCAGGCGAGAGACTCGGGCCTTGCCATGTGCGCCTCAGCTCAGCTCTGCGTTATGACCCGGGTTCATGCTCAGGTACTGGCGGATGCGACACCGCTCATAGCGAGAAACGACTGCTGCGAGCAATACACGAGGCCGAGACAAGCTAGCAAGCTGTTGGAAGACTGATTGAATATGCTGTGGGATTGAGAACGATGTGGTTGCGTTTGCAGGCTCTGCGTGGCTCACTTCTTCCAGAGGCCCATGAGCTCCTTTTGAAGGTCTCGCGCACGCCTCTCCTTCTCCAGGCTCTGGGTGCTGCGAAGCTGGCCGACGACGTCTCTGGTCTTGCCAAAGTAGACCTCCTGGAGCTGGTTGCGCATCTTGGCCTCCATGTCCTCGATCATGCGGCCGACGTTGGCGACGTGCGAGACAAAGTCGGGCAGCGCATAGTCTGCCTCGGACTGGCGTGTGAGACTGCCGGCGATCTCGACAGTGCCGACACGCGTGGACGAGGCCTTTGCATCGACCGCATCTTCGCCCTCGTCGCGACGCACGAGGCTGAGCATGACGGTCGAGGTGAGCTTGTAGCTCGCACTGGCGCCCGTGGCTGCCGACGACGATTTCGAGCTGCCACTCGCGCGTTCTGTCGCCTCAAACACGTGGATCGAGTCCCATGCGCCCGCAACGCCGTTGCCGCCGTCTTGTCCGATCGCTATTCCGAGATAGGAGCCGAAGTAGAGAAAGCAAAGATTAGCATCTGGTTACAACGCTGAGGCAGGCAGTGAGTCCCACTTACTCTTTTTGAGCAACACCACACCGGCAAAGGTGGAGGGGGCTTGGGTGCCGCCAACGGCAGCCGAGGCGAGCGAGCTTGGTTCGCTGTCGAGGTCCCACAGATACACGCTCGACAGCGCGTTCTCGTAGTAGAGCTTGGCGTACGTCTCAAAGGCGTCGTTGAACTTGAGCTCGAGCGAGCGAAGTGAAGCGCTGGGCCGGGTGCCTGGTTCTCCGTCGACCGATTCATCCGCATCGGCCGAGATGGGTGGATGGTAGGTATCCGAGATCCACGAGCGCCAGCTGTCGCCATCCTTGTTGTAGTCGCAACACAGGAACTCGCGGCCAGCACCTTGCTTGGAGTCGTCGATCTTGACCCGCAGCGGCTGATCGACCGACGAGTAGAGGTCATCGGCATACGAAGGGATGAGCTTGACGATCGACTCGAGGTTGGCCTCCACCTTGGACGGTGGAAGGCGCCGCAGCAGATCGAGCGAGAGGTCAAGCGGGTCGGTCATGATGGCTTGGGCGCGATTGCTCTGCCTGGAGGTTAGGATGACAAGATGCAATTGTTACGAGGCACTGGTGTTGTTGCGTGTGCGGTGTTGCAGGCGCCGCGGTCGACTCCACTTTGCCTCTCCGACCGTCACGGCTCCACGCTTCCTCGAACGGGACCGTGCGAGAGGGCGTATCCTAAACCACCTAACAAATTGAGAAAGCATCATAAATGTTAGACCCTGACAAATCCCTCGAATTCGGCGCCCAAAAAAAACGGCGCTGTTGGATTGGCGGGCTGTCGAGCATTGATTTGCCCCGCGCCAGGCAGCGCGCCACAGCTGCTGAGCACGCCATAGTCGGCGTCAATGATGTGGAACCGGTGGAGGCAGATGGAGAGCTGCAGCCTGCGTCCTTGTGCAGCTCCAACGGCCAAGGCTGCTTGGCTCGCCCCGCGCCTTGGTATCGGCGCACAATCTGGCCGGTGATTCCCCCCACGCCCCACGCCTGTGCCGGCATGCCTGTGAAGGTTGAAGGTCGAAGGTCTGACGGACCCTCGACCCTGTTGATGGAGCTGCAGCACAGACCAGTTTCAAGAAGATCTGATGCAAGAGCAGCGGCTGCCTCGCGCTCGCGCTATTTGGCTGAGACAAGGTGCTATCCTCCCATCGGCGCCTCGCTGTTCGCCAGCCGAGGTCGGCGCTGCCCCAGCACTGGCTCACTGTTGGTCGGCTTTGCATATGGCTCTGGCTTTCAATAGAGCCGACCGGCCAGGCGTTGAGCACGTCACGCCCGCAATCTAACTCTCATTCGACTGCCGGTACCGTCCTTTCAGGCAGGAGTCAGAGAAAAAAAAGTGAGGAGACGCTCGACATGTCTACTTCCCAGGAGTGGCGGCACCTGGCCGCCGAATCATGAGCTCTCGCTCGAAGCTTGTCGGCGCACGCCGGTTGATAGAACGTGGCCCCCCCATCCGCTACCCGCTGGGCCGCACAGAGCACTGTCCAATATATACACGCCGGTCACTGCCGTCCTTGTTGACAGGACTCCACCATCTGTCTTTCTGTCGCCTCGTCCGACTTTCCCCTGCTTCTTCTTCTGATCTCCGTCCCCTTCTTTCTACACGACAAGGACTTCGTTCACCATGTCGCACTTTGACACCCTTCAGCTCCACGCCGGTCAGGAGGTGGACCCGGCCACGAATGCGCTCGCCGTGCCCATCTACGCCAACTCGTCGTTCGCCTTTAACGACTCGGCACACGGTGCTGACCTCTTCGGTCTGCGCAAGTTTGGCAACATGTAAGTTTCACACACTCACGAGAAGCAGAGCAGAGACAGGACCGATCCGGCTGACATTGTTTCGCGCGTCCCTCCGACGATGCAGCTACTCGCGTCTGATGAACCCCACCAACGATGTGTTCGAGAAGCGTATGGCTGCGCTCGAGGGCGGTGCTGCCGCGCTCGCCACCTCGTCCGGCCAGGCCGCGCAGGGCATGGTGGTGATGGGCCTCGCCGGCGCCGGCGACAACATTGTGTCCTCGTCGTACCTCTACGGCGGTACCTACAACGCCTGGGCCAACCTCTTCCCCCGTCTCGGCATCACCACCAAGTTTGTCAAGTCGGAGAAGCCCGAGGACTACGCGGCGGCGATCGATGCCAAGACCAAGGCGATCTACATCGAGTCGATCGCCAACCCCAAGTACATCGTTCACGACATTGCTGCGATCGCCAAGGTGGCGCACGACCACGGCATCCCGCTCGTGGTGGACAACACGTTCGGTGCGGGCGGCTACCTGGTGCGCCCCATCGAGCACGGTGCCGATATTGTGGTGCACTCTGCGACCAAGTGGATCGGCGGCCACGGCACCACCATTGGCGGTGTGATTGTGGACAGCGGCAAGTTTGACTGGAGCAAGAGCGGCAAGTTCCCGCAGTTCACCGAGCCCTCGGCGGGCTACCACGGCCTCAAGTTCTGGGATACGTTTGGCCCCATCACGTTTGCCATCTACCTGCGTGTGGTGATCCTGCGTGACCTGGGTCCGTGCCAGAACCCGTTCGGTTCGTTCCTGCTGCTCCAGGGTCTCGAGACGCTCTCGCTGCGTGTGGGCCGCATTGTGGAGAACGCGCTGTCGCTGGCCAAGTGGCTCGAGCAGCACCCTCAGGTGTCGTGGGTGTCGTACCCGGGTCTGGAGAGCCACCCCTCGCACGAGACGGCCAAGAAGTACCTGCAGCGCGGTTTCGGCGGTGTGCTGTCGTTCGGCATCAAGGGCGACGCGGCGAAGGGCAGCGCCTTCGTCGACAGCCTCAAGCTCGCCACCAACCTGGCCAACGTGGGTGACGCCAAGACGCTCATCATCCACCCTGCGAGCACGACGCACCAGCAGCTTAGCGACGAGGACCAGCTGTCGTCCGGTGTGACCAAGGACCTGATCCGCGTGAGCGTCGGCTACGAGTGGATCGAGGACATCAAGGCCGATTTCACCCAGGCGTTTGAGAAGACCTCGGGCGTCAAGGGCGACGTCAGCTCGGGCCAGACCGGTCCCGCCCCCGGCCTTTCGGGCTCTGTGTAAGCCTCTTTCTCTTTGTGAGGAGCGTCCAACCCGCTCTGTGATCTTTGTCGGAATGATAGCATTCTGTGGTAATAGTGTACCCTCTTTGCATTGCCTGAGCGTGATGACATCGATGAGGGCTTGTATTTTTACAGTAGTCGGCGTTTGTGCGGGGATGCATTGCCAAAGCGAGACGCGACGGGAAGCTTAGGGCGGTCAACGGCAACAGCGGTAGCAGCGGAAGCGGAAATGGAAAAAGGCGAAAAGGGCTGCTGGCGAAAACCCCCTTTTGGACGCCAACACGCAGCTTTCCTAGCGAATTTGCCGGTTGAGCGGAGGGCGGWGGGCGGAGGAGAGACGCGCGCCCAGCTGAGCCGACTCGAGACAAACACACTCCCACACCCACACACGCACGCAGCCAGCCAGCCAGCCAGCCGTCCACTCTCACACGCACAGGCACGCACCCACGCACCGCTGCTCTCTCACCCACGCAACCGCCTGCACCCACGCGCCAGCCCCTCGCCTTTGACCATCACCATCGCTGCGACCTCGTTTTCCCCTTTCCTTTCTTTCTCCCTACCAAGTTTGTGTCTGGATAGGATCGTCAACTTGAAGACGCAACAGAGGCTGGCTCCAACTGCATCCCCCACGCTCTTTTCGCACCGAATCTCGATACCCGGCAACTCGATCGCCCTCTCGCTTGACCCCAAGTCCACACATCTCCATCGCGCCTCGGGTCGATCCTTTCTCTTGCGCGCACATCGCATCGGCCACCTGCCCTTGCCTCTTCTTCCATTCCGAGCTTCCCGATCATACGAAGGCACGTAGCGCTTTTGACGAAATCGGCACAGCATGGGTTCGAGTCTGTCCAAAGCGATGGGCAAGATCTTTGGCAACAAGGAGATGCGTATCCTCATGCTCGGTCTGGACGCAGCAGGCAAGACCACCATCCTGTACAAGCTCAAACTCAACCAATCCGTCACCACCATCCCCACGGTGGGCTTCAACGTGGAGACGGTGCAATACAAGAACGTCAAGTTCAACGTCTGGGACGTAGGAGGACAGGACAAGATTCGACCTCTTTGGAGACACTACTACACCGGCACCCAAGGTCTCGTCTTCGTCGTTGACTCGCAGGATCGCGATCGAATCGACGAGGCACGTCAGGAACTCCACCGCATCATTGGCGACCGCGAAATGCGCGACTGCTTGCTCCTCGTCTTTGCCAACAAACAGGACCTACCCGGCGCCATGAGCCCCGCAGAGGTGACCGAAAAGCTAGGCCTGCATAGGATGCGCGATCGAAGCTGGTTCGTCCACCCCTCGTGCGCCACCTCGGGCGAAGGCCTCTACGAAGGCCTCAGCTGGCTAAGTCAGAACGTCTCCTCCTCCAAGTCCTAACCACCCCGCACCTGGCTCTGAGCTAGTCCGATGTACATATCCACGTCTTGCCGCCCAACGCGACACTGTAATACCCTCCACGCCTCAACCTCATCCCATCACACCAACCAAAACCCAGAGCGAAACAGACCAAGAAAGACCGAGTGAATGCAAAGAAAAAGAGGGTGACATGTCCAGGGTGCCTAACAATCCAAACGCAACCGTGCGAGCTGATTATGCCCGGTTCGACGCCGCCTCGGAGCTCGATGTGATACTGGCGCCTGGAGCCGCGTCGGAGCTGCTGGCGCCTCGGCCCAGTCCGAGCCAGTTGGCCCATCCGCGCAGGCTGTAGTCGGCCGCGCCCGCGCCGCTGCCGACGACCGTGCGGCTGTTGCGCGCCGTGTTCTGACGCAGCATGCGCTCGTACTCGGCCTCGGACAGCCCGCCGCCGTATCCACTGCCGTATGCACCGTAGCCGCTGCCGCCCACGTTGGGGCTCGGCTGGGGCGACGGGTTGGAGTGATTGAGAGGCTGCAGCAAACCGCGGTCGCTGAGCATGCCCAGCACAGCGTTGGCGATCTGGTGCGTGCGGCCCGAGCCGCGGCGCGCCTGGTGGTGGGATGCAACCGTGCCGCCAAGCGCGCCATGCTCGAGCGCCACCGCATACGACGGCGGCGAGGCGTTGTGCGCCCGTACTGTCGCTGATGACGATGAGGCAGGCGGTGGTAGCGGCTGCGCAGGAGAGGGCGGCGTGGCTGGAAAATACGAGTCCTCGACGCCTGCTCGGCCGTTGGTGCGCGTCGAGGCGTCCGAGAGCGAATGTAAGGAAATGTCGAGGCGATGCGGCGTGGGCGGGTTGGGAGGGCTGCCGTCCGAGGAATCGTCCAGCTCGAGCGCACGGCTCGGGCGCAGCGATGAGGTGCGCACGGGAGCGGGCGAGGATGGGGCGGCCGAGTCGTAAGGGAGGCGATGCTGCGAGGTCGAGGGCGAGCGCTCGTCGTACGGCGAGATGGGCGGAGGCGGCGATTCGCGCGGATTTGCGGGTCCACGCTGCGCATCCGTCGAGCTGCCCTGACCGCTCTCCATGAGGATGGTGCCGCGCTCCTGGCCGTAGGCGGGCGGCGGTGCGAGGGTGCCTACCATGGGCGCGAGCCCCCACTTTTTGACGTTGGCCTCGATGAAGACGAAGCCTGCCTGGCCGAGATTGACGTGGATCTCGCAGGCGCCGTCGGCGCCGACGGTGGGGAAGAGGTTGTAGCGGTTGAGACCGATGAAGGCGTCTTCGAGGCGTTTGCCGTTGCGGGTGAAGAAAACGGTTCCGGTGCGTGGACGATAGCCGATGCCGATGACGTCGCCCTGGCCGTAGGCGGGGCCGTAGGACTGTGCAGCGAAGGGGTAGTTGTGGCACTTGAAGCCGTCTGCGGAAAAGTAGCCGATGGAGTACTTGGACCAGCCGGGCAGGCGGAACTGCGGGTAGGGTTTTGTGGTGAGGCCGACGGCGACGTTGGTGGAGTCGGGTTTGTTGAACATCTTGACCTCCCAGTAGTAGACCTCGTTGATCTTGGGCAGGGGCAAGTTGCTCTGTACGCATACGCCGCCTCCCTCCTGTGGGGCCATGCCCTCGCCGTCTGCGATGAAGGTGATTTCGGTGCGTGCCTCGACAAAGACGGAGGGGTTGGACTCGTAGTCTGGGTCGAAGGACCAGGCGCTGACGCCCTTTTCCTGGATGCTGAGGAACTGGCTGAGGGTGATGTCGGTGGAGAGGGTGCCCGGTGGATAGGCGAGGGCCCAGTCCTTTGCACGACGGTAGCCGCGTTGGGTAGGGTCGTCGACGGATTCGAGCCAGCGCTGTTCGAGGCCGTCGAGGCCGCCTGTGCCTTCGAGCTCCTCTTCGCGGCCTACGTCGAGCGGGCCGTCGGAGTCGCCGAGCGAGATACGAGCCCTGCGCCTTACAAGGATGACGAGGATGATGAAGAGGAGGAGGAGGAATAGCAAGGTAGAGAGGAGGATGAGGAGTGGAAGGAGGAGAGCGAGCGTGTCGTCGGCTGTGGGTGGACGCTGGTAGATGGGTTCGTCGGGCAGACTGATGATGTCGAGCGGCTGGATGGTTGGGCTAGGGTCCTGGGCATGGCCGAGCGACTTGAGCTGCTGGTTGAACAGACGCTCTCCGGACAAGCCGAAGGGACGACGGAAGCGCGGCTTTGTTGGTGAGAGGGATGGATCGTAGGCATCATCCCTGACGCGGTCGTCGTTGGAGAAGGTGAGAAGGGCGTCCATGTCGAGGACGGACTGACGGAAGGGATGGCGAGTGTTTGAGGCAGCATTGAGCGGTTGGCTGGATCTAGAGGACGACGCTGGCGAGTCTAGAAAAGGTATTGAATTGGATGAAGACGACGAGGGCGCCGAGCTGGAGCCAGGGCCGGGCTTGCTCGCCGGCATGAGAGGTGCTCGTACGTTGGCCATGGTGGTCAAAAGCGAGGTGCCAGCAGCACCATGTCCGGCCGAAGCGAGATAACGAAGGTGGAGTCGGCCGAGGTGACTTGGTGCAAGTACGATGTGGACCTGTACGTAGTTGGGAGGGTTGTGGTGCTGCGAACAGGAAGAGACAGTAGTGGCGGAGGATGGAGAGATAGATGAGCGACGTTGGATGTGTGTGTGTGGAGTGAGTGAGTGCGGGCGCTGCCAGGCGAGTGTGACTGTGCTCTCGGGGGGGCGGATGTGGTGCGCTGAGCTGTGCAGTGCAGTGCAGTGCAGCAAGGACTGCAGATTCAAAAGTGAACGGCAGCTCGCCCCTCTCTCGGCACGGCCGTGGACCGACGCAGCAGAGCACCGCGAAATTGCCCCAAAATTGGGCGCATCTCGGGCTGCTTCAATCCGTGCCTGGCAGCCGCGCGCATTTCTTTCCCTCTCTCTCTCTCTCTCTCGACCCCTGCGCCCGGTCCTTTGCTCTCTTACATCACCCCCGTCTGACATCGGGAGCCTTCCGTCCAGATTGTGATCCTGTCTCTGTCTCAATCAAATCACAGCATGCCGTCGCTCGAGACGAAAGAGCAGCTTGATTGATTGCTACCCGATGCCGAGACGAGAAAAAGCCCGGCTGCAAGGCCGCTGCTCGGCTGCATAAGCTGCGCTTTTCTTGGGCCGATCGGCTCGACCCTTTTTTTGGCCGCCAGCCTCCCGATCCGGCGAGCCCAACCTCTCTCTGTCGAGCCATCCGCCTCTCGATCCCCTTGGCGCTCGATGCGTGAGCCTGACTCAGCAGGCGTCCACCACCTCCTCCCCATCCCTGCTCTCCCTCTCTCTCCCCCTCGCCCTGGCTGCTCCTCCATCCATCGCTGCCCTCTCGACATCGCCGTGACGCATCCCTGCTCGCCGCCAGCGCGCATCGTCCTCTTCACCACCATCTCTGCATTCACAGCGCGCTTCCATCCGGCACCGTCGCGTCTCGGAAAAAAAGTAACGCGTCGAGCAGGCCCAATATTTCCCCCGGCCCCCGCCTGCCCTCTGCATAGCGGCAGCGACCCTCAACCCCAAAGCAACACACTCAAGGAACCAAGGACCACGCTCGACAGCCCGCCATGGATAGCGCTAGCAGGAACGAGGCCAACGCGCCGCCCAACGACACCGATGCCGATGCCGAATTCAACTGTAAGTTGCGCCTGCATTTGGGTGACTGCGCATGACTAAGCACCTCCCCCCAACCGCAACGATCATGCTGACCTTTTGGTTCCGTTGTAGCTTCCGATTATACGCACAGCCATCTGGATCCTTCGCTCGGTCCGGGAGAGCACGACGCCAGCTCGACGGCGGCGGCCGCACCGCAGGCCGACTCGACCGAGTCCACCGAGACCAGCGAGCCTGCCGCGGCCGCAGCGGCACACGCAGGCGATGTGGGCCACGCCAAAGCCATGGAGGCGGTCATGCAGCTCGCCCAGGCGGCGTCGCAGCAGCAGCAATACGATCAGCAGCACGTTGATGCTGACAGCGCCGCCGACAACACTCAAGACACCGCCGAGAAACGGGGCGAGAAACGCCGCCCTTCGCACAGCAGCTCCACCGGTCGCGGCGGCAAGACGGCGCGCCACGACGAGTCGCACGTTGCTGCAGCTGCCGCCGCTGCCGCCGCCGCCGCAGCAGCAGGAGGCGACTCGAATCTGCCCTTTCTCGAGTCGTGGTCCGATGGCAACATCCCCGCCGAGATTCAGAAGGCGTATCAGCAGCACCTCGCGCACGGCTTTGGCGCGTCGGACGAGCCTGCATCTGCGTCGTCGAGTCCGGGGAAACCTGGGCGGCAGCTCTCGACGTCGAAGCGTGCGGCGCAGAATCGGGCTGCGCAGCGCGCGTTTCGCGAGCGCAGGGACAAGTACGTCCGCGTGCTCGAGAGCAAGGCGGCCCGTCTCGAGACGGCGGTACGCATCGCGACCGAGTGCAAAAGGCGATACGCCGATGCGGTCCAGACCATCGATGGGCTGAGGCTCGACAACCATACTCTGCGCGTCGCACTCGCCGCTCTGAGTGGGACGTCGGTGGATGTACCCGCACCGTCGGGCAAGGCGGACGAACTCATCGCCGCTCTGCCCGAGATCCCGCAAGTGACAACGCAGGAGGAGGAGAGCATTCTACAGGGAGCACAGAGTCAGCTTTCGCAGGGCGCACAGAACTTGGACTCGCTCAGCACCGTCGCCGCTGCAGCTGCTGCGGCTGGTCAGGAGGAGAAGAGTGCAAGTGCACCCGTGAGTCTGCCCCCCGTGCCCTCGGCGCAGCAGCCAGCCGGCGACAATTCCACCGAGACCGAAGTAGCCACGCCGCCGACACAACCCGCTGCGACCCAGTCTACATAGTTGCGCGCAATGCACACGCCAAGCTCACCACCAATCCAGTGTGTGCCAATTCAGGGTGTGCCGATGCAGTGTGTGCATTGCATTTGTGAGATGGGCATGCTGTTCTTCAGATGCACGCCATCTTGTCTTTTCCTCCTCACCAACCACACCCCCTCATCGGCCGAAATTGTCCTCTCAAACAGACAGCAGCGTAAGAGGTGAGATTGTACTGCAATGCGCTTGTTCTACAACGACACGGCGGCGGGGGTGGCGGGCTTAAAGTGGGTCTCATGGCAAAAGTTGCAGCACACCCTCGGGCCCGTCTCCACCTCGTCTTCATCCTTGACCCTTGTTTCGGCCGCCGGCAGTGGCCACCAAAACGGCGAGAAGCGCGTGCTGCACTTTGCGCACGACTTTTGCCTGCCCGGCTGCGGCGGTTCTACCTTGACCACGGTGGGAGTGACGAGCGAGTCGTAGCGCTTGGCTCTGCGCAGAAGCGCATACGTCGTCTCTCCCACCAGCGGGTTCGTCCCCGCCGGTACGGCGAGATGCTTGTTGGTGCGCACAAACATCTGCAGACTCGTCAGACCTGTCTTGGGATCCACCTCGGCAAGGTCGTAGAGCTTCTTGGTCTTGGCGAGTTCCTTGTGCTCCTTGCACCACACCTGCGGAACCATATGGCCCGATTCGCCCTTGAACGTCAGCGTCGCAATCACGTCGCGCCGCGTGCTCTTGACGGGGATGATCTCAAAGCCCAGCGTGTACGCCGGCTGGTGGTTGTGCGCACACGCCACGTGGAACGTCTTGCGACACAGCGGATCCGAGCACGACACGCACGCACCGCGCGCATCGTGGCAGATACTACACTCGGCTTCGTACCGCCACCCAGGCAAGTTGCCACAGCTCTCGACGAGCTTGAGCCGCGTAACGTCCGAGAACAACACCTCGGGCATCCACACCGCACACAGCACGTGCGCCCAGTTGTTGCACTCGGTCGGCTTAAACGCATCCAACGCTCCCAGCGGCGCCTTGGCCGCCGCCAAGCCCGGCTCCCTTTTGAGCCCATCGGCACCCGAATCGGGCACTGCCTTGGGTCGACCGCGTGGCGCCTTTTCGCCGGTGGTCGAGAGCGCGTGCTTGGCCGAGATGGCCGCCGCCTCTTGCTGCGCCGCTGGCGAGCAGAGGATGCAGCGTGGCAGCAGCGCCGCCTCTTGCGTCGTCTCGTTGTTGCACGGATCGCACATCCACACGTCCATCTCGATCTCGTGGTCCGTGAGCCCATAGCAGCCCTGGTGCACGCTCAGCGAGCACTGACGGCATTGGGCGAGCTTCTTCTTGGGCTCGATGCGCTTGCACATGACGCACTTGAGCGGCTCGGGTCGCGGCACCGATGGCGGCGCAGGGCTCGAGCCGGCAACACCAGGCGGGCTGGCCTTGGAATCGCGCGAGGTGCGCGAGATCTTGCTCGGCGGCGCCACACCCAGACCGTCCTCGGAGGCGGCGGTGCTGGCGGCGGTGGCGGTGCCGGACTTGTTGCGCGTGTTGACCGAGACGAGGTCCGGGTTGAACGTCTCGGCGGCGTACTTGCGCCAGTAGATGCCGCAATTGACGCAGAGCACGCGGTTGGCGAGCGAAGCGGGTCCCTTGTACCAGATGCGACTCGAGGTGGTGGAGCACATGGCGCACGAAGTCGAAGCGCCCGACGGCTCGCTGTCGCCGTACACCGAGAGCGAGGGCGACACGGCGCGCGAGGTGGTGGGCTTGGGCGCCGGCGTCGACGTGCCGTTGGTACCGCTAAGCTTCCTGGACCCACCCTGTGGCTTGGCGTCGTGCATTGCATCGAGGTCCGCCTTGATGCGCTGCACCTTCCATACGACAAAGTAGCGCACGATGTCCGAGACCTTTTTGGTGGGGATGTACTTTTTGAGCTGCTTCATATCCGAGTTGACCTGCGCGATGCCGGCCTCGAACTGCTTGGCCTCCTTTGCGGACCAGTTGGTGATGCGCAGCTGCTTGAGCGTGCTCGCCGACATGGCCATGAGCGCCTGCACTGGATCGCCGTGCTTCTGGGTGAAGGTCATGAGCGCGCGGTTGATCAAATCGACGTGGTGGGGCGGGACGGACTTGAAGTGGGCGCGCACCGCCTGCATGTATGCGTCGAGCTCCTTGTCGGACTTGGCGGCGTCTGGGAGGAAGATGGGCTCGACGCTCTGGTCGCCGCCGCGCTCGAACTCGGGTGGCTCTGCGGGGAGTTGGACGGGTGGCATGGCTGGGGTGCTGCTGCCGGTGGTGGGCGTATCGGAGCGTTCGTGCGCTTCTCTCTTGCGCTTGAAAGGGCGGCCCTTCTTCTTGTGCGAAACGGTGGTGGAGGTGGTGGGCGCGGGGGTTCCGGAAGATTCTGCCGCCGTTGCCGCGGAAGCTTCGGCAGCGGGTAGGACACCAGCAACGCCCTCTTCCTCCTTGGCCTTTTCTTTGCCTCGGCAGTGCACGCCGAGGCCAGCTTCCTTTTGCTCGTCCCAGGTGGGGAGCGAGGCCTGATACTTGGGTCCAAGGCGAGTTGTTGCAATGGGATAGACAGAATCGTGCGGGTCGAGCACGTCCATGGCGGTGGTGTGTTGTCCAAAGTAGCGGTAGGGCCAGCGGTTGAAGCAGCGGGTGCCGCGAATGTCGTCCGAGGACTTTTCTGGCGCGGGAGTGCCGTCGGGGGTGTTGCTGGCTGAGGCCACGTCGTCAGCTCGGCCGGCCATGCCTCTTCTCGGATACGAGGATCGACCGCGACCGCGGGATGAGCCGCGAGTTTTGTTGGCGGTCGCGGTAATCTGATGTCTTGGCGGGTTGGATGTGCTCGGGATTGCGATGGCCGAAGCCGAAGCCGAGGCGGAGGTGAGCTGACCTCCATTCTGAAGCGTGTGCTCGACGTGCTGCTCGTGCTGGCGGGAGCAAGGAGCGCAGGTCCAGCTGTAACCCTTTGCAGGCTTGGAAACGAGCGGTGGGTTGAGGCACTTCATGTGGAAGAACTTTTTGCAAGTGTCGCAGCGGACGGACTCGGGGCCGGACGCCCAGCGATGGCAGACGGCGCAACCTCGGAGGGCGTCGGTGAGGTCGTTGATCATGCCGGCCTCTGCGACTACAAAGGAGTAGCGCATGCGGAGGGTGGAGAGGACTTCTGGAGGAGCGTTCTGGACCTTTTCGGTGGGGACGACGTCGTAGAAGCGATGAATGTATCTGTCGTAGAGCTGGTAGTAGTAGAAGTGATCCTCCTTCTTCTTCCATTGGGTGACGTCGGGAGCGGTGCCTGCGCCGATGAGATCGCGATGACGGACCTCGCAGATGCCGCGTACGTTTTCGAGGCTGAATACGTCCGAGTGCATGGTTGCGACGAGCAGACGCGGGTCGTTTGTGGAGCGTAAGCTGATGTCGCGCATGCGCAGGAAGACGTTGGCGCGGACCTGCAAGGTGCCGGAGCTGCTGGCGAGGGCGGCAGCGCCGCTGCGAGAGGAGGCGGCGGTGACGAATTCCATGACTCTGGCGATCATGTATGGCTCGCCAGCGCCGGGAGCCCAAGCGGGAGAGAGGTAGATGTGGTCGTTGATGCCGATCATCTTGCCGTCCCTGATGGCGACGCGGGTGACGGGAGCGGCGGACTTTGTGGCGGAGGTGGAGGGTGCGGCATCGAGGAGGGCCTGCTGCTGCTGTTGCTGCTGGAGGCCGGATTTGGAGGCGGTGAGGCCCGTGGCGGCGAGGGAAGAGGTCGACATGACTGCGGAGACGACGGTGGATGCGACCCAATGCAGTCGGGTCTAGCTGATTGGTGAAGGCGCAGACGGGCGTGCACGCGCGAAGGAGGGATGAGAATGGGGAGAGGATGCGATGTGCGGCAGGGATGCGACGGTGGTGCGTCCGAGCGGCATGGAGCGCGCACAGAGGTCACAGGCCACCGGCCAAAAAGAGGACAAGGTTGTGCGCAGAGGAAGAAGCCGGAGAAGAAAAGAGGGAAAAAAGAAAGGATGCGACGAGGTATGGGAGCGCAACGGAGATGAAGTGAATGCGGAGTGATGCCAGGAGATGCGAAGGGACGGCGGAGAAAAGCTCGGGCCAGAGAGCTGCCGCTGGGGATGGTGGTGAGGAGGGGAAAGAAAGGTGAGGGGCGAAGCGGAATTTTTTTGGAGCGTGAGCCAGATGCGCCCACCGAGCCGTAGCTGACGGCCAAGGCGAGATTAGACGTGGGTGGAGCTGGAAGGCGAGAAGCAAGTTGTGCAAGGCATACAGGGCTAGCGGTGCACGAGGCGATGTGAGTGTGCGAGGTGGAAGAAGCGGTGGGTCAGATGTCGGCGGCGGCGGACGTTGAGGTGGGGAAGGGGAGGGGAGGGGAGGGGGAGGATGAGCGGCAGAGAGGGATGGGCAGAGTGACATGAACGGGAGAAGCAGATGGCAGATGTCGGACGTAACGTCGTTGGCCACCGCCGCAAAAGAAACAGCGCGAAAAAGGCGGAATTGCGCATGCAGGCGGCCGAGTGCAGAAAAAAGGGCAAAGGATGGTCAGCATGGCGCTCTTGAAGGAAGCAGCAGTCGCCATTGCAGTGTGACGGTGCTTGCACGTGTGCTCAGCCGGTCCTAGCGCAGATGCAACGCTCGCAGGTGCGGCGAGCTTGGGGATCCGAGGACGAAAAGGACGAAGAGGGGAAGGGGATGCCGACGGTACCAACAGAACGAGCATCGATGCTGCGCGATGAAGAGAACAGCACAGACACAGCCGATCATGGACATGGTAATCTCACTGGGGATAGCAGGCTTCACGCAGCTACTGGATCGGAAGGAGACGGCGCGATGATCAAGGAGGGGGAGCGAGCGCACAATCGCACTGCGGCCTTTGCCGGGAGGATGACGCGGGCGAGAAGGAGCTGCAACGTACCTGTCCTGGATGGTCAGTAAGTGCAAGAGGCAGCAATGGCTTGCACTGTGGTAGAGGATCGATGCAATGCTGAATCGTAGCGATGGCGAGCAGTGATTCGGGTGAGGAGAAGAGATGGAGTGGCCGACTCGGGATTGCGGGATCAAGGTTGAAGGCAGCGTTACGCTGTGCTGTGCTGAGCTTGGACTCTGAAAGGCTGGCTGGTGCCTGCCTTGAGAGCGTTGTGCGTTGCGCCTTGTGGGCACACGGCCCTCGACAAGCGGCTTGTCAACGCACTGCCCTGCACTGCACACTCTCACAAACTCATCCGCGCCCCGCGTGGCGTGGACCGTAATGCAAAAGCTTGCCAAAGCGCGCACCGCCGCCCGAATTTTGACACGAGCCGGTGAGGGGGGCCCTGCCCTTGCCATCGCCTAGCTTCGACGTGCAACCGATGGCTCAGGAAGCAGCGCAGCTCAAAGATCACCTGTATGGGTATTGGTATACATGCTTGCTACTCTGCCACTTGGTCAGACAGAGCCACTCGTTGAAGGCGGTTGATGGCTGAATGGGATGGGATGAACCTTGCGATTGCCCTGCTCTTTTGTTGGACCGCAGCTCATCCAATGCCAGACCTCGCCACATTTCATCACGCTCAACTGGAGTTGTGTCTCGAGCAAGACGGCTGAGCCATGATGAACCTCGGCGTGTGCTTGCAGGGCAACAATGGAGAGGCTTGGCTGGTTGGTATCGCCAATGCAAATCCCTTCTGACTTCTGGCCATTGTGGACATCATTTTTTTTCCTTTTTCTTTTCTTTTCTTTTCCTTTTCTTTTCTTTTCCTTTTTATGCCGAGTGGTGCGGCACAAGAGCAGAGTCAGGGCGGGCTGAGCTCGGATGTGGTGCGCGGCGCCGTTAGCCAAGTTGGAAAGGGCTCACGACGTGGGGAGAAACAAAGGGCTGGACCCCGTTGCCAATTTTGACGGTCTACAGCAGCGACGGTCTAACAAATTCCAAAAACCGCCCCCCATTTGTGAAATGACGCGGTGATGCCCAGTTGTGAGTCGGCGAGTTGCGGGGCTGCAGCTAAAATTGCGTTTGGACGTGGGTCATGTGGAGCAAAGCGCCAAAAGCCAAGGGCTTCGTGCACTGGCCCTGCGTCGCACCCTCTCAAGTGGGCTGCAGGAGGGTGCATGCAGGTCTCGAGCGCCCACTGCATCGGTACACCTGGCTGCTATCACCCCCCTCATCCCCTCGCATCCTCCTCCTCGTCGTCGTGGTCGCAGGTGCATCGTGCTTGGCCCTCATTCGCACTGCTGCCCATCATGACACGCGGCGTGCACCACATCGACGCCGTGCCGGATATCATCCCGGCGCGCGTCAACATCCACCACCTCCAGCTGCGCGACCTCCTCCAGCCTACGGGCGTCAAGGACAACGTGCTCTTCGTCAGCCGTCTCCAGGTGGAACATGCCGACTTCTCCAACCCCCTCAAGCCCCCCTCGGTCTACTGCACCCTCGACTTTCAGCCAAATTGCCTCACCACCGGTTCGGGCCTGCTTGCCGCAGGTGGGCAGCATGGAGAGCTCGCTCTGCGCCCGTTGCATCCGGCGTCCCTGCAGCGTCTCGATCCGTCGTGCTCCGAACGCACCCCTGCACCTTGGCTGCTTCGAACACCCACGGGCGGCTCCATCAATAATGCCATCTCCATACAGCCCGACCTCAATGCTCCCTCCTCCTCGCGCGCGTTTGCATCCGCTGCGCCCGAAGCCTCGCCAACCGCCTCGAAGCGCGACGTGGTGGATGCAGTGCCAGAAGACACCTACTCGCCCTGGGCAAGGGACGAACCCTCATCGTCCTCGTCCTCCAACCACGCCCGTCCCGGTCTGCTCTTCGGCGACGAGCAGATGGAGTCCGAACTCTCCCAGAGTGTGTTTGAAGAGCTCGCGGCCGCCTATGGCTTCGACCCAGCCTCGGTCAATCGCAGCTCGGCATGGCGGCGTTCTTCACCCGTGCGTGCTCGGCGCACCTCTTCCAATCCCTCATCCCTCGCATCGGCCATTGCGCCAATCGCACCCATCAAGGTGATGGTCTCGAACAACGACCAGTCGATCAAGCTGTACAAGCTGCGTCCGCCCAAGTCGAGCGCGGGTGCGGACGGACGCATCGAGTCGGGTCTGCCCGGTCTATCGCGCAACACCACGCTGCACTTCCCCACCGCCATCAATCACTCTTCGCTGTCGCCCGATCAGCGCACACTCATTGCGGTGGGTGATACACCCGATGTCTTTATCCACAGCGTTTCGAGGTCGGGCGAACACGTTAAAGTGGCCACGTATACTGCGTCTAGCGATGCATGTTTTAGCACCACCTGGTCACCCGATGGCAGCAAATTCGCAGTCGCCAGCCAGGACGGTGTTGTGTCGGTATGGGATGTACGCAGTAGTCGACGTTTAGCAGCGCTCACGACAAGTCAGGCATCAAGTAGCAGTGGTAGTGGAGCAGCACGAGTGGTCAAGTTCTCACCCGACGGAAGGTTCCTGGCCTATACAGAGCATCGAAACTTCTTTCACGTTGCCGACACGGTAACATTTGAAGATGTCCAAAGCGTTGCAGCACCCACTGTGGCTCCCGAGTCGAGCACATGGTCCGAACGGAGAATCCCTCTCACAACCAGTATGGTGGATACCGATCGATTCCGATTATTGACGGGTCAAGATGCAATCGCCAGGGATAGGGAAAGAAGGTCAATGATCCATGCCACCTTTATGCGCGAGTGGAACCGAGCCATCAACTTGGTGGACCGTGGTCCCTCGTCCGACCAAATCGCCACCTCCAGAGGCTCCAACTACTTTCCAGACCTCCTCAATTGGTCTCCCACCTCAACATCAACCTCATCATCAGCTCCACCAACAGGCATCGCAGCTGGCGCAACAAACATTAGCGGTCTCTGCTGGGACCCCGACTCCGAAGCCATCTTTGTCGCAACCGAACGCGCAATCGCCAAACACACCGTCGCCGACACTCGAATCTCCGTGGCAAACGCCACCCTCCTCTAGCCCGTCCCCACACTTCCCCCGTACCCCCAATCCTCAATCCTCACCCCCTGCAATGTCCTTGCTTCCGAGCGTGTCCACCACCGCATCCACGCGTCAAACAGAAAAGCAAGACGACCAAAAAGACTACATGACGAGAACTATGCGTTGCGCTTGCTTAAAAGTACAAATGTGGATACGGACGGACGAACTAATGTGTGCGACTATGTGTGTGTGTGTGTGTGTGTGTGTGTGCTTCGGGATCAAATGCGGGTCAGGAAAACAAGAAAATGCCGCCCTCTCGCGCCACTCAGTAGCGGATCAGCAGCGGGTCGACATAGTGCGCCTCGGCATTGTTGAACGGCGCGTGCGGCGCTTGCACCGCATACTGCGCGTACCCGTGCATCAGCGCCTGCTTCGAGGCGTAGCCCGCGTAGAGCGGCGAAAAGGCATCGATGGGAGGCGTCGGGTACGGCGTCGTCGTCGCCAGCGGCTTGCGGATCGCCATCACCTCGGCCGCATCGTGCGCAGGCTGCCAGTGGAAGTAGTCGCTCTGGCACGCGATGGGCGCAGGCATGTGCACGCCCAGGATGCCCCGGTCGTACCCTGCCGCCAGCTGCCAGTACGCGAGCGGATGCGGCTTGCACGCCATCCCACCCGCCGCGCCCGCAGGCTGCTGCATCACAAACGGCGCCAGCAGCGTGTTGGGCGTCGAGACCAGCGGCTCAAACACCGAGCGTGGGCACGGCTGCGCAAAAGGCGGGCTCAGGCCGTAGTTGCGAGCCGCCGCGCCGAACGTGTGCATCGCACGTTCGTCGTCGAGCTGGCGTCGCTTGGTGCTGCGTTCGGGCGAGGGCGTCTGGTAGCAGTTGGGCTCGCTCAGCGGGCTGGTCTGATCGTACTGACCATAGCTCCTCTTGGCACCACCACCCACCGACGCTACCGGCTGCTGGACACCGTTGGGCATCACATGCAGCGAGCGCGAGGCACAGTCGGCCGAAGACGCAGCGGGGGTGAGGTAGCCTGCGTGGTTCATGATGGCCTGGACGCCGGCGTCCATCTCGAAGCGTGGCACCAGCGCCGCTACGGGGGCGGGCGCAGCGGCAGCCGCATACATGTGGCTCAGGTGGCTCGTAGCCGCTGTGGGTGACGAGCGATGGCGCGATTCGACCACCTCGGGCGACCAGGATCGCGACTGGCTCACGCGCGAGTTGTTGGCGATGCGTCGTGGCGCGTCGTAGATGGCCGAGAGGCCGGGTGCTTGGTGCGGGTGCAGCAACGCCGACGGGTGCGATTTCGAGGCGGTCGAGTGGATGAGGCCGTGCTGGTGGAGTGCCGTCTGACGCGCCTTTTCGGCCTCGTGGGCGCAGAGTGCGAGATGGCGGCGCTCTGCGAGGATCTCGAGTGTGCCGATCCAGCTGCGGAAGTCGGCATCCGAGGCGTGGATGTTGGACGAGAGGCCGAGCCAGAACTCGATCTCCATCTTGGTGACGTCCTTGAGCTTGAGGCCCGAGAGTTCGGACCAGGTCTTGTTGGTGTAGGTGTGGTCGTCGAGGAACTTGTTGGCGAGCATGAGCGCGGTGACAAACAGGCGGAACTCGCTGCCGTCCTGGCCGCGGAGGCCAGGATTCTTGGACTTGAGACGGTGAATGTAGAGGAGAGCGAGGATGATGACCGACTTGGACACCTGGGTGGTGTTGAGCATGTTGCGCACAAAGTCGGTGAAGCGGCGGCGCGGGAAGAGGCGAAGCGTGCGCGGGTCGTTGGATCGCTCCGAGGCGGTAGGTCGCGAGCGGCTACCAGCATCGACGGCGGACCGGGCGTGTGCCTCGACGGCGTTGTGGAGGTCGCGGACGGAGAAGGAGACTGCTTCGGAAAGGCTGCCGAGGCTGAGCTTCTTGGAGTGACGCTTGGCGGTGGGCGAGTTGGTGATGGAGAGACGGCCGGGACGGGTGGTGGGACTCGAGGCGGCCGACGAAGCCGAGAAGCTGGGCTCGTGGCTGTCGATGCCGCTGAACCAAATGTAGCACACCATTTGTGCGCACCAGTCGCTGACCGAGGTAGACGACTTGAGGTCGGCGTCGTCTGAGGAAGGCTTGGAGGTGGCGGCGGCAGTGGCTTGTTCGACCTCGGCGTCGGAATCTGAAGCAGCTGGGAGGGCGTGGGTGACGGGAGCGACGATGGAATCGTCTTGCTGATGCTTGTTGCCGGAAGCGTGCTTAGACTGCTTGTGAGTTCGTGGCCAATTCTCCTTGCCAAAGTAGGCGGCGTCGCGAGGGAGGTCCTTGCGCAGGCCATCCGACAGAGGCAGCGCCGAGGGAAGTGGAGCGACGTACACCATGGTTGGCGGCAGCGTCGGGCGATAGGCGGACAAGAGTGGTGTAAGCGAGTAAAGGTGCGCAACCGTTGAGCGACGGGATGGCTACCAGAGCTGTCCGCGAACGATTGAGAGAGGGTCACGCTCGCACGAGCAGAAAGGACTGACCCCGTGAAGACGGATGATTCAGGCCAAAGTTGAGGCTGCCAACATGGAGGTGATGGGGTCAAGACAGTAGACGCCGAATCAGGGAGCGGCTACAGAGAGGTGAGGCGGTCGAAAGAGTGATGGCTGTGGTGCAAGCGCTGCCGTAAAGCGTTGAGTGTGGTGCGGAAGGAAGGGCTACAAAGCGTTGATTTTGGAGCGAGGGTAGACGGCGGGTATGAGCGCCGTAGATGCGGGAGTAGATGGCCGTGAGTGTGCAAGGCGCTCTGGTGAGATCTCGATGCGAACGGGCGACAAGGGGAGCGCAGAACGGGAGGGCGATGCGCTGGGATAGACGATGTTGGACGGAGAGATGGCTGCTGGAGACGGAAGTGTTGGAGGTAGGGTGCTCGTCTGGTAGGCTGGTGGAAGAAGGTGAGGAAGCAGCACCGTCAAGGAGCTCGAGTGTGTGAAGCAGCGTGTGCGGTGCAAGCAGCGAGCAAATGAGGAGCTAGCAGCTAGCAGCTAGCAGCTAGGCTTGTGTGCGTGTGTGTAAGAGAGAGAAGGAGAATACAGCTAGAGACGGCGAGTAGGGAATGGGTGAAGAGAACGTGGGTTGCACGAGAGGTGGGAGGAGATGGGAAGAAGAGTTGTTCTTGCCAGAAAGCGAGGCAAGGGGGGCCGGGCGGGCAGGGGATGGATGCTTGATGCAGTTGATGGCGGATGCGGCTCTGGCCTGGGCAGGAGGAGGAGGAGTAGCAGCAGTGACAGTAGTGGCAGCAGGCGTGGGGTGGGGAGTGAGGCGCAAGAAGGACTCAAATCAGAACAACCGAGGCGGAACGGGCAGCAGCAGCAGCACCAACAGCACGAGCAGCAGCACAAAGCAGCAGCTAGGAGGCGGAGGAGGGCGAACACCCAAAACGAGGAGGCAGAGGCAGAGGCGGAGGCCGAGGAGCGGCGGCTGCAGCTGCGGGTTGACAGGTAACTTGGCGGCGGCGGAAGTTGCACTCCAACACAAAGAAAAGTGCCGAGAAGGCCTTGTGGATGGATGAGCCGCGCCGCGCCCTTGGCCGACGCAATGCACAGCCGACGCGAGGCACAGGCGAGAGCCAAGGCAAAGCAAAGCAAAGCAAAGCATGAGGTGACCCGCATGCCACGCTTGAATCCAATCCAAGGGGCGCCGAACCCAGGCGGGCACAGCCTGAATGAGGGCGAAAATGCACTGGTGCAGTGCAGTGCAGTGCCGTGCCCGGGTGGAGGGGCTTGGCTGTGGGAGCGGGCGGCGCGGTTTGACAGCACCTCTCGCTAATTTGCGTCGAGGCGTTCCAACCGCACCCAGGCATGTGGCAAAGAAAGAAGGCGGCACCAGCAGCATGTCCGACCATCGACGTCGATTCCCCATTTCACTAGCTGGCTCAGCTTGCTGAGGTGGCTCAGTCTTGCTGTGATGGGATCAGCCCACCACGCAGCGGATCCCAGCCGAATCTCAGCGGCAAAGCAACGAGCTTCGTGATTACATCCCGTAAAGTACGGTAGGAAGGCGGGTTGGATGACAGCGGCAGTGCAGCCGGACGCGGGCTCGCTGACCCTAAATCTGGGTGGGGCGGGCGGAGGTGAAATCGGAAAAGCCGAGCCCCCAAGCTGGTGGGCGGTTGAAGCTTCCCAGCGCGCCAGCCGTGGGAGGCAGTGGGGACGCACACCGGCAGCACAACCGCAAAGCCCACCTAGCCCAAGCCAAGCCTCAGCCTCAGCCCCAACCCCAACCCCAGCCCTCGCCCTAGCTCACCAGCCGGCCATGCGGCCAAGCGGCCAAGCCGCATGGAATCGACGCTTTCTCCTTCCGCTGGGATGGGCTCAAATTTGGATTGCGGAATCGCATCTGATCCGACTGCAAAGCATGCAAGCTTTGGCCCCGTCTCCGGTCTCGGTCTCGAGCCCGCGCTTCCACCGCAGCTCGTCACGCAGGCATACATGCAAGAAGCGGGCTACAGTATTCCATCGCTTTGTCGAGCCACCGTATGATTGAACGGGCTCAAAAGGCTCAAAGCATTGAGAGGTGATGCCCATCTGCATTTGCTCTGCACGCGTCGCACGGGCAGGGGAACGCCGAAGGAGGCGAGCAAGCTGACTCGTCGAAGCATGACCCAAGTCGAGCTCGCCTCGTGCTCGCTTCGACTCGCGCCGCCTCCCTGGCGCCGGGCATCCCAAACATGAACAAAGGGCAGTGGAGGCCCAGTGGAAATCATGGAAACTTGAATGCGCTGCTGCTCACCAACTAGTCGCACACCGAGGGCCCGCGTTGGGTTAAGCGAGGTGCCAGGCGAGGCACGGAGCGGGCACCAAAACTGGGCTGCAATGCGAACTCGAAAACCCGCCCCGACGAGTCGCGCGCTGCTGATGCAGATCCACACGGCTCGAGCGCAGCTGCGAACAACGGCCAAGCCTGAGTCCAAGCCCCAAGACGGCACCCAAGACGGCAGCGCCATCGAGACAAATCCAACAAGCTCGTCTCGGCGTCCACCGTGGGCCGAATCACACGCTCAAGCTCTTGCAAGCGGCCAAGACTGCGCTTCAGTTGCGCTCCACCTAATCAAGCGCGGCAAGAGCCCACGGGAACGTCGGACCAGCCAACAAATTGCATTGAGCCGGGCTGTGCTGCGCTGTGTTGTGCCGTATGGAACGGCAGCGTTGGTGGCCACCGAGGCGGAGCCGGCAACGGAGTCTCAAGCGGCAGGCGGAGACGCACCCACGGCGACACACTCAACAGACAAGGCGCGGAGAAGAAATGTACGTCAGGCTGGATTCGGCTCGGCCGCGTGTGGAGCTGAAAGCACGCGCGCGCCGGCATCACGCCCCAAGCGAGCCATTGGGCGCTGCACAGATGGCGATCGACGCCCTCCCGTGCCTAAGCCCTCTTTTTGTGGCCGCTGCAGGCGAAAACGGAATCCATTCGACGGCAGCTCCGAGCAGCTTTCACCACCTCTGCATTGCTTTCGCTTTGCCCTGCTCTGCTCTGCTTTGCATGCGGCGCGACCGTGAGTGCCTCATTGAGACCAAGATTCAGCTCAGCTGGCAACGAGCCAACAATTGTCTCTCGTTCCGAGCGAGAGATCGACCGTGTGAGTTCACATCAAAGTCACAAGTCTGTGCATCGCTGCAAGGCGGGTTTCAAACGCACGACGCCGGCGAGCTGCGGGTGCGGCGTGCTTGCAAAGTTGTGACGGTGCAAAAGGGTCCCCTCAGCCCGCACACCCGAAGCGACACTTGCGAGCCGATACCCATGCCAGCCCTCTCGAGCCCCGGCAAGGGGACACCTCAGAGCCAAAAGCCAACAAAGAGCCAAAAGAAAAATCGTAGTCGAAAGCAATCAAGGCGTGAAAAAAAAAAGCTTCTTGGTTCGCTTGCGCCAAAGCAGCGCGCGGAAGCAGCCGATGATGTCGAGGCTCGAGCGTTGATGCTTTCATGAAAGCGCAGCGGCAGCGGGGCCCGAGCCTCGCATCGCAAAGGGACCCGCCTATCATTCGGCCTTGAATGCGAACGTTCTCAGCGGCGGCGTCGTCGTGGTCGTGTGAATATGATACCGACGGGTGCGACGGGAATCACACCAACGTGGCTTCTTTTCGTCATTGCAAAGCAGCATTGCCGGCGTGGTGCGGTGCTAGCCGAGGCATACGTTGCTCTTCAACATGACCTTCACAACAATGGCACGCATGGGACTGCCAGCAGCGTGACGTGGATTTGGAAACGCAACGCAACGCCTCGCCTCGCCTCTGCGCCGGCCAAGACAGCAGCATAGCATGACATTGGAAATTGCTGACGGGGTGTTGCCGCTGGCTAAAAATTTTAGCGTGATGCACCACCACGCAGGCGAGCGAACCACTGACGCAACCCACTGCTTAGCAGCCCGGAGGCGGCCACTAGCTTGGCATTTTTTGGTAGCCGCGTGTCGAGTGCAGCATGCATCCAACGGCGTTCGCCATGCGGGCAAGCCCTTCTTTTTCTGCACGGCCACCTCGGTCGGCCATCCGCCGACGACCCTTGCCTTGAGCACTGGATCGCTCGCGATCAAAGCCGCTCGGATCGGCAGCGCAGCAGGCTCGTTCCACCGGCTCTGCCGACTCCCACGCCTGGCAGAAGCCCGCTCCGAAATGACACAGCGTGGGGCCAGTGGGGAGGTATTAATAAGAGTTCATACTGCATTGCATCTCGGCATCCGGCGCTTGTCATTTGCTTTCAAGCCAAAAGCTTGGGACGGTGGGACGATAGCGAGGCCCGAAAGAGGAAATGCAGGACCCACCTATCCAGCGAGCCGGATCGAGCTGCTCTGCTCTAAACGCCTGCATCAGACAGGGGGGCGGCGGCGGTGCGTTGAGATGCGTGGTGCTGGTGGCGGCCCCCTTTGTGCTATGCGTCTGAGTTGCCAAGGTTCGATCGCGCACTGCTGGCTCAGGGACCTTGCAGCTCGCCTTTTTCATGCCGCTTTCCAAGCCTCGGTCGCGACCCAAATGGTCAGACGGCTGCAGCAGCTGCGGCTGTGGTCTCATTGCGCGCCGCTGCAGCCTGCATCTTTTGTCCGAAATTTGCAGCACCATCTCTGGCCTCTGCGCTACAGTACAGTAGATTGCGTTGCGTTGCCCCGCCCTCGTGGCTTCCCAGGTTCAACGGCGAAACTCTGGCTGCCGCTGCCACCCAGAATGCTACGCACGCCAGCGGGACACGGCAAGCATCTCCTGGGCCTGCAACTCGTGTTGTGGTACACCTCGTTCCAGCCGCCCTCTCTCCGGAGTGGATGCCCGCGTGCTGGTGTCAGCCTTTGTGCACGGCATCGCCTCCCGGCCCCTTTTCCTTCGCAACCGCCGAGCCCCGCTTAGCCATGGCCACACCGACCGATGCAATGCCGACAGAGGATAGACTGGGTCATTGCCTGACCGTGCCGCTCATGATGCACCGATATGGCATGGAGGAGGGCGGACGAGCAGCCGAGGCAAGCGGCGTCTAGTTGGCAACCATTGCGAGCAGTGGCCGCCCATACGGGCCATGGTCGGTCGCCCCACTTTGACACAGACAGCCAGTGTGACATCGGAGTTGGACCTTCTGTCGCCGCTAACCAGTCGCTCCGATGGGAGGACAAAGGAGATCGCCGGAGGAGCGAGTGCAGCGGAGGGCTACTGTTAGCGTGTGCGGCCAACTCGACTGTCCGTTCTGTCATTCCTGCGATGCTCTAAGCGAGGAACCGGTTTGCAATCAGTGCGACGCGATGGGGCCCGGGATCAGATGGATGTGAAACGGAGTGGCGCACGTAAACTTAGAGGCCCGTGATCGCAGGGAAGCGACGGATGAATTCGCCGTCTAGGGTATCCAGCCATCTGCACTGACGGTCTCCGCCCATCGGCAGCAATGGTACCACACCAAATCTGGCGCCTCGTCGGACCCGCAAGGACCAAGGTGCATTGTTCGACTGCAAGCTGCAGAGGCTTTGTGCAGCGCAGTGACCCACAACCTTGAATGTTGTTTGGAACAGTGCAGTGCATTGCACATGCAGCGACTCGTTGGCGGAGCGTCTTTTGCCCGAATTTTACTGCACGCCCAAAGCTCGCCTACGGCGCCTGCTGCTACGATAGCTGGCGAACGGTGGTGCACATGCTTGGCGGGGAAAGCAGGTTTTCGACAAGGCTAGCCGAGGCCGACATGACCAAAAGCATCCCGCCATCATTCATAACAAACGGAGCTCGCCTGAGCGAGAAACAGGCCAAAAAGATTCGAGACAGGGGAAAGCAGGCACAACATTGGCGGAGACCTGAATTGCCGTCTGACTTTTTCTGTATTTCTTCGATTTTTGCTAGCTGCAGCCAGTCAACGCGGGTTCAGATCCCGTGCTCAATTAGGGCGCATTTTTTTGCTCCGCCTCGGACCACTTTGCAGATGAGCCAGGCTGGCAGTCGCAAGCTGAGCCCCAACGGTAGATTCCTGGCTCAACAAATCCGACCTGCTTCTTGTTTTTGCATCGGCCGACTCAAGCCCGTCGTCCGCTTTCCCGCGGAGCGCGCCAAGCTGCTTGGCCGGCCATGACAGTAAGCATCACGCCTTTCCACCTCAGGATACGGACAGCCGAGTTGTTGATCATCGCCGCCTCGCTGCATCCAGGTGTCGTAGTGAAGAGCGCCCAGTGTGAAGCGACCTCTTTCGGCACTAGGCATAGCTGAGCTACGATCGGCTCGGTGGCTCCGTCGGATCCGCTGTGCACACTCCAGATCACTTTATTGTTACAATAGGATCCCACGGGAACCAAACGCTCAGATCGCTTCGCCAGGACGACTAAACTTCTCGAGACTTGTTGCAGTGCGACTAGAGGAGGATCCTATTCGATGTTCACATCGAGTCGCCGCGAAAATAGGACCAGACCGCCTCGGTGGTTTGTACGGCGGAATCGGAACCGCGCTGTCGTAGCCGTCGACCTTGCACCTCGGCTCAGGTGTGTTCGTCAATTCGATCCGGTAAAACTCAGAGGAGGGCGGCCGACGAGGGACAAGAGCAAAGCCATGGTCGCCATCTCGCTCGACGAGCTCGGTTTCGCATCCAGCCGAATTCGGGTCGCCGTGTCAAGGTTGTACAGACCCCTGTTGCACCAAAGCGAGCATGAAGGCAGCTTCCAGCTCCGACCTCACAACCATCGCTCCTGGCGGGGCGACACGCGCTTGCTCGGCCAGCCGTCCCAGCCCTGGACCACGGCCGACTTGGCGAGCGGGCTTGGTTTTTTACGTTTCGGCCCTGGCATACTTTTGAGCCCCGCTCGCCTCGCAGCCTCTCCACGGTGCCTAGCGCTCCCTTGCCGCTCAAGTTCGCGTCCTGCACATCTGTCGGCTGGGTCTTTCATCGGCTCTCGAAACCAGGACGCTATTCAATGGCGTGACTGGCATTTCCACTCTACACCTGTAAAGGGGCCGGTTGATTCCTACAGCCCACTCCCGTGCCAGCTGAGTTGCCAACGGTCTGGTTCAGCTGCCCCTCTGCCCACTTGACACTCCGTTCGCCCCTCCGATCCGCAAAGATGGCGAGGCGCGCACTCTTTACAATACTGTACTCTGTAGATTGGGGTCGTCGGAGGTCTGGCCATTGATCGAGAGCAATTGCCGGCCATGCGTGGCGCTCGGTCGGCAAGCCGGCCTTGACTGAGCTTACATACGGATCCTGGGTGCGAGGCGGACGGTACCATTCGAGATGGTCCATCAGCTGGGTGCAGCCCGCTGCATACTGTACGTCTACGGACGATCTGTTTGACGTTGTCGCCTGCCACCAAGCCTGGCTACCGTAGCCTCGTGTGGGTGCTGTGCACTCGCCTCTAGCCCGTCTAGAGTGTTCGGCTGCAACAGCTGCCGTTGCACACTATCATCGCTTCGAATGGCAACTAGTTCAGGCACGCTTACGACGGAGAACAGCTGCCGAACGGACAAACCAGCGACAAAAGGCAAGCCGCTTGGTGGCTGCATTTCACAGGGCTGGCGATCGCGAGGCGGCCCGCAAAGCTCGCCTCGCTTTCCGAACGGCTTCCCGTGGCGTGTGTGCTTTTTCTTCTCGGCTGCGGCGATGCTCGAATAGGCCCAACAATGCTGCTGCCGAGTGTGCAGCCTGCTGTGCGGTATGACATGGTGCCGTCTGCTCACCCACGTCCACAAGTTCGGCTGCTGCGCGCCGAGGCCCCCTAGAATTTTTTGTGCCGATCCTGGCTCAGCATGCGATAGAGTCACCCTCCCCCGCGCTGCTGCCGAGAGTCAGGGGGACCTTATGGCCGCTCATGCGCGCCGTTCGAAAGCAAGAGGGCTTGACTGCCATCACGGTTGTAGTCGCAGCTTAGAGCCGAACATCGCGGGCCATGATGGAGCCAAGCGTGCTGGCCGAGACAACCAAGCTCGGCTTATCGCGTGAGTTGAGCGACAAGGTTGCCGCTCAGAGCCAGACAGCGACGACAAGCGTGAAACGGCAAGCGGAATGCAATGCCGAAAAGGTCGCACAGGCGACAGCGATAGGCACAAAGCAGGGCGGGCGGTGTATGTATCGTGCTTGGCAGAAGCAGCCGAGCGGCCCGCGATGCAGGGTCGGAAAGGCATGGACGAGCTAATCCCTGTACGCCCAGCATGGGGTTGGCAAGTTGCCGAGTGACTGCGCACACCACCGCATGCATGCAATCGCAGACAGGGCGAAAACTGAGCATACGGTAGTCTGCGGCAACCTCGACGGTACCCCGTTGCAGCTGCAGAGCACAGCATGTCTCACCTGGTCTTTTCTGCACGTTGAATTCATCGCCCGCAGCGCCGAGCGCCGCAGCAGGTGTCGACGTGGAACCGCTCAAAGGGATCCACGTTGCCTGACTATACACGAGAACAAGAGAGAGCGGGCCGGTGTGCTGCATACGGAAGCTATCGTCCGCCGAGCCTTGCCATGACGGCACACTGGGTGTCGCCGCGTGGACACCGTATGGCACCGAGAGGCTGTGTGCCGCTTGCAGCGACCATCCAGCTCAGCGACACTCAATTGTGTCGGAAAATGTCACCCGGGACGCACTGTGAATTGCACACGATTGTCAGCCCAGCTCTGTCTATGGTCATCCACGATTGCCGACGTGAGCCAAGATCGTAGAGCATCGCCACAATCAGGCCCCATATGGTCGCACGCGGCGTGCCCCGAGCGGAGTGATCCATAGTTTCGGATGCAGATGCAATTGGTGTGGCCTCACCCGATCGTCAGCATGCTCGACAGGTCAAGCGGCCGGGAAGTCTTGGTTTCAAGCAGCGACGATCTCGATGTGGCTGCCGAGAGCTGCGGCCTTTTTTTTTCTGATGAGTGTTACAGCTTTTTGTCTCACACCATCATCGAGTCGCGAAAAGACATCGCGTGCCACGTGACCAGAGCTCGTGTTGGTCTTTTGAGCTCGAAAGTGTTGGTTGTCGAACATGGCCGCGGAAGAAAGCTTACATGCAGACGAGGGAGCGGCCTCTATTTCTGACCACCTCATCACACTATCTTTGTGCACGCCAGCAAGCGCAGAAGGACGCTAGGAGACATCGGCACGACGATCGCAGCAAAGGGACAGGACGACAACACGCGCAGCTCGGATACGAGGGCAGCTTCGGCCATGCAGACTGAATCCAAGGCACTCCCACGCTTTTCGGCAAACACCTCGATACCCAGCAGCAGCGTGCCTGTCCACGTCGAGGTGCGGTTACGGCCGAGCTCCACAGCGAGCGATGAGAACACGCGGTCCGAGATCAAGGCTTTCCTCACCGCGCACTGCACTACGCTCGAGGCGGAGAGCGAGGTGGCCAGCTGGAGTGACTCGGCGTTCCTCTCGGCCAACGTGGACCGCATTCGCATCGCAGAAGCAGGCGCACGAGCTGCGACCGGGTCAATACCAATCGCACAGGCCAGGCTGGACATCCACGTCTACCAACCGTCGAGCAGCGACATTGTCGACGAGTTCTCCGCCGCCGATCCGGGCTCGGACGAGGGCGACGAAACGACGGCGGCGAGCGTCTCCGAGCTGCCCAATCGCAGCCTCGACGGCGTGTGGGACAGCCTGGTGTACGAGGACGACATCAAGGCGAAGCTGCTCAACTACATCTATACGACGCTGCTGTTCTCGGATGCGAGTGTCGACTTTAACCTGGTCTCGTGGAACCGCGTGGTGCTGCTGCACGGCCCGCCGGGTACGGGCAAGACGAGCCTGTGCAAGGCGCTGGCGCAGAAGCTCGCCATCCGTCTTGCGCATCGCTACTCGCACGGCAAGCTCGTCGAGATCAACAGCCACTCGCTGTTTTCCAAGTGGTTCTCCGAGTCGGGCAAGTTGGTGCAGCGGCTGTTCAGCATGATCACCGAGATGGTGGATGACGACGATGCGTTTGTGGTGGTGTTGATCGACGAGGTCGAGTCGCTCACTGCCGCACGCAGCGCCGCCGCCTCGGGAAGCGAGCCTACAGATGCGATTCGCGTCGTCAATGCGCTCCTCACGCAGCTCGACAAGCTCAAGCACCGCAAAAACGTGCTCATCATGACCACGTCCAACATGAGCGAGTCCATCGACAACGCCTTTATCGACCGCGCCGACATCAAGCAGTACGTCGGCCTGCCGCCAGCCCAGGCCATCTACTGGATTCTCGAGAGCTGTATGCGCGAGCTCATGCGCGTTGGGCTCGTGGCACACGCCGAGCTGCCCCCCTTTGCACACGCCGAGCGTGCGCAGCGCCACGGCGATCTCGAGCCCGGCTCGCCCGCGTTCCAGCTGCTCGAGCTGGCGAAGAGCTGCAAGGGCATGTCGGGCCGATCGCTGCGCCGTCTTCCCGTGCTGGCGCACGCGCACCACATCGGCATGGCTCAGGCACCCATCGAGTGCAGCGTTTGGCTCCAAGCCATGACCCTCGCCGTGGACGACTTCAACGCGGGGCTCGACGACCAAGATGGCGCCAGCGAGACGCGCCTTTGAACCACACGTCGTGGTGTACTTGTACGATGCTTCTTTATCCATCCATCGCCATTTTTACATTGCATACAGGGGCAGTGGCAGTGGTCGTGTGGAGACGGCCCGGTGCGGGGATGCAAGGGTTCTCCGGAATATGAGTAAGAGTTGAGCCGTTTGTGGGCAACCGAAAAAGAAAAGGTAAAAAAGGGTCCTGAATTAGGTACCGAAAAAGGAAACCGAAGCGTCGCACATGCACGCACACCCACGGTCCTGTCTCAGCCCTTAAACTCTCTCGCGCTTGGTGGCGGCAATGCCCGTGGAGCGCGTGAAAGAGAGTCAGGGTGGACGACCACCGGCAATGCAGCGAACTCTGTCGCACCGCATGTAGCAAGCGCTACTGAGCAACCAAGAGCCAGCTCTTCTCGCCGGGCTTGCGTCACCATCGTCCCGACTCTCATCCATCCTCTCCCCTCTCTTATTCCATCGTTTCCTGGACCCGTCTCTCTTTCCCTCGTTTCTCTTCGGACCTCTGGAACAGCGTCTGCTCTCGTCTTTTTGGAACCAGGATCGCATACACACACTCTCTCTAACTCCCGGAGCAACGCATCCACGTAGAACACCATGGCTACCGAGGCACTGCTTCCGATCGGCGCGGCCTTCGACGGCGCAACGCAGCACGATCTGGACCGCGCCAAGGCCGAGGCGGGCGAGGCGTACTTCCCGACCGTGTTCAACCCGGCCACGGTGGAGCGCAAAGGCCACGTGGTGATTGGCAAGGGCCGAGCGGGTGTCGCCAAGCGCACCCAGGATGGCTTCAAGGTGTACTACGAGGTGCACGGCAAGGGCGCGATCAAGGTGGCCTTTGTCATGGGGCTCAACAACACCAGCTTTGGATGGTTGCCGCAGGTAGACCATCTGGCGCGCGACGAGCGCTACTCGTGCCTGGTGTTTGACAACCGCGGCGTGGGCAATTCCGAGACGCCGGCGGGGTGGTACAAGACGTCGGATATGGCGGTGGATACGTTTGAGGTGTTGGAGCAGGTGGGATGGACGGGTGAGCGCAATGTGCACGTTGCCGGTGTTTCGATGGGCGGCATGATCGCGTTGGAAATGGCTCGTCAGCGACCCGAGTTACTCGCCTCGCTCACGCTCATCTCGACTGCACCGGGCAAGCGATTCCACACGCCCACCTACGGATTAACCTCGCTCGCGCGTGTGCTGGCGGGTCGTACGCTCGGCTTCGACAGCGAACAGTACCGTCTCAACCGCCTCATCTCGACGCTCTTCCCCGAGTCGTGGCTGGCCGAGAAGAGCGAAAAGGATGCATCAAGGACCAACCGCGAGGTGCTGTACGACATGTTCAAGTGGCGATACGCTTTTACCATTCGACAGCAGCTCCACGGTGCTGTCAGCCAGATGAAGGCGGCCGTGACGCACTACATCCCCGACGCCGACCTGGAGCGCATCGACACGGCGGTGCCCAAGATCTCGATCCTCACGGGCGATACCGACTTTCTCGTGGATCCGCGCAACTCGGCGTACCTGCGCGACAAGCTGCCCAGCGCCGACTTCCACGAGTTCCCCAACGCCGGCCATGCGCTTGGAAACCAGATCGCAGACCAGGTCAACGCCATCCTCGAAAAGGCTTTCGCCGACGCCATCGCCGCCCAGCGCAACTAGTTTCTTCACCGCTCTCCTGCACATACACGGATTTTTGTTGATGATTGATGGATTCCGCAATCGCATTCTCTTTCGCACTCGTACATGGTTTCACTGGACGTTTCACCGGAGGTTTCGCACGCAGCGCCTTGGTCGTGGCGGATTGGCGGGGTTCAGTTTTTCTTGGCGGCGCTGCGGATGGCCTTGTTGGCAGCAATGGGGCGCGCGGGAGCGGGGGCGGGGGTGAGAACGTGCATCACGATGGCGCGCACGAAGAAGCACGAACCAATGACAAGCGAGATGACCGCCTTGCCTCCGTCGTGGCTGAGCAGCGCGGCGGGTTTGTGGTGAATGTGCGCAAGCACGCTCGCGTACGACGGATGGCTGAGCGTCAGCACGCCAAACACCGCTGCCGCCAGAGCCGGAGCCACAATGTCGGTCAACTGCACCAGCGACGTTGCGTTCAAGAACGGCGGTGTGGACAGCGACCATCCGAGCGGATCGAAGACGTTGAGCGTGAACGCCGAGATGCCGCCTCCGCACGCCGAGACGGTGGCGACGATCACCTGGAGCAGCAGACTGTTCCTCGCGGCCGGGTTGGCGTGGTTGAGCACCATGTTGATGCCGCCGTACGTGGCGGCTGTTCGCGTCGCACCGTCGAGCACGGGCAGCGTGAGATCCAGCAACTTTGCCGAAGGAGCCGGTGCAACGCTGAGGGCCAACGTCACGGCCAGGTACACCGAGATGTAGTTGGCCCACGGCCATGCGGCGAGTAGCTGGCCCGGGATTTGGCCGAGGATGTGGTTGGCGAGGAAGCTGCCGCCCCACGCCATCACGAGGAAGCCGGCCAGATCGCGCAGCCACGAGACGCGCAGCTCAGCAGCGGTCTTGCCCTCCGCCCGACGGCGCGCGGTGAAGGCAGCACATAGGCCGCGGTAGGCGAGCGCGACGCGCAGGGCGTGCAGCGTGGTGGCGAGCGGGAAGGGGTACAGCGTGGCGTGCACCGGTTGCGCCAAGCGCGCATTCACGGCGGCGAGCGGTGCAAGAACGGCGGCGAGCATCGTGATGGTGGATGGCAAGCACAAGCTGACAGACGCATTCGGCTGTCAGATACCTCTTTTTTCATTGCTCGGTGGGGCGGACACCGGATATCGCGCACTCGTCGATGCGCGCACGGATGCGCGGCTCAACTTTGTTCCCCTCCCCCCCCACCTTGGGACCCTGGCAACCTAATCTTCTCATCACGACACCATGCCTCAGGTCAATCCCGAAGTGTTTCACGGTAAGCCCTCGCCGTCCCTGCCTCTTCTTCTGATTGCACGCGCGCTGATACCTTCTGCTTCGTCTGGGCAGCCAAGGTGTACGACATAACGCGGCTCATCCCGCACGGCCGCGTCACGTCGTACGGGCATATCGCTCGGCTCACTGGCCATCCTGCGCACTCGCGCCTCGTCGGGTCGGCGCTCAAGTTCCTGCAGGACCCGGACGTGCCCTGGCACCGCGTCATCAGCTCGTCCGGCGCGATTGCAGACCGAGGCGACGGCGGAGAGGCCGCGGCACGCCAGGCGCACCGCCTCACCCAGGAGGGCGTCACCATCATCCACGGCCGAGGCGAGGGCGTCACGGTCGACTTTGCCCACCCCAACCCCAACGCAAAGTACCGCATCAACATGGCCCTCTTCGGTTGGTTTCCAGATCAAGTCCACCTCGAAGGATACGACGAGCCCAACGATGAGCAGATCCAAGATTCGGACTCGGACCTCACCGAACCCTCCGACGACGAATAGCCCACTCTCACTGCCTTTTCAGCCCTGTTGTCATCGATAGATACCCCCCTTTCACCTCAACGACTCGTCGCGATGGCACAGATCACGGATCACAATCAGCTGGATCGCAGTGCAGATGAATTGGCAATCTTCGCAAATGCAGAGGCTTAGCGACGCTTGCTCTTCTTGCCCGAGTCCTCGTCGTCCGAGCCGCCCTGCTGTCGGCGCTTCTTCTCGTCGGCGCGCGCCGCCTTGCGCTCGAGCTCGTCCCAGTCCTCGCCCTCTTCGCTCTCGTCCTCAAAACCCTCGGAGCCCGATTCGCTTGCGGCCGAGTCGCCAAAGTCGCTGCCCGAGTCGGACTCGACGTCGGTCTCCTCCTGGCCATCGTCCATGTCGCTGCCAAACTCGGAGCCGGACTCGCTCTGGTCGGAGCCTTCGTCGTCGGAGTCGCCCTGGAGGAATCCCCAGCCGCCCTCGACGAAAAAGTCGTAGGGGTCTTCGTTGACCGTCTTCATGATGGCGCCCCAGTTGAGGTTGACCGCGCCCTCGCTCACGCAGATGTCGACCGAGTCGAGCCACTGCTTGACGTCGTCGAGCGAGGTGGTGGGGATCGAGGTGACGTGCATGGGCGCGCGCGTAAAGTCGCTAAACACAAACACCATGTCGAACGACTGCAGCCCAAACTGCACACGCTCCAGATGCACAATCTCGACGTCCGTCAGCGTGATCACCAGGAACGGCGGATCCGTCAGATGCACCAGGCAGTCGGTCGTCGGCTGCAGCAGCACGTTGGTGCGGAACGGCACACCGTTGAATCCCAGCTCGCGGTAGGGGACATCGACGCTCACGCGGCCCTCGGAGGCCTCGGCAATGCGCTCGGCAAACACCTTGAACTCCTTGTTGAGCTGCGAGCGTCGACGGCGCTCCTCCTGCTCGAGCTCGATCTCGTCCTCGTCGCCCGAGCGGTACTTGCGCTTGCGGTTGCCCGTCTCGTCGAACTGCACGTCGGACGCCTCGCGGTAGAACTGAACGTCCTTGGCCTTGCGCTTGCCGATCATGATGGGCGACTTGAGATGCACGTGCACGATGACGATGAGCTCCTTGTCGCACGGCTGGAAGAAGAGGTGCTTCATGTTGCTGAACAGCAGGTCGATCTTCTGGTCCGGCCGCAGCGGCGACGAGAAGCGCAGGCCGTTCTGGTGGATGGTCAGGTCACCCGGCACGCGCTTGCCCTCGAGCGCCGGACGCGGGAAGACCTCGGGCAGCGTATAGGCGCGCGACTTGGACAGGATCAGCTTGTCCTGCTCCACCACGTCCGCCAGCTCCTTCTCCTCGGCATCGCGCTTGGTCGCCGACTTGCGCAGCTCGGTGATCTCGCGGAAGAGCTCCGAGAAGCGCTGCGAGTCGGTAGAGCGGTAGCTCATGCTGCGCACAAACGTCGCGTCCGGATCGTCAAACGGCACGTCCTCCTTCTTGCCCGCAATCTGACCCGGCGTGACAAAGTTGAGGCGCAGATACGTATACTCGCCCTCGTCGCTCTTGCTCACGTTCTTGAGCGTGTTCACGTGGAACGGCACCGCATACCCGTAGATGGGCAGCACGATCGTCTGCGCACGGTGGTCCACCATGATCTTTTGGTCGGCCACCTTGGCCGGCAGCTGGTTCTCGCGCTTGTAGCTCTCGAACTTCTTGAACACCTTTTCGTTGGACGCGTTGCCCTCGCCGTCCTCGCCGGCGAAGCGCGCGAGGCCGTCCTCGTGCTTCTGCTTTGCGAGCTCCTTCTGATGCACCTTCATCTTCTCGGCAGCGGTGTCGTCGAGTGCGGCACCGCGGTTCTTGTTGCGTAAGACCTTGCCGCCGGGCGTGACCTTGCCGTCGGGCTTGACGGGGCTCCGGCGCTCCTCGACCTCTTCCTCCTCGTCGTCGTCCTTGAAGAAGAAGGCCATGTCGTTGGTGCCGCGCACGCGGTCGGTGAGGAAGGTGGCGGCGGCGTCGGCATTGACACGCAGCGTGTCGATGAGGAGGAGCGAGTACACTTGGTTCTTGTGGTTGGGGTCGTCGAGGTCCTGGAAGCCGATGGAGAGGTTGACGACCATGTCCTTCTTGAGCGTGCGCGCGTTCTTGGCCGAGAGCACGTAGGCGCTGTCGCGAAATTCGAGGCCGATGCCGAATCCGATGTTCTTGACCAACGACTGTACGAGCTTGTCGTCCTTGGCGCGCACAATGTCGAGCGCCTTTGCGTAGATGTCCTTGCAGGTGGCGCCTGCGCGGATGTGCTTGTCGGCGAGCTCGGTCTGGAGCTCGTGGAGGAAAGCGTATAGCTTTTGCTGGCTGGAGTGCGGGTCGATGAGGTAGGTGCGGCCGATGTTGGCGCAGTAGTTGCGGTACTTGATGCCCATGCTGGCGATGACGACGCCGCCCTTGCCGTCTGCGCCCTGGAGGCGCTTGTTGGTGGAGACGGCGGAGGTCTTGAGGTCGTACTCGCCGCCGGACTGGACGATGGGGGTGTAGCACCAGTCGGCGAGCGAGAGGTCTGCGCCCTCGAGGCCCTTGACCTTTTTCCACATCTTTGCGTCGTCGAGCTTGCCCTCGATGCGTTCTGCCAGCTGCTCGTGGGTGACCTTCTTGCCCTCGTCGAGGATGGTGGACATTTCGTTTTCAAAGTAGCCGGACATGACGGCGGAGCTCATGCGCGACGCCAATTTGATGGCTTTGATCTCGTCGTCGTCCTTGGCGGCGAGCACGGAGCTGAGGGCAGCGCTGACGTCGATCATCTTGAGATCGTTGGTGGATTGCGCCTTGGCGAGCACCGACTGCCACTCGTCGGCGAACTTGCCGATGGGCTTGTCCTTGGGCAAGCAGCCGACCTTGGAGCCCTCTGCATTGATGCGGCCGACGACGTCGTCCCAGATGGCGCGGTTGGCGGCGTCGTCCTTGGAGCGCTTGAGGATCTCAACGTTGAAGCCGGCGGCGACCTTCTTGAGTGCCTCGAGGTGAACGGCCTTGGAGGCGCTTGTGACGAAGGTGACGGTGTTCTTTGTGAAGAGGATGACGGTGGAGGGGAACTCGTAGCCGAGCAGCCATGAGTGAAGGGCGGTGGTCTTGGAGTAGATGAGGTCGTCGTTCTGGCCGCCCATGACGACGAGAAGAGAGTCGACATCGGCGAGGGACTCGGAGTCGGCGGCGCCCTCCTTCCACACCGCGAGAAGCTTGGTCACGCGGCGCTGGAAGGCGTTGGCATCGATCTGAATCTGGTCCGACATGGTGGGCGAGGGGCACGCTGATGGGCCGTGGAGGCGCCTCGAACGGGGATGCAGAAGAGAGCGCCGGCGTGCTGCTACTACAGTAGTACGTCTGGCCCGGCCGACCTTGCAAGTTAGTTGGGGATTGAAGTGGCCCTTTGTACCGAGTGGGATTAGTACGGCGTGGTGGTTGGAAATCAAGCGAGTCAGCGAGGATGAGGGGGAGAAAGCAGCTCGAGATGGGTCGAGAAAAGCAAAGGCGGCTTGTGCGGAGCGATGCGATTTTTGGCGCAACAGTGGAGCTGAGCCTCACCTCTCGAGAGCGTGTCGCATTTTACGAGATCTTCTCGCTCGCAGCGCGTCTCGATTTCGCGCCTCCCGATGCTTGGTGACGAGGTTGCGGTGTTGAGTGGGCATCGGGCTGGGTTGGACTGCAGAGGCGCGCCACCGATCTCGAGCGAGAGAGCCTGGCATCTCGACTCAGCCCAAATTGCGCGGCGGGCCGCGGTCATTGTTAGGTTGCATGTGTTGTGAAGCGAACGAGGGCCAGCGCACGAGAGCAGCATCGAGTCGACTCGGTCAGGGTTCAAGGCGCGATTTTCAAAAGACAGGGTCCGGGTTGCGCAGCGGCTGTAGCACTGCGAGAGAGAGGGTGGTCCGTGAAATGGACGCGAGGCGGAACAGCCCAGGCGAGGCGAGGCCAGCAGCGCGCGGCTCGAGTCGATTGGGCTGAGAGGGGCGGGGCGGGGCGGGGCGGGGGCGTGCGCTCAGGTTGCTGCGCGCGTGCACGATCCCAGCTGAGCTCCTCGCCTGGCCTGGCCTGAAGTGGCCTAGCGCCCTCAAAAGCGTGTGCGCAAAGCTGGCCTCCTCCACACACAGCTGCGCCGCGCCTATCAGACCCAGTCCTTGAGGCGCCCGCTCTCCTCTCCGCCCGCCTGGCTTACGCACACCACCAACAGTAACATCGACATCACCACCACTGCTTTTGCCTATCGGCTTCATCCACGCACTCACCCTCTCGGCATCGACTTCAGTGCATCGATCCGACCCCAACCGCACCTGATCTAGAACACGGCTCGTTCAGCTTGGCCGCCCTCGCCATCCGCTCCTCTTCTACCCGCCCACGATCGCCGAGGTCTCCGCCGAATCCCTTTGGACATCGAGCGCCGCCACCTGCTCTCCTAGGCCTGGCTTTCGACCCAGTCTCGCGTCTCGCGTCTCGCTTTTCGCTTTTCGCTTTTCGCTTTTCGCTGCCCCTGCGCAAGCATCCACATCACTCGCAGCTCTCGTACCCACGGTTCACACGCTGCATCGTACGCTGCACGCTACACCATGCGCTCCGCATTCAAGAACGAGCACTCGTTCGAAAAGCGCAAGGCTGAAGCCGACCGCATCCGCCAAAAGTATCCGGACCGCATCCCGGTGATCTGCGAAAAGGCGGACCGCACCGACATCCCTACGATCGACAAGAAAAAGTATCTGGTGCCCTCGGATCTCACAGTGGGCCAGTTTGTCTACGTCATCCGCAAGCGCATCAAGCTCGCGCCCGAAAAGGCCATCTTCATCTTTGTCGACGAGGTGCTCCCCGCCACCGCAGCGCTCATGAGTGCCATCTACGAGGAGCACAAGGACGAGGACGGCTTCCTCTACGTATCCTACTCGGGCGAGAACACATTCGGCGAGCTGCAAGCGCTGTGAGCATGCCAGACCGCTCCCTCTCCCGCACACCAGCCCTGCCGCTGCCACTTTGGTCCTGTGGCCCTCGATGCTCACGTAGTGGCAGTCCGTTCCATCATCCATTCCGTGACCGCAAAGTGTCGTGTCGTGTCTTGTCTCCACCGATTCCATTGCTACCCTGGCCTACCCGTTGGCCAATCTACCTGTCTTCGCATACGCTTCGCACTCCCGTCTGTAATCTTATGTCTCCTATCTCGCGCGCGCCACGTTGGATAATTGGCCGGTCAGTGGATTGACTCGTCGGCTCGTTGGAGCATGAGTCTATCGAGGATGCTGACTGGCGGCCTGCGACATTCATTCAGTGATGCACCTCTGCTGGATACCGTCTAGCTCGGCCCCCTCATGATGCAAAAAGACCCACGTCAATGAAGCCTCGAGGCGCCCGGATCGCCCGGTCAAGCAATCCTCTATGAAGGCGCAGCGCAGCGCAGCGTCTTTGAAGCGCAGAAAGCGCAGATCACTGGGGTCGACCCTGACGAGCTGGCCGATCTGGCTCATCTCGGCGCGTGGGCACGCCTTTGGGCCGGTTGCCGATCTCACGCTGCCACCTCTCAACACTCTCAACGCCGGTTTGCTTGTGTTTTTATTTTTGAGTTCCGACTTTTCTCATTTTCCCTCGCCTTCGCCTTCGCCTTCTGCAGCGCAGGGTGGGGCGCGCGCGTGTGACGATGGGAGATCTTAAATATTTTGATTGAGCAGCAGCAGCGGCTGGAGATCCTCCCTTTTTTACCCTTTTTTCCAACAGCTGCTGCAGCGAGCCAACCGCAAAAGAGGGGAAAAAAAGGCATCGACTCGCAAATCGGGTTGCGGGCCGTCCCGGTCTATCGCTTTTGCCCTTTTGCTCAGACAACACCCAGAGGCTGCTCAGTTCCGACCATCATCATCATCTTCATCGTCCACACCACCACCCTCGCTGGCTTGTCGAAGCAGCTCGACTTTCGACCTTCGACTCTCCACTCACAGCCGCAGCGAGAGTCCAGGGTAATTCCACATCTCGGCTGGCTCGCGTGACCACAGCAGCAACGATCGCCTCGCCATCATCCAATATGGCTCGTTGTTGATCCCCCATTCCGACCGACAATTCTCACTAGACGGGTCGCCTTTTGGCGTGCTCCACCGTCCAAGCACTCTAGCATCACATCCTCTCGGCAATCCGGCATTTGATTCAGTCCTTACGCCCTTTCACTCTCTCTACTTGCGGTCACTCCATAGTTGGACTCGCGCGACTCGCTTCTTCCTTGATCATACCAGTTCGTCATCGGTCGCAACCGGACCAGTCTGCCCATCATGACTGAAGAGCGTCCCAAGGAACCCGAGATCAAAGTCTCGCAAGACGGCATCAACACCAACTTTAGCCTGTCTCCGCGCATCGACCAGGCTCCCGCACGTCCCGTCGGCTCGGTCCTTCGAAGATCGCATCACCATCACAATCGCAACCACTCCATCGACACAAAAGATCGCACAAGCCCCATCCTCGGCTTTGGGCCCTTGCAGTCTCACGATCGTCTCTGGAGTGCAGCCGACCTTGGCGCTTCAGACCACCCCGTCGCTCCATCCGATGCCACTCCGTCCATCTCGTTGAGCTCCCTGGAGCCCGGTCGCGCCCTCAATGGCTCCTACGATCCCGCATCTGGCTTCTCCGCCTCCCGCTCCAAACCCGTCTCCGCCGCCCTCAGCGTTGGTGCGCGCAAAATCAGCGGCGGCTCCGCCGGCTCCAGCAGCAGCAGCAGCAGCAGCACAGGCAGCGCCTCTCCAGAAGCCACCATCTCGTCCGACTCGCGGCGACCCCACGCCCGCACTGCAGACCGCTTCCAGGTCAACGGCACAAATCACCACTTTTCCGAAGGCAGCACCAGGCGTACCGCCTCTCCCGCCCGCTCCTTTCCCGGCGCTCCCATCTCGCCCCGCCTCCAGTCCACCATGTCGGCCCACGCTGGCCTCGCTCACGCACGCCGCACCAGCGCCGATCTCTCTCCCGTCCCCTTCCGCGCGCCCTCACCCATCTTTCTGCCTTCCACCTCGCCGCCAGCCGGCACCGTCAATCCGGATTCGCAGCACAGTTGGGACTCGGTATGGCCGCGCTCTTCCACGCCCGACCGCGCCGATCAGCTGCGCAGAATAGGCTCCATCTCTCCCGTCGCAGGTTCACCCGGTCGCTCGTCGCCCTCGACGCTCTCGGACTCGGTCAATCTGTCGCATTCTCCCTCGGCGTCGTTCGAGTCCAGCTCGCCACTCGCAGCTTCCAACACCATCCTCGGTCGACCTCAGCCGCGTCGGCCCCACGAGCTGCGCGGCTCGTCGTCATCGCCCATCCTCCGCATCAGCCCTGCCGCTCTGCGCGACAGTCACGACCCCGCCAAAAGCCCGCGCAGGAGCCTCGAGACCGCCCGCTCTGAGCCCGTCGTCAAGATCGGCTTCAACCCTCCGCCTGCCTCTGCCGACGCACCCACCATCCAGACTCCGGCAAACAGGGTGCTCTCGCCTGCCACCGAGGCCGTCCCTCACGTCGATGCGGCCAATGCGCTTGCCTCGCATCGCTCCGGCGGTGCGTCTCAGTCCTGGGCGCAAGAGAGGGCCGAATCACCCTCGGCCACCTTTGCATCGGATCCCAGGAAGCGTACCGGCTCTGGTTCGGGGCCAATGATGCAAGGCCTCCCACTACCACCGAGAACTCCATCTCCCAAGATGTCGCCCACATCGCCGCGGTCCCCCTTCCTGGAACTTGCTGGCGCTTCCACTGCCGGGCCGAGCTCCTCCAACATGGGCCTCAGCGAAAGCCCGCCCAAGACGCGCAGCTTCATTGCCATGCCGCCTAGATCCGGCTACGAGCTCAGCGATGATCCAGATGACGTCGGCTCCGAGGAAGACGGCTCCAACTCCGAGAGGGAGAGCGTCGGCACCAACGACGAGGATCTCGAGGGCTCCGAGTACGACGACGACGACGGCATCACCGATGCCGATGCCATCGACGAGGACACCGAGCACACACCTGACCACGATGCCCGCCAAAAGTCGGAAGACGACAACGACCAGGAATCGCAGATCAGCGATGTTGTGCCTGAGCGACCCACGCTGCCAAAGCGGCCAAGCCTCACGCGCTCCGGTGTGGTGCCGCCGCCAATCACGGTCTTGGATCACGTTCGCAGCCCCATGGATCCGCTCGCGCAGGCCGAAAGCTCGGCTCGCGCTCTGGCTGCTCAGAAAGGGTCGACGGGCAGTGCGATGCTCAACTTCTTCCGTGACGAGCCTAGCGCTCAAGAGGCACAGCAGCTCGCCATGGCGAGCGATGTTGACGCCGTGATGCCCTCGGCGCTCGGCCTGGATGCCGGCGACGCACAGCCCCTGGACGCCGCCATGGACGAAGGCCTCGGCGGCGGCGGCGGCGGCGGCGAGGACAACGAGGACGAAGACGAAGACGACCAAGGATTCGGCATGGGACCCGAGCACGCCGAGGACAGCCTCAACACGCTCGAGCGCATCTTCCTGTTTGCCAAGAGCGATATGGCGTACCACCGCGTGCTCGTCTCGCAGTCGCTGCCCGAGTGGATCCGCGAGGTGGAGCTGAGCGATGCGGTCGAGTACATCATCCCGCTGCTCAACGGACTCGCCACAGACGAGCTGGATGTGTGCGCAGCATTTGCGCCCGAGATCGGCCGCGTCATGTGGTTCTTCTTCCGCAACTGCCCGATCGCCGAGCTCGCCGACGAGTCGAGCGAGATGCAGCAGAACGGCGACGACGCGCAGCCCGAAAAGGCATCGCGTCCACGCATCAGCCTCGCCGCCTTCACCACGCTGCTGTGTGCACTGCTGCTCAACCAAAACACCATCATCGCCGGAGCCACGCAGCAGTCGTTGGTTCATCTGTTTTACAGGCTCGATCGACGCGATCTCGAACTGTCCAAGGAGGAGCTCGCTGAAAAGAGCGACCAAGAGGTCAAGGCGCGCCAGCAGGAACAGGACCTGGAGAGCTACGTCACGCACGCCTCGGGTCGCGACGGACAGCCGGTCCCGCACGAAGAGTACCATTTCGACGATCAGGCCAGGGCGGCGGTCAAGACCGAGCTACTCGAAAACGTCGCGCTCGCGCTCGCGCACATCAACCATGGGCGTGGCGATGCAGAGGCCAAGGCGGACGAGAGTGCGCCTCTCGAGCACGGCGCCGCTGACAGCCATGTGCAGAAGGATGCGGCTGGGGAAGCCATGGACGAGGATGCCGCCGGCGAATCCGAGTCGGTGGAAGCGGTCAACGGATCGGGCGAGGCCGACGAATCGAACAGCGACGCCATGGAAGAGGAGCACGAGTCGCGCGACTCGGCGGCGTCGTGGAGTCAGGGCGGCCACATGTTTGGCAACGACAGCGATGGCTCTGCGAGCGACGTGCAGATCGACGAAGACGAAGAGTCTGCAGTGGCTCGCATGGCGTCGGTGAGCCTGCTATCGGCCTTGGCTGCGGACGAACTCATTCCTCAGGAAGCGCTGATTGGGCGATTCGCGCCCGAGGTGCTCAAGCTGATCGACGACGGCGCGTTCTACGTGCGCAAGGAGGTGGCGAGCTCGCTGGGCCCGCTGTCGCGCAACATGTCGACGGAGACAGTCAAGCAAACGGTGCTTGGTGCGCTGCACAAGGCGATCCACGACCGCAACTGGCACGTGCGGCAAGCGGCGTGCTTCTCGCTGCCTGCGGTGTTAGGCAAGCTGGACGAGGAGCTGCGGCGCGAGCAGACGCTGGTCATGATGCGCGCGCTGGTGAACGACGTGTCGAGCCACCTGCGCATGGCGGCGCTCGAGATCATCGGCGAGGTGATCTACATGTTCCACGGCACCGCGGTGGGCGTTCCCGAGGAGCTGGTGCGCTTCTTCCTGGGCGAGCCGTTCGATGGACCACCGCAGCAGGGCGACGCGTCGCTGACGTTTGACAAGACGAGCGATCCCGAAGGCACCGAGGCGCTGTTCGAAGAGGAGAGCGCCATGATGATGGACGAGGCCGGCTCGGAGCTGGGCGTGGGTGTGTCGTCGCGCGCGGAGCACGATGCGCTGCTGGCGAGCTTCGGGTATGGCCAGGAGGGGCAGGAAAGCTCGATGATGGACGCGGCGCCCTGGGAGCAGAACTTCCGGGGCAACAATTTCGACCCGGAACGGCCGCTGGTGGTTGCGTACAATCTGCCTGCGGTGGTGCTTACGCTGGGGGCAGAGCAGTGGAGTCGGCTGAAGCAGGCGCACGCGGAGCTGACGCAGAGCGACAAGCCCAAGGTGCGCAAGAGCCTTGCGGCGTCGCTGCACGAGATCGCCAAGATTGTGGGAAAGGAGGCGACGCGCGACGATCTGCTGCCTGCTGCGACGCGGTTCGTGACGGACGAGGAGGCCGAGGTGCGCACGGCGATGTTTGAGAACATGGACGTGCTGCTCACGTGCGTGCCGCAGGCGGAGGCGGAGAAGATGCTGTGGCAGATGGTGTCGCTGTGGTCTTCGGGCTCGCTGCGCGACTGGCGGCTGCGAGAGCGGCTTGCGCTGCACATTCCGAGCATGGCCAAGCAGTTTCTGCTGTCGGACGAGGAGGGCAATCTGGTGTCGTTGATGCAGTTGGCGCTGGCGGATCCGATCAGCGCGGTGCGGGACGCGGGCGTGGTGTGCGTGCCCAACCTGTATCGGGCGTTTGCGGAGCACGACCAGGTGATCGCCGACGGCTTCCTGGGCATGGTGAGCGATCTGGGCGACAGCGTTGGATACCGACTTCGGGTTGCGTGCCTGCTGTGCATCGGAGCGCTAGTGGAGGCGGGGATGCAGCGGTCGTCGTGCGAGCTGCTGCTGCTGGGCCGGCTGAGCGCGATGGGCGAAGATGGGGTGGTGGATGTGCGCATCGCGCTGGCGCGCACGCTAGGCCAAATGTGCCGCAAGGAGGAGCTGTACGCATCGGGGCAGTCGCGCAGCAAGGAGCTGAACCGGCTGATCGCCAAGCTGGCGCACGACGAGTCGGATGAGGTGCAGCAGCCGGTGTCGGGGATCTTGTCGAACGAGGAGGTGGCTCGGTACGCTCCGCAGCCGACGAGCGAGGAGCGCACCCGACGCAAGCTTGTGCTCGGCCCCGCTGACGGTGGACCACACCGACCGTCGGGCGAAAGCGGCTCGATGAGCCAGTTTGTGGATGCCGAGGGCGACGAGGGCGATGCGCATGTCTTTCGCATGGACGATGACGAGGAGAGCGGCAGTGTGGATGCGCCAGCGTCCGGTGCGGGCGAGCAGGAGGCTGCCTCGAGCGGCGAGTCTGGGCAGGGCGAGGCGGAAGGCACGACGACGGCGTCGGTGTCGCAGTCTGCGCAGCACCTGGAAATGTCGCGTGCGAGCATCTTTGGCGGAGTGCAGCGGCAGGCCGAGAGCGGGTTCGGCTCGGACTGGGTGAACCACAACCGGGCGGCGTTGTTCGACTATGGGGAGAACGAGGAGGAGGACGAGGATGAAAGCGACGACGACGACGACGACGACGGCATCGAGGAGGATGGAATTGACGAGCCTCACCATCTGCTCAACGTGGACCGGGACTCGAGTGGGTCGGGCGAGCTGATCGAGCACGAGACGCTCAACGAGGACGAAGGGGAGGCTTGCGAGCGCAACGCAGCCGGAGAGGATACACAGGCGGAAGCTCAGAATGCAGACGACAGCATGATGGAGGAGGAGGAGAGCGCGGCGGATCACGGTCTCACGCTGTCGTCGCCGCAGCGAGTGCTGGAGGGTGACGGCAAGGGCGGCGAGGGCGGCGCAGGCGAGAGTCCGAGCCGAGTTGGTGGGACAACGGCAGCAGCGGCAGCGGCGGCGAAAGCAGCGGCGACGAGTGGAGGCGGATCCAAGGCGGCGGATCCGTTCCTGGCGTTTGTAGCCGGACGGCGGTCGCAGGATCTTCCACGGCTGCAGACGGGCGGCGGACGCGTGGGTGGCATGGAGAATGCGAGCAAGCGGTCGCGGCTGGCGAACGGATCGGCCGGACCGGAGCGCGCGCTGGCCGAGTCCGGAGCCCAAGACGGCGAAGAGGGCGAGATGCTGCAGAGTCCCAACGGCGACGACGAGATGATGGGCACACGCTTCCACTCGAAGAACTCGGGCGACTGGTCGCAGCTCAGCGGCATCGTGGCGCCCACCACCAACGAGAGCCGGGGCAGCACACCCGAGGGCGGTGGGGAAGACGACTTTGTGCGCGTGTAGGTGTGCAGTGCAGCTTAGCTTTTAGCTTGGCATTTGTGGCATCAACGCATGTGTTTGTACGCAAGGTGACCGACTCGAGACTTGGAGAGTGAGAGTGAAGCTCTAGGTGCGGTGGGGGTGTGAGTGAGAGCTTGAGTGTATGGCCTCGGAGCGGGACCCTGAAGGTTGAATTGGGAAAATGGGCGTTAGACTCCTTGCATGATGGATTCGATTCGAGGTCCGACTGCGAGACAGGCGCCGATTTTCTTTTTTGACAGACGGAGGGGACCAGTGGCAAAAAAAAGGGGGAAGGCCGGGCTGCCTCCTTGCCGCTTTCCGATGGGCGGGGGAAAAGGCTCACAAAGGCAGAAAAGGGCCAAGGTGCGCGGTGGGGATTGGATGCAGCTCAACTTCGCTTGGAAGCTAGCCGACTGGGTGGAGTGGTGCAGTGCGGTGCAGTGCCATGCAGGCCAGATCCAATCAAGATCCAAGTCAAGTTGGGCCTTCTGTCAATGACTGATCCGACTCACCTCACTCAGCTCAGCTCAGCCCACACGCCCTTCTCGAGCCTAAAATTTCCATTTCCAATTTTCTCTTTTCTTTGGCGTTGAAATTGGGAAATTGGCACGGCTCGTCAGCCGAAGCAGCCGGAGCAGCCGAACTCTCGCTCTCCCTCCGCTACTGTAAGGCGCGCTCGAGCCTCAGCTGTGCGTGGCGTGGCGTGGCGAGGCGCTTGCACTCGCAGTCACTCGCCCTCGCACTGCCAATCTGCCTGTCAAATCCGACTACGGTAGCCGCCTGCCTCCCCTCGCCCTGCACATGTCGCGTCCCACTCGCTCTCTCTCTCTCTCCAGTCCGCTTTTGCCCCTCCGCCTCCTCATCCTCCTTCAGCAACCTCGTCTCGACAGCCGCCTCCCTCGCCTTGTCTCCATCCTATCCTTCTCTCCTCACACCTTGACCCCCGCTCGCAGTCCACAATCTCACCCCCATTCCTCGATCCCAGTGGAATCCCCGGTCACCACCACCGCCATCACCACCACACCACACCGCCTCACACCAACCCTCCTCCTTCCCCACACGGCTGCCTTCTCCTATCTGCGCCACCCGTCACACTCCGGCCTGCTTACTCTCCAGCAGCACATCCATCTAGACTGGCTCGCCCACTTCAAATCGATCTAGAATCCGCCCATCTCTACCCCGCACTTTGAACCCCGCATCTGCTTCAACCCACCACAGCCTGCAGTCGCTTTGGCGTCGCTCGCAACAAAAATGAACCCATCCTCCGGAAGACCCACTACCGGCAGGCCCACCACCGGTAGGCCCATGACCGGTCGCCCGGGCACTCGCGGTGGTACCGCCGCTGGTAGACCCCCCACACAGGGCCAGGGCGATTACCCTCAGCAGCAACAGCAGCAACACCACCACGACCCCTACATCCAGGAAGAATGGGACGAGGAGGATGACTACGAATCCGACGACGACGGCGACGTGTTCGCCTTTGTCCCTCCCGATCTCGGCCCCGCCCCCGAGCTCCAACAAAACCCTCTCGACCCATCCATAGATAACCAGAACCGTCAGCACATCTCGCCCACACATCACAACGCACCAGCAGCATCCTCACCACCACCTCCACCCGCAGCATCAGTACCATCCGCAGCCGCCGCCGCCGCCGCCGCCGCCGCCGCCGCCGATGCCGCAGACCAGAACGAGACCTACTACTTTGACGAGGCCACCGGCGCCGTATACGACTCTCAGGGCCGTCTCGTCGATGTCTCGGCTCAAAACCTTGCCATCGGTGCGTCTCAGGCCGGCGCAGCTGCAGCGCATCCCGCCCTGCACGATCTGCAGCACGACCCTCACGCTAGAGACTCGCCCGCCTCCGAGCTCACCATCAACGACCTCGCCGCCGCCACCGCTCACCGCAACGGCCTGCCCGCCGACACCTCCCAATCTCTCAAGCCGCGCGCCTCCACCGACAATCGCTCCTACGACTCCACCAGCACCTACTCCCGCGATCCCGGCGCACAGCCTCTCAACCACGCTCGCTCCTACGCCGCCTTCCCCTCCATGGACGCCCTCCCCGAGGTCGACTCCCAGCCCACCAGCCGCAGCGGCAACTCGGACATGCGCGCCGCCCTCCCGCACGGCACACGCGACATTGGCACCACCGCAAGCGGCGCCATCTCCCTCGACCACGCCATCCCCGCACAGGGCAAGCGTCAGAGCGCACAGATCGACGCCTACCCCGACTCCCTCCCCGAGCTCCGTCACAGCCCAGAGAGCGACCTCAAATTCCCCCTCGATGCCGGCGACTACACCTACGAGGACGCCTACAAGGACGAATTCCACATGGTCAACTACAACGACCTCGGCCAAGGCCACGGCCTCGTCCACCCCGCCCTCGAGAGCGCACACGTCGGTTCCCGCGGCGTACGCATGGTCGAGCTCGAGATGGAGATGGAAGAGGACTCGCCCTACCCCGAGGTGCGCGCCTCGGTCTCCAACATCGACGACACCGACATGCCCGTCAACACCATCCGCATGTGGTTCATCTCCTTCTTCCTCACCATCATCGCCGCCGGCGCCAACATGTTCTTCTCCATGCGCTATCCGGCACCCACCTTTACAAACACCATCGTCCTCCTCATCGCCTACCCCATCGGCAAGCTCCTCGCCGCCATCATGCCCATCCGCGTATGGACCCTCCCGCGCTGGCTCGGCGGCAAGGATTTCTCGCTCAACCCAGGCATCTACAACATCAAGGAGCACGCCCTCACCTCCATCATGGCCAGCATCGCCATCAACACCGCCTACTCCATCAGCGTCATCATCGTACAGGACCACGAGCGCTACTACGGTCAGCCCAGGCCCTTTGGCTTCGACGTGCTCTTTGTGCTCAGCTGCCAGACCGTCGGCTTTGGCCTCGCAGGCATGTGTCGCCGCTTCCTCGTGTGGCCCGCAAGCATGATCTGGCCCCAGAACCTCGTCCAGGCCACCATCCTCAACACCCTCCACGCAGAGGAGGACGGTGCAGACGGCTCCATGACGCGCTTCCGCTTCTTCTCCATCGTCTCCATCGCCGCCTTTGTCTTTTACTTTGTGCCCGGCTACCTCTTCACCGCGCTCTCCTTCTTCAACTGGGTCTGCTGGATCTGGCCCACCAACATGCCCGTCAACGTCGTCTTTGGCACCGCCTCGGGCCTCGGCCTTTCGGTGCTCACCTTCGACTGGACACAGATCATCTACATTGGCTCGCCCCTCGTCACGCCCTGGTGGGCCGAGTGCAACATCTTTGCCGGCTTTGTCGGCCTCGTCTGGATCGTCGCGCCCCTCATGTACTTTAGGAACGTCTGGTACCAGGCCTACCTCCCCTTCAACAGCGGTGCCTCCTGGGACCGCTTCGGCCAGCCCTACAACATCTCGCGCGTCATTCCCAACGGCGTCGACCTTGACAAGGAAGCCTACGAGGCCTATTCGCCGCTCTATCTTTCGACTACACTCTCGCTCGTCTACACCACCGGCTTCGCCATGCTCACCTCGGTGCTCACGCATACCGTGCTGTACCACGGCAAGGCGCTCAAGAAGGGTATCATGCGCGTGCGCACCGAGGAGGACGACGTGCACGCCAAGTTCATGCGCCACTACCCCGAGGCGCCCGACTGGTGGTACGCGTGCATGTTCCTCGCGGCGCTCGTGTTTGGCGTGATCATGATCGAGGTCTACGACACGGGCCTGCCCATCTGGGCGCTGCTCGTGGCCATCGCCATCCCCGCCATCTACATTCTGCCCACCGGTTTCGTGTTTGCCATGACGGGTCAGGCGATCGGCACCAACCTCATCGGCGAGCTGATCGTAGGCTATCTGCTGCCGGGCAAGCCGCTGCCCAACATGATCTTCAAGGCGTATGCGCTGCAGGGTCTGCTGGGTGGCTTGCAGTTTGTGCAGGATCTCAAGCTCGGCCACTACATGAAGATCCCGCCGCGGCTCACATTTATGGCGCAGTTGACGGGCGTGTTGGTGGCGTGCTTTGTGCAGCTGGGTGTCAAGCAGTGGATGTTTGCCAACATCCAGGGCATCTGTTCGCCCGATCAGCCGGACAGCTTTACCTGCCCGCACATCCGCGTCTTTTACACGGCCAGTTTGGTGTGGGGTGCGATTGGGCCGGCGAGGATGTTTGGCAACGACTCGATCTACAGGCCGATGTACTGGGCGATGTTGGTGGGGGCCTTGATTCCGATTCCCTTCTGGTTGGCGGCAAGGAGGTATCCTCGGAGCTGGATTCGCTACATCAGTTGGCCGGTCATCTTTGCGGGTGTATCGTTCATCCCACCCGCGAGTGGGATCAACTACTCGTCGTGGTTTGCGGTGGGATTCATCTTCCAGTACCTCGTGCGCAAGTACAACTTCCGCTGGTGGTCCAAGTACAACTTTGTCCTCGCCGCCGCCATGGACAGCGGCACCATCATCTCGACCATCGTGGTCTTCTTTGCGCTGGCGCTGCCCAAGAACGGCTCGCTCACCATCAATTGGTGGGGCAACGAGGTGGTTGCAAAGACGTACGACTGGGCGGGGTACTCGTATTTGACCCCGCCAGAGGAAGGCTTTGGTTCGACGCCCAAATTTTGAAGTGGTTCCACGGCTGCTTTGTTTGAAGAAAAATGTCATTCTTGCTTTTGTCTGCTCTATCGCCCCAGTAGGGATGGTGTGTCTGTTGTGCCACGGCGCCAGAACAGAAAAGAAAATGAGCTGGGTGTTTCTGTAGAGAGGCTCCAATCCTTGACACAAAGGCTGATGTAGAACACCGCAGAGCCTCTAACCAGGCTCTGTGTCAAACTGCAGCAGCTCACACACAGCCTCTGGATGACCCTCTGCGGCAGTCACACCGAAGTGCGTTTTGTTTGTGGTGAGGATGGTGTGTGTGTTGGAGTGCGCGGTGGTTAGAGTGGTAAGGCGCTGGTCCAGCACACGACACAAACAGAGGGAGTTGAATGGCGAATGAATGTATTGGATGGAGCGAATGGATTTGATTGTGGTGTATCTACATGGTGTGGACTGAGAGTGCAAGCTGAGTGAGCGTGGATGAGGAGGTATGTGCATCGTGACCCTGAGGAGGTGTGCAGCGATGCCTCCCAGGACGCGTGTGGTATGGTGGGGGTAATTTGATGCAGGTCCGGGAAACCCACCAACAACCGAGACAATGCCCGATGTAGCCGAGTGTGCCTGGTCATGAGCGAGATGGTTCTGTGTTGCTTTACTCGACACGGCTTTGCTTGACTGCCACGGCGACAAACAGCAACTCGGCAAAAAAAAACTATGCCGGGTCATGAGGGTAACTTGACACGATTGTTGCCTTGCGATGCGTTGCGATCGGGCATTGTCCGACTTGCTGTTGTGCGGCGTCGCCTACACCGCCAACCTCGGCCACGGCATCACCTTGCGCATCGACGCGGAATCGGTCTAAGATCTCCCTCAAGGCGATGCACCGCATCAGCAGCAAAGTCAACAGCGCTCTCTCGACCAAGAGTACAGAGCCCCCAGCACGATCGAGTAAGTTGGATACAACATAGCCATTGGCCATGAGAAAAATGTCCTTCGTCATGCTTGCCTGGAAGGGTGTGTGTGTGGTGTTACGAGCGGTTGCGCCAGAGCGAGACCCCATTTCGCCTTGCTGACACCCAGCTTCCACACAACCATTGCTTTGACAGCGTCGTTGCTTGAGAATGTCTTGCTCAATTGCGCCTTGCTACGCAGTGGCGCCTTGGGTTGACACTGCATCGCAATCGTGGCCGTGCATGACTGCAACTGCTCGCCTCCGCGACTTGCCTGTCTGTGCCTTGTCGTGACCCGAGCTTCCCACACGGCGGTTGCCTCGATTGACGTTGCATGCTTGGACTACGCCTGTGCCCCCTGCCCCATGGCCAAGTTGACATGGCGTGTCGTGTGCGCATGTGTGGGCGGTGTTGAGAGCAAAGAGTTGAGTGCGGGTCTGAAAAGTGCTCGCAATCTGTAGCATGAAATGTGTTTGCTAGGGTTGGGATGGCGATGAGAGCTGGGTGCCAATCCCATGCCATCGTGTTTGGCAAAAGAGTGTGGTGTGAAAGGGATTAGACTGAGTGAGTGAGTGAGGAGGTGCGTGCATCATATGCCCGAGTAGGTGTGTAGCGACGCCTAGCCGGGCGCACGTGGTATGGCGGGGGCCACCTGATGCAGCTACCACCCTCGGCGAGCCGGGAAACCCGCACCAACAGAAAGTGAGTCACCGTCACTCTGCGCTTGATTGCTTCCAAACGCCAAGTAATGGGGCTGCTTGGGGTTCATCTCACGATGAGGAGCATACTTGCATTGTGTGCGCTATCTTGTCTGCCCCAAGAAACCACCTTGCGCAACATCAAGCGCCTCCCACCTTGGAAAAAGGTGCAAGACATCCACAATGCACGCCAGGGTCAAGACGCCACCACCCACACTCACGTCCTTGTCAGCAACCAGACGAATCGCTTCCTAACTGCCAATATCCTTGCCAAAGCTGTCCGAGTACCAAACACGCTTACATCTTTGTGATGCGCTGATCGCTCCGACCAACGACTACAAATGACGCTTTCGGCATTTCCACCATTGAAGCTTGCTTCCAAGCATGATGGGGGAAAACAAGCGGCGATTGTAGGAGCCACGTGAGTCGATTGGGTTCCACTGCTTCACCCTGCGGTGCTTGCTCCTTCGTACCGAACTTTTCGAGAGAGTGGAGCTACGTGTACGGGGAGCATTAGCTTCGTGTGCCAGGTATAGGTCACTGCGAAAGAAGCAGTACAGTACATTCGTCTCACTCGATCCACGAACAGGCATCAAGTCGATTGAGCGCTCTCCAACATACGCTGCTAAATCGTCCAAGCCCAATCTTGCTTTACTTGCACTTGTATTCGGGCGGTCGGTCGATGCACCAAGCCGTGCGCGCACGTCATACGCGAACTGCATGTTGAGCGAAATGATGCCGAGATCACAGCGCCACCATCGTCAAGCTTGCTGTTATTATTTCTTGCTGCGTATTGCGAATCGAGCCACTGCGTCGAAGGAGGAGCGGCGCATACTTCGAGAGGCTGTTCACTTCGGCCAAGATGGCTTCCGCTGCCAAGCAGGTATAGCTCAGATGCTGCTGTCTCCGAGCTGATCGAGTTGCGCAAGTGCAAGGGGCATCCTCAATGTAATCATCGCTCGAATCTTTTGTTTTGCAGGAGGATGAGCTGATGCGATCGTCAAGCCGCATGGAAACCGAAACCTCACCAATGAATTGAAATGGCAAACTCGTCTTTTGTTTTTGCCCAGCCCAAGTGGTTGCGAACATGGTTCGAGCGCTTGGTGCTGATCTCCTCGTTCACGCCATGTGGGATATGCACGAGCCATACAATGTTGACCGTTTGAGATTCCGCTGCCTCCTAAGGGCACCGATTGGACCTCGCTCATTAAGACCCCGCTGCTCGCGTCTGCAAGCTTATCCTGCATCGCAAGCCTGTGCTGCTGGATCGGAGCAATCTACAAATGCCGCTCGCTTGGCCAAGCTCGTGCTTGCTTTTGGATTCCAGATCAAACCAATTGATCAGGGTCGATCTAGTGAGCGTTGAGGTCTTGCGTGACTTGAATCCAACCACTCACCGCCGCTCCATCAAAAGGCCTGCGCCCAAATCGAGCCGTCGTCAACACACCCTGCTCAACTTCTGCCGGCTTGTTATTGCTCCTGAATCTTCTTAGGTTTAAGTGGTCGGTAGATGGAGGAACACCGAGGTGATCGCACACCTCCTCTTCGCTTGACACAGAGCGTCACACACAGTTCGGAGAGAAGCTCCGATTCGCATATATCTGAGCCGACGTTGGTGCAGCGCTCATACAGAGCCGACCATTGGGGCTTGTATTACGAGCAGCGAACACACGGCCTCTGTATCAACCGTCTGTGCCAGATCTACACAGTTATTACGCCTCGTGGCAGCGTTCCGACCCAGGTGGTATATGCTCTAAGCCATGCAATGTCCGAGATCGTGTTGAAGTTACAACGCCACCTCGACACCAATTGACCCTCGTCCCCATCATCGTGCGCTGCTCACCTGCACAAGCCTTGTTGGTGCACTTGTGGCTTGTGGTCTCTGATTTTTTCGTATCATGCGTCGATTTCGCGCAACGAGGTAGCCGGACGCCTCAAAGATGCACGTGCAGGACCTGATCTGGGAGCGAGACGCAAGCAGATCGCCGAAGGACACCGCCTGGAGCCCAAGGCGTAACATCTAACTTCTGAAGCAAGGCCAAGCGCTCGCCCAACGAGGCGAGGGAGATCAAGCTTGCTCAAGCAGTACTCCAGACTTCTCCTCCATGGGTGGTCGTACACTGTCCATCGATGCACCTCGGCGTACTTTCCCACATGCTCGGCCTCGTCGGTCGTGTCGACGAGCGGCAACCAATATTCGGGCGCTCCTGCGCACTTTGCACGAGGCAGTGGTACTCGCTCGGTTGCACGGGGAAACGATGAGGCAGTGCACGACGACGTGGGGGTAAGCGAGCAACGGACGCGCCGCGCGCGGGACCGAACTGGCGGACAAACAAGCTCGAGGCAATTGGGATGGAGGATTCGTACCTGCACTGGTCCAGCTTGGCCTCGTAAAAGTCGCTGCGGATCGATGAGCTCGAGCAGCACACGGAGGTAGCTGGAGCGTAAAAACGATGCGCTGCACAAAGACAGGGACAAGAGCGAGCCGAAAGCCAGACAAGGCTGTGCAGCTCGCACGTACACTTTCTCAATCGATGCAAGCTCGCCGTTCACTCACGTCGTGTGGTAGAACGAGATGTTGACCGAGAATACTCCATCTTTCATACGAGATTGCGCGTAGCGGAATTTGGGTCGAGTCTTTCCCACTCGAGATCGTCTTCTTCTCATCGGATCGTGATGACCGAGATGGTTATCTGAATAGCATACATTAAGACCAACAACCGAACCTGGATGGATGTTTGGACGCTGCAAGAACCCGGCCCAGCCCGCAGGTTCCGCCCAGCCACCGCCAATTCACCTGCTCACACTCATGATCAGAGGTTGCAAAACGTACTGTCATCATGATGCTTTTTTTTTCCAACCGAGATCGCACATGGTGGATTTTCGACCCGTTGCATTCCCCACTCCCAACCCGGTTCTTTCTCATCTGACCGTGGTGACTGGATATCAGCGTTCGACAAAAGTGTTGACTTCAAGTTCGAGGGGTTTACGAACGTGGATGGATTTGTGGAGGCCTTGGCTGGTGCTCACCATCAGGATTGCGCATGTACTGCCATCATTTCAGCCGAAACGAGCGCCACAGTTATCGAACAAGGTGCTTGTCTATCAATCTTGAAACACACACATGTCGGTTCTTGTATGGTCTGTGTACCCGAACAACTCCTTCATAGTTGATCATCGCTATCGAACAAAAGTTCCACCCGACTCGATTTCGATTGAAGAAAAGAGGAGGTAAACATGCACGTATCGTTCGTGTAGGAGGAGGTGTCGAAGAGCCTCGTTATATGTCGAACAACAATACAGACCCACGTCGATTTCGCATGCCAAAATTGATAGTATTAAAACAGCCATTCATACTGGCGCACATACAGTTTAAGACCAAAGCAAAGAAAACCCACCGCTAACACTCGATGCGCATGCCCTTTTCAGCCATGACGAAGCGCACACCCAACCGCACAAGCCCTGTTGCATCGTTGGAGGAAGCAGGAGGTTCACATCACGAGGGACTTGTTGACCGAGATTGTTATTAAAACGCCACACACAACTGGCGCACATACAGGTTAAGACCAAAGCAAAGAATCCCCGCACTGGCGCCGCGCTAACATTCGATTTTTCAGCCATGACGAAGCGCACACCCAACCGCACAAGCCCTGTTGCATCGTTGGAGGAAGCAGGAGGTTCACATCACGAGGGACTTGTTGACCGAGATTGTTATTAAAACGCCACACACAACTGGCGCACATACAGGTTAAGACCAAAGCAAAGAATCCCCGCACTGGCGCCGCGCTAACATTCGATGCGCATGCCCTTTTCAGCCATGACGAAGCGCACACCCAACCGGGCCAGGTGTTCCTCGTGCCGCAGCTCGTCCAAGATCTTTTGCGGTGCGGTTCGGGGATCGAGCTGCGGCTGTGCGGATGCGTCGCTGTCGTCGCCATGTGCCGCAGCCTCCATCGAGGAGCTGCCGGACACAGCCGAGGTGGGCGATGCAGGCTGTGCATCGTCGTGCACAAACGTCGGGAAGAGCGCCGGCTTGACGTGGATCACGATCACGCCCAACCCGTCCAGCTGCCCCCGCAGCTCCGCATCGCCGTCGTACACGTGCGATCCTGTAGCTCCCACCGCTTCCCGCGCGCCAACCTCGTCCGTCGACACGGCCGCAGTACCCAGTGGAGACGGCGCGAGGTGCGGCGTATACCTGCCTTCACCATGAGCCTTGGCTGCACCAGCCGTGCTACCGCCCCCGCTACCGCCACCGCCACCCGAACTGTGCGCGCCCGTACTGCGCCCACTTGCGTTGGACGGACGTCGCATCTTCTGACGGTAGCGCTTGACCATCTGCGCCAACACGCGCAGCTCGTCAAACAGATGCTCCACCGACAAGTGGCCGTACAGAAACTCGGTGGGATGACCGCGTGGGAAGCTGCACTCGAGGAAAATCGCGTTGAGCTTGCCCTCGGCAAAGCGCTCCGCCGCGTGACTCCACACCTGGCGATTGCGCGGGCTCTTGGACACGCAGTCGGGCTCCACATCGCCAAAGAAGAGCACGTCCTTGTCGTGCGCCTTGTGCGTGATGAAGAACGCCGTCGAGTCGAGCGGCGGCGGCGAGCGGTCGATCGAGACGCGTCGAGGCGGCTGCCTTGTGGTTGGCGGCGCCGCAGCACCGCCTGTGCTCGCCGAGGCCGCCGCGGGTGGCCATGCCGAGGGCGGCGAGGAGCGTCTCTCGGAGCCTTGGGCGGTGCGAGGCCGGCGGCCCTTGGCGGGGCGTTCGGGCAGCTTGGCGCCAAACTGTTGCGGTGCCAACGCTTGCGCCTCGGATGGCGATGCGGTGGAGCGGGTTGGAATGCCCGGACCACTGCTGACGGAGGGCAGCATGGCGACCGACGAGAGCGAACCCGAGCTGGACGACGAAGAGGGCGCGGCTGTGGCGGCAGAGGCGGCGGCAGGCGATGCTCTTGGGGAGACGGGTTCGTTGTGCTTGCCTGGTGATGCATCGAGCGGGTTGAGCGAGCCGTTGGATAGTCTGTCGCGCTGAGTCGAGTTGGGAGCAAAGAAGGGGCTGCTGTTGAACGAGGGCCTGCGAAGCGCTGCGAGATTGGACTCGCCGCCCTGGGTTATGCTCTCGAGGGTGCGCGTGCGATCGTCTGCGCCGCCGCCGCCGCCGCCGCCGCGCGAGAGCTGGAAGGACGCCATCTGTGTGCTGATGGGAAGCGACATGCGCTTGCTAAAGTAGTTTTGGTTGAGCTGGGTGGGAGCATAGGTGGGAGTAGGCGGAGCTGGGGGTTCGGAAGGGTTGAGGCCGTGGGAGAGGGCAAAGGGGAGCACGCTGAGCGCGTCGCTGACGCCAAAGGGGCGCTGATTGTCGAGGCTGCGCATGTGGTACATGGTGTGCGGCTCGTCCTCGTTCCAGGAGGCGAGCTTGGGCCAGATTTTGCCGTTGAACATGTCGAGGATGTTTTCGAGCGTGGGCTTGAGGCCGAAGACGGCGCGCTTGCCCGGTAAGGAGGCGGAGCCGAGGACGAGGCCGAGGATGTGGTCGAGATGGGCGTGGGATATCAAGAAGGCGGTGGAGAAGGAGGCCATGAGGCCTGCGCGGAGGAAGGCGGAGGGGGTGGTGGCGGGGAAGTCAAAGTCGTGGAAGGCCGAGTCGGGGCCGTGCTGCTCGAGGACGTCTGTGAGAGCGCCGAGCCAGGAGCCGCCCTCGACGACGATGGAGCCGTCTTGCCACTGTGCGTCTGCGGGCTTCAAGAGGTAGCAGGAGCAGTCGCCTTCGAGAGGGCCACCGCCAGTGCCGAGGCAGACGAAGCTGAACGAGGCGGGCACATCGGGCGGATGGAGGGCGACGCGGGGCTGCTTGCGTCGACGGTAGTCGGGAGCCGAATAGAAGGACTGGTCCGAGTAGACGGAGCTCCTGCGGTAGGCGTTGCGGCTGCTGGATCTGCTGGCGGAGGGAGCGCTGTCGGCGGCGTCTGGTGGAGCGTTGAACTGGGAGGAAGAGGATGCGACGGCTGTGTCATGCCGCAAGGATGAGGAAGGAGCTGCCATGGATGGGGAAGCTGTGGCGGACAGCAGCGGTGGCTATCGAAGAGTGCGAAGGGGAAGAAGGAAGAGAGACGCGAGACGTGCGGAGGAGTATATGGGGGGGAGAGATGGTCCCCACCGAGAGGATAGTCGTGGACGGAGGATGTTCGGTCGTGGCTGGTTTGGAATATGAAGAGGCGAGGTGGAAGCTTTGCGGCGAGCAACTAGGCAGGCACGCGGCGAGCACGGGGTAGGTTGGCCGACAGTGGGCTGGCTAGATGCCGAAGTGGATGCCAAAGTGGGGGAGGCTTGTGACGGAGTTGGCCGATGTGGTGGTGGTAATGATGGTGGTGGTGGGTTGGATGTATGGAAATGCAGACGTTGATGCACCGAGACCGCGGAGACGCCAGTTCGGAATCGAATGGAAGGCGGAGCGAATCGATGGTCGACGCGAGTTGAAAGCCGAGGGATGCCGGCAATGTGGGCCAGTGCGGTGGAAGTTAGCCAAAGGTGTGGGAAGGCAAGGGGTGAGGAGCGGGCTCAGGATGAATTCATTTCGGGGGCGGCTGAGCGATGCAAGGGTGTGGGTTGAAAAGATGGATGTAGGCGGCGGCGGCGGCGTACAGAAGGCTAGGGCGTAGGAAGGTACTGCGGCTGTCGGCGTGCGCGACAATGTGATAGTAGAGTGATGATGGTGATGGCGAGGATGAGGATGAGGATGAGGATGAGGATGAGAGAGCGGGGCTTTGCCGAATCTACTCGAGAGAGAGCGACGACCGAATTGGCACGCGGTCTGAACCCAGTCATGAGTTCGAGAGCCTCTCTCTCTCTCTCTCTGCTCGATCTCAGGGTTCTGGACCCAGATGGGATCCACACGGACGGGCGCAGCGAGGCGAATCGCATGCGCTCGAGTCAAGCCAGCCGACGCAGTCAAGGCGGAAATTCACCACTAATGCGGCCAATGCGGCCTCGACTTTTGCACTTTTGGGCCAATTGCGCCGTTTTTCGCGCCGGTTTCCGATCGCCACGCAGCAGCCGCTTGGCCGACTACAGTATAGTAGCCGCGGGCCCGCTTTGGCCACGCATCCTCGGCACGCCCCTCTCGCTTGGCTGCGCATCGCATCGAGCGCAGAGCCGCGTGGCAGCAGCCAATCCCATCAGTCCATCCAGCTCAGGGCCTAGAAGCGCCCTGCTCCCTCTCTGCCGCAGCCCTCTAGAACCTAACACTAATCCACCCCAAAAAACAATCCGGCTCTCATTGGCCCCACCAAAAAAGCTCTGCAGGAACAATGCACCATGCCCACCACCGCCTCTTGGCAGCCTCGAAACATCCCCACCGACCTCAGCCAAGCCGACCATTGACCATGGTCTTGCTCGTTCCTTGACACCCCTGTGCATGTGAGACAGAAAACAAAACACAATCGATTGCTATGATAGATGCCGTACAGTATGCTTTCGAGGCTCATCGGCCCGTCATGATGTAGTCGAGCGCGCGCAGGCTTCGCAGCAGCACCGCCTGCGCATTCGCAGGGCTCGCCAGCGCCGCCAGCGCCTTGCTCTCGATGCGCTGCCCGCCGCTCATCGCCGAGATCCGATCCGTCACCGTCGGCCCGCTGATCACGATCCCGCTGCGCGTCACTCCGCTCGGCGTGCCGTCGCCAGCCCCGGGCGTCTCGCTGCTGCCACCCGCCTCGGCCTTGTCCTTGCCGCCGCCCTCCTCCTCCGCTTCGTCCTCCTCCACGTGCTCCGGCAGCGTCGCCAGCAACGCATCCAGGTCAACAACCAGCGACCTCGACGCCTCGTTCGCCTGCGCCTGCAGCGCGCCGCAGATCACATCGCGCGCACCATCGATCGCAGACAGGTGCAAAGCCACCGCCAGCGTGTTCTGGAAGCCCTTGCTCGACACCGCCGTCGCAAGAGGCCTCACAATGTTTGCAAGCCGCTCCGCAGGCACCACCGGCATCGTCGATAGCGAGCCCTCCGAACCGCCTTCGCCCGCTTTCGCATTGACCGCATTGGCGACAGCCTCGGCCGGTGCGGCTCCGGCATGGTTGCTGCCACTGCTCGTCGACGTTGCCGCTGCCGTGCTTGTTGCTGGCGCAGAGCTGCTCGACGCTTCAGCCGCTGCCGTCGACTCGCCTGCGCCACCCGTACCACGCTTGCCCTCCTCCGGCTTGGTCACCGCAAGCAGAGGCTTGGTCACCGTGCTCAGAAGCGCCAGCAGCGAATCCACCAGCTGGCTGTTGGCCAAGATCGTCTCCTTGGACAACAGCCCCAGCAGCACGTTGAGCGGTGCCCATCCACGCTCCACACCCTCCTTCTCCTTCTCCTTCTCCTTCTCCTTTTCCTTGCCCTTGCTTCGCTTCGGCGGTCGCGAGTCGTCGCGCAAAAAGTACAGCGCCGCCTGAGTGTTGACCGCAGTCAGATGCAGCAGCGTGTCCAGGCTGCGAGACGCGATCAGGAACGGCGCCTCGTCTCCCGTCTTGGACAGCGGCGCCACATTGCCAGACGAGCCGCCCGCGCCCCCAGGCGTCCAAACCTGCCCGTGCACCGCGCTTGCAGGCCCCGAGTTGGCCCGCTTCGGCGTCGGTCGCGATGGCGTCGCGTGCATCCGGTTCGCCCGGTTGCTCATCGACACAAACGAACGGTCCACCGCATGCGCGTCCACCGAGCCCTCCGACAGCACCATCAGCAGCAGATTCAGCAGCTCCGATCGCGTCTTGGCGTTCTCCGAAAGATTGGCAAGCACCTTGTGCAGCGACGTCTGCTTGGCGTTCATCTGGGGGAAGAACAGCAGCCGCACCAGCGTCGCCACACCCGGCTTGTCCAGCAGCTGGATCGCATCGCGCGGTCCCGCCTTCTTGGACGCATCGCCGTGCGCAGCCTCGTTGCCAGCGCCACCCGTCGCCCGCGCCGATCCAGGCATGCCCGAAAGGTTGAGCACTCGCATCTGCATGATCGGCCTTCGCGGCGCCCTCGGACCGTCAGGCACATCTCGCACCGTACCAGTCGACGTCTCTTGGCTGTCTTCCTCCTCGTCGAATCGGCGGTGTTGACGCTGATGATCTCCTGCGGCCTCGCCGTCAAGTCGTGTCATGGGCAGAGAGTCCAGCAGTTGCTCGCCGTCACCGCGCAGGATCTCGTCAAGGTCGTCGGCCGAGAACGTGTAGCCCAGAGCGTCGTTCGCCTGGTCGCCCGATCGGCCGCCCTGTCCCGCCGGACGCGCTGCGCTCGAGCTCGTTGCATCTTGACCACCGTCCTGGCCCGACGCTCGTCGGTCTCGGTCCTCGATCGCCTGCGCTGCCATCTGCTCGCGAACGCGGCGTCGCGACGTCTCGATCGCCTCCTGCTGGATCACCTCGGCTCGCAGCTCGGGAGGCAGTGCGTCCAGGAACTCGGGCGCGATGCTCGTCGGCTGCGGCAGATTGCTCGTCGCTTCCGCAGCTCGGCGCTCCCGGAAGTGCTGGTTGAGCACCTCCTCGCGCAGGTCGTCCGGCAGCGCCTCGAGGAACGTTGGATCAATGCCCGTGTCGGTGATGTCGATCTCTTCGCCGTTGATCATGATCGTGGATCGCTCGGCTGCCGAGGCAGGTGCAGTCGACTCGCCCGACAGCGTAGCCTCTGAAGGTCGTGCTGTCGATGCGTCCGTGGCCACGGCACTGCTCGACGGCTCGGTCACTGCAGGCGAGGTATCAGACATCTCGACATCGTCGGCAGTTGCACCACCAGGAGCCGGCTCTGCCTGAGCGCCAGAGGTGATGCTGTCGGAAGCGGCAACGGCGGCTTCGGCGGAGGTGGACACCGCTTGCTCTTGCGAGGGCTCTGCGGGCGTGCCCGTGACGGTGGGCGCCTCTGTCGGCGCGTCGGCAGCAGCTTCGGCTTCGGTTCCGGCCTGGGTGAGCATCTGGTGTGCTCGCTGCTCGCCTTCCCGCAGCCTCTCGCGCGCTTCTTGCAGCTCCTGCTCGGTGCGCGCCTTGCCTTCGCGCAGCCGCTTGAGCTCGGCCTCAGCCTTCTCGCGCGTCTGCTTCGCCTCCTCGAGCTTCTTGCGATCCTCCTCGAGCCTTCGTCGAGTTTCCAGTCGGCTCTTCTTGAAGCCAGGCATGAGCGCGTTGATGAGATGATTGCGCATGCGCGACGTACGCTCGCTCGACACAGCCGACGAAGGCAACAGAATCAGCGCCTCCTCGGACCACCTCGTGATCGTGGGCATGGGCGTGAACGACTGTGAGAGCGTCACTGGATCGTTCATGCGAGCCGCTTGACGGCTGCTGGGCGCCCGGTGCGCATCGCCTCCAAGCACGGCCTGACCGTGCTGGGTGTGGCTGTGATGGTGGTGGTGATGACCGCCGCGGCCACCGCGGCCAGGGACGTCGATGCCGTCGATGCGCACCCTGCCGCCATTTCCGACCTCGATGTGAATGTCCTGATTGGCGCCGCCACGGGTCAGCAGCTGCTCCAAGAACTGCAGCGCACCTTCTCCCACGAAATCTTCCACCGACTGCGCCCAGTCTGCGTAGCCCGACGGCAGCTGTGCGCCGCCGGCGCCGCGGCTCGAGTTGCGACCTGCGTGACGGCTGGCGTCGGCATCCGACTGGTCCATCAGCAGTGGATGCGTCGGGATTTCGTACGAAACGGTCGTAGCGCGACGCGGCGCCATCATCGAGTCAAAGTCGAGCAGATTGCGTCGGCGATGGCCGCCGGTGCCGCTGGCCATGTTGGCGATGGCGTTGGGCAGGAAGAAGTTGGGCGGGAAGATGCCAGCCGTACGAGGACGGTCGCCAGAGGCACCCGGCATGCCGCTGCGAGCATCCGGAAGGGCCGTCCAGCCCCAGTTGGCGCCGAAACGGTCGTCGATCGGAGCGTCGTACGCCTCGGCCAGCTCGAGCTGCGACAGATCGTCGCCGTCCATGTCGCCATCGACAGACTCCTCATCGAGCATCTCCATCTCCTCTTCGTCCATCATGTCGTCTTCGCCGTCCATCAGTGCGGCCTCATCGCCGTCTTCAAGCTCTTCGGGTATCGCCGGCATGCCGTCCTCGCCCTCCTCGAAGACAAAGTCGAGCGCCTCTTCGTCGTCGTCCTCGTCATCCTCGTCATCGTCCTCGTCGTCTTCATCGGTCCACTCGTCCTCTTCATCGACGATGCTGACGTCGTCGTCGTCGACATCGCCGCCGCGCATGCCGCGCGCGTGCGAGTGGCCGTGACCGTCGTCGTCCGAGATGTCGTCTTCGTCGCTCGAGTCGTCCATGTCGGTGTCAGAGTCCGTGAGCTCAATGACGCGAGGGTCGTCGCCGTCCTCGCCCTCGAGCTCCTCGTCGCTCGAGAGCTCGCTGCCGGTCTCCGAGTCGTAGTCCGCCATGTCCATGTCCTCGTCGTCTTCCATGCTCTCGTCCGACATCTCGTCGTCCTCGAAGCCCTGCTCCATCTCGCCCGTGTGCATGCCGAGCGAAGAGTTGCGGTAGAAGTCGGGCGTCTCGGCGCGCTCCATGTCTTCCTCGTCCTCGTCCTCGTCGTCAAAGTCCTCCTCCATGTCGTAGTCGGACGAAAAGTCGGTCTCGTCGTCCGTCTCGTCGATCACAGCTCGGCCGCCATTCTTGTCCTTGGTCTTGCCCATCTTGATGGCGACCTTGGTGAGGTGCTCGAGCGGCCGCAGGATCGCCTCGAGCAGCGACTTGACCGTCGGCAGGTTGAGGTCCACATCGGCGATCGCGCTCGTAAGCACGGTGACAAAGTTCTTTTCGAGCATGATCTTGGCCATGTGCAGTGTGAGTTCCTCGGTCTGCTTTCCGCCCGTGCTGTTGGGACGTGCGATCAGCAGACGGTAGCACAGGTCGCTGAGCGCGTACAGCCGGCCGTAGCGCACCTCGATGGGCTCCGAAGACGATGCAGCCTCTTTGATGGCACGCGCGATCGCATCCAAGACCGTCTTGCGCACCGTGATGAGCTCTGCTGGTACCTCTTTGACGTCGATGTGCGCACTCACGTCCGCAGTGAGGGCCACCAGAACCGACATGGCCCAGTTGGAGAGCGTCATCTTTCTGCGCAGCTCGCTGCCCTCGTACGAGCTCAGGAAGCCGGCAGGCACCAGCTCGGTCAGGAACGTGCTCAGGATCGCCGCTCGTGCACGACCGGCGTCCTTGCCTCCGGGTGTGCCCGGAGCAAACGTCATTGAAGCGTGCGCCGGCGTCGAAGTGGGCGTAGCTAGGGAGCCCGCTGCAGCTGCAAACAGACGCTTCTTGCTGAAGTTGGTGAAGGACGTCTTGCAGGAAGCGTACGAAGATAAGAGCTCCGTAAGACACTGCATGAGGAACGACGAGTAGAAGAAGGCGATGTCGTCTTGCTTCTCGGCCTCGGTCTTTTCCTTCTCCGCGCTTTCAGCAGCCGATGCGCTAGTGTCCGCTGACGTCGTGGCACCAGCAGGCGCAGCGCTACTCTCCGTGGGGGTGGCGGTGAGAGCACCAGTGGCGTTGGCGGCTGAAGAGGGCTCGGGTGTCGCAGGCTTCCTGGCCGTAGACTTGAGCAGCTCAGTCAGCAAGAAGCCCATCAAGCCGTCGAGCTCCTCCGATGGCGTGCTGGCGGAAGAAGCTTGCGCGGCGGTCTTGAAGAAGGAGGCTTCGTCCATTGTCTTGGATGCCGAGCCTTCCATAGGCTCGTCGCCGAGACGCAGACTGGCCAGGCTTGCTTGCCCGTTGCCGGCGAGGTCGGAAGGCGACTCCTTGCTCGACTCTCCCGCGGCTGTAGAGTGCTGAAGCAGCTTGATGTGACCGCTGCCTTTGGTGGGTGAGTACTCGGTCATCTCGACCTTTTCAACCGCGGATGCAAGGAAGATGTCGGGCTCGCGCAGAACCGCGCAGTCGAGCTGGCGGACGAGCGTCGAGGTGTCGGTCAGCTTGTTGCGCGACTGCGCCACGAAGCTGTGGATCTCCTGGGCCATGACCGCGGCCAAAGTCTGAGAGTCTTCGACAATGTGACGCAGCACGATCGCGACGAAAGGCTGGCATCCGGAGACCAGCTTGGGCTCAAGGACACGGAACGGCTCGAAGATGAGACGAACGCCTCCTTCGCGCGCAAAACGAGCCGCGTACGAGTGACTGCGGGTCAGCACGGTCAGCAGTCGATAAGCAGCCAGCAGATCGTTGCGCTCGAGCGCTGGGGCCTCGCGGAAGAGCTGGATCGCAAACTGGAAGAGCGCGTCCGAAATGGGGACAGAGCCGACCTTGACCGGCGGCAGCGATGGCTTCTCGCTGGTGCTCGCGGATGCTTGCACGGTCGATGCCTCGGGCGCTGACTGGCTGTCACCCTTGCCCGACTCTGCAGTCACAGAGGAGTCGGCTTCGACGGGAGCGTCAAGGAACGAGTCGTCCACTTTGGTCTCGACGATGTCTTCGGAAAATCCGAGGATGCCAACGAGCGACAAGATGAGCGACGCCAGCCACTTTGGAGACGATGGCACCTTGGATGCTTGCTCTGATCCCGAGGCAGCCGGTTCTGGCGCCGATGCGGCACCGTCTGCCTTGCCTTGCGTGGCGCTGCGCGAGCCGTACAGCTGGATGAGAGCCTCCAACGACTTCAACACCGACGCTGCCATCTCGCGATCGAGTTGCTTGAAGATCTGCTCGTCGTGCAGGATGAGTGCGAGGAGCTGCAGACGCAGAGCGATAAAGTTGGCCTTGGCTTCGAAGGCCGCAGACGATTCGGCGTCGATCATCTTGACGAGCGTCTCGATGTAGCTCGTCGCCCGCGTGCGGTCGGTGGACTCGAGCAGAATGGCGCTCTTGACCTCGAAGACCAGCGCGGGGTGGTGGTCGGCCAGCTCGAGACCCCTCTCGACCAGGGTGGATCGCAGCTGGGCGCGACCTTTGTCCAGGCGGGCCAATGTCTCGTCGATCGCTCCCTGGTCCAGAGTCTCGTCGCAATCCAAGTGCACCGTCGAAGGAGGCAAGTCGCCGAATTCCGCCGGCGGAGCGTCGGGAATCATGACGTCCTGCACCTCTTCCGACGCATCACCTGCCTCGGCGGCCGGGGCGTCGGTCATCTGATCCTCCCACTCCTCATCGTCACCTCGGGCGGCGGCGGTGTTAGCGGGCGGTGGCGCGTCAGCCGGAGTGGCGGTGGTTGCGTCTGCTGCCGAAGTGCTCTCGCCGGTGGCGGCTTCTGCTGTAGCGCCAGTGGCGGGAGCCGAGGCGTCGTCGTTCCACGGGCGATCTGGGTTGTCGCGATACTGCACGACAAGGTCATCGTGCATCAGCAGGTACTCGGTCGCCGCGTTGAGATTGTTCTGGCATCGCGACAAGGCGTGGCGCGCTGCGTTTGCGGGGAAGCCCATGTCGACCATGGTGCGGACTCGGTCCTCGTTGGGCGCACGTCGCACCGGTGCGGGGACGAGTCGGGGCGCGCTGCCAAAGGCGAACGGATTGCGCATGTTGAGCAGCGGGAATCCAGCCTCCGGAGTCGCAGCAGGATTCGAGGAGCCAGTCGTGGCGCTCGGCTTCTTGGGCGGAGGCGCAACCTCGTTCTGGCCCTTGAGAATGGTCAGCAGATTCTGCAGCATCAGACGGTTCACCGACGCAGGCAGGGAGGGCAGCCACGGCTTGTCCCACACGGCCATTAGCGTCGACAGCACCTCGGCACGGATCTTGACGATGTAGGCGTGCGGGTCAAAGTTCTCGCCGCCTCCGATGCGGTTGATCTGCAAGGTCTGAGCCGAGTCGACGATGCCCTTGCAATGCACAAGCTTGAGCATGACGCCAAGCACGACCTTGAGCCCTCCGCACGTATGGCCGAGCTTGATGCCGGCCTCGTCGATGTTGGCCACGATGGATTCGATGCGGTTGCCCTCGCCAACGTAGAATCGGTCGATCTCGGCGACGTAGCGATCAAAGAGGTCGAAGAGCGCATCCAGACCGCCGATCTTGTCAAAGGCACGCAGGACCATCGAGTAGACGAGCGTCGAGCTGTGGCGATCGTCGAAAAGCAGACAGCTGGTCTGGCAGATCATGAGCGTGGCAAAGGCGAGGCTGTTGATGCCGTTGCTCGACTCTCGCCAGACCATGTGCTGCTTGAGGAAGCGGGCGATCTGGCTCGCGGCAGCCAAGGCCGCCTTCCTGTGGGTGGGGTCGACAGTGCGTCGCGGAGCAAGGTATCGCACGGTCTCTTCGAAGAGCGAAGTGAGCGAAGAGGGGATCTGCGAGGCGACGTAACGAAGCGCAGCAGCGTTTCGCTGCCTCGGGTCGTCTTCCTGCTTCTGCGCGGCGTTGGCGGCCTGTGCCTGCTGCTCGACCGTGCCGGCAATGTCCTGCAAGAGATCGTTCGGCACGCCATGCTGGGATGGACGCGTCTGCTGTGCGGAAGCTGCGGAACGATCCTCGGTCGCAGGAGTGATGGCGGACTGTTCAGCCGTGCCTTGCGTCGACGATGCTTGGGGCGCAGAGGAGCCGGAGCTCGGTTGAGTCGAGGCAGAGGCAGCCTTGGCGGGCGGTGGCGGCGGGGGCAGCGAAGCCTTGAGCAGCATGTTTTCCCACGAACAGGCACGGTGGATCGCGCCGAGCTCGGCGACGCTGATGGTGCCGGTGTTGGCGCTAGTGACGAGCGCCTGCAAGAAAGTCGTTGGAAGCTTGTGTCCGACGTAGGTGATGGTGCTGACGTCGGTGAAGAGGTGCGTACGCGAGCACAAGCCGACGAGCTTGCGGAAGGCCTGAGTGGCGTGCTCGGCTTCGGCGTCGTCGCGAGGCGTGGCCATCCAGAGGAGGCGCGAGACGTCGTTGTCGTAGGCCATGGACTCGAACGACTTGTCCGAGATGCCGAACAGGGCGGCCACCTCCTCGGATGCGGCCTTGACGTCGCGAAGCAGGGCGATCAGCACTGTCGTCGGGCTGATCTCGGCCATCAAGCGGACCAGGGTGACGAGCGAGTCGGCGAGAGGCGAGACCGAGAAATCATACGGCAGGCACGGCAGTGAGTAGAAAGCGAGCAGCTTGTCGAGACCGTCCAGCTTGATGAAGTCCTTGCAGTGCGAGGTGGTCTGGAAAAGGCCCTCGAGGAAACGAGCGATGACATCGATGGAGGCGATGACCGGGTTGGACTCGAGCTTGCTGAGGTCTTCCTTGCGGATCGGATCGGGCTCGTCGGTGACGACATCAGCAAGGGCCACGGAGCGAAGTTGCGTCGAGCTGCCCTCCGAGGCCGCTGTGGCAGCGGCGGCTTCGTCCGCGGCAGCAGCGCCCACGGCGAGGAGGCCGTAGGCAGCGCGCGACTTGGGCTCCGAGGGAAGGAGAAAGGCGCGGCCCATCTGGTCGATGTCGTTGAGCGAACGCAGGATGGAGTCCATGACGAGGCCCTTGACGCTGGGCTGGTGGCGCATGAGTTCGTCGATGGCCGCGCCGAAAGAGTTGGCATTGTCTCGATCCTGCAAGACCTTGCTGTGGCGCTCCGAGGTGAAGAGCGAGAAGAGCTTGGGGATGACGGGCCTTGCGTTGAAGAGGTCGAGTCCGGCCTGGTTGAGGCAGATGGCGCCGATGGCGTTGGGGATGGAGTAGATGACGTCCCAGTGCGCCTCGACGTCGGCCTCGATCGCATCAAAGAAGGCTTCGGGCAGCTTGGCCTCCTGGAGGATGGTGAGCGAGGTGGGCTCGTTGTGGATGAACTGTGCCATGACGTTGATGGCGAGCGCAAAGATCTGGGGACCAAAGACGGAACGATGCCGGATGATGCGCTTGAGCGAGGCGGGGAGCGAGGTGTTGATGAGGTTGCGAAGGCCATCGCCCGTGCCCGTGGACGCCATCATCTGTGTGATGGACTTGAGCATGGCGCGGAGCAGCGCCGAACGGCCGAAGGCAAGGCGGCCGTAGAGGTTGTCGGGCCCCGGCTCGCCGTAGACGCCATCGCTCATGCGGTCGGCAAGGCCGTCGTCGATGTCGCGTTCCACCTCGGCCTGGATGCGCTCGACGACGACGTCGAGGCCGCGTGCGTTGCAAAAGAGGTCAAAGGCCTGGGGCACGGCGTAGGCGAGGCTGTCGATGAGGCCCAAGGCTCTGGTGATGGTGCGCTGCACCATGTAGCGGTGCGGATTGGGGATGTTGGCGATCTCGATGAGGAGAGGGATGAGGCCTGCGCCGACGATCATGTGGCTTCCGACCGAGGTGGAAGCGATGAAGGCGACGAAGCTGAGCACCGAGTCGACGTAGTGGTCGCTGGAGACGGGCTCGGGCGTGCGCAGGTCCTTGATGAGGCTGCGAAGTGCGCTGAGGATGATGCCGTGGTTGACGGAAGCGTTGACCGAGTTGAGGACAACGCTGACCTTGTTGCGATAGCGACCGAGGCTGTCGAGGGCGTAGAAGGCGCTGCTCTGGCAAGCCATATCGAGCTTCTGTACGGGGTCGACGAGGGCGGCTACGCGCTGCACGAGGTCGGGCTCGTAGAGGAAGAGCTGGGTGTTGGCGACGGACTCGGAGATGATGAGGCCGTAGCAGGCGATGGCAAGGAGTCGACAGATGAGGAGCTGGATGCGCTCGTTTGGATCCGAGAAGCCGAGGGCGAGGCGGATGCGCTGGAAGAGCTCGAAGCGCTCCTCGGCGGGGATTTCGTAGGACTCGACCGCCTGGGCGAGCAGGTGGACGGGATCGTTGGCGCCACCGACACTGCTGCGAGAGAGACTACCGAGATCGACGTTGACGAGGCCCTCTCGACGGCTTTGAGGGGCCGAGTTGGAGCCGAGGGCATTGGGTGCGTCGTTGCGGTCGTCGGATCGAGTTGGAGTGGTGGGGAGGGCACCGGCCGAGAGCGCAGGTAGCATGGCGGGGCGGTTGTCCCTGTGGCGCGGACGCGTCGGAGTCGCGGTGGTCTGGTCGTGGTGGTGGTGGTGGTGGTGGCCATGGTGCGGGTGAGGCGATGCGACGGCGGTGGTAGTGGTGGTGGCCGTCATGGTCTGCGAAGACGAAGAAGCTGCCGAGTTTGTGGCGAGACCGCTTCGCTTGAAGAACTGGAAGCGGACGTGTGCGAGCTCTGGCGGCAGCGGAAGGTGTGGCTGAGCAATGTCGACGAGCGAGAGGCCGTGGTCGCGGGGGGTCCAGATCATGGCGAGGGTGGTGAGACGGTCGCGGGAGATGGGGAACTCGGCGCGGGGATGGTGGCTGTTGTGCTGCTGAGCGCCGCGAAGGACGAGACGAAGGGCGGCCTCGAGGACGTCGAGATGGCGTGTGCAGAGGAGGTCGTTGACATGCTCGAAGGAGTTGTAGAGCTTGCGATTTGTGCAGTTCTCGATGAGGAGTCGGGAGAAGCGGAGGATGCTGAGCACGAGGCGCTTTGTGAGGGGCGTAAAGTCGTTGACCTGGATCTTTGCGAGTTCATAGTCGCGGCAGACGGATTCGAGGATGAGGTCGAAGCGGTTGAGGACGGCGGTCCAGTAGAAGAGATCGCCTCTTGGCCAGCACCACTCGGAGATGCTGTCGAGGACGCTTGGCAGCTCGTCGTCTGTGGCTTTGTTGATGCGGTCCTGCAGAGCAAGCACCTCGGGTGCCTGCGCAGATGGAATGGTTCAGAACGAAATGGGTCAGCGTGCGTTGCGGGCAGGAGGAAGGATGCGCGGCGGGGGAGACTTACAGCAACAGCGAGACGCTTGGGCGTCCTTGTGATCTTCATGTTGGCAGCTCTCTGATGGGTGCGATGGAGAGGCTACAAGGGCAGGCGACACCCACGCCTTTCGCGGACGGCTAGAGCGTGCGCCCTGATGTGACGCGCGATGGATCGAGTGCTTGAGTCAAGCTATGCAGATGCGAAGAGGTGAAAGTGGCAGCTGTAGCAGCGGCCTGAGCAGCAGCCCGAGCAGCTGTTGTTGCGAGTGTCGATCCCAATGAGCAAGTGAGGATGCTCGAGAACAGCGGCGATTCGCAGCGAGGGATGGTGGGGGGATCGAAGCAGAAGAGCAACACCTTGGACGCCAGATGAAACCGTCGAAGCGAGCCTCTGTTGCTTGCGCATTGAGAGAGGATCAGGCGCAGGATCTCGGGCTCAGCAGCTCAGCCGCTCGGCCGCTCACCAGCAACCGCGCTCACTTGCTTTCCGCACAAAGCGCCGATTTTCTCACCAAATTCCCACCTTGGCTGCAACGCTGTAGGACTGTGCAGTGGAAAGTGCGTTGCGAAAAAACCGACTTCCGACTCGATCACGCTCTGCTCTGCTGCTGCTGCTGCTGCTGCTCCTCATCGGCCTCTCTCAGGGTTCAGCTCGGATCGGCCTTTTTACGTTTTTCCTCCACTTTTTGAAGTCGGTCAGTCAGCGCTTGGATTGCCCAATGCTGACTGTGTCGAGCTCGGCGATCTTGCGCTCTAACACTTTTCTCCTTTTTTTTTTTGGCGCGCACGTCCCCTTGCCTTTACTCGCGGAAATGGATTCGCTCCACCTCTCCCAGCATCACCACATCGTGCCACGCCGTCATGTCGCTGGCGCAGGCATTGCTCTCGCGAGCCAGCAATGCTGGCATCCCCACCTCCAATCCTTCGGTGGGCAACACTGCTGCTGGCGGAGGACTTGCCGCCTTCTTGGCCAAAACGCAGTCATCTGCCAACAAGGCGCCCTCGAACGATGGCGACGTCAAGATCCGCATCAACGTAGCCTCCTTCCGCCCACAGGCGACGCTGCCGCCCGCCAATCATGCACAGCAAGCTACTACGCAGCTGGTCCGCTCCGTGCGCATGCTCCTGTCCTCCGCATCGACTGGCGGCGCATCGCTCGAGTCGCTCTACACCACCACGCGCACGCTCGTGCAGTTCTCGACGCCCGAGTCGCTCGACGACCTTTACGACAACATCAAGATCGAAATTGAACGCGCCGCCGGCACGTATGCCAAGAGCCTGCACAGCTCCGGTTCGAGCTCGGACGACGAAACGCTCTCGGCGACCGTCTCGTGGCTCACGCAGCTCGAGTCGATCTGGTCCAGCTGGTGCACCAACCTCGGCCTCGTTCGAGACGTGCTGCTTCCCTTGGACCGCCACTTTCTCCGGCTCAGCTCCGCTCCCTCGGTACTTGCCGCCTCTGCCACTACTGCGTCCACGGCCAACACGGGCCGCCTGACCATCTGGGACCTGGGTCTGGACATCTTTGGCCACCGCGTGTTGAGCGATGCGGCTCTGTCACGCTTGATCCTCGACCGTATCGTGGCGGCTGTTGATGGCGAGCGCAAGGAGTCGATCCAGTACCGCTCGCTCCACACGCGCATCGCGGCCATGTTCCGCCAGCTGCATGCGGACAAGGCGCTCGACGATGCGCTCGTCGCGGCCACCATCGCCTTTTATCGTGCCGAGTCGGCGGCGTCCATCGCCACGCTCTCGCCCATCGCGTATGTGGACCATGCCGACCGACGCATCTCGGAGGAAGAGCAGCGCAGCGAGTGGTGTCTCGTCACCGACCAGGGACGTCGCGACAATGTCGCGGCTGCGCGTCAGCAGCTGGTTGCCGAACATGCCAGCCGACTGCTTGCGGGTCTGCCCGACCTCATTGCTGCACAGCAGCTCGACGGCCTAGCGCGCCTCTACCGGCTGATCAAGAGCATTGAGCGGCTGCCCGAGCTGCGCCAGGCGTTTGGCGAGTACATCAAGCAGCACGGTGCGGCGATCGTCAACGACCGTGCGCGCGACGACGACATGATCGAGCGGCTGCTCGAATTCAAGGCGCTCATCGATGCCATCGTCTCGACCGGCTTTGCGCACGACGGCGACTTTGTGCACACGCAAAAGGACAGCTTCGAAGTCTTCGTCAACCGGCGCGAAAACAAGCCCGCCGAGCTCATCGCCAAGTTCGTGGATGCCAAGCTGCGCAGTGGCAACCGCACCATGACGGATCAGCAGCTCGAGCACAGCCTGGACGAGGCGCTCATCCTCTTCCGCTACACGCACGCCAAGGACATGTTCGAAGAGTTCTACAAGCGACACTTTGCCAAACGGCTGCTGCTCAATCGGTCGGCCTCGTCGGATGCAGAGCGCAGCATGCTGCTCCGGCTCAAGGACGAGTGCGGACCCGAATTCACCGCCAAGCTTGAAACCATGATCAAGGACGTCGACGTATCCAAGGACCTCATGGACGAGTATGGACGCTTTGCAGCCAAGCAGCGAACCGAGGCCGGGGCAGGTGCGGCCGATTTCGACCTGCACGTGAGCGTGCTGACGCAGGCGCACTGGCCGACGTATCCGAACATCGACGTGGTGCTCCCCACCGAGCTCGCCGCGGCCGCCGAGCAGTTTGAAGCGTTCTACCAGAACCGCAACAGCGGTCGACGTCTGCACTGGCAGCACTCGCTTGGCACACTCTCCATCACCGCGCACTTTGAAAAGGCCGGCATCAAGGAGCTTCAAGTGAGCACGTTCCAAGCGGTGGTGCTGCTGCTCTTTGGCGCTCTGGCTCCCGGGGCCAAGTTGAGCTACGCCGATATCCGCACCCAGACTCGACTGGACGATCAGGAGCTCAAGCGGACGCTGCAGAGTCTGGCGTGTGGACAGATCCCCACGCGCGTGCTGCGCAAGATGCCCCAGGGTAAAGACGTGAATGATGACGACGAGTTTATGGTCAACGATGCACTCCGGAACGAGCGACACCGCATCAGGATCAACCAGATCCAGATGAAGGAGACTGCCGAAGAGCAAAAGTCGACCGAACAGCGCGTGTTTTTGGACCGCGAGCTCATCCTCCAGGCCGCAGCCGTGCGGGTGCTCAAGGCACGCAAGACGATCAAACACTCGGAACTCATCACCCAAGTCGTCGACCAGATCAAGAGCCGCTTCGCCGTCGACGTCGCAGAGATCAAAAAGGTGTTTGAGATCCTCATCGACAAGGAGTACATGGAGCGAGTAGAAGGTCAGCGGGGCACCTACCGCTACCTTGCCTAGCGAACCCCATTCGCAATCGCATCCATTCTTCTTCTTCCTTTGACCCTTGAACTGTATGGGCGATCGTGGTGATCGGGACAGCTCGTCCATCGGGCATTGATGAATCGAGCTGAGGCCAGTGTTGTGACGTGCTGAGGCGCATAGCTCTGCTCGGGGCTCCAAGAATGGACGGGGGTGTTGTGGCGTGAGCGGAGCAACAAGGCAAGGGGGGGAGAAAGCAAAAGCCGAGTCCAGACGCAGCCGAATATGCAGCATGCGGCTGAGGATCGCCGCATTCTGCACACAGGTCCTCTCACCTTGCCCCAGTGTCGGCCTCAAAAGCCCACTATTTTGGGGAGCCAGGGCGGCGCGCTTTCGACAGCTTAGATGCACGCCATCGGACGTACGAGGCGGAGAGCTGCAGCGGCAAAATCCATTCGCCGACGTGCGTGGGCCAATTGCCTCAGCTCACGCGCCCCTCCGCTCCGACCTGTGCGCATCTCAAGGCCCCCAGTGCCAGATTCGGCGTTTGAGTGCTCTGCAGCTGGCGTGCAGTTTTCCATGCCTCTCCCCCCTCCTTCCAACCCCGCATCCCAAAGCCCCCTCACCCATCGCCGCATCGTCACAACACTGCGGTGGACGCCAGGCGCGGGCTTGGAAATCATCCCACTTTTTCCACTTTGATGCCCTGCCCTAAACCTCGCTTGCAACAAGCGCTTTCCCTTGGGTCGGTGCCTGATTTTCACAGCCTCGCGTCTCCGCACTTGTCCTCGACACTGGCGTCGCAGGCATACATCGGAGCCTCAAAGGCGCTTGCCGCCCTGCCTGCCGTCGTATGTTTTGAATTCGGCCAACCTGCACTCTCTCTCGCGCCCAGTCGTTGATGCTCGCTTGCGATGATCATCGCTTCGGTGCCGCTCGAGGCGCCCCTTTTTTTCCCATGCACTCTCCCATCCGTGCAGCCCGCGAGACACGACATGCTTCACCCAGCGTAAATTGGTCGTTGGCTCCGCGGGTTTGTCGAGGTGAAGATCGATCTGTCAGAAGCACCGACTCGCTCCAGAGGTGTTGAGCAGCAGAGGCTGTTTACGCAGCTGCACAATTCGAGTCTGTGCGAGGCTACCGCATAAAAAAAGGCGCCGCACGTGGACGGAACCCTCTCTGCATTCGAGTCGCTAGCCGTCGGGTTTTTTCCCACAAGTCGCATTCATCCAAGAGCGGCGAGCAGACAATGCCGTAAGACTACCTGTCTCGCGAGAGACAGGCCAAGAAACAAGCCAAGGCATTTGGCATTCATCGCTTGGCACCTGGTCGAAGCGTCGGCGGGAGTGGGTGGAGGCTGCGCTCACAATGGCCGGGCTCGCTTAGAGCACGGATGCGACACGGGCCGGCTTCTGGTGCGCCGCAGCCAAGCCGTCACGGAATCTCAGGTGATCTTGGTCCAAATCCACAACACCGACAGCCAAATGCTGACCGACGATCGTTTGTCCAACTCAGCTGATCGACACACCCCGGCACCCCATCGCTCCCCCAAGACCCTGTTCTTCCTCCTCACCCTCTCCCTCACCTCAGCGACCTCTGTGGTCCACCTTGCCGCTCGCTTGGCCCCTCGCCTCGGCAAGTCGTGGAAAAGTCTTCGCTTCGTTCCATCACTTTCCTTTGGGGAGTCGGGTCCAGCCTGGCTTGGCTCGGCCCGAAGGTGGATGCACACAGGGGGCACGCCGAATTCCTCGTCCCTTCCGTGGTCCGCATGCACCTCGCCCCAAGCTCGCTTATTCCGCACTTGCAAGTCCGCCCTTGCCATCCGAAAGTCCGCCGTGCTTTGCGTCGTTCTCTTGCAATGCAAGGCGGTTCCCATTCCTCATCCTGCACCCGCTCATGCTGACTTTGAATTGCGCTGCGTTTGGCCAGCTTCGACGGATGGCTCCCGTGCAGGTTGGCCGCATTAGCTCACTTGACAACCCCGCTCGTGCCCAAAAAAAGACGCACGTTCGTCGAAAGAAACAAAGAAAGACCCAACGGAATGGGCAAATCCCGATGCATTCAGGTGTGTGGATGGCGCCATGATGTGCTTGTGCGTCGCATACGGCGGCGGGATCCCAAACGCTTCCCCTCCGCCTGCATGAGCATGTCGTGGCCCTAATCGAGTCGCCGTGAGATGCTTCGCCAACGTCTCGCCGACACAGCCCCGCGCATGTGTCCGGTGCATCAGATGCACACCTCGCCCAGCTCACTGTCAGCCGCAAGAATCTCGGCACGCCAAGAGCGATTGACAGCTTGCATGGCTGCGCAGGAACTGCAGTAGCATGACCGGCAACCAAGACGCTTGTTCAGAGAGGGAGGCGAACCGAGGCCAGACGGGGATGGATCGACAGAAGCCCGCCAGAAAGAGGCCAATGTCATGTGTTTTGATGAGCGCTCGTAGCGGTCGTAGCTTAGCTCAGAGCGGACCAGTCTCATCCTTCGTGTCGTCTGCAGCGCAATAGCAGTGTCTCGGCAGACTCGGCACTGGCTCCCACCCTCCTCCCCGTGGTGCGTCCAGATGTGCAGAGTCCATCCACCCTGAGCATCTCCGAACGTACATAAAGCTGCCAACTTTCGCCGTCATCTGCTTCTAAATTATCCCCATCTCTAACCCAGTCTCCCAACAACCCTCTTCCGTCTCAACTCCCCTCCTCGGTCTCAACTCCCCTCCTCGGTCTCAACTCCCCTTTCAAAATGCTTACCAAGTACGCCGTCCTTGCTGCCGCTGCCGCCGCCGCGGTCACCGCTGCCCCCGTTGTCGAGAAGCGTGCCGCTCCCGGCCAGGCCGACATTGACACCGTCATCCTGAACTACGCCCTCACCCTCGAGCACCTCGAGAACGCCTTCTACCGCGACACCCTCGCCACCTACGACGCTGGTGCTTTCCGCGCCGCTGGCTACCCCGACTGGGTGCGCCAGCGCTTCGTCGAGATCGGCGGTCACGAGAAGGCTCACGTCGACTTCCTCTCCAAGGCTCTCGGCGACCAGGCCACCAAGGAGTGCACCTACAACTTCGGCATCACCGACGTCAAGACCTTCGTTGCCACCTCCGCTCTCCTCGAGGGTATCGGCAACTCGGCCTACCTCGGCGCTGCTCAGAACATCACCAACGTTGCCTACCTCACCGCCGCCGGCTCCATCCTTACGGTCGAGGCCCGTCACGCATCTTGGGTTGCCTCCTCCGTCCAGCAGGGCGACGGTTTCCCCGCCGGCTTCGACACGCCGCTCAACTTCAACCAGACCTACTCGCTGGCTGCTCCCCTGATCACCAGCTGCCCCGACAGCAACCCCGCCCTCCCCGTCAAGGCCTTCCCCGCCGCGACGATCTCGGGTGACGTGTGCGGTGGCAAGCAGGTGACCATCTCGGGTGACGGTGTTCAGTCGGGCCAGTTCGCTGCCTTCCTCACTGGCCTGAACGTCTACTACGCCCCCATCGGCGACAACGGCAGCGTCACCGTCCCCTCGGAGGTCGCCTACGGCCGTGTCTACGTTGTCGTTACCAAGTCGGGTGACTCGGTCTCGGACGACAACACCGTTGCCGGCCCCGCCGTTGTCGACATCCCTCTGTCGGCTGAGAAGGCCGAGCAGATCTACTCGCAGCAGTAGAAGCTTGTCGTTGACCAATCCACCTCAACCCTTTGTACTTCTTTGTGGGCTCTGAGCTCCGACGCACGTCGTAGAGCTCGCAACCATACACGCTGCCCACGCCCTCGTCGCAGTTTCCGTTAATACGAACAATCTTCATTCGCTTGTCGATGTCGTGTGTGTGTCGAGTGCCGTGGCGATCTGAGATCATACTGACCTTGGGAAGACGATGACGGCTAGGATGATGGCTGGATGGAAGGTAGGGGATAAGAATCGAAGAGATTATGAGAGAAAAAGGAAGGAAGGCTGAAGGGGAAGAGAGCGGTCTACTTTGCCCTCCCCCTCCTGCGGCGTCGCTCAGCAATCCATTGGTGGGACCAAAGCAGTTCGTCGACGCGTGATTCTTCAGCTCAGTCGACCCACTCTCTCTACAGTCACGCGCCCTTTGTCGCTGGCAAAGCTCAGGCTCGAACAAGGTTTGTCCGCTCGGTGTCACATCGGTCGAGCTACAAAGTTGAGTAGGACCGCCGAGCCTTCATTTGAGCCGCAGCGCCCTGGTGCAACAGACCAAATTCGGCGCCTTCCGTGTGGGACTCGGAATGGACCGATGAAAGCCGAGTCGGCCAGTGTTGCTATCCTACGATGCGCAGGCAGTCCAAAGAGGTCGCCTTTGGCTGGTTGCGTGTGACGACGGGGCTAGAGTTGTGACAGCTGCGAGGTACGCGTGGGTGGAGGACTGGCGCATTTCTGGACAGGCGTGGAAGAATTGCGCGTTGGCCCGTTCACCGCGAAGAAGTCCCGCTAGGTCCGTGGCCATGCGGGTGTCGTCATCCGATCAAAAACTCAAAGCTTCGTCAACGGCTGCATCGGCCACCTTTTGCCTGCTGCTCGACTTCGTACCTTTGCATCCGCCCTTCATCTCTGTCCCGCTTCCGAAAGTCAAACTCAATCATGTCGAAAAGCATTGCGCTTCCTGCGCTCACCGCATCCATCCCGGCGTTCTACCACTTTCTGGCTCCGAAACAGGCGGTTGCGCAGGGGCTCTTCCTGCCCGTCGGCTACGGCTATGTGGTTTCGACCGTCGTGTCGGCGCTCTGGGTGACGTTCCTGATGGGAGTCAAGGTGGGAAGCGCTCGCAAAGCCGCCCAGGTGCCCTACCCCTATCTCTACGCCGAGAAGGCGGTGGCGGAAAAGAACCGCGACGCGCATCTGTTCAACTGCGCCCAGCGTGTGCATCAGAACACACTCGAGAACCTGACGAGCTTCATCTTCCTCACGCTCTTCAACGGATTCTTCTTCCCGCGTCTGACGGCTGCGTTTGCGGCGACGTGGGTGGTGTCGCGCATCCCGTACGCCATCGGCTACTACTCGGGCACCCCCAGCAAGCGTGCGTTCGGCGGCATCTTTAGCGGCCTCAGCTTCCTAGGTAAGTCGAGGCTCTTGTACAGCTGATTGAATTGTAGCAGAAGCTGACTCTTTATTTGGGTTGCTCGATGCATGCAGCTCTATTGATCCAGGCCACCTATGTGTGCTTCGGCGTGCTCGGCGCGGTCGAGTACAAGATCTGATGCGCCAGATTGCAGACGAGCCACGAGTCAAGAGTCAAGCCTAGCAACGCGGCTCGACTATTGCACTACAAAGCGCACACTCTCTCGAAATGACACCATCATTGCGACAGCGCCACACCGCTCTGCAATTGGGCTCGATGCTGCGTTTTGGAAGGTGATGGGGAGAGCAATGTCGCGAGCCGCAGTGAGAGGTTGTTCGTCGTGCTGAGGTGGTTTCACGTCCGTTCAATGAGCATATAGGTGCATATACAGCAAAGGGTGAACCTTGCCTGCTCCGAGTGCAAGCTTGCATCGAGTTAAACGGGCGGAGAGAATCACGTGAGGCAGACGGTCGATCCTGTGCCACCGCCACCGCCGAGGAAGCTCCGAGCGGATTTCCGCTGGCCAGCCCTCGTGTCGTGCTGCCGAGTCGCAACGAAGAAGCACAGCTCCGAGTCTACTTCTGCAGACCAAGAGGCACCATGACAATTGCTTCTTCTACGACGCTGGGTACAAGGAGCAGACTGTCCGAGCTACGAGCGCTGCAAGCTGTGTGCGCGATCCTGCATCCGGCTAAGCCAGCCCGACGGTCCGGCTTATCAGAAGAAGCTCCATCCGAATGCAGCGAGCCGTTTGCCAGTTGAGACCATGGCTGGTGGCGGACGGGAGAGATGCATGGCATCGAGGATGGCGTCAGGAGTGTGCAGTGCGAGCGGGCGCGTGCGAGCGTTTGGACCCTGCATGGGCATTTTTGTCGCCCACCAGCGCCCGCGCCAAGCCTTGGGAGTGCGCTGCAGCCAGCTACCACCGTTTGCGGGTCGCACAGCTTTCCCACCTCGCACCGGACTCGGCTGGAAAAGCCACCGGGTGCAAACGCGGACCGTGCGACTCGAGCAGCATTCCATCTTCCACCCTCTTTCCTTGCATCTCCTCACCCTCCCTCTCTGCCAGACTTCCGACTTGTTCCGCTCCTCGCTCTGCATGTTTCTTGGTGGATTCGACTGGTGCAGTCGCTGATGAAGCAGCGCGTACACATACAGCTAGACATCCGTTTTATCTTTACGTCCCACCCTCTGCTTTCATCTGCTTCAAGGCCACCATCGTCTGCTTGCGCTCGATGATCGATCTCTAGACTAGATCGCCTAGACCAACTGGAACGTTGCTTCAAAGCCGGCTGCCGATGTACACTTTTAGGGGCTCGCTTGCGCCCTCGCCGACGGTGCGCCGGATCCGGACCTGGGCCACCGCGGTCTCGCTGTATCTCGAGGCGGTTCTGTGCCACCTGCACACGCTGCTCTACTTCTTCTTCCTGCACACGTACGAGCCGGCGTCGCGCGCATGGTGGGACTCGTCCAAGGGCTCGGCGGTGGTCATCTATGCGCCGCACAACGACGCCGTCGCGCGCTACGTAGCACTGCGCCTCTCGTCCGGCTCGCCCTCGAGCTTTGCACTCAAGGATGTGGGGCCTACCAAGCGCAACCCGCGCGCGCCGTATACGTGCTTTGTGCTGCATGCCGACTCGGACCAGTTCTCCATCACCGTCGCACAGTGGGCTGCCAAAAAGGCACGCATAGAAAAGGCGCTCCTCAAGCAAAAGGCGGGTCGATCGTCGGAGGGGTCCAGCTCGCCTTCGTCACCAACGTCGACTACGCACACGTTCGATGGAGAGTCGACGGCGGATCGGTCCGAACCTTCGTCGCCCAGTCCGACGCCTTCGGCTCAGCTGGGTCCGAGGGGCGATGAGACCCCACGCGCGAGTAGGAAGAGACCACCGCCGATTCAGATCAACCGGCGCAGGAGGAGGTCGCGCAGCTGGTCGGCATGGGCGACGCCCGATCTGTTCGGATACGGCATCGACATGCTCAAGGGCTGGATGCCGGGGCGCAGCGGTCCCAAGGCCACACCGGCAGGGACGATCATCCCGATCATGGCGGATTGCCAGTCGGCCGACGGACTGGCCATGATCAACTCGACCATCTCGGCGTACTGCAACTCGCACGATCTGCTGCTCAGCGGCGTCATCCTGATTCCGTCGGTGCTGTGTCCGCGCAATGTTCCGCTTACAAAGGCGTCGCGGGCCGATATGCCCAAGACGCCCGGGAGTGCGTACAGCGACGTGGATCCGTTCAGCCTGTGCAACCGCGACGTGTGGGGCGAGGTGCGTGCGTCCGCATCGGGTTCGACGGGACGCTCGGGGGCAGGGCTGACAGGACCGCGCGATCCGTTTGGTCTGGCACCGGCATGGCGCGAGGCGTCGGATCTGGGCGCATCGGTGGACTCGTCGTTCAATGCGGCATCGCCACCGCTCTCGCCTGCGAGTGCGCGCATCGTGCGCACCCAGGACGACCAACAGGCCGCCCTCCACTCGGCCCTCGCCACGGACGTGGTGCAATCCAAGGCGCTCATCAACGTGCTCTTCCCCGCACTCAAGCGCGATAAAGGTCGCATCCTCGGTCTGGTCCCCAGTGGCTACGGCCCGGAGCTTCCACACGATCCAGATACGCTGTCGTTGCAGTCGCTCCCATCGCGCAACGGGAGTGGGAAGGCGCGCGATCGATCGCACTCGGGTTCGTCGTCTAGTGCCGACGCCACACCGGAGCGCGATGCGATGCCGGTGCTCAAGACGTGGCCGGGGGCGGTGGTGAATACGGTGCGCGAGGCGCTGCGTACGCAGTATCGCGAGATGGAGCTCGAGTACAAGCGACGTGGAGGTAGCTCCAAGCATGTGCATGTGTCGACGATCGAAACCAACGCCCTGGTGCGGCTGCCCCAGACGCGGCTCAAGAAGATGGTCAAGTGGAACGAGAGCGTGCGCTTCTTCAACACGCGCAAGCGCATCGCATGGCGGTGGCGCGACCTCTTGCACCCCGCGCGTCTGCTCGATCGTCTGCCCTTCATCGCGCGCTTCGGCCGTCTTCGAGGCGAAGACAGCCAAACCTCTCCTCCAGATGGAGCGAGGTATGGCATCTACATCCCTGCTGAGCTGCGACCTTTCCTGCGCGGCTGGGTTCGACCTCTTACCGAAGCTCGCGATGAAGACGACATCTACTCGACCGCTCCTGCCCTCGTCCGATTGGTGCGTCGCTTGGTCCGCGTGCTGCGGTGGGTTGAACAATGTTCCATCCCCTTTGACGATTTGGCCGAACATGTGGCGGCAGTAAGTTACCCCGTTGCACTTGGATCGTCCTGCCCGCCCACACCCGGACCTTCTCAGTCGCTACTGCACCCGTATACGGTCTCGTCGAATCACGCCCCTTCTGCCCATCGACAGCTTTGGTCGGGCACAAGCAAAAAGGTCGACGACGACGAAGATGCTGCCGACTTTCCGTTTTCCACCGCCAGCTCAGGTCCGGCAGTGACTGTGCTCAATGTCAAGGCCGAACCTGTGCGTGTGCCCAGGACTTACCCGCGCGAACTGAGCCACCAGAATCCAACTCCGCTGTTCGAAAGCATCAGATCGGCCCTCACCTCGTACCAACCCAGACAAACGTATTATCCCACGCTTGCGGGATGGATGGCAGCAGTGATCCACGATGCCGCCCCGTGGGTACACGAATGGATCAAACCCGCCCTCGCGGCTTACCTCCTCCAATACACCGTCGAGTCCCAGCCTTAGACCCTCCCAACGTCGCGCACTACACATCTTCCCTTGCACTCCCATCCAACCCAGCCATGCCGCAATCTCAGCCCGATCCCAGGAACAAACGCGTGCCAATTTCGATGAGTTGTAAGAGAAAACAGTGACAGGAGCGGTGAGGATTCGATTCGAAACGAGAATACGAAACGGTGCCGGGAACATGTTGCGGGCGGACGAAAACAACTCAAAGATTGTCGAGGTCCGAGTCGTCGTCCTCTTCCTCGGACGACTTCTTTGCGCCGTTGCCGTTGGGCTTGGCGTCGTCGTCGCTGTCGTCGTCGTCGTCCGAGTCCGAGTCCGAATCGGCCTCGTCGAGCCACTGGAGGAAGGGCGCGGCGGCGCGGCGCACCTTCTTGGAGGTGTCCTTGTCAACGTATTTCTTGGACACGTGGGTGCCCCAGTTCTTGACAAACTCCTCGTCGAGCACATCGATCTGGTAGAGCGCCATGAGGATCTTGGGCACGCCGTTGGGCACGAGCGCCGGGTACTGGACGCCGGCGAGACGCTCAAAGCCGCCGAGCATGGCCTTCTGGTGCTTCTCCGAGTCGCCGACCATCTTGGCGAGCACGGCGCCGTACCTTTCGATCTCCTTGGGCGCGTCGTCGGTGAAGAGCGACTGTGCGAGCACCTGGACGGTCTTGTGCTTCTTCTCGATGCCGAACTCCTGCGCCTTCTTGTACACCTCGGCGGCGGAGCACTCGCGGCCCTCTTCGCCGCCCTTGCGGTTGGCGACGAGCCAGCGGCCGAACTGGGCGTACGGGCTGTCCTCGTCCTCGTCCTCCTCGTCGTCGCCGAGCACGAGCGACGACTTGACGCTGCCCTCGAGCGCCTTTACGCGTGCGGCGACGGCGGCCTCGGAGGTGTCGACGGACCAGTCGTCGTCGACGTTGCCGCGCTGCTCGGCGGTGGGGATCTCGGCGGCCTCTGCCTTGATGCGCTTGGTGAGCTCGTCGTCGGAGCCGCCGTCGCCGGCATCCTGGCCGGCGGACTTGCCGGCGCCCTTGGCGCCCTTGACACGCTTGGGGGGCGGGTGCTTGACGATGAAGGTGGTGAGCTTGTGCTTCATGTCGACGCCGGTGCGCTTTCCGCACGCCTTGCAGTTGCGGAGGATGTCGCCGTCCTTGAGGATCTTGAGGTCGGTTTCGGGGTTCTTGCAGTCGCCGCAGAGGACGAACTTGTCGATGAAGCCGTCGAGGAGCTCGCGCAGACGGTCGGCGTCGTGTGCGCCGTTGACGATGTAGCGGTCGGTCTTGTCGTCGGCGGAGACCTGTGCGCCGAGCTCACAGCCGAAGAACTTGGTCGGGTAGGCGGGAGGGCGGCTGAGGGAACGGGCGATGTCGGACATGTTGGGGATGACGGTCTTGATGCCGTTGCCCTTGCCCTCAATCTTGGTCTGGAGGAGGGGCATGCGGTAGCGGTAGAACTTGTCGTCGACGTCGCGACGGATGTTGACAACGGACATGATGGCGATGGATCGAGCTTAGAGCTGGAGCTGAAGCTGAAGCTTGAGTGAGAAGTTGGGGGGTCAGTCTCGACGATGGGAAGGTCGAGATATGCAAAAAGTCGAATGGAGAAATGGGCAAGTAGTTGTATCAGGTACAGCTACGATGCATCACCGAAAAGGGCGGTTTTTGTCTGCGGGCGAAAGGCGAGTTGACGGATGGACGAGGTATGGTGGAGGAGAGGAGAGACATAAAAACAACGGTGTCTCGATCGTTGCCCAAGTAGATGGCGACAGGGTGCGGTGGTTGATCAGAAGCGCCGAGGCTGGGGATGCTGGCGGACAGAACAAAGCGCTCGGAGAAGCTGCAGCGGTTGTGAGCAGGTGGGGATGCGATGAAAGTGTTGGCGATTGAGCGCGTGCGAGGAGCACGGACGAGAGTGTTTGTGTTGGTAGTGGGTGTTGGAGCAGTGGTGCAAAGAGAGTTGCGATGGTAGCGAAGGAAGATGTCGGGAGGCCTCAGCTGCGCTCTCGTATTCGAGGCCAGCGAGAGTGAGGAGGCCCCGATGGCCCCACCAAAAAAAGTCGCAAATCGAAACCGCAAACCGCCAACCCGCAAAATTCAGAGAGTCTGTGAGTTGTGAAGAATGCGAGGCACTGCACTGCGCTCTGCTGCTGCGGGTTGAAGAAATTCGCGGAGCGCGCGACTGAGCCGGGGCAGCCACACAAAAACTGCAGCCTTGGCGTCGGCATTCTTCATCTCGCCCGCACGACGCCGTTGCAGGACCCACCAAAATTCCTTCTGCATCGGAACGTCGATTTGCCCGATTGCAAGAAAAATTGTGCCTGAGAGTGTGTAGCTTGCACGCTCTCACATTATTAAATTTGACCCGTCCGCTCCGCAGCCTGGGCCCGAATCGGGAGGCTTGGCTGTCTTAAACTCGGCGGCGGCTGCAAGGGCCAAAGCCCAGCAGCAGCGCGCGTGCTACGCCCATCGCGGCATTCGCAGCATACACGCAAGCCCCGAGCATCGCCGCAGCGGGCGCCATCGAGATGCAATCTCGCACGCCACTTTGTCCAAGGGCCACTCCATGAGGTCGAGTGTAGAGCGTTGGCTCGACTCGACTCGACTCGCACGACCAACCGGGCTTCGGGATCCACTTGGAGCCGTGGCAGCTGGCAACCCTTTTTCTCGCAATTTCTCCGCCAATTTCCCAAAGACGGGCGAGTCGGGCAGAGCAGCAGTCACAGCAGCAGCAGCAGCCGCCCTTGCCGCCTCCACACTGCAGCCAGCGCTCTTTCAGCGGCACCTGAGCCTGTGGAGACGCTAAATCCCAGCAGACGGGGCTCAACCGAGATGGCTTACGCATGCGACTCAGGCAGCGGCTGCAAAGCACACCACCGGCCCCATTTCGCCCCGGTCCCGCCGTTGACTTTGCGCGCGCCGCGGCCACTCACTCTCCGTCTGCAACCCCGCACATCCTGGCCGCCCTAACCCTCGCATGAGAGCGGTAGTCCTCCCAGCCTCTCACGCGCTCACCCAATCCACACGCTCACTCACTCTCTGGTGGAGCTAGGGTTGGTCTCCTTCTCTCCACAGCTATCCATCGCAACCACAAGGCCCTCCTCGATATCTTTGCTCAACCTTCATAGCCTCCCTCGAATCTTCCCTATCGCACTCCACACCGCTCTCTTCTACCCTCGACCACTTCAGCTCGCGCCACCATCTCGAGGCCTTGCTTGGCCAGTCTTATCTAACCAAGACCAAGACAACCGCCCAACATGAATCCTAGCATCTCCATTCCCGACCGCCTCCCCGTCCTGCCTCTCCCCTATCCGCTCGTCCTGCATCCCAACCTCTTACTCTCCATCAACATCTCGTACGCCCACTCGCTCAGCCTCCTCAAGGCCGCGCTCCAGTACTCGACCCTCAAGGATGACGTCGAGTCCAGCAACGACGCCTCCCCGCGCTCCCGCCACCAGGGCCGCTCGCGTCTCGACTCCAACAAGCCCATCATCATCGCCTGCGTACCCACCCTGAGGGCACCTAGCGGCACCGCCTCCTCCGATAAGCCCGTATCTCGCGCCACCAACCCAGCGCTGCCCTCCGACGCGGCCGCACGCAACCTCACCTCTCCCGAGGACAACGACGTTCGCATCCGCATCAACGACCTCTACGACTGGGGATGCGCCGCGCGCCTCATGCGTCTCGTACGCAACCCGCAGAACCAGACCTGCACCCTCCTCGTCTCCGGCCTCACCCGCGTCCGCATCGACCGATGGCTCTCCATCCGTGCCCCCCTCACCGCAACCACCATCGACCCAAAGAGCAACCTCGCCATCCCAGACGTGCCCATCCCACTCGCCACCGCCACCGCCTTTGTCGACGACGAGTCCTGGCCCACCTTCCCAGAAGCATCGCCCGGCGACATCGACCTCGTCGTCAGGCTCAAGAAGGCCTCCGCAGAGCTCATCGACGCCATCGCTCAGCTCAACCCTCCCAGCGACGCCAACGCCAACACCCCCTCGCCCATCGTAGGCCCCGCGCTGCCTCTGCTGCCCGCCAGCTTGCTCAAGAAGCTGCGTGGCTTCATGCAGGACTGTCGCGAGTCCCAGGCGGCTCTCCTCGCCGACATCGTCGTCGGCACTCTCGGAGGCGCCTGCGAGTGGTCCGAGCGCGTCGCCATCCTCGGCGACTGGGATCAGCGCGAGCGCGTTCGCCACTCGGTCGACGTCATCCTCAACGGTGTCAAGCGCGTCAAGCTCGCACGCGAGCTCATCGTCGCGCTCTCCTCGCCCCTCAACCCCAGCAACAAGGAGACCGTCATCCGCTCCCAGCTCGAGGCGCTCCTCGCCCAGCTCGCAGCGCTCAACCAGGGCGTCGCCGCACGCATCTCCGCCATCACCTCCAACTCTTCCAACCGCGACGACAACAAGCTCGGCGGCGGCGTCATCATCCGTGCGCCCAACTCGCGCAACAACACCAACAACGACAACGGCAGCATGCCCATCATCACCGGGCCCCTCGGCGGTCGACGTGGAGCCAAGCCGGGCATCAAGGGCATGCCCGGCGGCGGCGGTCTGCCCGGATCCGGCGGCGGCGACGACGACGAGGACGAGCTCGCCGAGCTCGCCAAGAAGCTCGACCAGGCTCGTCTCAGCCCCGAGGCGCGCAAGGCTTGCGACAAGGAGCTCAAGCGTCTCGCCCGCATCCCCCAGCAGAGCGTAGAAAGGGGCGTCGTCATCACCTACCTCGAGATCATGGCCGAGCTGCCGTGGGAAAGGATCAGCGCCGACCTCGAGCCCCAACGAGACCCCAACGAGAAAGCCGTCGTGCTGCACCGCAAGAGCGCCAATGCCAATGCCAGTGCCGCCCCCGCCGAAGAAGAAGAGGAGGGCATCGTCGACCGCGCACGCCGCATCCTCGACGCAGACCACTACGGCCTCGAAAAGGTCAAGAAGCGCCTCATCGAGTACCTCGCCGTGCTCGAGCTCAAGACCACCCAGGCCAGGGAGCGCTTCGACGCCGAAGAGGACGCAGAGCGCAAGGCAGTCGCGGAGCGTCGCAAAGCCACTCCATCCGCTTCCACCGACGATGCGGCGGCCGACGGCGCCGATGACGACGACCTGTCTGCCCTGGCAGGCGCAGAAGAGGGCGAGGATCTGGTGGCGCGCGAGCAGGGCATCTCCAAGGAACAGATCGAGGAGGAGAAGCGCCGCCGACGCAACGAGAAGCTGCGTGTGGGCGACAAGGGCCCCATCCTCCTGCTCGTCGGTCCTCCGGGCACGGGCAAGACTTCGATCGCCAAGTCGCTCGCCTCGGCTCTCCAGCGTCCGTTCACGCGGCTCTCGCTCGGCGGCGTACGCGACGAGGCCGAGATCCGTGGCCACCGCCGTACGTACGTGGGCGCCATGCCTGGCTCGATCGTGTCGTCGCTGCGCAAGGTGGGCGTGTCGGACCCGGTGATCCTGCTCGACGAGGTGGACAAGCTGGGCAGCGGCAACGGGCTGCACGGCGACCCCATGGCAGCGATGCTCGAGGTGCTGGATCCGGAGCAGAACCACACGTTTAGCGACCACTACGTCAACGTGCCCATCGATCTGAGCCGCGTGCTCTTCATCGCCACAGCCAACTCGCTCGACACCATCTCGCCGCCGCTGCTCGACCGAACCGAGGTGATCCACATCTCGGGCTACACGCACGACGAGAAGACGGCGATCGCGCGCCAGTACCTGCTGCCCAAGCAGATCAAGGCGCAGGGGCTGGCGCCCGACCAGCTCGTCGTGTCGGACGACGTGCTGCTCAAAGTCGCCATGGGCTACACGCGCGAGGCGGGCGTGCGCACGCTCGAGCGCGAGATCGGCGCGCTCGCCCGGGCCAAGGCGGTCGAGTACTCGCAGTCCAAGAAGGGCACGCTGCGCGACGACAACGGCCAGCCCAAGCAGTACGACCCCGTGATTCGCGAGGCGGACCTGGAAAAGTATCTCGGACCGGACACGTACGAGCCCGAGGTGGCCGAAGCCAACGCGCGCCCGGGCGTCTCGACGGGCCTTGCCTACCAAGGCTCGGGTTCGGGAGGCATCCTGCACATCGAGTCGCTGCTGCTGCCGCCGGGAAGTGGCTACCTGAAGCTGACGGGCTCGCTGGGCGATGTGATTCGCGAGTCGGCCGAGTTGGCGCTGTCATGGGTCAAGGGCAATGCGTTCCAGCTGGGCATCGTGCACACGCGCGACTCGGAATTCCCCAAGAACGACATCCACCTTCATCTGCCGTCGGGTGCGATTCCCAAGGACGGACCGTCGGCGGGTGTGGCGATGACGTGTGCGCTGGTGAGTCTGTTGACCAAGACGCCCATTTCGCCGTACCTTGCCATGACGGGCGAGGTGACGCTTCGCGGTGTAGTGATGCCTGTGGGTGGTATTCGCGAAAAGCTCACGGCGGCCTCGCGCGCCGGCATCCGCAAGGTGCTGCTGCCCCACCGAAACCGCAAGGACGTCGAGTCGGATCTGCCCAAGAAGGTGCGCGACGAACTCGAGATCAAATACGTCAAGACGGTGTGGGAGGCCATGGAGGCGGCGTTTGGAAACAAGCTGTTCGAGAATGCCGCGCTCGCACTCGAGGCCAACGGATACGGCCACGAGCACGAGGGCATCCGCGAGGGCCGCCGACTCATGCACGAGATCGAAGACTCGCGACTCTAGACCTGTTTTCTTTCCCACCTCTCTCTCGTTCTGTATTGCTTTCGCTTGTATGTATTGTATTGTACGAACTCGGATCCCTAGAACGTCAGTGGCTAGAGTGTGAGACCAAAGAGAAGGAGTCAAGGGAAACCGGCGACGGATGGGATCGGGAAGAGTCGCCCGATGCGGGAGTAGCATGCGAAGGGAGGGAGGGGAAATTGGGAGCTGTCAAAAAACGGGCTCTGTCAGGGTCGTCGATGGAAGCGGAAGCCAATTGCCGGACAGTCTCTCGCAGGGCTGCATAAGCGAAGCGTGTAGATTAGCTAGGCTGGCCTGCATTTCGCCTGTCCTCTGTGGTGCTTTTGGCGCTTATACATTTTTCCTTACCCGCTCCGAAAGGCCTCAGCAGGAGGAGGCAAGGGGAATGGCGAGAGAGGTGGAGAAAGGCACGGCGCGTCGCTTACCTCATGTCCATGCCAAGAGCAGCATCGGCAAAGCCTTTGGTGGGACCCCTTTGTGGCATTTTCTCCCCCTCAAAGCCCACGGTGGTCACCCATACGCCGCTGCCATCGCCAGAAGCAGAGACGTTGGTCAGCTTTCCCGTGGCTGCGATCCCAGACAATGCAGGGCGATGGAGTTCCGCGGCGATTGCGATTAGCGAGTGGCAGCTGCGTCGCTGACATGTCTAGCAGCGGTGTATGTGTACCCGTTAGCCCGATCTCGAGTTGGTTCCGTCCCGTGTTAACACCAGCCAGCCAACCCTGGAAGCGTGCCGGGCCTCGACGGTCAGGTTAGAGCTGGCGACTGTCAGATAGACACCATCTGTGATGTACGCAGCCGCCGTGATGTAGCTCGCCGCCCTCAGATAACCGGGTGGCAAATATCGAAATCCAGGACGAATTGCGAGCGTGGATTTTGGGAGCCTTAATTTTCCGGAAATTTCCTCAGCTTTTTGTTGGATTTTTGTGGTGGGTTGCAAAGGGCAAACAAGGCTCAGTCGGGACGGAAGACGTGTCGCGACTGAGCGAGCATCGCCTTAGGCTGGCTTTGGGCTTGGTCCGGGCTGGGGCTCTGGCTCACCCTGGCTCAGGCTAGCTTTGCGCTAGCCCACACGTCGCAATAGCAAAGGTCGAGCGAGTGAGAGGTGGATGTGGCAGTTGCATCGCTCAGCCCCCGAGTCTGAGCCGAGTTGGTGGAAATCGATCCCGTGAATGAACGGCTGCATCGAAGCGCCGGCGCGATGATGATTTCTTGGTGGGCCACACGGCGCGAAGCTTTTTCGGCAGGCCGAGGCGAGCCGACGTGACGGAGTGGACGGAGCGAAGCAGCCTCGGTCGACTGCCAGAAACACGCTCACGCTCACCCTTATGGCCGGCTTACATTCGCCACCCTGCCAATCTCACTCCCCCTCCCATCCTTTCCACACGCTGCCGTCCGTAGCCCTCCCTTCGCCTCCCCCCCACCGCCGTCGCCTCGCTCGACCCTTGGCATCCCTCGCGATCACCACTCACCCCCGTACCGCATCCGCATCGCAACCATCGACCACCACGGGAGTTCCACACGCCACCCTTCTACCGTGGACAAGCGCATCCACGCATCCCATTCACTTCAGATCGAGTCCGATTCCGCTACTCTATCATTCGTCTTGACTGCGCGTCCCCCTCGCCAACACGTCCGCTTGGTAGGACTCTGCATCCTCTTTTCTCTCCGGCACACCTGGCTCAGCTCCAACATCCAGCCTCGACCTCGTATCGCACAACCCACAAGCGGCTCATCGGGCTCAGTGGACAGCCAGCACAGCAGTCCTGTCCATCTTATCATCAGCTTCACAAGCACCATCTTGTTATCTCTCACCCCTCGGCTTTGCCCTCGTTCTACACTTCGTCAGCAAGCGATAGCGGGCGTGTATTCCTTTCACCACCTCCACTCGCTCCCGCTTAGCTTGCGCGTCTATCCACACCCGCAACCGCAACCGCACACGTAGCTGGCGCGCCCACCATCGCCATGTCCAATCCGTACCAGCTGCAGCAGCAGCAGCAACAGCAACAAGCCATGGCCTCGGGCAGCAACTCGCCGCTCGCCACTCCTCTTCCTATCAAGCGAGGTCGTGGACGTCCACCAAAGAATCGCGACCCCAACGCCACCCCGACTCGGCCCGCTCCACCTCCGCCACCCAAGCCCACCCCGCAGCCGCGCACATCCCACATCACCTCGCCGCGTCTCCGTGCAGCCCAGCCCACCGCCTACTCGTCCGCTGCCTCGCCCTTCCAGCCGCCACCACCCACCGGCTACCCGTCGCATTCCTTAGGTCCAGGCATTCCGGAGCAGTCCAACACGTTCTACAACCCCATCCCTACCGCCATCCACTCGTCTCCCGTGCCTGGTGCCGCCAACGTGCCTTCGTTCCCACCGATACCGCCATTCCAGCGCCAACAAGAGATCCAACAGCAGCAGTCCCAGCTCTCTGTCCGTGATGCACAACATGCCCGCGCCTCTGGCAGCCAATACTCGAGCAACGGTGCTGCCGCCGCCGATGATGCTCCCACATCGACGGCAGAGCCAACCATCATGACCGCAGCTGGCGGCTCGATCGGCGCAGGCCTGGGTCAGGCGGTCGGCAACGCCGGCGCGTCTCCCGCCAGCCGCACACGGCGCAAGGCCGATGCCAACGAGCCCGAGCTCAAGCTGCCCGACTCGCACGATCTCGGCTGGATGAACGAGCCCGCGGATGCAGACGAGGCGCAACACGTCTACTCGACCGTGCTCGACTGCCTTCGCGGCCATATCGACCCCACCGGCCGCAGGCTCGCCGACTCGCTCGAAGACTGCCCCGATCCAGAGGCGGATCCAGAGTACTACGAAAAGGTGGAGAAGCCGACGTCGCTCTCGGCCATCTCGCAACGCATCCGCGAGCGCGAGTATCCCAAGGCCACCGACTTTGAGATGGACGTGTTGCAGCTCTTTGAAAACGCCCGCAGACTCCATCCCATCGGCAGTCAGCCCTACGCAGACGCCGTCGTTCTCCAACGCTACTACCACGAGCTCACCAAGGCGCGGCCAACCAAGCGCGAGCCCATCATCGCCAAGCACGTGCTCGCCGCCGCCGCCCAAGCAGACGCCAGCAGGCACTTCTCCTCCATCCCGCATGGCCCGCTCTACGCAAGCGCCGGCTCGCACGGCGATCTCACCACCCGCATCAGCAGCAAGTCCAAGACGTACTACGAGCATCTCAACCTCAAAGGCAAGGCATTCCGCGTCGGCGACTGGATCCATCTCATCAACCCGTCGGATCCCACCAAGCCCATCGTCGCGCAGATCTTCAAGGTGTTACGGCGCGAAGACGACGATCCCGACCAGGGCTGGGTCACCGTATGCTGGTACTACCGCCCCGAGCAGACGTTCCATCCTGCGTCCAAGCGCTTCTTCAAGGACGAGGTGGTCAAGACGGGCTACTTTGCGGACCACCACATCGAGGACATCCTCGAGAAGATCATGGTCATGTTCTACACAAAGTACATCCGCGGTCGGCCCAAGCCCGAGTACTGGGATCCGCGCAGCCCGCTCTACGTCACCGAGTCGCGCTACAACGAGCAGCAGCGCGTCTTCCACAAGATCAAGAGCTGGGCGAGCTGCGTGCCCGAGGAGATCCGAAAGGTGGAGACGCCCATGAACTTTTTCGACAAGGCCATCGCGCCGCCCGCCAAGGAGGAGTCGCCCTTCCTGCGCGGCGTGCAGGGCCCCGGTGCGCTGCGCGACGAGGATGCGTCGAGCGGCGAGGGCGCCGAATTCCCCGACCTCTTCAAGGACGCTCTCGACGATTTCCGGCCGAAAAAGAAGGGCCGCGCACCCGATGGCTCCGAGGCCGAAGCAGCCGGCGACGCCTTCACCAGGCTCGCGTCGCTCGTGGCGGCGCGCGTGACTCCCGACCACTACTTCCGCCTGCAGCAGCTGCTCTCGACCCCGCAAGCTGCTACGCTCGACATGGCGCAGCTCAGCAACGAGCTCGGCGGCGTGGATGCCGAGCTGCTCTCGGAACTGCGCAATGCCGCGGTCGCTGCCGGCGTCGCTTCGGCTGGCATCGAAAAGGTCGCCTCGTCCAACTTTGCCGACATGGCCAGCGGCGTGCCGGGCCAGCAGGCGGATGCTAGCGCGCATGCTCAGCCGCCGACGATCGGCGTGGTGGATCTGGTGCGCTCGCAGCGCGGCGAAGGATTCTACGCCTCGCTGCCGCCCGAGACGCGCGGCATGTTTGCGGATCAACCGGGTGGCCAGGTCTCTTGGTACGCGGCTGCGCCGTTAGACCTGCCGTTGCAGAACGACCTGCACAAGAACGGATTCTACGCGCCGCAGCAGGCGCATTTGCGACACCATACGCTCGACTACCTCTACCACCAGGCGGGCACGTGCGTCGAGAGGGATGCCGAGGCGCAGGCGCGCAACGGCGGTCGCGGCGCCATGGCGCAGCCGCTGCAGCCGAGCGCTTCGGCCAACGGCAGTGCGACGCCGCGCGCCTTGGTGGCCGGCTCGTCGCCGTACGTGGCGCACGCCTCGGGCATGTACGACTTTCTCGCTCCCAGCGCACGCAACTCGCCCATGATGCGGCCTGGCTTCCCCGGCACCGTCGGACTGGCCAGCGGCGCCACGGTGGGTGCAGGAGGGAATATGCCTGCGGCTAGCAGCAACGGCAGCACCGATGAGGCACTTACGCCAGTCATGAGCCAGAACACCGGCTGGTACGGCACCAACGAGTGGGGCGAAGACCCGCAGAAGACCGCGGAGGCACTCGCCGAGTTTTCGAGCCAGTACGGCTCCGATGCAGGCCAGCTCAACTTTTCCCAGTATCTCTCGTAGCCGCGCTGGATTCTGAACATAGCTCAAATCCTACTCCTTGCCACGGAGGACATGCTCATCGCACTTCCCCGGGACATGCTCATCGCACTTCCCCGGGACATGCTCATCGCACTTCCCCGGGACATGCTCATCGCACTTCCCCGGGACATATCGTTCGCACTCCCGCATCGGTAATTGTAGTTCTTCTTGTATTTGTTCCTCCCATCGATGTTTGCATTGTTGCGCAGTGTGTCGGATGTGTGAATGGCGAGATGGCGACTATCGTGTGTAGCCGGTCAGGGGCGAGTATGCGAGCATGCGAGCGGCATGCGGTTGAGAAGGTTGGTTGTGCTTACGTAATAATGTATTGGTGCGGGTCTTGCTGGGCTTTTTGCACCCGATCACCGCACGTCCCCTTTACGACAGATGCGGGGCTCAGATCGAAGAAAAGAAAGCCGCAACCCAACGCGGGCCCGCACACCGACGAGGCTTCTCCATCTCCACCATCCATCTCCACGCTCCTACTTCCTCCTTCTCCCGTTCTCACATCGCTTTTCATAATAGCATCTTTTTCACTTGTCCAGTTTCGCAAGGCACACACTTCCACACCTTCTGCACGCCCTTCAGCTACCTCGGCCCTTATTCCAAAAAGCATCAGTTTTTAACGCACTTTCTCTCAAGATCCTCGCACTCGTCCCTTCGAACCAGCAACCATGGCGACGGCAGAGTACATCGGGGCGCTGATCTCGCTCATCAGCAAGTCGGACATCCGGTACCAGGGGTTGCTGGCGTCGATCAATCCGGAGCAGGCGACGATCGCGCTGGAAAAGGTGCGGTCTTGGGGCACCGAGGGCCGCGTGGCGGCGCAGGGGCGTGCGCAGGAAGAGATCCCGCCCAGCGACCACGTGTACGAATACATCATGTTCCGCGCAGCGGACGTCAAGGACCTCAAGATCGACGACGCCAACCCACCCAAGCCGCCAGCACCAGCTCAGCCGGCACTCAACGACCCCGCCATCCTCAATGTAAGTGATCGCACAACAGCCTGCGAGCCTTCCGCCGAAACAACCTCGTATGATGAACCATTTACGGATGTAAAGCTGTCGTTCGCGACACGTCATTGTCCGAGAGCGCAAAACCGTGTGGATGTCTCCGTTGCCTTCCTACTGATCCCGAGGTGGTTTTCGGCGTGGAAAGCTCGCATGCATGGCGCCGTCGTTCAAACGATGAAAGATGACTGACCTGCTGGGCTTTTGCTTTTGATATAGTCTTCAGCGCCGCAGTCGGGACCTGGCTATGGTGCGCCCGCAGGCATGTACGGAGGCATGATGCCGGCTGCACCGTACGGAGCTGCTGCTCCCGGAGCGGCGTTCAACGGCTCCGCACCTGCACAGCGATCGCCGCAGCCACCGCAAGCAGCAGCCACGTCAGCAGCCGCGTCTTTGTCCGCATCCGCATCCGCATCCGCATCGCAGCCGGCGTCTGGCGCAGGCAAGGCGGCACGCGCATCGCCCGCAGCCGAAGCCGCACCAAAGTCGAGCGCGGACGCGGTGCTGGAGGAAATGTCGAAGCTGAGCGTGTCGAAGCCCGCAACTTTATCTTCTCCCTCGTCCTTGCCGGCTGCGCATGGGTTGCCTGCGATCCCACGCGCGGCGGCGGCAGCGGCTGCAGCAGCTGCGCAATCCGAACGTCGCAACGGGTCGAGCAGTGCACCACGCGGTGGGCAGCGCGAGCGCGTGGGCGGACCGAGCATGCCCAACCGCGAGTTCGACTTTGAGTCGGCCAATGCCAAGTTCCAGAAGCACGGCGCGGACGGCGCGGACGAGGCGACGGGCGGACTGCTGGATGCCATCCCACCGCCCGCGTCGGACTCGGAGACGTTCTACGACAAGTCGGGCTTCTTTGACAATATCTCGTCCGAGATCAAGGAGCGCTACGAGCGCAACCCTAACCCCAATGGCGGTGGTGGTTGGGGAGAGGCTGGAGAGGGCGCGTCGTTCTTCGATGCACCGGCGGGAGGACGTGGACGCGGTGGCAGGGGTGGGGGACGCGGAAGGGGGAGGGCGAATAGGATGGCCGAGGAGATGAAGAACATGCAGACGTTCGGCGACACGGGTGCGTCGTTTGGCGGAAGTGGCGGACGGGGCCGAGGCCGTGGACGCGGAAGGGGTCGAGGCAGGGGCCGAGCCAATGACGGATACAATACGGCCCCCATGCGCATGGGATGATACCTCTGCTCCTCACCGACGCTACTCATTCGCACCCACGCCGTTGATTCTACAATGCATACCTTTTTTTCACGTACAAGACAAGCTCTTCCAACACGGTGCGCATTGAATACAGTGTGGTTGGATGTACAGCGCCCTAATGAGCCGAGCTGTTTGGGGCAAAAGGGGGTTTGGAGTGGGGTATGGCTAAAGACGGTTCTGCAACTCGTCCTTAGCGTCCTTGGCCTTGTCCTTTGCGTCGTCGAATGCATTTTGCGCTTTCTTCTGTACCTCGCCGACAGGATCGCTGGACTTGCTCAACTTCTGAACCTGGTTTGTAATGAGGCCTGCTGCACCACCCAAACCTGCGCCTCCGAGGAGACCATTGACCAAGCCTGTCCTTCTGAGAAAGATGGCGGGGAGCACGAGGGCGCCAAGCACACTGCCGATGAGGTGGAGATCGTCCTGTCGGACACGCTGGGCGTCGAGACGCAGACCGGACGTGCGCGCAGCCAGCGAAGGATGGTCGAGCTGGCTAGCAGCTGCATAGCCTCCGATCGAGCCGGCGCCGGCACCCGCGACGGGTACGATCCAGTTGTACCGCGCCAGACCACGCAGACTGAACCCGCGCCCGCGTGCGGCTTGCAGGAGGTACAGCGGCGTAGCAAGCAAACATCCGTATTGAAGACCTTGGACAGTGTAGCGCCCGACGTAGTACGCCGAGTCTTCCTGCATCCCTGCTGCTTCCAGCTGCGTCTTGAGCTGCTGCGACATTGTACACCGGTCCTGGAGGCTAGCCGTGCGAGTAAGTAAGGCCAAAGGTGGATGTCGACGTTGGCCGTGATGGAGTTCGGATGGAAAGGATCCGCCGTTGGGAGTAGAGCTTGCTGGATGGAGAGGATGATGGATGCAGGAGAGAGAGAGGAGCGAGAAAGCCGAACTCGGTCGTCGGGTGGGAGCGGACTCTCTGGTTCTCTCTCTTGGCCGGGGCAAATTGGGCTGGGGCAGCTGGCTTGAGCCCCGGTGACGTCCTCTGTGGATTGGGCCCATCAAGCCGCCTCGCCAAATTGCTCCACACGCGCACTTCTCCACACTCACCCTTGGACGCGCAGCTGTTCCTTGCGCTCTGCCGGCTGCTGATCCGAATCGATTCGTCGAGGCTCGTCATTCCATCCATCCAATCACTTGCATCTCGTCTGTCTGCATTGATGCTTTGGGGCTCACTTCAGGGACATGCCGCCTGATCGGGGGCTGGATAGAGGCAAAGCGACGTGTACAGTAGCTGCTTCGGACGCGATCCCAAGTGTGTATATTTAGAGAAGCCAGCCTGGGCCGACCAAATTTAGCCCTTGAGCTCTTTCTGCCAACGAATCGGATGCCGATGTCTGGCATTGCTTTGGACCGCACCCGATTCCGACCCTGCCTCTGCAGCTTTGCCACCCGGACGCTGTCCGATGCGACCATGATAAAGATCCAAGCAGCGTGGTGTCCATACAGACGTGGCCGTGGTCGCGTGGGCATAGACGGCGAGAGATGGGGTGCAGCGGAAAGAGCCGTGCGTGCATGCCCTCACCCACGCTCGGCGCGTTTTCAGAGATTTCTTCCCCCACCGCCCGTGCAGGCCGCCAAGTCCGCAGATCCAATCACGCCTCGACGCAGTCCTCACCATAGTCTGCGCACCGAAGAGTCAGAGAGTGTCCATATTGCAGTGGGGTTCAGGCTGGGGGATAGAAGCCGGCGTAGAGCACGCACGAGATGCACATCTGGATGCCGAGGTACGACAGCACCAGCGGGCGGAGCCACGGTGTATGGGCGTGGAGGACGGCGTGCGCGAGGCCCCACCATACCACGGGCATGCCTCCGGGCGTGGCGAGGCGCAGCGCGATCTGGACGTGCGAGGCAAACAGCAGCACCACCGCGAGCACCAGCCCATGCACAACATAGGGTACCGCCATCGGCACCGCATCCAGCGACAGGCCAGGTCGATGCTCAGCCGGTGGAGGGGAAGCGAGCAGAGACGCGAGAAGCTGGGCGGGGGATGAGGTGCGGTAGTACAAGCGTGCGGTGGCGACAATGGCGACGAGCACGGGAGCGGCGAGCGCAAAGTTGGGCAGCTGCGCCACCTCCCAGTAGCGCAACCATCCGACGTGCCAGTACTCGGCCTGCACGAATGCGTATACGCTCGGCGGCACTGCGCTGCACCATGGTCGTCCGCCCTCTGCCAGGCAGAATCGCCCATAAGCCCACGTCTGAAACAGCACCGTCGGCGAGACGCACACTGCCGCCGAGACCGCCAGTTGCAGTGTAGCCTTTGCGTAGCCGTGCGTTCTCGCCTGCGCAAGGAGTTTATACGCCGTGTATCCGATGAGCAGCGTGCCGTTGGCGCGAAAGGCAGTGGCGATGCCAAACCACACCGATGCCGCCAGGAGCTGGGTCCATGCCAGCCGTGCTTGTTCGAGGCACAGCATGCCCGCCAGACTCGCGGCGCTAAAGAACGCTTCGGGTGTGGGGGAGCTCAGCGTCGTAGCCGCCGACGGAGCAAACACGCTCAACACCGCAGCAGCGAACGCGAGCTCGATCTGCTGGGTCACTCGCATCGTCAACCGGAACAGCAGCAGCGGCGCCGACACCGCTGCGACATTCGCCAGCGCCGTGGCGAGCAACACCGCCGTTGTTGGACTCCACGATCCGTCGAGGCTCGGCGTGACATAGCCGAGCAGACGCAGGAGTGCAACGATGCCAGGCTGGAATGCCAGCATGTGCTCCCACCGATAGCCGCCCACGTGCAGCCCCTCGGCAGCGGTGGGCGAGGCAGCAGCGAGAAAGTAGACCGTGTCCCAGCGCACGAATGCCAGCAGCCAGCGAAAGTTTCCCGCAGACAGGCCGTGTTCGGCGTTTGGATCGAGTGCGAACGAGAGCAGCTCGTGCGATGTATCGAAGGCCCGTTGCAGCTGCGCGTTGAGGATCAGCGCAGCTATCGAGGCGATGCGCACCCAGAGCGATAGACGAAGCAGCCGCGTTTGTGCCGCCACGAGCTGCCGACGTGATGGCGGCTTCGAAGCGGCAGCATCCTGCGCCAGCGTTGATCGCGTGGCTGTGGCGGAAGGCGGCTTCGAGCCTGCGGGGCGTCGGAGCATGCTTTGGAGGCGCCAATGGTGGTGGACCCTGAAAGCGAGCCCTGGCCGGTTTGGCTGCGCATGGTCCAACGCTGCAGATTTCTTCCAGCCGCACTTTGCCTCACTACCGCGCTGCAGTGCCTGCAAGCGAGCCGAGAAAAAGGCCGGCTCCAACGGCCTCCACGCGTCGCAGGGATTGATTGCACTCTGCTGCGCTTTGCTGGCCGTGGGCGCGCAGCAATCGTGAATGCAATCGAGCCTCTCTCACCCCTCTCGCCCTCCAACACCATCGCCGCGCTGCAATCGGCTCGATCCGCATCCACACACGAGCGGGTGCTACGCTCTCGCGCTCGACACACTCAGCCATGGGCGTGGCCTTCAGCTCGCTCTGGTCGTCGCTCTTCGGCTCCAAAGAGCTCAAGATCTGCATCCTCGGGTACGTCCTTCGTCCACTTGGGCCCTTCTCTCCAGCGATACTGACACTTTTGGCTCGATGCACGCGCAGCCTCGACAATGCAGGCAAGACGACGCTCATGTACAAGATGACCCTCGGCTCGGTCGTGTCCACCGCGCCCACCGTAGGCTCCAATACAGGTGAGACCACCTCCTCCCCCTTGCATCTTTGATTGCTCTTCATGCTGACATGTTGCTCTTTGGTCAGAACAATTCGAGTACAAGAACCTCAAGTTTATGCTGTGGGATGTGGGTGGTCAGACATCGCTGCGCACGTCGTGGACGTCGTATCTCGCCTCGACGGATGCGGTGATCTTTGTGCTGGACAGCAACGACCGCGAGCGCGTCAACCTCGCGCGCGACGAGCTGCACCGCATCGGCCAGGACGAACAGGTGCTCAAGGCGCCCATCCTCGTGTGGGCCAACAAGCAGGATATCAAGGGCGCCATGACGCCCGCCGAGATCTCCGAGAGCCTTGCGCTCACGGCGTTCCGCGAACGGACCTGGCAGATCTTTGGATGCTCGGCGCTGACGGGTAAGGGGCTTACCGAGGGTCTGGATTGGTTGGCACATACGCTGGGCGCAAAGGCGTAGGATTCACATAGCCCCCCTCTGTGTCCCCCCCCTCTCTCTTTGTACATAGTCTGAATTCGTAGCAAGCGCTGAGTGCCATCAAGCTCCCAATCTGGCTTCCCCAGGCGCAAGGGTTGGGCGGTAGGGAAGGGTTCGGAACGCGGGGGTGAAAGGCGCCTCCACTCGAGTAAAAAAAATCCCAGCCAAGGCCTCCCCAAAAAACCTTGCTCTCGCACCAACACCTCTGACACCACTGGCGCTTTGGGCAGCATGAGCGAGCCGGTCGATGCAGCGCCGCACGAGTCGCGACCGGAGCAGCCCGAAGTGGAAGCAACGATCTCGACGCTGCTCGCGCAGAACCGGCGCACCGCCACCGCGTTCACCGTGACCAAACACTCGAACGACGCCGCCAAGAACTGGGACAAGTTCTACAAGAACCACGCCGACAAGTTCTTCAAAGACCGCCACTGGACGTCGCGCGAGTTCGGCTCCGCTGTCGCATCCACCTCAAACAAGCCCGAGGATGACCGCGGAGAAGAGACGGAGCTTGTATCCGCGGATGTGGCAGGCCAAGGCTCCGCAGTTCTGCTCGAGGTCGGATGTGGGGTGGGCAACATGCTGTATCCCCTGCTCGAGGCCAACGAAGCGCTACGGGTGCATTGCTGTGACTTTAGCCAGCGTGCAGTGGACATGGTCCGATCCCACCCGAGATACGATGCGGCCAGAGTGAACGCTTTCGTATTCGACCTTACGAGCTCGCAACCTTCGCTGGCGTCATTTTTGCGGACAGAGCCGTACAATGCTTGGCCGGCACCGACAACCGTCAGCCTCATCTTTGTGCTCTCGGCCATCCCGCCGCATCTGCATCTCGAGGTGCTCAAGTCGCTAGCGGATCTTTTGGCCGCCAACCCGGGCGGGGGTCATATTCTGTTCCGCGACTATGCGTACGGTGATCTATCGCAGGTTCGCTACCACACCAAGAAGGACGCTGCGTGGGCAGAGCCGAGCTTGCTATCCGACGAGCCGGGTCAGAACTGGTACCGCCGGGGAGACAATACGTTCAACTACTTTTTCCAGCCGCACGAGCTCGACGCACTTGCCGGAAAGCTCGGTCTGCAGGGAGAGGCGCATCTTCTTCGACGCACCGCGGTGAACAGGAAGAGCGAAGTCAACATGCAGCGTCGATTCGTCCAAGCCAAATGGTTCGTACCCCCTCGCACATGAACAAATGCCATTTTTACGAGGCGAGGGCTTCTTCACGCTGCATCACCGCCGCGTCGAGCTTGATGAGGATCGTGGTGCGTTGAGGGTGTTGTGGGGTTCCGACCGTGTGTGCTGTGACGCGCGCAGGGAAGCCTAGTCCGTCCAGCGCCGCTTCAACCATGCCCGCCGTGATCGCTTCGACGGACAGCTGCGACATGTCGTTGGGCACACAAATCGCCCGACTAAACGTAGGCACATTCGTCGAGATCATATCTAACCCCCCGGCAAAAAGCGCAAGCGTCGAATGTCAGTGTGTGTTTGGCTGATGAATAGGGCTGCGTGGGGGGACTTACATTCGTCGGATCTTCCTGGCTCGGTGGACCGTTCGAGAGAGTCGGCGGGTTTGCCAAACGCCGCCTTCCAAAACGCCGTATGGATCCAGAGCAATGTCGGCAGCAGCTTGGTTTCGCGCTTGGGGTTTTTGGGATTCTGCAGCATCTCCTGTCGATGCATTGCCATGCCCAACACTCTCTGCCCCACCCTGTACCCGATGAGCGAGAGCCGTTTCTCGAGGTCCGTCACGCCCGTCACGCGGTTCTGCGTATAGCTCACGATCTCGCCAAACAGAAACGAGAGCGCCGACGCATTCACCTCGTTCTGCCGCGTCTTGTCCCTCGGTCGATCCACAATATCCACCCTACCGGCGGAGGTGCTTTCGTCAGCAGCCGAGGTGAACGATGCGAATCGGCTTCCCAGCCCCGTACTTGGCGTCGATACCTGTCGAGTCGAGGCAGGACGGTGAGAAGGGGGTGAGGAGATCAGGGATGTTTGGTGGAAGCTGTTGGCGGTACTCGATAGCGTGCTGGCAGAGGTGCGTCGCGACGAGAAGGGTGGCGGGTTGGACGAGGTCGATGCAAACGAGTACGTCGCAGCCGTGCTAGCGTCCATGCTCTCCGCTGGAGGTGCGTAGGGATGGGACGAGGCAGACGACGCACTCGCTGTCGTCTGCACCGAGAATCGCTGCGATGCCCGTGGTGTCGTAGCCATCGTGCTGCCAATGGTATCAGAGTGATGATGGTGGATCTCGGTGCAAAGCTCGACGCGGCTCGTGCGCACGCTCCACACCTTCCCAGCTCTCTCTCACCCACACGCAAAATTGATTTATTCCCCTTTCCCCCCATCCTCGGCTCATATCGCCCTCTGCTCCCACCAACACACTCCGACATGCACATCACACCACTGAATCTGACCATCCACGACCGTGGGACGGGTGTATATTGCAGCTCATGAGGAGCCCTTATTGGACGCGGACGAATGCGACTTGTGGTGGTGCCTGCCCTTGCCGCGATGGCGTCCGCCCTTCTTGCTGGGCGATGCCGATCCGTCCGCCTTCTTGCCCTGACCCGGCTGCTCCTTGGGCGTCTGCACGTTCTTGGGCGCGGCTGCCTCCTTGACCGCCTCAATTCCTTCCGCCTTGGTATCTGGGCTCGCTTCATCCGCTCCACCGCCAGACAAGGCATCACTAGCCACCGAGCGTGCACCAGCCGTCACTTCGTCCGTCGCCTCTTGGCGCGCGCTCTGTTCGTCTGCCTTCGAGGGCTCGGCAGGAATACTCGCCACCGACGAATCTGCTTTCGAAGCCACATGGGTGGGCAGAGTAGCAGAGACGCTGCTCGTGGGCTCGTCCAAAGGCTCGCTATGTTTCGGTAGAGCTGCATCACTCTTAGCGGGCGAGCTGGCTTCAGTCGAAGAAGTGTCCGACGGTGTGGTGAGAGAAGACGGCTCCGACTTTGGCGATACGCTGCTGCTGCTGCTGCTGCTGCTGCTGGTCGTCGAGTCCACCACCGCATCAACCGCCTGGGATCCTGAGACCGACGTGACTGTAGTCTTGGACGACAGCGCGTCCGTATCTTCCATTCCCGTCGAAACGAGCGCAGGAGGCGCGGCTTCGGCCACCAGATTCGGTCCGTCGCTCGTTGCTGGCTCTGCCGCTTGGACGGTATCGACCTCGTCGATGGGCGTGATGGCGTCTGCATCCGCACCAGCCTCGACGGATTCGGACTGCACTGGCGGGTCTTCCACCGCTTGCGACTGCGACGCGGCAGCACGCAGCTCCTGGATCGAGGAGGGTGCCGATTCGGCCTCGTCCGCAGCCGTGCCAGCCGGGGCCGCAGCGGTGACGCGCTCGAAGGCGGTCGAGTCGGCACTGATGACAGGACTGGCGTCGGCCGCTCTTCGGCCTCGCTCGGTGTCCTGCTCTTCGTCTGCCAGGATGGCCTCCTCGATGATCTGTTCCTTTCGTTCCAGCGTGGGAGCGAGCTTGGGCGAGCGTGCTGCCAAGGGTATTGTGGCGCCGGGGCTGGATGGCTTGTCATCGGGCCGCAAGGTGGACGAGACCTGGAGCGCGTTCAACGACGGCTGACCGCTTGCCTCTGCCGCGATGGCTGCTTCGTCCACAGTGAGCGATGCACGCCTCTCGGCGGGCGAGAGTGGTTTGGACGCGTGCACGACCGCGCCCGCTTCGGCGTTGGGCAGTGTGGACAAGAGCGCGTCGCTCTTCTCCTTGAGACCAAGTAGTTCGCGGAACGTCTCGTTCTCCATGCGCAGGCGCTCCTCTTCGGTCAGGTGCTCGAGCGCGTCGTCGGCGCGCAACGCAGCGGGGTCCTTGCCCGTATACCCGCCCGATCCGTACCACTTTGGATCCTGGATCCATCCGCGTTTTGACTTGCGCGGCTGCGCATCGCCGGCATCGTCGTCGTCGTCGTCGTCGTCGTCGTCGTCGTCGCTAAACTCTCCATCGAGCGACTGCATGGCGCGCCTGACGAGGCCGCCGAGATGGGTGAGCGTGCCGCTAAACGCGGTCTCTGCGGCGAGCGTCTGCTGGGCTGCATTGTGCGTGTTCTGTGCGAGGAGCGACTCGTAGTGCTGTGTGAGCTGGAGCGTGTGCTGCTGTGTGGAATGGGAGAAGCTGCGAAACTTGGCCATGACGGTCTCGAGCGTGTTTTCGTACTCGCGCAGCAGCACCGCCTGCTGCTTGTTCTCATGCGACAGCGCCAGATTCTCCTTGACGAGATGGACATTGAGCGACTCGAGCTCGGACTCGAACTTCTCCTTGGAGATGTCGGTGTTGAAGCGGCGCAGGGCAAAGCCGGTGCCCGAGTGGATGGCCTGTCCGCGCAGCTGGTCTGCCTGCTGCTGGAGCGATTCGCAGAGCTGTCGGTTGGCCTGGAGCTGGTTTGTGAGGTCTTCGACGAGAGACCACAGTCTCTGCATGTCATCGCCGTCCATGATGGCCATGTCTCGGCTGCGATGCAGCGTGTGCCGGACGAGATGAAGCGGTCGACGAGGGCGGCAGGGCGGCGCGGGCGCCTGCAGGGATGCGAGCGAGGCGCTTTGCGTAGCCGAGAAGCTTGCAATGGACGTCAGGAGCACGAGTGGTCGCTCTGGGTTTGAGTCGCGATGGAGGCGGAAGAGGACGAGAATGCGGAGAGAGGGACAGCGTTCAGTGACGGGGGGCCAAGCCGACGACGACGACTCGATGATGCGATGGCCAAAACGCCGACGTGCAGTCGAACCACGGTCTAACATGTTAGGCTGATTTTCGACGTGTCTCTGGCTCGTCTGGCAGCAAAGGCAGAGGCAGCAGCTGCAGAGGCAGCAGATGCAGAGCGTGGGTTGGAATGGGTGGGCACAAATTCACGTGATGCCAACAGGCAGCGCACCGGCACTCACAGACTGCCGAGAGACCAACACCTGCGGCTTAATTGCACGCACCGCTCCACTTTGTTGGCTTTGCGTGAATCGGGAAGGCAGCACGCATGCTCGGTTTCTGAGACCATCCTCTCCTCGCCTCTCCACCAAGGAACTTCGGCGGGCCACCCTCTGGATTCATCAAGGCCCGCGTCAGGAATGACACCCTGAACAACCCTCTCTTTCTCTCGAGCTCACTCTGCACACGTTGGCACTTCAAGAGCGCGCAGAGCAGCAGCCATGGCTGAGCTATCCGAGCCGTCAACGTCGTCTACGTCGTCGTCGGCGCAAGCTCCCCGCGATGCAGAGATCGACGCTTTCGTCGCCTGGGCGCAAGCCGTGCTCGCCGACATCCAGCACGCCGATCGCAACGTCAGCGCTCCGGCGGATCTCGCAGATGGTGTGGTGCTCTTCCAGATCCTGGCGGACATCGACCCGGACCTCTTCCGCAATCCACATGCTGGCGATACCAAGGACAACTGGGTGCTCACCATCGGTACCCTCAAGCGCCTCTACAAGCTCATGCTGCAGTTCTACTCCCAGAGCCTCTCGTGCGCTCCATCCCCACTTCCATCGCCCGATCTCAATGCCATCGCACGCTCCGCTGACCCGGAAGAGCTCGCCAAATTGTGCCTGCTCGCCATCGGCATCGCTGTGCAGAGCGAGAAGAACGAGGCGCACATCGCTGCGATCCAGACGCTCGACCACTCTCACCAGACCCAGCTCATGGTCTCCATCGAGCGCATCATGTCGCTCATCAAACAAGCCCAAGATGAAGAGCTGGCCGCATCCGCTGCAGACGACTCCACCGCCTCCTCTCGCGTTGCCGCCGTCGATCCCAACTCCCACGGCAAAACATCCGCCGAGCTTGCCTCCGAACTCGACACACTGCGTGCCGAGAAGGACGACATCGAAAAGACCTACCTCGTCCTGCTCGAAACCCACCGAAGCGTGACCAACGAGTTCCAAGACCTCAAGGCCGAACGCGACGATCTCAACGCCAAGCACGAAGAGTACAAGAAGCGCTTCGAGGAGGAGCGCAACGAGCAGGCCGACGTGCTCTTGCACCAGCAGATCGAAAAGCTCAAGGCTGAATTACGCCGCAGCGAGGATGCGCTCGCCGAGCTCGAGTCGGACAACGAAAAGCTCATCCAGGCTGCCCAAGACTCGAAGCGCAAGATCGACGAGCTGCAAAAGACAGCCGACGAGGCGGTCAAGCTGCGCGACCAGATCGACGAGTACAAGCACGCCGCAGATCGTCTGCAGAAGGCCGAAAACGCCATCGAAAAGTACAAGAAGAAGCTCGAGGAGGGCGCCGACATCCGTCGCCAGCTCAAGCTGCTCGAAGACCAGAACGCCGAGCTCGTCGACCGCAACGCCAAAATCGAGGACGAGTACAAGCGCGTGTCTGCCTTCAAGCCACTCATGGACTCGTACAAGACGCAGATCGCCGAGCTCGAGTCCAAATCCTCCACCTTGCAGCGCGACCTGGCCACGTCCAAGTACGAGCAGGACCAGATCCTGTCGCGCCTCAAGGCGTCCGAGGACCAGCGCGCCACGGAGAAGGAAGAGATGGAGCTGTACCAGGAGCGCATCAAGGAGCTCGAGCTCGGAGGCGATGCGGCCGGCGTGCGACGCAAGAAGCTCGTCAGCCGCGCATCCAACGTGTCTGCCAACGGCGTCGAGGGTCTCGTCGCCGCCGACGCAACGCGCGCCGACACCGACTCGTTGGATCTGGACGACGACGACGAGTTGGACCGCTCGGGCGAGCTCGAAGATGCCTTGAGCGGCACGACGATGACCGACCTCAAGATCAAGGTGCGCAAGCTGGCGCGCGAGCTCGAAGCGGCGCAGACCAACAAGGCGGACCAGTCGCGACTGATTGTGCTCGAGAACCTGCTGGAGGATGCGCAGCGGATGAAGGCGCGCTACGAGGCCGACTACCTGCGCGAGCATCGCGACAAGATGGTGCTGCAGAGCCAGCTCGAGGCGATCCGCAGCGGCAAGTCGGATCTGGGCGACGGCACCGAGGCTGCGTATGCGCTGCGGCTGCGGCTCAACGAGGTGGTGGAGGAGCTGGATGCGGCCAAGCGACGGCTGGGCGAGCTCGAGGTGCAGAACGAGCAGACGCTGCGCGAGCTCACGGTGGCCAAGTCGGATCTGACGCTGGTGAACAAGGACCAGGTGGACATTCTGCACTCGTTGCGTGCCTCGATGGAGGCGGACAAGGACGAGCTGGAGGCGCACGTCAAGAAGCTCAAGGCGGAGCTGGGATCGGTGGGCGAGCAGAACCGCATGTACATGGCGCAGGTCAACTCGCTGCTCATGGAAAAGGTGGATCTGCAGGCCGAGGGGATCGGGCAGCGCGACGAGGCGCTCAAGCGCGAGCGCGCGCTCGGCGATCTGCGCACACGGCTGCAGGGCAAAGGGCTCCCGAAGGAGGTGGAGGAGCTGGTGGCAAGTCTGCAGACCGAGGCGCTCAACTCGACACGCGACCTCAAGGCGCTGCAGGAGCGCTTTGGCAAAGCCAAGACGTTCATCAAGCAGCAGGATCGGATGATCAAGGAGAAGGATCGCAGCATCGCCGCCGCCGCCGCCGCTGGCTCTCTGATGGGGGGCGCCGGCGGTGTCGAAGGAGGTGCGTTACGGGGCGAGATGGGCAACGAAGCGCTGGAGCAAGAGGTACGCCGGTTGCGCGAGCAGGTGCGCAACTTGGAGCGCGAGCAGACGCTCATGATGTCGGCCTTCCAGGATCTCGGACGGCGCTACATGGTCGAGCTGGAATCGGGACGCAATCCGAGCGGCGGTGGCGTGGCGGGCGCCCGCAGCGGCTCTGCGTCGTACGCGGCGGGTGGGGTGCGTGCGCTCTCGGGCCTCACGGGCCTCAACGCACCGGGCCGAAGCTGGCTTGCCAACCAACGGCGTCTGGTCAATCCAACGCTGCAGCTTGCCAATCGAAGGTGAGCTGAGCTCTCAGCAGCCGAGGAGTCGCTTGACACATTATACCCCCTCACAAACACACACACACACACTCGCACCCCTTGAATGCATCGGAAATTTGAAATCTCCGACTTGACAGTACCAGCCCGAAGAAGACAGGCGTTTAGAGCTCGACGGAAGAGTTGAGCTGCAAGTTGCCGGAGATGCACGAGAAGGCTGTGAGGCAGCTGCAGAGGAAAGCTTCTGGAGAAAGGTTCATGCTGGTATTGTTGGCATGCGAATGCACGTCGAAGCGAGGGCAGACGCAAGCGTTGGATTGGGTGCTCTTCGGTGGTTACAGCTTTTCACGCGGCTTACCCGCCACGCACAAGGTTGCTACCTCAAGAGAGAGTTCTGCAGATCCCCGATGGACGATCGATGGAAGAGCGATTCGGCATCCTCGGCATTCTGCGGGCTCCGCTTGGCGATGATTCGTGCGGAGATGGCCAGCCGCTGTCGGCCCTGCGCCGAGAGAGGAGGCCCTGGGGGACGTCGGGTTGCATGCATCAAAAGCACAGGTGCAGGAGGCATTTCAGGATGCGCGTCGGCCGGCATCCGAGCCTCGCCGTCTGGTTGCGACGTGCAACCGCGTTGAAGCTGCACAATCGAGCGACTCGGTCCAGCACCTCCCGGCCCACCCGTGCCAGTCTGATCGATTACAGATCTCCAGCGGACTTCTGTCTCCCACACGCCCTTGCTATTCTCAACATCCCACCTGGCGTGATTCCACGTTCTGTGATACAGGGGTCCACATACTATTCGGAAGCATTGCGAGCATTTGGTGTGATGTGAAGAGACTCCACGACTAAAACGCAGCGATGACGCTTGGCGGGCCAAAGGCGAGAGAGGGTGGGAAAGAGTGCAACTCCAAAAGTTTCGCGTGGATGCGGAGAAGGAAGCGGGGTCGCTGGCAGCCTCACTCTCGGCTGAGTGGATCAGGTGCAGTGCAGCACGCAGCTTTGAAAGTGTTGTCGAAACGCGGGCAAATCCGCACGTCGATCCGTCGCTCATCTCGACGTGTGGGAGGAGGCAGCGTGCGGCTGGCGAAGCGCGGTTTGCTGACGGACGACCCGACCCAAGCATTCACGTTCTGCCCGCCCGCGATCGACCTCTGTATGTTTGGCGCTTTTTTGGGGGTGTGGCAGGACCGCGGTGCCCACCCAATGTGCCTGCGTGTGCGCAACGCGGTGCGTGTTGGAACCGGCCCGGCCCTCACACATTTCCACTTGGGCACTGCTCTGGTGCCTCGACGTCGGAAAATTGACGAGAAATCCACCCGTCGCAAAATGCCCCGAGCCTGGCTGTCTCGAGCCCTCTTGGCAGGTGCGGCAGCGGCTGTGTGTGAGTGTGTGTGTGGGCTGGATCCGCACCCGCTCCTTCCGAACGTGCCTCGCCCAGCAGCTCCGTATAAAGAGCCTCAAGCGTGACCGTCGGATCCCCCTTCCGCTCCCCTCACCGCATACCAAATCTATCGCCGGATCTTACCACTTTCCAATCCAAAACGACACCCAATCGTCCCTTGCAAGTCATTGTCTCACCCACAGGACTTGCAGCAATACACCGTTGCCCACCATTTTCTCCAACCAGCTTTGCTCGTCGCACAACACGCACAGGGGCAGCAAGCACTCCGCCCCTGCCTTCCTAGCAGCGCATTAAAGCCAATCCACCCAACAAACCGCTCTTTCTAAACTCTTCTCTTCCCATCTCTCCTCAATCATCCGCAAGCATGGCCCCTGTCGCTAACGGAAACAACGCCACCAACGGCCAAGCTGCCAACGGCAACGGCAACGCCGCCAACGTGCCCGTCAACCCCACCAACGCTCGTCACGAGCAGCGCGAGTTCATCCGCGTCAACTCGGACAAGGTGCAGTACACCAACGAGGCCATCACCACCGACTACAAGTACCTCAACACCCACGTCGAGAAGGTCCACCACGACGACGGCACCACCGAGTACGTCGCCACGCCCATCGAGCGTCAGTACCAGTTCAAGACCGAGCGCAAGGTGCCCCGCACCGGTCTCATGATGGTCGGCTGGGGCGGCAACAACGGCACCACCATCACCGCCACCATCCTCGCCAACAAGCACAACATCACCTGGCACAACAAGGACGGCGTCCAGGTGCCCAACTACTACGGCTCGCTCGTCCGCGCCTCCACCATCCGCCTCGGCACCGACCCCGCCACGGGCAAGGACGTCTGGGTGCCCTTCTCCAACGTCCTCCCCATGGTCCACCCCAACGACCTCGTCCTCGGCGGCTGGGACATCTCGGGCCTCCCCATGGACCAGGCCATGGCGCGCTCCAAGGTGCTCGACTACGACCTCCAGCGTCAGGTCGCCCCCTACATGGCCGAGATGAAGCCCCTCGCCTCGGTCTACTACCCGGACTTTATCGCCCAGAACCAGGAGGAGCGCGCCGACAACACGCTCCCCGGCCAGTCCAAGGCCGCCCACGTCGACCAGATCCGCGCCGACATCCGCGAGTTCAAGCGCCAGAACAACCTCGACCAGGTCATTGTCGTCTGGACCGCCAACACGGAGCGCTACTCGGAGATCATCGCCGGCGTCAACGACACCGCCGACAACCTGCTCAAGGCCGTCGAGCAGAACCACGACGAGGTGTCGCCCTCGACCATCTTTGCGATTGCGTGCATCCTTGAGAATGCCCCTTACGTCAACGGCGCCCCTCAGAACACGTTTGTGCCCGGCTGCATCGAGCTCGCCGAGAAGCACAAGGCGTTCATCGGCGGTGACGACCTCAAGACGGGCCAGACCAAGGTCAAGTCGGTGCTCGCCGAGTTCCTGGTGAACGCCGGCATCAAGCCGCTCTCGATTGCGTCGTACAACCACCTGGGCAACAACGACGGCTACAACCTGAGCTCGCAGCGCCAGTTCAAGTCCAAGGAGATCTCCAAGGCGAGCGTCGTCGACGACTGCTGTGCGGCCAACCACCTGCTGTACCGCCCCGCCGTGCCGGGCAAGAAGACCGCCGACGGCAAGGCCGACAAGGGCGAGCACCCGGACCACTGCATCGTGATCAAGTACCAGCCCGCTGTCGGCGACCAGAAGGTGGCTATGGACGACTACACGTCCGAGCTGTGCATGGGCGGCCGCAACCGGCTGTACGTGACCAACCTGTGCGAGGACTCGCTGCTCGCCTCGCCGCTGCTGCTCGACCTCACCATCCTGGCCGAGCTCATGACGCGCATCACGTACAAGGCCGGCGCGGACGACAAGGAGTGGAACTCGATGTACTCGGTGCTCTCGCTGCTGTCGTACTCGCTCAAGGCGCCCGTGGTCAAGCCGGGCACTGACGTGGTCAACTCGCTCAACCGCCAGCGCGCTGCCTGCACCAACTTCCTGCGCGCCTGCCTCGGCCTCGCCCCCGAGTCGGACCTCCTGCTCGAGACGCGTGTGTGGTAGATCTTCGCGATACAAAGTCAGGCACAGTGGGCAGGGTAGCCAGCTCTGTTCGCTGCTGAGACTTTCTTTCCCCCCCTCATAAAACCTCTTTTTTTTGCGGTTCTCGTGTTGGATAGACCAGAAGCAGAGGTGGATATGTCTTTGCTAAAATTCAATGCGATTCTCAATCGGACCTTTACATGGGTGGGGACTGATCTAGGTGAATGCGGGGACGTTTGTGCCTGGGGTGAGGTAGGCAGTCGTGAGGCCCTGGATATTGGGCGTGTTGGCGTGGAGGGGTTTGAGGGCGGCGGGGTTGATTGACCAGACGGTGGCCATGCCCATTGCGAGGTGGAACTGGAGATGGCAATGGAGCAAAAAGAATCCGGCGTTGTTCGACTTGACCTTGTACCTGAGCACTGCGAAGCCACCGTCGTCGTTTGCAGAGGATAGGGTTTGGTTGAGGTACGCCGCACCTGGGCTGGCGTAGACGATGGTCGTATCGCGCTGGATTGGACTGGTGAAGTTTGGGTTTGAGGCGAAGATGGAGTTGAGACGTTGGAAGGAGAAGGATCCGGGATGGATGGTGCGTGTCCAGTGTTTGTGCGAATGCATGTGCCAGGGGTGGATTTCGACCGACGAGCTGAGTTCCGACGGACGATTGACGAGCACAATGTCGATCACCTCGTGCTGGCGCGCGAAGTACATGTTGAGCGCCGAATCGTACGCCTGGGCCCAACGTCTCTCTGCCGCAGCTGCAAGTTCGCTCGCCGTGGTGTTGACGATCGGCTGCAAGCCCGACGAGGTATTATACGAGGTTGGGTTGAGGAGGGCTGTGTTGAATTGGGCCTCACTGGGGAGCGTGATATCGCCCAGCATGGTTCGCACAAGGTAGGGTGCAGGCGTAGGCACGTCGGTATCATCAAACACCTCGCCGTTCTCATCCCACCTTACGCCCTTTTTGGACGTGTAGAACTTGACCTGCTGCGTATCAATCACCACCGTGCGCGTCACCTGGTCGTCTCGAGGCATCTTGTCTGCATACCACCACTCCTCACCCCCGCTCCTGCGCAAGGGTGCCATATCCGCCGTCACCCAGCCAAACGTTTCGTTGGGCAACAATCTCGCATCCTTAGCCACCATTGGTGGCGCCACTACTGCCGCCGAAGAGTGTCGCGAAGAGGGGTAGGTGAGTTTAACCCACATGCTGGGACCTGCACGCCACCTTGACTCGACCCGCATCCAGTGCACGCCTCCGGACTTGTCGTTCTCGACCTCGTTGCGTGTTCGCGCAGTGTACAGCACCGAGTACCTCTGTCCGGACGCCAGCTCGACACGATCCACCGTCTGCGCAGCAAGGTACGATCCATCCGCCTCGATCAGCGTCATGTTTTGCAGGCGGTTCGAGCCCGGCTCGAGGATCGCTGCACTGACGTACATGAGCGATACAGCACCCACCATACGCAGCCGATACGTCTTGCCGTAATCCAGCTGGATTTCCGGCCACCCTGCCCCAGCACCACCGCAAGCAGGTGCGTCCTTGCAGTCCACACCGACGAGCTGGGCTTTTGTTGCATTGCACGTCTCTCCCTCGACGGGGGTGGATTGGCCGTTGAGTAGCAACTTTGTCGCTGAACCGGGCCACGCAAACGGATCCGCGTTGAGCTGCGAATGGATGCGCTCCAGCGACGAGTATCCCCACCAATCTCCCAGTGCCAACACGCGATCCTCGTCCCAACTATACGGTCCTGCTGCTTCACTGCCTCCTCCCTTCTTGAGCCCTTTGCTACCCTGCACGTGTCTGAGCTTTACCGATCCTGGATGCTTCTCTTCCCTGTGCGCGAGTTGGGCAGGGTCGTTGTAGGTGCCTTGGGGATCATCGACCACGAGTGCGCCGTGGGCGGTCATAGCCTGAACACCCGCATGCGAGTGGTAGAAGTACGAACCCTTATCCTCGGCGGTGAGCGGGATACGGTAGTCGAAGAATCGGCCCGGGTAGATGGGCCACTGCGACACGAGGGTGGTGCCGTCCATAACGGGGTGTTGGATCATCGCGAGTCCGTGAAAGTGCATGGTGAGGTTCTGGTTCGGCAGGTGGTTCCATACGCGGACTTGGAGGATCTCCCCCGCTCTTGCGCGCAGTGTAGGACCGGGGAAGGAGTTGTTTACAGCCACGCCACCGAACGGTTCGCAGCCCTGCCAGAGCGTGGAGGAGGTGACGTTGAGCGTGTAGTGGCGCACCACCACCTCGGGGCGGTGGTCGCGACGAGACGTGCTGAACGTGATGTCGCTCACCGCCAACACCCCCATCCATAGCGTGGATATGCATAGCAGCGTAGCAAGACGAAGCAGCATCGTGATGTGTTGTTGGGCCGCAGGAGAGACATGCGCATGAAGGGGTATATATTCGTTCTGCTGAAAATAGGAGTGTGGGTGCGAGAGCGGTTTTCGCTCATGAACCGACCGCGAAGCTCGCAATGCCAGCTCTTGCGCAGGTGGCGTACATCCCGCAGGTGGGGTACGTGCAGAAATGAGCCAACTCCCGGGTGGCAACTGTGGGTCCTAGCACTTGCCTCGTGGCACGCCTTACAACATCGAGTGCGGGGCTGGTGGCGTGCGGTCCGCACTACCTGACGCCGTGTGCCAAAACCCGGCGTCTCGGACACTTCTCGAAGCGGCGCCTCGGCTATGGCTCGCGTATCTCTGCGCACTGAGGACGGTCCGTGCCGCGGTCCGGTACACAACGCACCCTTGCCCCCCTTACCTCTCCGGACCGTCTGTACTTTCACAGCACCGCTCGGCGCAACTGCATGCAATTCGAGACCCGCAGTGCATCAATGCGATCTACCAAATGAACCGCATTGTGGTGGCTTCATTTCGAGCCTGATCCACCGCGGTGGGTGCCCACTCGAACGGCCTACCCACAAACAGTCCCACGGTGGCGAGGTTGACTGCCGCAAGCACGCCCGCTTCTGCAGCGAGGTACACCCACTTGACCCGCCCCTCTCTCTCTACTGGCTGCGAGTACACGCGCAGCAGCACGTAGGGCACCGCAAAATACCTCGGCTCGACCAGCGGGGTGGGGACGAGCGTTGCGGCCGTTGCGCACCCGAGCAGTATTGCGCGCAAAACGCTCGTGCGACGGACCAGCGCCTGAGCCCATGCATACAGCGTAAACACGTACAGCGGCACGAGGGCAAAGCGCGGCTGCATTCTGAGCAAAGGTCGCTGGAAGAGGCGCCAGAGGTAGAAGGTGTAGTGCCGGTTGTCGGCCAGCAGGAACGGATGCTCGATGGTGTAGTACGCTGCCGCCGCCCAGAAGAGCACGGCGATGAGCAGTGTACATAAGGTCCGCCAGAGTGTCCCGAACATGCGGACTCCCACTGCCCGGACCGCACCCCGTACGGGAGTCAGCACTGACCCCGCACCCGCATGTGATTGTGCGGGGGAGCCCAGCGACAGCACCAGAGCGGGCAGGCCGAAAGCAGTGGCAAAGAGCAAAAAGTATCCGATCTGCGCCAAGTGCGTGCCCGCCTGATGGTTCGCCTTGTCGCCGAGCACGATCGAGCCGTTCCAGCACACAAACCACGCCGCCCCCGCAAGCATCGGCATCATCGCACCCCCATTCCATGCCACCGTCGTCCAGAACCTCGAGCTGCCTCGGACACGGCCAAATGCCAGCAGAACCACTTCGCGCATCTCGACCACCAGTCCCGAGCTCGTCGATGCCGACTGGGTGGCAGCAAGCGTGGCTTGGCCGGCTGCAAAGCCGACCCAGACGAAGTTGGTCTGTCTGACGAGCACGGCGAGCAGCGATGCGGTGCCAGCGAGTGCTAGGGAGTGCAGCGAAGGCGCGGCGGTGAGTCGGTCGTACAGCACGATGCACGCCAGCACCAGCCATACGCTCGCCACATCCGTATAGTAGAGGAACCCAAAGAACCACAAGGGCGGCAGCATCGATATGGTGCATGCGACGCCCATGGTGTACACACTCGCCTCGCGCCGCTTGAGCCTTACCGGCAGTGCCACATTCCCCTGCGATCTCTGGACGACAGACGGTGGTGCTGATGGTGGGGCGGGTGCGGGAGCACGATCGTGTTTCGCCCTGTCCTGCAGTGCGCGTATCTGCTGCCTCGACACAGGTTTCCGCTGTTCCGGAATTCGCACCGCGTTGCTTGCTGCCGAGGCATACGAAGGCGGCTGCTCGTTGCTCCCAACAATGCGGGCGATGAGCACCGGCAGCGTCAGGAGCAGCACGAGATTCGTACTCCTCAACCACACCAGATCGCTACACCTCCAGCCGGGCAGCACCTTTGCCAGCGCCACCGAGACGAGGTACACTCCCGGCGGCGTGGTGAGCTTGTTGTCATACTCGACGCTGCCGAGCTGCGCCCATATCTGGCTTGGGGAGGCGTGGGCGAGTGCGGAACAGAAGCGTTGGGCCTGAGGCACGTGAAAGATCTCGTCGATGTACGGCGTGGGCTGGGTGCGGTTGATGAGTGCGGCTGTGAGCACGGTGACGAGGAGGAAGATGAGGCTGGGGATGTGCTGTGCCAGAGGTATTGATGTGGGCATCGCGAGCGAGGCCGAGCGAGGATGGTGGAGGCTGGTCGGTGCGAAGGGTCTCTCCGCGGAGAGCGAAGAGTGCATGTCAGCGGCGGCGCGGAGAGTGACCGAATTCCGTGATTTCAGTGTGGATTTCTTCGCAGATTCCGGCTGAGCATCGGCGCCTTTTTGGGGGGTGAGCTTTGATGACCAAACCGCTCGCTCCGCACCGGCAACCACCACCATCTCCAACTCTTCCGTTGCTGGGCAAAGTTGTTTCGGCAGAGACATGTACACTGCGCACTTCACCCCGGCATGGGGTGGATCGCTGGTGCCCACCCTCACACTCTCTGCGCTCTCCATCTCCCCACCAGAACCACCACCCGCGCCCACAGCGCCTCTGGCACAACATGACACCACACCGAGACGCGGCAAGAAGTCAATCGCGGAAGAGGGCACGTCGATCAAGGGATTCGTGGGCGGCACCGTGTCGGGGCTGACCAAGTTGCTGGTGGGGCATCCGTTCGATACGATCAAGGTGCGCATGCAATGCTCTCCCTACGGCACGTACACAGGACCGTTGGATTGCTTTCTCCAACTCGCGCGGCGCGAGTCGCTGCTCGGGCTGTACAAGGGCGCAACACCACCCGCGCTCGGCTGGGCGATCACCGACTCGGTCCTGCTGGGAAGTCTGCACAACTACCGTCGGCTTCTTGCGCGGCTTACGAACCCGGACTTTACCGACGATGCAGCCAAGCTGGATGTCAAATACCATGCGCTCGCGGGGTTGTTTGCGGGGTGGACGAATAGCTTCGTCACCACACCGGTGGAACTCGTCAAAGCCAAGCTTCAGATGCAAACCCAACGCGTCTCCCTACCCCTGTCGCAGAAAGCTTCGGCGGGGGTGGGGTATACGGGGCCAGTGGATTGTGTCAAGCAAATCGTTGCGCATCGAGGCGTGTTGGGGATGTGGCACGCTCTGCCTGCAACACTACTCTTCCGCAGCTCGTTCGCAGCCATGTTTGGTAGCTACGCATACTTCCAACGCACACTCACCGAATACGGCCTAGCTCCCGGCACGGTTACGTTTGTATCGGGTGGTTTGGCAGCAGAGGTGTTTTGGCTCACAGCATTCCCTGCAGATGTGGTCAAGAATAGGATGATGGCGGATAACATCACCCAGCCCCAGTACTCGAGCATCCGCTCAGCATGGGTGTCGGTCTGGAATGCGCGAGGCGCACAGCTACCCTGGTACCTCAAAGTCCGCGCAGTATACACCGGCTTCTTGCCATGCCTCCTTCGCGCATTTCCCACCAATGCGGCGGCGCTCTTCGCCTTCGAAACCGCAATGCACCTCATGGGCGCCGAAAAGGTCTAGCCCCTCTCTATACCCTACTCATAGAATGAAAAAGCAGTGCGCATTTTAAAGGTGTATGTGTGTCTATAGGATATCGTCGTCGTCTTCGCTGTCAATAGCTGCTTTCCACCGCTTGCGCCTGACGTCCTGTCCAACCATCAGGTCGCTGCCCTGCTCTTCCGATGCATCTCTCCGCTTGGACCGACTCTTGACCCGGCCTGCATCGCCGTTGAGGCGCTCGAGGAACTCGCGCACCAAACTGCGGTCCACCGTCTGGATGTAGTACTTGCCGCCACCATCGGCCCAGCTGACACAGCCAGACGTGTAGAGGCGCTCGGTGACGCGCAGGATCGCCAGTGGGCTCGAAAGCGTACGCTGCGTCAGCCGAAAGTCGGGCGGGACAAACGGCTTCAACGACACCACCTGTGCGCCGTCCGGCAGATCCAGAAACAGCAGGCTCAGGTTGTCGTTGGTCTTGGGTAAGAAGGCGTAGTTGTTGACCAGCACCACGTCGGCTCGTTTTAGCACCTCCCTTACACCCGTGTGCTCGCCGAAATCGCCCAGCCACGCTTCGACCTCTCCGCCCCCGCGCAGACCCCATGCAGCCCACCGCGCCTGCGCCTCGCCGATCTGCTCCGCCGCCAGCCCCGCGGGAATCGGCATCATCTCGCACCCGTACGCCTCGGCACCCGTCTGCAAACTCGTCTGAATGAGCAAGTTGCCGACGCCGCTACCAAGATCCACGAAGACCTTGCCCGGCCCGAGCTGGGTGAGCTGTGCGATCTCGGACATGAAGCGCGGCAGCAGCTCGCCGTACACGTTGTCGCTGAACGCCGTGTACCGACCGAGCTCCTCGACGCGCGGGCCGACGATGCGCGCGTACACCTGGTCCTGCACCAGCCGCCAAATGCCCTCGGGCACGCCCGTCGCCTTGCCGAGCGCTGCGATGTTGGCCGCCAGCGCACCCGAGTCGCGCAGCGCCACCAGCGCCGCATTGAAGCGCGCGAGCGTGCGCATGAACAGCGGGCCATCGCGACGGTTGCGCGCCTTGGTGAAGGAGCGCAGGATCGAGTCCGGATCGGTCGACGACGGGTGCGAGCCGTCGGACGCCTGCGACGCCTGCGACGCCTCGGTGGGCGCGGGCGAGTCGAGGCGCAGCATGGCTTGGTTCACCAGCGCCGTCTTGGCCACCGATGCGTGCGCCGCAGTGCTACCCGCCGAGCTGGGCGACACGGGAGCCGTGTGCGCAACAACGTGCCCTGTCTGAGGCTCGGGCGTCTTTGCACCCGCCTCGAACGCTTCGGTGCTGCGGCCGATGAGCTCGTCGCGGCGACTCGCCTTGGAGCCTTCGGTGTCGAGAAGATCAGCCGACTTGGCGCGCACGCCATTCGCGCGGGCGGTGTCGGTGGAATCGGCGAGCGCAGCTGCGGCGGCATCGGTGTGCGCTGCGGAGCTGGTGGAGGTGGCGGCAGCGTTGGTGGCGCTGGGAAGGATCATGCCGGCGTTGTTGGACACCTCGAGGCTGTCGAGCGATCCGAATGCGGTGCGCTGTTCGGGCGTGAGGTAGTGTGTGACGATGGCGCGCACGGTGGCGAGCAGCTCCATGAGCGGATCGTACTCGTCGGCATCCTTGGGCACGAGCAGCAGGAACTCCTCGGAAGCGCCTGGACCGGGATACTCGAGCACCGCGCGTGGAGCATCGCCAAGGCCGTGGAAGTAGGGGCCGAACGACTTGAAGTTGCTCGCAACAATGTCGGCCGATGAGATGGGTTTGGTGGGTGGCGATGATGTTGTCGCATCGTCGGCAGCAGCAAAGGCGGGAGCAACTATGTCGCGCGGAACGGTGTAGTTGGGCAGGACGCCTTCCCTGCCGACCTTTTGGTAGCTGTCGGTATGCGGATGTGGGTCGACGCTGGCACGCTTGGAGCCACGCGGGGTGGAAGGCGCCGAGCTGCCCAGCCGGGACGGCCGCTTGGAGGTAGCATCGAGATCGTCATCCGAGAGGCTGTCGCTGTCCGAATCCACGCGCCGCTTCTTGAGCCTCTTGGGCTTTGGCTTGGGCTTGGACCTTGACGAAGCTTTGGAGGAGGAGGAGGAAGACTTGACGGGAGCTCTGAGCTGAGCCTCGAGGCTGGATTCGATGGACTTTTGGCGCTGAGCTGCGAGACGCTCTTCGATGATGCGACGGCGCTTTTCCTCGGGTAGCGCATTCTTGGAGTTGTAGCCCGAGAGGGCAGCGATGGGATCGCGAGGCTCTGCAGAGGGTTTTGGTGGTGCAGCGACCTTCTTCTTGATGGTGGTGACCGTGACGGCTGGCACGGATGGTTTGGCCTTTTTGGTCTGGGTGGAGTGTGTGCTGGGGCTGGAAGCGGCTGAGGCGGCCGAGGAAGCCGGTTTGGAAGAGGAAGAGGAGGAAGCGGCCGCCTTGCCGCCAAAGAAGTTGATCATGGCGCACGCTGTTGCTAGTGGAGATGCATGGATGGAGACGCAGCGATGGTGCGAGCGGAGACGTGCCGAGAGTCGCAGATGGGATCCGCCGAGACGGATGAGCGGGGATGTCCGAGAATGAAATCTATGCAGGTAGGATCCGAGGTCGATGAGTTGTACAGAAGATGACGATGCGGAAGAAAGGTGGAGTTGCGTCTCTGTGCGGAATGCAAGTTTGACGGGCGCGCGGCTGCAGAGCGAGCTGCCCTGCATTTCGAGTGTTGGCCGCATCGACTTTCGAGTTTGCCTTCTGCGCGTGTTGCTTTGGAGCCCGAGGAGGTCGCACGACTTTTCCGCATGGCTCTTTCGTGCGAGACGAAGCAAATGCAACCGCTCCAGGTTGTTAGGCCTCGACTGAGGTGGAGCCTCTTTTTTTAGACTCGAATGGCGAGCGAGGATGCATGGATGCGGGCACTCTAACGGCGCTGCTCCGTGCACGTTGGCTTGCCTTGCAAGGCGTTGGAAGGCAGCTGCTGTGCCTGGCGGATGGCATTGCGCTTGACTGGAAATGTGGGCGTTTAGAGCTGAGCTGCAGCCTCCACGCTGTCGTCACTTTTACCTCGCTCGCTATCACGTCTTCTGCTTCTCCCTCTACCATCCGCACACCCTCTCTCATTGCCAACTTCCCTCCACATCCTCACCGGCACCATGGCGTCGTCACAACCGCAAACCGTGCCATGCGCCTACAAGACCGGCCGCACGCTCGGCCAGGGCACCTATGCCGTCGTCAAGGAGGCCGTGCACATCAAGACCGGCCAGTACTACGCTTGCAAGGTCATCTCCAAGAAGCTCATGGAGGGCCGCGAGCACATGGTGCGCAACGAGATCGCCGCTCTCAAGCGCGTCTCCCAGGGTCACCGCAGCATCGTCACGCTCATCGACTACTTTGAGACCATGAACAACCTCTACCTCGTCACCGACCTCTGTGTGGGCGGCGAGCTCTTCGACCGCATCTGCGAACGCGGCAACTACTACGAGAAGGATGCCGCTCACATCGTTCGCACCATCACCGACGCCGTCGTCTATCTCCACAACCAGGGCATCGTGCATCGCGACCTCAAACCCGAAAACCTGCTCTTCCGCGACAAGACCGAACACTCGGATCTGCTCATCGCCGACTTTGGTCTCAGTCGCGTGGTGGATGACGAGAAGATCACCGTGCTTTCCACAACGTGCGGTACACCCGGCTACATGGCCCCCGAGATCTTCAAGAAGACGGGTCACGGAAAGCCCGTCGACATGTGGGCCATCGGCGTCATCACCTACTTCCTCCTCTGTGGATATACCCCCTTCGACCGCGATACCACCATGGAGGAGATGCAGGCCATCATCAACGCAGACTACCGCTTCGAACCAAAAGAGTACTGGCAAGACGTTTCGGATCAGGCCAAGCACTTTATCAACCAGCTCCTCACGATTGATCCTAGCCAACGTCTCACCGCCAAGCAAGCGCTTGAGCATCCTTGGCTCCAGACTGTCGCTCCCAACGCAGACGCTCCAGCGGCTACCGATGCGCAGAAGGATCTGCTCCCAGATATCAAGTCGGCCTTCAACGCAAAACGAACCTTCCGAAAGGCGGTCAACGGCATCCGCCTCATCAACAGGTTGAGAACAAACGAACACGTCCCCGACAAGGACGAAATCGAAAAGTTACGCCAGTCCATCCGAGATGCAGAAGACGAATCCAACAACCTCGATCAAGTCATGCCCTCTCAATAGTCCCCTTCCACTTGCGTCCATCCTTGCTTTCTTCTTGCCGTAATGGAACTGCTATTCACCACCTTCAATCACACTGCCAATGCGACGAGAATCGGATGCATAGAATAAAAAAAGAAGAAAACATTGTCCGTACGACCACTATCAATGCTCGGCCATGCTCGCGAATCTTGGTCTAGTAGCCAATCCAGCGGTTGCGCAGCCCTTCGAGCCAGCGTCCATACAGCAGATCGGCAATGGGCGAGCGCGGTTGTTCGTCCGGCTGCTGCAGCTTGGCCATCTGCGGCCGCGTGAGGCGCTGCCGGAATGTCGTCGACAGATTCTCACGCGCCTGCTCGTTGTCGTTCATGCTCAGCAGCAGGTCTACGATCGTCGAGTACGCCAGCCGCGAGTTGAGCAGGCTCAGGTCCTCAAAGCCCTTGGCGATCATCTCGAGCGCCTCAACCTCGCCCGCCTCGAGCTCCTGCGCCTTGGCACGCTCCATGACGGGCAGGATCACGTCCTTGACCAGATTCTCCCCCGCCGTCGCGTGCGCCTGCGCTGTGCTGCTCGAGCTCGCCAGCGCAGACCGCGAGTGGCGCAGCGCCCGCGGCACCGCCTCGGCGAGCTCGCCCGACTTCTCCAGGCCCGAAGGCGCAGAACCGCTGCGTAGGCTGCCGATGTACTGCTGGCTCAGCTTGGCCGATCCGCCTGCGTCGAGCCGACGTACGGGACGCAGCGTCTCGAGCCCGTTGGCCACATCGCCCTCCCGCAGCACTGTGCCGTTGATGTCGTTGCGCTCGTTCCAGCTGCTGCGCCGCGGGCGACTGTCTGGACGCGAGGCCGACGAGGCGGCAGAGCCGTTTCGGCTGTGGCTCGGAGACGCTTTGCCGTCGCGCGCGCATCGGATGTGCTGCGTCGCGGTCGAGCCCGCATGCGAGGAAGCCATGGTGGCTGCGGCCGTAGCAATGTCCACGCTGCTCTCCGCCAGCCCGCTCGCCGACGGCGGCGCCAGGTGCGATGCCGACGACGCAGCCGCGGCGTTCTTGCCGATCCCGCTCGCCGCGTAGCGGTCGCGCGCGTCCGAAGGCTGCATGCCCCGGAACGACGCGCAGAGCGCATCCACGTGGATCGACTCGCGCGCCTTGTCCGCTGGCGTCGACGGGCCGGACGCCGTAGAGGTTGCGAGTGTGCTCGAGGAGCGGCTCAGCGCGTCGCTGCTCGTATACGCCTCGGTGGAGAGGTCCGAGATGTCGTCCTGGTCGCCGTTGGCCGCACGCAGCACGCCACCGCGTCGCGGCGTGTGCATCGCACTGTCGACTGCCTCCATGAGCTGGCCCGCGGGCCGCGCGCCGCGCACCGTGTCGTAGCCCGCGCGATCCTCGCCGGTCGCGGGCGGACCGCGGCTCCTAGCCCAGGTAGCGAGCGCATCGGCATCGTCATCGCCGTCGCCATCCGGATCGTCGTATACAGACATGCGCGAACGCATCGTGTCGAACTGCCACTCGCTCATGATGGTGCTGCCGCCGATCGTGGACTCGGATGCATCGACGCCGCGCAGATGGTCGCGCACGATGGCGCCTCCGCGCGTGGCGCCGCGCGCCTTGTACTCGTGGTGCTTCTCGATGAGCTCGGTGAGCAGCACGGTCTTCTTGGCATACTTGATGAAGCGATGCGAGAGTAGCTCTTTGGTCGAGGGTCTGTGCTTGGGATCCTTGATGAGACAGAGGTCGACAAAGTCCTTGAAGGCGGACGAAAAGTTGCCCTCGAGCGTTGGTGACTTGGCCTTGGGGATGAGGAAGAGCACGCGCATCGGATGGTACTCGGCCAACGGTGGCTCGCCCTTGGCCATTTCGATCGCGGTGATGCCGAGCGACCAGATGTCGGCCTTGTAGTCGTAGCCTGCCTGACGGATCACCTCGGGCGCCATCCAGAAGGGCGTGCCGACAAACGTGTTGCGCCTCGACTTGTTGTTGGACAGCTGCGCCGCCACACCAAAGTCGGCGAGCTTGACCTTGCCACTGGCGGAAAGGAGCACGTTGGCGGCCTTGATGTCACGGTGGATCTTGCCCTCGTTGTGGAGGTACTCGAGGCCGAGCAGCAGCTCGCGGCAGATGATGGCGATGTGAGCCTCGGAGAAGGGCCCGGCCTTGAGCAGGTCGAGACACGAACCGCCTGCGAGGTACTCCATGATGATCCAGAGCTTGTAGCCCTTGACAAAGCTGCCGTAGTAGCGTGTGACCCACTCGCTGTCGCACTGGGCGAGGTGTGCGATCTCCTGCTGGATCTCGCTGATGTCGTCGTCCGAGTCCTCGAGGTCGACTTGCTTGATGGCGACGATCTGACGCGTCTCCTTGTGCATTGCCTTGTAGACGGTGCCGAAGGAGCCGGCGCCGATCTTTTCGAGCAGCTCATACTGTTCCGAGAGCTCCTTGCCCGATGCGATGGGCTTGGGCGGTGAGCGGGAGAGGCTGCTGGGCCCTGCGACGGCTGGTGATGGTAGTGGCGACGCCGAGCTGGTTCGTGTGGGCGGCGAGGGGCTGGTCTCTCGCAGCGCTTTGCGCGAGCCGAGCAAGGGCGACCTCGACGGTAGCGCTAGGTTGGGCATGCTGGAATGTGGTTTGTTGGGTTAAGTCTAGGGCCGTATAGGCATAGGGAGGCGAGAGGCACCTCGGAGGAGTCGAGCGAAACAAGCCGGAAGCGTGTCGACAAAGCTGGGCTACGAGACCAGGATGCCGAGCTGAGACGGAAGCAAGACGCACGCGCTATGAAACGAAGCTAGAAATCGTAGATAGGTCCGAGAATAAACAGCGTAAGAGGGTCGTGATAGAATCGTAACGGATGTAGGGCAAGAGCGAGGACGACGGTGATGGCGAGGTGCACCGGATGGGCAGCTGGTTGCAGACGGTGGTGGTGGGAGGAGAGCGATAGAAGTCGGTGGTGAGGATGCTGTCGACGCGGATGCAAGGCAGAGCGAGGCTAGCGGGAGCGTGTGATGCGAGTCGTGTCGAGTCGTGTCCTGTCGTGTCGAAGCGTGTCTGGCGATGCGAGGAGACGAAGAGAGGAGGAGTGTGGAGAGAGTGACGGAGCGGAGTCAGGGACGAGAGGGGGAGAGTTGGGTCAGTTGTGGATAGGAGGAGGAGGRGCGAGGAAAGCGAGTGGGAAGGAAGGTGGGCGGGGAGGAGCAGCAAGGAGTGGGTTCGAGAGGGGTCCCGAGACGGGCGTCACTACCACCGGCTGTACCGACAAAGTTGCCAAGCAGGGTCAAAGTGGATGATGCGGTTGGCAGCTTCAGTCGCCGCCGCCTCCTTCGACGCCGTTCTGCTGCTGCTTCTCTGCGCTGGCTTCGCCCTGCCTTTTGCTCAGCGAGGGCGAGGGCGAGGGCGAGATGAGGCGAACTTTACGGAGCGGTGCTGCGGCTGCGGCTGCTGCGGGCGCTTGGCAGAAGGTGAGTCGAGAGCCGGATGAAGCGACGAGCAAGAGGCGGCGGCGGCGTCGAGTGGGGTGTGATGCGCATAGGACGGCCGCTTCATCGGAGCTTGGTTGCGTGCAGCTCCACAGCCGCCTCGACTTTCCTCTCTCGATTCTCCCACGGCGGAGGCGGCGGCGGCTCGCTGCGAAATCACAACAACAACACCCACTCAAAAAGCCAAAATAAAATAATAATAAAATAATAAAAAAGGGAAAAGGAAAAAGTCAATGAAATCATCGCGGCTAGCCAGCGGCGAGTGGGTTGGGTTGGGGGGGCAGCTCAGGAGTCAACGGCGATGCACGCGGAGGGATCGCCCGCGTGCATTTGCGAATTTAAAGCCCCTGAATGCGTGAGAGAGCCCGAACCCATGGGCAGTCCCTCGCCCGTTTGGGATTCGATGTCGCCCCACCTTGGACGCTTTATTTTTCCGGCTTTAAGGCTGCATCCGCCTGCCCGCGCTCTCTCGCAAAAAAGGGAATTTCCGCGAATATTCCTTTTTATTTTGAATTTTGATTTTGCGAGGCAAAACACGCAGAATCGAGGCGTGCAGTGCAGGCTTCGGTGCTGCGGCTGCAGGTTTCAGAGGCGTGTTGACGCTGCGGCTTGGGGTTCGAGTCGTATCTACGCTTGCACCTCTCGTGCAGCCAACAGCATGCGGTGCGCTCCATTAGGCAGGTGGCTGCCACAGAAGACTCACAAAGAAGGCTGCTCCCTGAGACATGGCCTGCAGCATCCACAGCCGCAGCCTCTTTTCTCTGCTGCCGCCACCGCATCCGAGCAGCGGTCCCGTCGTGCTGCGGCGGTGCACCCGACGCTCGGAGCCGGTCCACCGGGGAGAGCCTAATCTGAACAATGGGCTTAAGTTACTGAGCCACAGTCCTGGCTGACATGCAGGGGTTTGGAAATGTGGACGCTTTCGCTGCGTTTGGGTCGGCGCTGCTGCCCGACGGGAGCTGAGGTGGTGTAAGCTTGCCTGACCACTGAGCGCATGGATCTTCCAGACGCTCTGCATACGCATGTCAGGAACCGAGCCATTCCAGAAAAGCATTGATGGCCTGATGACGATACATGCTCGGTCTGGATTCCATCGACATTGCTGCAGCTCGAGGAGTAACGTGCAGCTTGCATGACGAGGCTCGCGTGTCCAGCTTCAAAATGTCAGCATAACGCCGCCATTTCTCCGATGGCCTGCAGACGAGAAAAGCCGACTGAATCCAAGCGAAGATTGCTAGCATGGGAGCCATGCCTTCTTCCAACCGAGTCCGTCTCTAGACAATGAGCATCTGTCCAGGTCGTAAAGCAAAGCACAAGCACCGTTTCATATTGGCGAGGTTTGAGCGGAGCAGGTGCGGCATGGAGTCCACGCTCTAGCGTCAGGGGTCACTCGGGCATGTGCAGCAAGCTCCGCTCAGTGAGAGAGGGAGCATGAGCCTCAATTCCGGCGTTCGGGGAAGCCGATGCCCACAAAGCATCTTCGATGGCCAAGTCTCTAGACTGGCTCGGGGATGCAAAGCCGGAGGCAAGAACCCTGGCGCGGGAGGGACGGGAGGCAAAAGGCAGGAACAATACGACGCCCAAGGACCCGGATGTGCACCGATGCTGTCTCAGATGTGCCCACCGCCCACCGTGCTATCGAGACGAGACACTGGCCCTGCATCGGCGTTGATCCGGGACATATCAGACGAGCAGGCTTTTCGAAAGCACGCCGATCGCGCCGGTCATCCCACTCACGTCACACACATCAAGGCGACAGGCGGCGACAGGGTCTGAAAGATGTCACCGAAGCTGTCTCACCGTCACATTGTTCGACTACGCCCATCGACGATGCCGACAACATCGTCCAGGCGGCACAAAGTTTTCTGTCAGACACGAGTCAGGTTAAGCGGGGGTCTGGGAAGATTTGTTCGTATGCTGACCGAGAGGATAGGGGTGTGTGCAGCGTCATTGGCCGCTCTTCTTGCTTCGGCTCCCACACGGGCTCGCAAGCTCACGCCTATGCCAGGGCAGCCGAGTGCAGGGCCACATCTAGACTGCCTAGCGTCGTTCGGGTGGGTCCCGTGAAGCTTGTCAAATTTGGCAGGTTGACAGCGCTCGGCTAAGCGTGTGTCGACGTGCCAAAAAAATCTCGTAGCCCCTGAAATTGCCCGGCAGCCTCCCACCAGCTTGGATCTGGAACGCCCGGCTGCACTTCGCATGCAGCTCACCCCTAATTGGTCTCCGCCGCGTCATAGGGCTTAAAGTGCGGGCAACCAGCCCTTACCTACAAAACAGCGTGCGGGTTCCGAGCATGCTATAGAGGGCCGCTGCTGCTTCGTTCCGAGCTGGTGGGTTATCGGGAGTTGCAACCTCGTGCGGCATCGGGTCGCTTCGGCCGACAAGCCGCAGCTGCGCCTGCCCAGCCTGCTATCGCTTTCGAGGCAACTCGGTTTAGCGCTCGCTGATGCATCTATGCGATAACTTAGGGCAACGTCAAGTTTATCCTTCAACCGGTGGTGCATGCGGATGGCGAGGATCCACTACGTTGGAAACGGGCCTTACCCGCGTCGACCACTTGACAGGCAGATATGGATGCATCATCAAATAGAGCTCTATCAGCTCCGGTCCCTGAACTGAGCAGCCGTTCGGATTCATGGCGGATAAACGAGCCGATCGAAAATGCTTCTGACATGCTGAGGAAAGTGCTGGAACAGGCTTCTCGATACGGAAGCACGTCGGACTTTTGGGCGGGATCGACGTCGTGTCGCAACACCCTTGCTCAGCACGTCGGGGTCTTGTCGCTCCGCCAACCGCGCTGCAATCCAGTCCGCTGGTTCGTGGCTGCTAACGGATATGTTGCCAATGGCTCCAAGTTGGCCGGTCCACGATCTTGGTCGCCGAACCGCCATCATCGCTGCGAGCATCATTCGGCCACAGCGACCGACACCTTCAAACTCCTCGACTTTATCATTTTCATATCATTTCTCATCCCATTTTCCCGACCCTTTTATGCGATTCTTTTTCCCGCCCTGATTGCGAGAAAGGCCTAACATGCTTCGAAAAAAAAGTTGGCCCTGGACCCTGAATCCTGAATCGCCGCTTGGGCCTCCGTCCAACACCTGCCGACTACATTTACCCACTCTTCCCACTTCCATCGCAGAACCATGCGGCAACGCCTCATCAAGCTAAGTGTTTTGGATTGACAGCTCATCAGCCCGTCAAGATGCCAGCTGCATCCACGCCCGCCCGGAAGCGAGCCAAGCTCGCTGACGCATCACTTCCTGCTGAAGCAGAAGCCTCGGGCTCCGAAAGCCCCGCGCCTCGCAGCCGGCGAAGGGCGGCAGCACAGGCGCTCGCAGGCATCCATGCTGCATCCACTGCGCCGAATCAAGACGATGCAACCGACGAAAGCGCATCGCCCCGACCTGCGACGCCCGTTAAGACGCCGAGCAGTGCAAGACGGAAGGGCAAAGCGAAAGCGAAAGCAGACGACGACTACGACGACGATGCTTCGCCTCGAGTTGCGACGCCTGCCAAGACGCCGCGCAAGGGCAAAGGGAAAGCGGCAGAAGACGACTATGACGACTATGACGACTCTGCCGACGATGCGGCCGAGGCGGGCGGCAAAGACCCGGACCTGGAGATCTACAGCCAGCACGGCGCGCTGAGCACATTGCTGCGGGCGCAGCTCAAGACGAACCGCGCGCGCTCGCTGCGTCCGCTCTGGATGCAAGGTGTGTACCAGCCGTCGTTTCTCGGTGTACCTCCTTCGGACCTCTCGTCGTCCGTGCACGACAACGACGGCGATGCACAGCCAGAAGAAGTGCGCAGCCGCGAGGATGCGTTGCCGTGGCCTCGCGACGGGCTGGTCAGGACCGCGCTCGACCCGCTCGCGTACCCGGTGATCAAGAAGAGCCTCATGAGCTTCTGGACGAGCCAGCCAGGCTGGGTGCCGCGCGAAGGCATCTATGACTGGGGCTGGTACCCGGGCAAGGCGGTCGGATATGCGCAGAGCCAGGAGAGGGCCGAGTGGGCCGCACGCGCGCGCGAGCAGCTCCGACGCGGTGCTGGCACTACGAATGAGGTGAAGCTGGGCGAACGCGCAGGCTGGCCATTCGTTCAGCCGTGGCTGGATGTGCAGCGAGAGGTGCTGTCCGACGAGGCGGCGGCGCGGTTTGTTCGCGATACGCACACGCCGCAGCGCGCACCACTGCACCACCCTACGACGGTCATGAAGCTCACGGTGCCCGAGCTGAGCATGCGCACGCGCCTCAAGCAGCCGCCCAAGGTCAAAACCGAAGCTCCGGATGATGACGACGACGACGTCGAAGAAGGATCCGCGCTCGATGCGAACCAGCAGCCGGTCGACGTGGCCGACGCGAAGTTCAGCGGGATCGCCAATCTGGGCTTCAAAGAGGCGGGGCCGGTGTGCGGCGAGGTGCTCGAGGTGTGCATGGGTGCATCGGGGCGCGAGACACCCGTGCGCATCGCGCGCGGTACTGCACACAGGCTCGATGCGCTCGGCGTGGTGCCTGACGAGGGACACGTCCTCAACGCAGGTGGACACGTGTATGCGCTCGCGTGGGCGCCTGTTCCCATCCACCTCAATTACGGACGCGAGTTCCTGGTGGTCTCCGCCTCGCCTGGTGCACCGCTCACGTACATCGGCGACAAGCAGCCCGCATGCGCAGCGAGTCTGCAGCTCTGGAGTGTGTCGCCCGACACCGAACACTCCAAGGGCACAGCCCGGCTCGAGATGGTCATTTGCCATGAGGCCGGGGCAGCCTTTAAGCTCGCCTGGTGTCCGGTGGGGCACGACCACGCGAACGGCGCGCACGAGGGTAGGAGGCTGGGGCTGTTGGCGGGCTGTTTTGCCGACGGGAGCGTGTCGGTGTTCAGTGTGCCGCATCCGGACAGCTTGCAGAGCGGGGCGGGGCCGGTGCATGTGCGTGTGGAGCCGGTGGTGCGTCTGGAGCACGCGCAGCAGGCGGCTACGAGCCTGGCGTGGGCGGGAGGTGAGCTTCTTGCGCTCGGCGGTGCACGCGGGTGGATTGGTGTGTGGAACGTTGGCCGAATCCTGCGTTCTCCCACACCGCCCAGAACGCCGCTCATGCCGGACTACGGCGTGCGTGCGCATCGATCAGCGGTGATGGATATGACCTTCGTGCTGATGCCGCCGGTGGATGCTGATGGGCGCGCACAGACGGATGGGCTGCCAATGTCGCTGTTTACCGTCGGGGCGGATGGATGGACTGCGCTCGTGGATCTTTCCCGCGCATCGGCGGTGGCACTTGAACGGTCACGCACAGTGCACTACGCATGCGCCTGGGCGCCGTTCACGTCTTCGCTAGTACACGAGCATGCAGACGGGTCGTTGAACCACTACAGCATGCGGCCCGAAGAGATGCTGCGCTCGCGACTCGTCTCCAACACTCCGGCGCGCGTCACCTCACTAGCCGCCTCCACGTTCCATCCCGTCGTGGCGATCGGGAGTGCACATGGAGAAGTCAAGCTCGCCAACACCCTCCGCACGCTCAGACGCACAGTGCGCGTGCACACACCCGTGTACCAGATGGTCCTCGACCGCTCAACAGGCAAACTGGTGGTGAGACACCATCTTGTGCCAGAACTGGCTAATGCCGCAGAGGCCAAGAGGTGGCATATCGCTCAGTGGCATCCGTGTCTCGCCGTGACCGCGGTGCAGTGGAACCCCAACATCGGCCGCGCAGGACTGCTCGCATCAGGCACCGCGGTGGGCATGGTCAAGATCGATTTCACAGCACCACCAATGTGAATACTAGTCGGGAAGGGGTGGTCGTTTGCAGCGCGAAAACCAGCGCAGGGGAATCGAGCGCGAGCGCGGCAGCTTCGCCTCGGTCTTGGGCTCGATTGGCAAGGGAGCGGGAGTGGGAGCTGGAGCGGGCTTGGGGTGTTGCTGGGGGGTGCGGGTGGGGACGGTGAGTGCGTGGGCTAGGTCCGGCGGTAGATGGGTGACTGCTCTGCGCGGCTTGAGGACGGGCATGGAGCGGCGTGTTCGCATGGGTGCATGCCCCGCATCGTGCGCCAAACCTTTCCCCACTCTTCGAATGGCCACCGTCGGTGCAGCTGCCAACGTGTTGGACTCGATTCTTGGCGGACGCGTGGTGGTGGGGGCTGTTCTCGGTTTGCGTCTCTGCGGCGCATCGGGTCGCAAGGACGGTGAGCCTCTAGCCTGAGCCAGCGCCGTCTGGTCGCGCGATACAATGCTATCCCTCGCCCTTTCCACCACAGCCGTCTTGCGTGGGAGACTGTGTACGCGCCTCACTCGACCGCTGGACTGCGTGCATTCGTTGAGTTTGAGTTGCACAGCGGTCATCGGGATGACGAGTTGGGCGTCGGGACGTGTCCACTGCGTGGCGTGCGTGCGCGTGTGGAAGTAGTAGCTGCATCCCGATTGGGCATCTGTCAATTGCCACCACTGACCATCCTCTGAGGGCGGGAGAACCATAGAGCCCTGTGGTAGTGTCCAGCGACACTCGCCCGTATCCGGATTGGCAAAAAATCGATCCCCCCCACAAGGGTCTTGAACCACACACCAAAAGTTGGCCCCCCAACTTGTTCCCTCTTCGTTTTGTTCGCGACTTGGTGCAATGGCAGTGTATGTCGAATCTGTTGAGCGACTGCTTGATGCGTGGTGGACAGGTGAGGGTGGGCAGGTGGCTCGGACGGGCGTACACGTCGAAACGCTAGCCGTACTTACGCGCGACTGCGTCCGAAGCCCATTTGGCAACCTCTTCACCTCGAAGCCCAAATCCTGATGTGAGCCGAGGTTGGTTTCCACCGTGTGGAAGCTCACACTCCCCACGGAAGGCGTAGCCCCATACCCTGTATCAAACGTCTCCATACCCCCTCCATTCCAACCAAGTCCCTCCCAGCTTGGCCACGGTCGAGGTCGAAAAAGCACGGCTGGACAAAGGCTCTTGAACCGCCGGCGTTGGATGTCAAGAGGCAAGGTACAAACCAACGCAATCACTTGACACTCTTTGCACTTTGCGCGCAGACTTTCCACACCCTCAGTCCCACGCACACAACCAATCCACGCTAAGGCGCACTGACAATGGCCAACCGTGCATGGCCGCAAAAAAAAAGTCGGTGGGTCTTCGTGCATGCCCAACCCACGCTTATGCACGCGGGCGTCAAAAAGCCATGCATCACTCACTCCAACCGAGCCCCCTCCCCTTCCCTCACATCACAAGGTGATTACACAGGGGCCTCCCACAGCCCGCATGCATCCCTACAACCTCCACACTAACAGCCCACAACGAACCACGAGACAACAATGAATCTTCGACATTGGATGATAGTACAGATTGACAGGAGATCAACGAAACTGGGAAACTCGATTCGATCCGAATTGTGGGGAGAAAAAAGAGGAGAAAGAGAGAGAGAGAGAGAGGAAGGAAGAAAGGGCGAGAGAGAGGGCTTAGGCCTGCTGCTGCTGCTGCATCATGTGCGGCGGCAGAAAGCCTGCATGCCCGTTGAGATGTGCGTGCGCCGAGTGCTGCTGCTGCTGCTGGTCGCTGCTCGCACCGCTGCTGCTCGTCGAGAGCGTGGCGGCAATGTGGTCGAGCAGCGCCTGGATCTCGGCGGGCGCACGCGGCAGACGGTGTCGCTGCGTCTTCATGAGCTCGATAAACGTCACGAGCAGACCCCACGGATGCGGGCGGTTGATAATGAGCCGCTCGAGCAGCACGCGCAGCATCTGCTCGCGCACCAGCTCGTCGTCGCTCTCGCCAAACAGCTGCAGCAGCGCCGACGAAAAGTACGCCGTGTGGCTCGACGGGAAGCGCAGCTGGTTCGCCGCCGCCGTCAGCACCACAAACCGCGTCTCGGGCTCCGACTCGGCCACCAGCCAGCGCAGCACCGCAGCGCCGCCATCCTCGTTGCCACTGCGGCGCGACTCGATCGAGCGCACGCCAAGGTACAGCACAGTCGAGTTGATCAGTCCGGCGTTGACGTTACTCGCAGCGTGCGCGCCAGCAGCCTCGTCCTTGCTCACGCCGTTGCTCGTGGCGGCTGCCTTGCTCGTGACCTGCTTGAGCAGTCCCACGAGCTGCTCCGGCAGCTCGCTGCCGCGTGGCTGCTCGACGAATGCGTCGATGGCGCCGCGCAGCCCCTCCACCTGCTCGAGTGCCGCGAGGTAGTCCGAAGCGATGCGCGGTGCCTGGGCCACTTCGGGCAGCATCGACATCTGCAGGTTGGCGCCAAACGGATCCGGCAGGCGTCGGTTGCGCGGGAAGGCGCTCAGGATGATGTTGCGCAGCTGGATGCACGATGTCGGCACCAGGTCGCACAGGCTCTGGTGGTAGTCGCACAGGAACTCGGGGAAGTCGTGCAGCAGGATGAGCAGGATGCGCAGCGTGCCGCGGTACAGCTGGCGCGACGTGTCCTGCAGCTCGGCATTGCGCAGCAGCGGCGAGAGGAAGCGCAGCAGCGACGCAAACAGCCGATGGAACGCGCCCCAGCCCTCGCGCTCGTTCGCCTCGAGCAGCTTGGGCATGAACAGTCGATGCGACACCAGCGACATCCACGAAAACGTAAAGCCGGGGAAGAACGACGGCTGCAGCGTGTTGAGCGTGTTGCTGATGGCCAGCAGCGACTGCACGTACGCGTGGCCGAGATTCGACTCGGCGGCGTGCAGGTCGTGCAGCAGGCTCGAGAACAGTCGGAAGAAGGGCTTCTGCTGGAAATGCACTCCGAGCTCTTCGTGCGACTGCGCCAGCACCAGCACCACGATCGACAGGATCTTGGTCAGGTAGTGCACCTTGGCCTGCTCGTTGTTGGCGCCCGTCGGGTCGGCGTGGTACTTGATCATCAACACAATCAGACGCGAGAAGGCGTCGATGGGCGAAAAGATGCCCGTGGCGGGCGAGCCGCCCACCGCCTTCTGCTTGATGTAGCTGTCCACGCTCACCTCGGTGCAGACGCGGAAGAACATCGACGAGATGTCCTCGCCCTTGAGGATGCCCTGCGTCTGCAGCTGCGTGACGTAGTCGATGAACGACTTTTCCGGGTTGGGCGAATGCTGGAACAGACGCGCCCACTCGGCAAAGCAGTACGCCAGCTGCTCGCGCAGCGCCGTGTTGCCGATGTCCACCTTGCTCTTGAGCAGTCCGCTCTCCAGATCGTGCAGGAAGCGCTTCGACGCCTCGGTGTCCTTGCTGCGCTGGCCGGCTCGCTGCAGCGCCTCGATCGTGTGCGTAAGCTGCTGGCGCGTGGCGCAGGCAGGCTCCTGAAGGCACTCGAGCGCAAGCTGGGCCGAAAAGTCGATCACGCTCGCGCGGAAGTCGCGCAGGATGAGCTTGGCCAGCTGCACATCGAGCTCGGCGATGTTGACCAAGCCTGCGCGCACCAGCGCCACGGTGACGGGCACGTTGAACTTGCGCTCGTCCTCGGCGTAGATGAGCCAGGCGGTCACTTCGCGTGCTGCCTTGAGCGAGATCTCGCACAGCCTGTCGAGCAGCACCACGTACACCTCGCGGCCGAGCTTGGACTCGATCTTGAAGAGCAGCTGCACCACCTTCTGCGAGAAGGCCAGCGCCGTCTCGTCGCGGCTGGTCGACTGCGCCGCCACCAAGGGGATCAGACGGAGCGCATGGCGGATCTCGTGATCCTGCGACAAATCGGCGAGGCCAGAGTCGCGGTCGGCGGCATCGAGCAGGCGCTCCAGCTCCATCATGCCCTGCGAGAACTTCTCGAGCGACTGCTGCGCGCTCAGCGTGGCACCTGCAGCCATGGGAAGCAGGCCGGACGGGACACCTGCGTTGGCGTCCTGCAGTGCAGCAGCGCCAGGGGCAGGCGCTTCGGTGAAGCCGGCCTCGGATCGTCCGGAAACCGACGATGCGTGGACCGAAGCGGGCGTGCCTCGATCTGCGTCGGCGCCGGGCGACATGCGACGGCTGAAGCCATCGTAGACGCGCAGCTGGGCGGGATGGAGGCCGTCGGGTCGGAGGCGAAGCATGTCCGGTAGTGTTGCGGCGTACTGCGAGGCGGCCAGGGCGGCGCTGTCCCAGTAGTAGCCGCGACCGCGGGTGCGATGCTCGCGTCGGCTCGTGTAGGCGTTGGTGAGGCCCTCGTCCACCTCGGGCACGGCCTTGTCCATGGCGGCCTTCTCGATGACCGAGCAAGCCAGGTCGAGATTCTCCTGCATGATGACCATGAGCGCCTGCTCGGGCAGGTTCTGCTCGGTGAAGCCGTTGGAGAGGAGCAGGGTGCGTGCGTTGGCCACCATGCTGATGCGCAGGGGCTCCTTGCACGTCACCATGGCCAGGCTTCCGGCGAGGTTCTGCGCCATCTGATGAGCCGAGGCACGCATCTTTTCTTCGTCGCCCTCCATGGCAAAGTCCTTGGTGACGAGCTCGCGCGTCGAGATGGACGCGATGGTGACGGAACGCTCGACGACGGGCGCGATGATCTCGCGGATGGCGCGGTCGATGGCCACAAAGATGAGACGCTTGAGTGCAGCGTTGTTGGCAAACATGGTGAGCTGCGGATTGAACACCACATACTGAGGCAGGCTCTGCAGCATCGAGACGAGCGTCTCGGTGTAGGCGGCGACGGCGGCAGCGGACTGGCCTGGCTGTGCGCCCGATCCGGCGGCGGCGACGGCGGCAGCGGCAGCGCTGGCCTTTTGTCCTTGCGGGGCCATGCGGCCTCCGGCAGCGGCGCCGTAACCTCCAGCGATCGAGAGACGTTCGAGGTCGTGCGCGATGCCTGTGGCGGGCTGCTGCTGGAGCTGCTGCTGGTGTTGGCGCTGCTGCTGGAGCTGCATCTGCGCCGCCACTTGCTGCTGCTGTTGCTGGCTGAGATGCTGCAGCTGACCGGTCGACTGGTGCTGCTGTTGCTGCTGTTGCTGCTGCTGTTGCTGTTGCTGCAGAAGGTCGCCCGTGGGTCGGTTGCGCAGGATGGTGGTGGGAGGCACATCCTTGAGCTCGACGTTGAGGCCTTTGAAGAGCACCTCGATCTCGAACTTGAGGTTGAGCTTGAGTTCGGCAAACTGGTAGAGTTCCACCATGAGACGCAGGACGGCCATGAGCCAGGGGTTGGGCGGCTTGAAGACGTTGGACTTGGCGCACTGCTCCATCACCTTGCAAACGAAGGGGATGGCGACGATGAGGCGGTTGCTGTCGTAGCCCTGGATGAGGAGGTCCTTGAAGGCGATGTTGCGGTGGCGGATGGGCTTGTCGCGGGCGAGCGTGAGGCTGCCGAGCCAAGAGCCGAGGTTCTTGAGCAGGTTGCGCTCCTGCGTCGACTGGACGGTCTTGTCGCTGTTGAGCAGCATCTGGCACTTTGCGAGCGTCTCGTGCAGGATGTGCGCCATGAGACCCTTGGCTTCGAGGCCGTCGAGGAACTGGGCGTAGAGGCCGTGGTTGTTGGGCTCGATGCTGATGCGCTGGAGCACGAGGTAGTTGGAGAACCAGCGGTGGATGTCGGCGGTGATGAGACGGCGGGCATCGCCGAGCTTGGCGTCGACGTTGCTGGGCGAGAGGTTGTTGACGAGGAAGAGGAGCTTGTCGGACACCTCTTCGCTCGGGTCGTGCTGCTCGATGTCCTGGGGCGGCGCGTCGGCGCGAATGGCGGGGAAGGGAGCCTTCTTGTCCTCGAGCGACTGACCTCCGGGCATGCCGACATCGGCGCCAGGCAGCTGGCCGGCGAGGGCCATCTTGACGAGGCGGATGATGTTGGGATACGACTGCTGGAGGTGAGGCATGGAGAGGAGGGCCTGGCAGAGCTGGGGCCACTCGGGCAGGCGGTTCTGGAAGCGCAGCAGCGCCTGCAAGCCGAACTTGAACATGTTGGAGTCGGACGGGTTGCGCAGCGCATCGAGCACGTAGCGGATGGCGATGCCGAGCGGGATGTAGTCGATGAGCTGATACTGGATGAGCGAGCCGAAGACGACGGCGGTCATCTCGAGCTCGCGCGGAGGGTAGTACATCTCGAACCAGCGGTACTCGTCGAAGAGGGTGTGGACCATGCAGGCAAAGATCTGGTGGTCGCGCACGTTCTCGGAGGCCTTGGTGCGCTGGAGGAGGAGGACGATATCTTCGATGCTGATCTTGCCCTCGTACATCTGGCGATACCAGGAGTCGGCCTCCTCGTGGATGTCCTGGGAGAAGGTGACGACCTGGAGGCCGGGTTCCTGGCCCTCTGCGCCGGGTGCAAGGTTCATGAGACGCGGATGGAGCTGGAGGCAGACGTTGCGGACGCCCTTGAAGAAGTCGATCTCCTCGGCACTCATGCTGTCTCCGTTGGAGCGGAGCGCCTTGAGGAAGCTGGCGACGCTCTGTACGGTGAGGGGGACGAAGCTCTGCTCTGCGTGGGGGTCTGGCTTGGCGAGGTCGTCCTTTGCCTTTACGTCGAGGAACTCGAGGACGGCGCGGATAAAGTCGCTGCCGTGGCGGTTGATGTTGTCCTGGAGCCAGGCATCGAGGTCGATGGCCTCTCTGCGCGACGCGAGCGCGGCGACGTCGAGCGCAAAGGCAAAGGGCCTGGCGTCCACAAGGTCGTCTACGATGCCGAGGCTCTGAGCGACATCGACGATGCGGCTGAGGTTGAGCTGATTCTCGAGGTAAAAGTTGCGGAAGGCGTTGAGGAGGTACTCGCGCTGGGTCTTCCAGATGCGGTGAAAGACGAGGTTGCTGTTGTTGTTGGGGGTCATGAACATGGTGAGGAGCTGGGAGGCGAGCTCTGCATGGACGGGATTCCAGGGCTGTGGGATCTGGACGAGGCCGAGGAGGATGAGTTCGGGTGCGGCCTTGATGGCGTGCTCGAGCACCTCCTGGACGGCGGATCGGACGTGCTGCTCGTCGGAGGAGGAGATGTCGATGAGCGTCTCGACGAGGTCGAGCGAGTTGTAGGAGCTGGGCAGGAGGGACTCTGCCTGCTCGCGGACGCTGTTGGGCGCCTCTGCGATGTGGTCCGAGGAGAGGATGCGGCGTCCGGGCAGCGAGGCAAAGCTGAATTTGTCGGAGCCGAGGGCGAGAAGGCCGTGCAGGATCTGAAGCTGGCGGAGGCGGTGAACCCAAGGGCCCCAAAGGCCGGACACGGCGGCGACCTGCGATTGTGCCTGGACGGGAGCGTGGAGGAGGAGGCTTGCCATGCCAGCCATGCGGCCGTGGAAGGAGGGGTTGAAGCCATCGAGTTCGTCGAGGCCGCGCACGACGCGGGGCCAGGAGAGGGTGGGACGGATGGAGGCGATGGCGCGGACGAGGTTGGCAAAGTCGGTGACTCGATCGCTCTCGAAGATGGCGGGATCGACGGAGAGGAGGATGGCGAGGATTTCTGCGACGATGCGCTCGTCTGGGGGGTTTGCGTCGGTGAGGCCGAAGCGCTTGAGGACGGCAGCGGCGGTGTCGACGGTGGGGAGGCTCTTTACGCCGAGCTCGATGAGCAGATCTGCGATGCTCTTGTCCTGCTTGAGCTGAAGCTTGGGGAGGGCGGAGCGAACGGCGTCTGCGGTGGCGTCGGGGCCTACTTTGTCGGCAATGGCGTTGAAGAGGCGCTGACGCTGTGCGGGATGGAGGACGGGGGTGTTGGGAGCGGCATCGGAGAGGAGGGTCTCGAGGAGGAGGGCGTGCTGCTGGGTGGTGACGATGGGCGCGGGGCCGTCGTTCTGAAGCGCGTCGAGGACGAGCTTGACGATGGGCGGGCTCTGGTTGGCATTGTTGGCATCTGCGCCTCCGCCGTTGGGAGGAGCGGAGCCATTGAACATGATGGCCGGCTCGGCGCACGGCCCGGATGGAGGAGCGCTGTCAGAAGCGTTGGGCGGGGGCGGAAGATGGATGGATGGAGAAGGGCGAGCAGCGGTGCTGGACACGAGGCGGTGATGTTGTGCAAAGATGTCGAGCGGTGATCGGGCCGCAAAGGGATGGTGGAGAGCAGGCAGGTACGGCCGAGCGTGGGTGTGCACGTGTGCTTGCGAGGCTTGCAAGGCTTGACACGAGAGCAAGGCCGAGGCTGATTGGAGACGCAAGGATGCCGACACTACGAGGTAGCGAGCGGGTCTATGGAGAGGCTGCCGGCGAACGCTGGATAAAGACAGGAGCGCTGTCGCTGGGAATGGCGCTGTTGGCGTTGATGCACTTCAAAGCCAAGCAGGTGGATGCGACTGAAGAGCTGGCTGCTTGCTCAGGGCGTCCGAGAGGGCGAGTTGATACGGCGCTTGATGCTGCGTCGCTAGCGTGCCGCGCCGATGCAAGTACGAAGCGTGCTGGCGTGCGGTTGAAGCCGTGTGGACGTGCCGGGATGCGCAGCACAGGCACAGGCTGGCCACGGTGCCGAATTGGAGTCGGAGGATTGGCAGATCGGAGGGAGGATATAGCTGATTCCGATCGAGCTTGGCGGGTGGAAGGAAGGATGCGTCGAGAACGACGGCTGCGGGATGGTTGTGAGGAAAGGTGAACGGCTGAGGCGAGTCTGGATGCGAAAGGCACTCGCTCGAAAGGCACACTTTTGGCACGCGCTCCCAGCTGCTGCTGCGAATCCATTCGATGATTGATTGATTGATTCATTCTGGCGTCGACCGCTGGCTGGCGGTGCAGTGACGCTCTGACTGTGAGCCGCTCTGACTGTGAGCCGGACTGCTGTACCTTGGCTCGGGCGTGCGTTGGGGGGCTCTCTCTGCTGGGTTCTGCTGGGCTCTGCTGGGCTCTGCTGGGCTTGATTGGCTGCTGCTGCGGGACTCTCTCGGACTGCAGCTTCTCAGCTCTCCAGCTCTCCAGCTCTCCAGCACTCAACGCCTTGACGCGTGACTGTGGCCGCCCCGCCAGCGCAAAGTTGAATTCGATCATTCACAGCCGCCAATTTCGATTCAAATCCGGGCGCTGCCCTCAAAATTCAACTCTCCAAGCTCAAGATCACTTGCCAGGCCCATCGGGTCGAGCTTCGTGATCGGCGGGCTCTTTTTCCCGACGTGTTAGGACTTGAATATCGTACATTTTCAAAAATTCGCCTCGAGTCGGACGTGGCTTGGATGGACCCTTGGAAGAGCGGCATTCGGCACGCGCATGCCGTTCCCCCCGCAAGCCAGGCCTGCTCCAAGCGAGCTGCTTGTTTCTATGGCACCTCCTGCCATCCCATTCCGGATCATCCACCCATCCCCCTCGATACCCCTCGATACCCCTCAATACCAATAGACATACCTCGATACCCCTTGGAACGACGATGCGATAAACCTCTTCTGCCGGGCATGCTTGGATCTCTCTACCGTGCGCAGTGGCTCATGCTGGTGTGCCTCTTCGCCGCCGCACACGCGTTCGACCTGGCATCATCGGGCTATGCGTCGCTAACGCACTACGACTTGCCCTCGAACTACGTTGCCTCGTGCGGGTGTGTGGGGCGGTCGACGTTCTACCCCACCGCCGCCTTAAACCGATACGCCTACGGATCCAATACCTCGTTCGGCCCGTCGTGCGGAAGCTGCTTTGAGCTTCGTCTGGTCTCAACGCCTTTAGCTCTGCCACCTCCAACTCCCGGTACGAATGAACCTTGGGGCGATGGAATCTACTATACTCCGCAACAAGTTTCATCGGGTTCGACGCCGAATCTTGTGGTAAAGATCATTGACCTTTGCCCCGGGGTAGGGGGTCCTTGGTGTAATGCAACAAGGCTCGAAAACGGGACGGTGCAAGGGAATAGTTTAGGATTCGATGTGCATTTTGATTTGGCTTGGCCTGCAAAGGGGATTTCGAAAGGGTTCTTTCCGGGAGATCATGATTATGGAGCTTGGAATGTGACGTATGATGCTGTCAGTTGCGAAAGGTGGGCAGGGTGGAAGGACAAAGCTGCGTTGGGGTCGGATTGGGACCAGCAAAGTTCGGCGTGTTGCCCCAACAATCCAGTGCCAAGTGGACAAGATCAAACGTGCCCACCGTACTACGATACCTTGGCTCCAACTAGAGCCGTACCGCCCAATACCAGCAATGTTCTGTCCAAGGGAAAATCCAACGCAGCAACATCCATGCTCACCAGCAACGTGCGCATCTACTTGGCAACCGCAATCGCACTGCTGTCGGCTGCTCTGCTCTGCGTCTCTGCAGCAACCTTCACCTTTGTGTAGATTAGACGTTTGAATATGCTCCTTCTATTTGCCTTGTTTAGTAGTATCGAGATCGTGGGTATATTTGCTTTTCCTGTGCAACACCTTTAGCTAGGCGGCGTGGGATTGACATGTGCATTGTCATTGGCCTTCGTCTCGGCCTCGCCCTCGTTGGTGGGCTCGTCGATCCAGTCGTACAGCACCACTGCATCGGCCATCTTTCTCGCCCATGGATCGCTCAGCCATTGCTGCACCTCGGCCCTTGTTGCTGTCTCTTGCTTGCCTGCATCGTGCTCTTGGGCGCTAGCTTTGGACTGTGCATGTTCGTAGCCAAGCCAGATGCCCGAATCGAGCGGCTTGCTAGCTATAATATACGGCCGAGTCCACTCTCCCTCCGCCGGGCTATGCTGTGAGAGAAGCTGCACGACACGTTCGGGTGCGCCAAAACCGTATTCGCAGTGACCCAAGCCACACACGACGAGTGCCACATTGACCACCGGTCGGTCCTTTCCAGAGCCGCCTTGAGATGCGGGCGCGGATGGTTCGGCGTCTCTGGCACCACGCAGGATCCAGGCTGTCACGTGGGCGAGATAGGAATCCTTGAGCGCCTGGGCGGGACCGAACCCCTTGAGCTCCACATTTTGCGGCTGGAGCAGCCAGGTCGGATAGATCGTCGGCTGCCCCGGCCTGTCGAGCGCGGGTGCGGCGCTAGTGGCTGCATCCGAGATAGGCGGAAAGCGGGGCGGCAGATCGGGCCGCATAAGACCCGAGAGATAGCTGCGATGCGCCGCACTGATGTTGGTCACCGACGACCACGCTGTGAACAGTGGCGAGCGACGCGGTGTCCCTGCGCCGGACAGCTTGGAGACTGTTGGATCCGAGGCAGTCTCGGCAGCAGAGGATTCTGGCGAGGAGCGTTTATGTTCGTCGGACTTGACCGCGTCGACGCCGTTGCGAAACACCTGCCTGGCCCAGCGGCGCGGCGGAAACCCGCCCCAGATGGGCACGTCGAGCTCCTTGGCAAGCATGAGCAGCGGCATGTAGTGGCCGATGTGGAACGACTCTTCGCTGTGCGCGTGGTAGGCGTGCGCAAGCTCGTCCGGCCCCATGCGCCCCTGCGAAAAGGAGTGCAGCATGCCTTGGTCCAGCACCGAAAAGTGCTCGAGAATCAGATGCAGCCGATAGATCGGCGGTGTCGAAGTCGGCGCATGGTCGGCGGACGAGGCTTGCTGGCACTGCGCATGGAGCGCATGCAGCGTCTGAAGCTGTGCACGCATCACGTGCGGCTGGTGATGCTGTTCGCCAAAGAAGACGAGCCTGGGCGGCGGTGCTGTGCAGCGAGTGTTGCTTTTGGACGCAGCAAAGAGATCCTGGAAAGAGCCTCCGAGCAGATTGGACGGGATGGGAAGCAGCTTGTTCCATTCCACGTAGGAGGCGCCATCGCCATATTCTGAAGAGGCGCGATCGTCGGCATCATCAGTTGTCTGGATCTGCTTGGATTCCGAATGGTTGGGGTTCTTGGCCGAGGATAAGGACGAGGACGACTCTGCCTGTGCTTGCCTCTCTTGGACAGGCGGCGAAAAGGAGTGTCTATACGACGGGATGTGGGTGGTGAGAAGAAGCGGCTTGGTGAAGCGCGGGATGAAGCGCGCGATCGATACATTGGCCATCGGATGCATCCGTGGTGCTTCGGCGTCACTCGAGTGGGCTTGCGACGCCATGCTGGATGCGCGCAAATCTGCGTTCTAAGGTGGCATTGAGATGGAGCCGGGAGGAGGTGGTCATGGCGCCAACTGAGCGTCGAGCGTTCAGGGTCCAGCCAATCCAATCCAAGCCGGGCCGAAAGCAGGCGGGCGAGTCCAAAGAGAAGAGGTGCGCGGTGACGCCAATTTGCATTCTCGCATCGTCCAAATCGGCTTCAGATCGGCTCCGCAAAAAGGCCCTGCAAAGATCGACGAAATCAATTTCCAAACCGACCGCACTGCAGAGCCAGGACTCGAGCGCAGTGCAGCAGTGCAGCATCAAGAGGGCACGAGCCATCCGCTTCGCAGCTCAGCCTCTAGCAAAGCAGCGCTGGGCTGTGCTGAGCAGCGGGCGGATGGCTGGCTGGCTTCTGGCTTCCCCCCAACGTCATCCGTCCCTCTCGCTGCTGTGTCCACATCCAACCCTCTCCATCCACCTTTCTTCCATCCATCCATCCGCCCCAGCCATTTATCTCTTCCCCATCCTCAATTACGGATACCACACCACTGGAAAGGATTGACTCGGCTCGCCCCCACTCTCCCTCCGTCTCGCCCCAACCATGCAGAGTCCCGCTCCTGCGGGCTCCGCCGCCTCGGCGCCCCCCATCGCACTCTCGCCCGTAGAGAGGAGCGCCTTTGCGCATCTCTTCAACCTCGCCGATCCAGAGCGCACCGGCATCGTCACCGGAGATGCCGCCGTCTCCTTCTTTGCCAAGTCCAAGCTGCCCCCACCCGTCCTCGGTCAGATCTGGGCCATGGCCGACAGCGCCAACAACGGCTTCCTCACCCCGCCCTCCTTCAGCATCGCTCTCCGCCTCATCGCTCACGCACAGCGCGGCGAGCCCGTCACAGACGCCCTCGTCAAGCGTCCCGGCCCACCTCCCACCATGGAGGGCGTCAACCTCCCGCTCACCGCACAGCTCACCGGCTCCCAGTCCGCCGCTTCCGGCGCCACCAACATGCCCGGCGTCATCGAGATCAAGCCCGAGGATCGCGCCCGCTACACCCGCATCTTTGCCAACTCCGGCCCCTCGGGCGGTCTTATCGACGGCGACCGCGCCAAGGAGATCTTTGTCAAGTCCAAGCTTCCCTTTGACAAGCTCGGCGCCATCTGGAACCTCGCAGACACACAGGCACGCGGCGCCCTCGATCTCACCGACTTTATCATCGCCATGCACTTCATCCAGAACACCATGAACGGCTCGCTCAACTCCATCCCCGCTGCCCTCCCGCCGGGCCTCTACGAGCAGGCAAAGGGCTCCGGCGGCGTCGGTTCGCGCGTCCTACCCGGCTCGCCCCTCGCAGCCCAGAACACTGGCGGCTCGGCATCCGGCTTCGGCTCCGCCATGGGCGTCCAGCGTCAGATGACTGGCTCCAACTTCCAAGCTCCCTCGGCTTTCCAGTCACCCCAACAGACAATAGCCCCTCCCGCCGCTGCTCCCACCGCCACCGCTGCCACCTCGGTTGCAGCTCCCTGGGACGTCACTCCCGAGGACAAGGCTCGCTCCGATCAGTTTTTCGATGGCCTCGACGTTTCCAAGAAAGGTCGTCTCGATGGTGCCGCCGTCGTGCCCTTCTTCATGCAGAGCAAACTCACCGAGGCCGTGCTCGCCCACGTCTGGGACCTCTCCGACGTCACCCAGACCGGCACCCTCAACAAGGACGAGTTCGCCGTCGCCATGCACCTCATCAACGCACAGCTCGCCGGCAAGCCGCTGCCCCAGGAACTCCCCGCCACGCTCGTCCCGCCTTCGATGCGCAGCATGGATCTGCCCGCCGCCGTCAACCCGCACCAGTCCGACACCCAGAAGGACCTCTTCTCGCTAATGGACGACGACCCGCCGGCGCCCACCATCTCGGCCTCGTCCGCTTTCATTACGCCCTCGCCCGCCGCACCAGTCGTGCACAACCAACCGTTTGGCGCCGCCCCAGCCCCGGCTGCCACCACCACGGCTCAGCGCTCGGCTCCCGGTCCCTTTGACGACGACTTCTTTGGCGCTTCCGACACCACTCCCAGCGCTCCAACGCCTTTCCAATCCAGCCAGCCCGCAGCCGCAGCCCTCTCGCCCGCGGCTACAGGTGGCAGCTTCGGCAGCCCGGCCGCCTTCCGTTCGCCCGGCATCGCCTCGCCTACCGGCGTAGCTTCGCCTTCCGCCTCCACCTCGCGCCTCGGCACCGCCTTTGGCGCAGGTACAGCCGCCACTGCTGCAGGCGCTGCCGCCGGTGCCGCTTTCGGCTCGGGCTCGGGCTCGGCCACCGCCACCGCCACCGACCAAGGCGCCGATTTCGGAAACAAGTCGCTGCAGCTCCAGAGCACCGAGAAGGCCGTCTCCGACCTCCAGTCCAGGCGCACCACCCTCGAAGACTCCGTGGCCACCAACGCTTCGACGCTCGCCGAGCTCGAGTCGCGTCTCTCCGCCGTTCGCGGCCAGCACGACACCGAGTCCAAGCTGGTCAAGGACCTCGAGGAGCGCTCGCAAAAGCAGAACGCGGAGCTCAAGACGCTGCGCGAGGACGTCATCCGCGAGGAGAGCGAGCTCAGCGCGCTCAAGGCCGAAAAGGACGAGCTGGAGCAGGCGCTCATGCGCGACCGCGAGGACGTGCGCGACATGAAGAAGCGCATGAACGACGTGCAGACCGAGACCAAGTCGCTCAAGGAGCAGCTCGACAAGCTGCGCAAGGAGGCCAGGCAGCAGAAAGGTCTCGTCGCCATCAGCAAGAAGCAGCTCGTCACCGCCGAGGCCGACCAGGATAAAGTGGCCAGCGAGATCGAGGCTGTGCAGCGCGGAGATGTCGAGACGGCCACTGAGCACAGTGCCGCGCCCGCGCACGCCGAGGCGGTGACGAGTCCGGCTGCGAGCGTTCGAAGCACCAATCCCTTCGACCGCTTCGGAACGGGCGCGAGCGCTTCCCCTCAGCCGGGCACACCCGCGCTGCCTGCTGCTGGTGCGAGCCACCATGGCGGCGTCGGAACGGCTCTGGCAGCTGGTGCTGGTGCCGGCGCTGTACTCGGCGGTGTGGCTGCGGCAGCTTCCCACCACGACAGCGAGGCTCCTCACACGGGCGTTGCGGACCAAGCAGTCCACGACGCCGATCCGTTCGGCGTCCAGCACACGCAGCAGCCGGCACAGCCTGCGCAGAGCCTCGGCTTTGACGATGCCTTTGCCGTCCCTGGCGAATCGACAACCGATGCCCCGGCACACGCAACCTCGGCCGACTTTGACGACAACTTTGGCGACGATTTCGGCGCGGGCACTGCTGCTCCCACTGGTGTCGGTGCGGACAAGGCCGACGAGCCTGCTGTGGGTGACGACGATTCGCGTGGTGTAGAGCCTGCGGCGGTGGATGGGCTCGCTGCCGGTGCCGGTGCTGGTGCGGTGGGCGCTGCGGCAGTGCACGCCGTGGAGCCTTCGCAGGACGCAGCGCCCACAGTGGCAACCGGGACCGAGGCTGCAGACACCCCGATCGCGGACATGAGCCGACCGGACGAGCCGGACGCCGACGAGGACAGCTCTGACGACGACGATGATGGGCCCGAGGACGTCAGCGGCTACAGAGGCCACGACACGGCCGGTGCTGCTGACCGCTTCCCGGACATCGACGAGTCGACGCAGGATGTTGGCGCGGCGGCTGCGGTCGAGCCGAAGCACGAGGAACGCACGGTGCCAGGCGGACTGGAGGACGTTACCGCTGCCAGTGTGGTGCCTGCCTCGTCGGCCCCTGTTGACCCTTCGGCGATCGGATCTGTCGCGGGCGAGCGCACTGCGTCGACGACGTCCATTGCGCCCGTCAGCCGCCAAGAGACCGGAGCCCCCGCCACTCCAGCCGAACCCGCTTCGGAAGCCGAGCATACTCCGGCTGCTGCGGCTGCAGCGGGCGGACTGGGTGTTGCAGCTCTCGCTGCGGGTGCGGGCGCTCTGACGCTGGGCGAGCGAGGCGGTGCGGATGTGCAGCCCGAGGTGTCGTCGCCGACGGACGACGTGCCGCTCAGCCAGCTCATGGTTGCGCAAAATCCCAAGGCTGGTGTCGAGCCGTCGGTAAGCCCGAGTTCTTCGATTAAGACTCGGCGTGCGCCGCCGCCCGCGCCCGTGCGCAGCGGGACGGCGCTCTCGGCTGCTTCGCCTGCCACGGCGCCGACGGTGCTAGCTGCCGAGCCGACGAGTGGTACGGCGGCTCCTGTCAAGCCGGTGGAGGCGTCGACGAATCCGTTTGGCATGGACGACTTTGGTGCAGGCGCAAAGCCGCACCCGACGCATGGGGACAGCGGCAGCGGCAGTGGGTTCGACGACTTTGACTCGGCCTTCGAGGATCTCGGTCCGTCCGAGGCGGTTCCGAACGCCGCAGCTGCCGGCACGGGCGCGGCAGTTGCAGTGCCACAGAGCGGCTTCGACGACGCGTTTGACAACGACTTTGACTTTGTGCCGTCGTTCAGCACGGGTGCTGCGGGTGCTGCGGGTGCGGATGCGGGCACCGCAACCACTCGAGCCGTTCCTGCGGCCCCAGCGAGAGGTCAGAAGGATGCGTTTGACGACTTTGATGCGGCGTTCGACAGCGCTCCGACCGCCACCTCCACCAGCGCCGCTCCTGCTGCTGCTGCTGCTGCTGCAGTTGCGACTCAGACTGGGACGACGTCCAACACTGCGTCTGGCTTCAGCTTCGATGACGCGTTCTCGCCTTCCGCGAGCACTTCCGCGCCTGCAGTCTCAATTCCCGCCTCCACCGCATCCACCTCTGCCGCCACTGGTGTAAGCTCACCGACGGCGGCGGAGGGGACGTATGCGCCGCCTCCCGGTCCTCCTCCTGGCTTCAATGCTCCGCCCGCGGTGCCTCCTCGCTCGAGCGCACGCACGGCGACGGACGAGGCGGAAGACTACACCGGTGCGCTTCCGGACGACGCTGGGCCCGTCAAGCAGCTGTGCGGTATGGGCTTTACGCGCCAGGCCGTGATCGGTGCGCTCGAGAAGTCCAACTATCGCACCGAAAAGGCGCTCGAACGACTGCTCGCCTCGACCAACTAATCCCCGCGCGCGCGCATGGATGTATATAGGCATGTTTGAATTTTCCGTTCAGAAAGGAGATCTAGGTGTAGAGAGAGGAGTTTGGGGGTGCACCAAAGAGAGCTTGCCACGAGGTGGGTTCTTTGAGTTGGGTAGAGGGAAGGGAGAGGAGGGAGAGGAGGGTGGTTGCAAGTGAGTGTGCATCAGGTCGTGTATCTCCTTCGGCCGCAAAGTAGAGCAGAGTTCCGAGGTGCAGTTTTGTATCGCGTTGGAGGAGTTTTCGAGTCAAAAGTGATCCCGGAATCACAGGTACCGCTTCGCCAGCAGGAGCGAAGGTGGGAAAGGTGGCGAGGGTCTTCATGAGGGGTGTTTGCGGGTTGGTGGGGGGGATGGCGAGGATGGGCGTTTCGAATTCGGCATCGGTGCGTGCGGCTGCATCGATCGACGAGATCCACAGCGTCTGCTTGAATCCAGCTTGCGAGATCCACTCGGTCAGTGCGGTGATGTACTCTGTGCCACGCGACTTGTACACGGGCGCACGCTGCTGGATCACCACCAACCCCGCCTCGTTGGCAAACACTGCGAAACCCAAAACCGTCAGCACAATATGCCTGCCAGCAAAACTCGTAGCGAGAAAAGCTTACCTTCAAGAGCGGTGGTGATGTCGTCTGCTGCTGCATCGCGCGCGTCCGAGGGACCAGCAAAGGGGAAGCAGAACGACGGATCGATGCGGCCCACCTTGGCGAGTCCCAAGTCGGCGCTGTGCAGCAGCAGGTCGACTGCAAGCTGTGGAACTGATCCGATGGATACGGCTGGAATGATCAGCGTCGCGTCCGCGAATGAATACGATGCGGATGCGAGCGGGGTGTAGAACGGCGTCGACATGGTTGCGTTAGTGATTGCCAACAAGAAGCGTTGGGAAGAAGTGAGGAGAGGTGGAAGCTGTCAGACTGCGCTTTCGAGGCTTCAAGTGGAGGGTCGCGGGATGGGAAATTGTTAGAGCGCGCGTGTTGATGTCGTGGCCTGGACGCGTGTGTTGCTTTGGGGCGCAGCGGGCCGCACGGGGCTTCGTAACGAGCGCTCAGCGATCGATCACTCCACATGGCCAATTCCCAGCTGCGCCCAACCTTGCCGCACTGATCATCCTTCCCCCCACCACCTGCACCATCCCATCCTCTGCAGTTAGCGACAATGGCGGCGGCAACAGCACACACCTCTGCGGGCATCGCATCCAGCTCCGGGTTCGACTTCTCCAACTACTCGCGCAACACCTTCCTCTCCGCACAGGGGCTCGGAGGATTCACCGCCACGTCGACGGGCACGACAATCGTCGGATGCATCTTCAAGGACGGCGTCGTCCTCGGCGCCGATACACGTGCTACGGAAGGCCCCATCGTGGCGGATAAGAACTGCGAAAAGATCCACTACATCTCGGACAACATCCGCTGCTGCGGTGCGGGTACCGCGGCGGATACCGAGTTTGTCACGCAGCTGATCTCGAGCAACATGCAGCTGCACGAGCTCAACACGGGACGCCAGCCGCGTGTGGTGACAGCAATGACCATGCTCAAGCAGCGTCTCTTCCAGTACCAAGGCCACATTGGTGCCGCGCTCGTGCTGGGCGGATACGATGCCACCGGCCCCCACCTCTTCACCGTCGCCCCACACGGATCGACGGACAAGCTGCCCTACGTCACCATGGGGTCGGGAAGTCTCGCAGCAATGGCCGTGTTCGAGTCGGGATGGACGAAGGATATGGAGCGCGCGGATGCGATTCAGCTTGTGGCAGCTGCGATCAGCTCCGGCATCTTTAACGATCTCGGCTCGGGCAGCAATGTGGATGTGTGCATCATCGAGAAGAACAAGACGGAGTACCTGCGCAACTACGAGACGCCCAACGAGCGCGTGCAGAAGGAACAGAAGTACAAGTTCCCCAAGGGCACCTCGGCCTGGACCAAAGAACAGATCTACGATATGATCCGAAAACAAGGTATGTTGCCATCCCCCGCACCCAGTCCGCCGTAGCCACAGAGACATGGACTGACATAGCTGTGGGCTGGATAGATGTGCTCGAGATCGGAAACACCGCACCCGTACCAGAGGTCGCTCCACCAGCAGGCGCCGCCGAGGAGACAATGGACACCTCGTAGCCACACCCCTGTCCTGTATCGTACCGCCGCTCACGAAGCATTTGATAAACACACGCGCGTGCACTCTTGACTGTGACACACGGTTGCCACTCACTACTGCCACGGTCACACACTGCATACACGGCCAACGTCTAGACTATATTGAAAGGGGACCACATGGGTGCGACTAGAGATCCTCGACAACGACGCTCCAGGGATGGTCGACTTTTCCGAGCTGGATGTCGGTGATCCTCCCGAGCATGGCCTTTGCGATGGGACCAATGCCATCCCCTGCCGGAATGTGGATATCCTTGCCCATGTATCCAACCCTATCCACAGGACTCACGACAGCAGCCGTGCCCGCGCCGAACATCTCGATGAGCTCGCCGCTCTTCTCTGCCTGGATCAGCTCGTGGATCGAGATCTCGCGTTCGGTGACCTTGAGGTTCTTGGGCAGGCTGTCGAGTGGATACTTGCCCTCGACATGGTCGTGTGCGATGTGCAGGATGCTGTCCCTCGTCACACCGGGCAGGATCATACCGTTCAGCGGCGGCGTAACTAGCTCGACGCCATCGCCCTTCTTGAGCGCCACGAACAGGTTCATGGTGCCCACCTCGGTGAGCAGATGCTCCTCACCAAACAGCCACAGGTTCTGCTGGTAGCCACGCTTGGCCGCCTCGAGCTGCGGCAGGATGCCCGGCGCATAGTTGCCGCCGAGCTTGTACTGGCCCGTTCCGCCCGGCCACGCACGCACCTTGTTCGGGTCCGCCTCGAGCGCCACCGGCTTGAAGCCCGTCTTGTAGTACGGCCCGACGGGCGAGCAGATGACGAAGAGCAGCGCGTCCTTGGTCGGGTGCACACCCAGCGCTGCCTCGGTTCCGATCAGCGCCGGACGGATGTAGAGCGAGTGACCCGGCTCGGATGGGATCCATCCCTTGTCGAGCGCGACGAGCTTCTTGATGAGCGTGATGAGCTGCTCGCCCTCGAACGTGGGCAGCGCAATGCGTGCCGCCGAGGTGTTCATGCGCTTCATGTTCATGTCCGGACGGAAGAGGCGCGTCTGGCCGTTGACGTCCTTGTACGCCTTCATGCCCTCGAAGAGCGACGGCGCATAGTGGAAGATGACCGCGCTCGGGTCGAGTTGCAGCGGCGCATACGGGTGGATCTTGGGCGCGTCCCAGCCCGTGGCGCTGTTCCAGGGCACCGAGAGCATGTGGTCGGAAAAGTTGGCTCCGAACACGAGGCTCTGCGAGGGCGGCGGTGTGCGCGGCGCGTTGGAGCGCGTCACGACGAGCGAGGATGCGTCGAGGTGCTTGGTGCCCGTCGCCTCGCCCGTCATGGGATCGTGCGAGACGCTGGTCGACTTGCATCGGAGTGCGAGCGCTGCTGGGCGAGGAGCAGCCGCAGCCGCAGAGGCACGCGCACGCAGAGCAGTTCTTGCGAATGCGATCATGCTGTCAATGCGGGGAAAAGGGGGTGTGATAGAGAGGATGATGGGGACGTTGGGGAAGAAAGGAAGCAAGCCAGGAGTCGGTTCTGTGCGGTGATGCGGCTCGAGTGACTCGGCGGCGGCGCTTCGAGAGACTGCTGGTGGGAATACGGCTATTTGCGAGGCAGATCAGCGCATCGGCCGCCCCCCGAGCGCCATTTCGGATATTTGGACGGCTTTTCTACTCAACTCTCATTCGGCCGAATCGAAGAACCCGCGTCCGAGTTGCGTCGAGACATCCAACACCCCTCCGTAACTGCGCACTTTGGTCGCTCGACACGACATCCTTTACGACGTCCACGACCCTCGCTCTCTCGTCAACGACCACCTCACCTCGACGCATCGTCATCCTCTCTCGCCACCGCATTCTCTTTTGCTGTGGCGTATATACCCGCGTCTTCCGCTTCGTTGCTTCGTCGAGGACAGCTGAGTGTTGTGGCGCAGCCATGTCTTCGCTCCACTTTTGTGCCGAGTGCAACAACTTGCTGTACCCCGAGGTGGATCGAACGAACCATGTGCTGCTGTACGCATGTCGCAACTGCAACTATCAGCAGGAGTCGCGAGAGTCGCTCGTGTACCGCAACGATCTCATGTCCGTTACCAAGGAACAACCGGGCATTGTGGATAACCTCATGAAGGACCCGACGTTGCGTCGAACACACGACCTCAGCTGCCCGAGCTGCGGACACGGAGAAGCGGTGCTCTTCCAGGACCAGAGCAAGCGCATCCTCAACAGAATGATCCTCTTCTACGTGTGCGCAAAGTGCAACCATCTGTTCAGAGATCCCGTGCTCCAAGCCCCACAAGCAGGCCCAGGCCAGATCTGGAACGACAGAAAGAAGAAGTAGCATCTACGCTCCACCCATCCAAACCTCAACCATCTTGTATTTGTACCAATACCATAACCCCCTCATACGCTCTCTCACTGCACGGCCGCGGTAGTGCGAAAGGAAAAAGGGCAGATGCATTCGTCTACTTGTACTTGTCCTTGTGGATCCAGCTGAGGCCCACGGTATCGTACCCGCCCTGCTCGGCCATGCGGTAGTACATGGCTGCCTTTTTGAGGTCCTTCTTGCATCCCTTGCCCGCGGCGTACAGCGCTCCTGCCTCGGCCTGCGCATCCGCATCGCCGAGCTTGGCCGCCAGCTCAAAGTACTCGAGCGCCATGGGCTTGTCCATCTTGACGCCCCAGCCGTAGCAGAAGCACTTGCCCAGCTCGTACACGCTCAGCTTGAGCTCGCTCTTGATCGCGCGCAGCTCGGCGTCGCTCTTGGGCGTCGAAGTGTTGGCCATCATCTCGCCCGCACGCGCCGCCGCCTTCTGGATCCACGTGAACCCTTTCGCCGGATCCTTGCGCGCGCCCCACCCCTCGCGCAGCGCCATGCCAAACATGCACATCCCCACCACGCATCCGCCATCCACCTTGGCCGATCGCTCAAAGTAGAACGCAGAACGCGCAAGATCACCTTGCTCGTGGTGCGTGATGCCCGACGAGAGAAAGTCTTCCGCCGACGACGGGCCCGTGCGTGTGTCGACTGCAGGCGATGTACGCGGTCGTGGAGTCGATTGGACGCCGCTTACACCCAGCCCGACGGGGGGTGCCGACGCGCTCGCCTGCATTTCGACCGATCCCAACGCGTTGCTCGACTTGGCATTGCGCAGCATCGATGACCGGTTGGGGCCGCCAGCACCGGCTACGGGGCTGTACGCCTCCTGGGCGGGCTGCAGCGAGCGGAACGACGCGTGCGAAGCCTTGGCCTGCATACTCGGCGCGCCGCGCGTGCGTGGGGAGGCCACTTGCGGTGGGATAGGCGAATGCTCTTGCCAGTTGGCCGACTGCAGCACCAGCGGGTCGTGCGCCACGCTGCCGATCGACATGCGCGAGGTCATGACACTGCCGATGGTGCTCGAGCTGTCGCGTCGGCTGCTGCCGTCCAGACGCAGCGTCTCGACGTCCAGATCCGACACCATGCTCTCGCGCCCGTCGGCGCGTGCGATGGCCTCCGCGCGCTTGCGCCCGATGATGGGCCGATCCACGCCCTGGAAGTACTGGTTGGGATCCGAGTAGCCGTTGGGAGTGCCGCCACTCATGCTCGGCGAGCTCCATGCGGCAGCAGGCGGTGGAGGCGGAGGTGCGCGCCCCGCAGGATGGCCCGAAGGCTTGAGCCGACGCGACTCGAGTGATCCAGCCGACGCGACTCTCGGGTTGGACAGCAGCGCCGACGGCGCGAGCGGCGTGCGTTTCACTTCGCCCGAGCCCGCGTGCTGCGGCGGCTGGTCGGGCGAGGATGCGGCGGACATGGTCTCGATGCGCGCCGAGGTGGGGTTGGGCATGGACGAGAAGCGCTGTTGGCTGCGGTGGTTCGGGTCGCGGCTGGAGTGCGCGTGGGCGCCGCTCGCTCGCGACGCTTCCGAACCGGAAGGACTGGGTGGATACACGTAGACGCGTGCGCTCTCTGGGCTTCCGGTGCTCTCGCGCGCATCGTTGCCAGTGATCGTCGCAGTCGACGACGTGGAGCGATGGCCAAGGTGACGATCTGCCGAGGCCACAGGAGTGCGATCGTAGATGTGCTGCGATGCGTCGTGATAGGCGGTCACTGCGTCGCCATCGTGAGATTCGATTTGAGGCACAAAGCTGTGCCTGGGATCGCCCTGTTGCTGCCAGTGTCCGGCCTGGTGCTGGTCGAGCAGTCTAGGCGGCGGAATGGATCTCGTGAGGCTAACGACCTTTTCTTTGCTCGGCATTTCTCGGATAGCGGGTGTCGACGAGGCATGCACGCCTCGCATCGTGCCTTCCGCGCTTCGAGATGGATCACGAGCCGCATGGTCGAGCTTCCACTGCTGTGCAACCGACGAAAGGCCACCGCCGGACGCAAATGGCCCTTGATCCGGGTCCAGCTGAATGTCGTACGCGGCTACACTGGAGGGTAGGTGGCTTGAGCCAGGTCCGACATTGCCGTCGAGCTCATCGCCGTAGACGCTCTCTTCGTAGGCACTCTCTTCGTCGTCGGCGCGCGAGGCCCACGCTCTGCCCCACCTTCCGTCCTCGCCGAATTCGGAGCTGCGCACGGTATCGATGGAAGCTCTGCGCGAGAGGGACGTATCGAGGCTAGCGCCGGTGATGGAGTTGAACGAGATGTCAGAGGCGACCGAGTTGCGGAAGGCGTTGCTGAGCAGATGGGCCGAGTGCGGCTGCTCGTCGGCGCTGGCATGCATGGGGCTGTAGGAATCGAACTGGTCGTCGTAGGTCGCTTTGTAGCCGCGTTGGACGGTGAACGAAGTGCCGGACGAGGAGGGTGTGGGAGGCGAATCCTGTGAGGTGGGTGTCTGTGTGCGCGGGTTGCGGGAGAAGCTGGAGCCAGGCTCGGAGAGCAGGTTGACGCTACGGATGCTCTGGGCATCGTCAAAGTCGTCGGGGTCGGGCGACGGCTGGACAGGCGGTCTTCGGACAGAGGTGCGGCGAGAGAGGGCCGAGGCACGCTCATAGATGCGGTGAGAGGTAGGATCTGAGCTTGCATCGTGCGTGCTGGGCTCGAGGATGTCTTGCTGGACCTGCTTGCCTCTCTTGACGAGAAGCTCGAGCGGCGAAAGCTTGGAGTCGGTGGGTGGATCCGAGGTAGGAGAGGAAGGCTGATACGCGCGAGGCAGCTTGTTCCAAGAGAGAGCGTCTAGCGAGAACGCACCGTGATCCGAAAGCGCCGGGCTGGTAGAAGGCGTGTGGGCTGCGTCCGCGTTGGAAGAGTAGGAGGCATCGCTGTTGGACGAGGCGTGCGAGCCTGCGGAGAAGGAGCGGACTGCCGAAGCAGAGCGAGCATCGGGAAGTAAGCGGCTCATGGCGCGCTGTTGTACGTAGACGAAGCAGAAGGGTGAGGACAAAAGAAAGAATGTGTTCACGGCTCGTGTACGAGTAGGTTATCTGACCAGCAGAAACTGAGTGTTGACGATGGAGCCGAGATGGTGGGTGGTCTGAAGTCGCTGTGGCGCGGAGGCGATGCTGACTGCTTGAGGCGCGTTATGAAAGGTGGGCGTAGGCGCGTCGTGGGACGAGAGGAAGTGGGCGCGACAACCGAGTAGCGTGCGCGTCCAAAGTGGTGGCTGGAGCCGCAGCGCTCGAGTGTGGTGTCCGGCAGAGGCCTTTTCGCGGAGTGAACGAGCAGAAAGCCGTTCCGAATCAGGGCTCGGCCGACGTCGAGATGATGGTGATCAAGACGGCGGATCGACCGACGTTCGCAGGGTCGACCCGAAAGCGTCTGCCAAAAGCACGCCGTCGATCCCCCAAGCGCGGGCCGAGGCAGCGGGACGAGTGCGGAATCTGCCAGAGGACCCTTTTGCACTTCACCTCGGCCCGGCCGCGCCCCCTTCACACCTCTCCTTTTGCGCGGCAGCTGCGCGAGCCCTGAAGCTTAATTTCAGCCCGGCGCGTCTTCATCTGCAATTTTCGGAAGCACCGAGAGGTTCCCCCCCTGTGGCTTTCACTCTGGTCGGCATCTCCGCTCCCTCGTTTCTCACAATCACATGGTCGGAGCAGCGTTGCAGTCTGGCGAGCGAGTGGGAAGGTTGAGAGTTGGCATTCACACGGCAGCTGTTGGCCTTGTGAGGCCGGGGTATCTAGGAAGTCGACGCTCGCAGCACGCAGCACGCAGCACATCAGTCGCTGGGTTGCTGGGCGAGCATGGTTCGCAGCTGCTGAACTCGTGCCCGCATGCTGGCGCATCGTCTGAAACCAAGCAGGAAAAGCAGAGAGAGAGGTCAGTTGTCCTGGATCCATTCGATTTGCCGAGAAGAGAGGGCGCGGCACTTACTCGCGTATGAGTTGCGTCTCTTGTTTGCGACGCTCGAGCTGCATCTGCATGATGAGCTTGAGCGTCTCTTTGGCCTGCACGGGCCGCAGCTCGTTGATCAAAAACTGCATGTTGACCACCACATTCTGCATGTGCTTGAGTCGATCCTTGGCCTCGGTCGACTGCGTCCAGAATCCGGGATTCCCCGCCAGCTGCTGCTGCTGCTGTTCGGGCAGCAGGTTCGGGTCCGGCACTGCGGCCACCCACACATCGTACGGCTGCGCAGGTTTGAGAAGGTCGGCGGTGATCTCTCGGTATGTTTGCAGCAGCGTCTGCAGAAGCGTCAACAGCAGCTCCTTGCGGTCGGTACCTTCGAGCGGGTACAGCACGGGGATGCCGAGTTGCTCCAGTGTCGGCGTCACGTCCGGAATCGGCCACAGCTGCCCAAACACCGTGTAGCCACCGTCCTCCTCGATCCAGTCAATGTTGGGCGGCTCCAGCGTTCGCTTCAGGTCGAAGTCTGGAAGCGACGATGTCGAGGCTTCTGCTGCAGCGCCATCCGCAGCACCCATCTCGACATCGTCGTCGCCGTCGGTTTGCTTCGACGATGAAGCTACGCTTTCGAGGATGCGTGTCTGGCGGCCCAGTCGTTCTTCGGGAGTGAGGGAGTCCCAGCTCGGCTCGTCTTCGCCCAGCTTGTGCGCGTTGAGCGCATCCAGGTACCGCAGGTTGCGCTTGGTGAACTTTTTGTAGATCTGCGGAGGTGGCGGGAAGAACGAGGTGCTGACCTGGTTCGCGTTGGACGGACCTGCAGCGGCGGCATCGCCGGCGCCATCTTGGTGCTGCTGCTGGGCGGCTGTCTCTTCGTGCTCGCCGTTCATGATGAATGCGCCAAGCTGCTGGCTGTGTCGCTACGGAGGGCGTGAGAAGATGCTGCTTGGACAGCTGTCTCACGCCGACATCCGGCCGTGCGCGCCGCCTGCAGGAAGGCCGAGATCCGAATCGAGGCAGTTTTCCGTTTATCGACGCTGCAGCCACAGCCGCCTTTCAAAAAGGGCAACGGCCGCTGACTCGATTCGCGGTGCATCCGACTTGCATATTTCGACTCGACTCGATCTTCTCACTTGCCCCACCACCACATCTGCCACACATACCGTCGACGACCAAAATGACCAACACGCTGGACATTACCAAGCGCGAGCAGACCATCAACCTCGGAGCGGGCCCCAGCTCGCTGCCGACGTCGGTGCTGCTCGAGGCTGCACAGGGCATCCTCGACTATCAAGGCACGGGCATGGGTCTCACCGAGCTCTCGCATCGCTCCAAGACGTTCCAGGCGCTCATGGACAAGACGGAAGCCGATCTGCGCGCACTGATGTCTGTGCCCGACTCGCACGCTGTGCTCTTCCTCCAGGGCGGCGGGACGGAGCAATTCTCCGCCACGGCGCTCAACCTGCTCGCCGCCCACGCCGTGCATAATCCCGACTATTTTGCCACCAACGGCAACCAGGGTCCGCCATGCGATTACGCCGTCACGGGATCTTGGACGGCCAAGGCGGTCAAGGAGGCTGCTCGACTTGGCGCCAACACGAATGTCGCCGTGGATGCAAGGAAGGTCGAAGGGGCTGGTGGCAAGTTTGGCTCCATCCCGCGCGTGAGCGAGTGGAAGCTTAGCCCGGTGGCGAGCAAGCCTGCAATGCTGTACTACTGCGATAACGAGACGGTGGATGGTGTCGAGTACCCGAGCCCTGGATTCCCGCTCGACCAGCTGCCCGAAGACTACCGCAAGACCGTACCGATCGTCGCCGACTGTTCGAGCAACATCCTGTCGAGGCCGATCGACGTGGCTGCGCATGCGATCGTGTTCTTCGGCGCCCAGAAGAACGTCGGTCCGTCTGGCGTGACCGTGGCGATTGTTCGCAAGGACCTGATTGTGGATCCTGATGCCGGCGTTGCACATGGTGGACCACGCATTCCGACGACGCTGGTGTACAAGAACATGCTCGACAACGGCTCGCTGTACAACACGCCTTCGATGTTTGCCATCTATGCGTCCGGGTTGGTGTTCGACGATCTGCTGCGCAACAAGGGCGGTGTTGCCGGTGCCACGGAGCGATCCGCCCAAAAGGCTGCGCTGATCTACGGCGTGATCGAGGCGAGCGAGGGCGTCTTCTTGCCCACCGTCAGACAGGCGTCGGCAAGGAGCCGCATGAACGTCACCTTCCGCATCTCCAAGCCGGGTCAGAACCAGCCGGATGAGAAGCTCGAGGACGCATTCGTGAAAAGGTGCGCAGAGGCCAACATTGTGCAGGTCAAGGGTCATAGGTCCGTGGGCGGTATTCGTACCAGCTTGTACAACGCTGTCACGATCGAGCAGACCCAAAAGCTGGCAGAGGTCATGAAGACGTTCGCTCGCGACGCCAAGGATGGCAAGCTCTAATCCAATCCTTTGACTGCCCTTGTAGCCCTTTCCGCATCAAAAATTCATATCCTTATCCTTCAGACCCACACGGTAGAGACGCCGTCATCGACTGTGATTCTGGTGAAAGGGGGATGGATTGCTCACTCTGCAGTGGCAGTTTGAGACTCGAGCTGCTTGTCCCTCTGACGACGCTTCTGCTTTTTCTTCTTGTTGCTCTTCTTCCTGCGCTCCTTTTCGATGGTGCGGTCGATGCGGCTGCCGCCCGACTGGCCGCGCACCAGCTTTTCCAGCACGAGACTCATGCGTCGGCGCGCCAGCTCGCGGTTGCGGTCGCGCGATCGTGTCTCCTGGCACGTCAGCCTCGTGCCCGTGGGCAGGTGTGTGAGCTGTACATTCGTCGACAGCTTGTTGATCGCCTGCCCGCCCGGGCCCGAGCCGCGAACGAACTTTTCCGCCAGATCGCGCTCGTCGAGCGTCAGCGGGTACTTGCGCGAACCGGGCTGCAGCGTATACTCGCCCGAAACAAACCATTCCGGCAGCCCATCGGCGTCGCGCAATCCAGCTGCTTTGGTCGAGGCATCAGATTCGATTCCGAAGGACGAGTCTACGTCTTCATCCAAGGGCGTTGTGTGGTCGCCGAGACTACCTGTTGAAGATCAGGTGAGAAAAAGGCGTCAGTCGCTACCTTTGTGAGGCTGATGGCGTATGCAATACCTACACACCGACTTCTTCCTCTAGCCATTCCTGCGTGCCCTGCGCGCCCTGCTTGATGTCTGCGAACGTATATCGATCGAGGCTCTCGTCTGCATCCTCCTCGCGCTCGTGCTCGATGCGATGGACGTCGTACCACGGCACGCCCTGCTGCTGCTGGCGCTGCAGCTCTGCGTCGCTCCACACCACACGCACGGGGAACGTCGCCTCAAAGTCGAACTCGGCCAGCTCGGTCGGCAGGAGCTCCGGGCGGTCCTTGCGCAGATAGGCGTTGTTGATGGGTGGGTCGATTAGCTGGAGCGCCGTGAGCGGGCGAGACGAGACATACGTCTGTGCAATCAGCGACGCTGGCCCGCCTGTGATCATGATCGGTGGGAACGGCGGTGTCTTTCCCGATTGCCGCAGCGTGTCGATGGCGTCCTTCTCAAAGACCTGCATGAGCTTGGTCGAGTCCTTGAGCTCCGACACGGCCTGGTCCGGATCCAGGTCGAGCAGCAGAGACTCGTAGCCCTGAGCGGAAAAGTGCTGGATCCATTCCGAGAAAGCTGCTTGCGCGGGAGGCGAGCTTGTCCATTTCGAGGCGGTGAGGAAGAGCAGCGGCGTCGGAACCTCGCGAGACGCCGAGGACGATGCAGGCACCACCGTGAGAGTGGACTTGAAGCGGCAGCTGAGCCGAGGGGCGCTAGCTATCCGCGCTGCGCTGCGTAGACTCAGCGGTATTGTGGCTAATCGCAGCATCTTGCAGCACGCCAAGAGACTGGTGAAAGATGGTCGGCAAGGAGCCGGTTTTTTTGGGGTGCAAGGCAAGAAGAAGAGGTGGAGGATGGTGCTCAGAAATCACACGCCCCGCGTCGGAAGGGCGCCGAAGCTGCTGGCCGGGTCCCTTGGCTGGCAGAGCAGCAGCAGTCAGGGTCCATATTCCCCCGCCGCCACGCCTTGATCCGAGCGTTGGCCAATTTGGCTCATCTTGCGGAGCGCCTTCTTCTTCCTTCCTCTCCCTTTCGCCACGCGCCATCAGACCAAGTCAGGGCTCAAGACCAGTCAGAATCGATCGGGACAGCGCGTCTCCTACGCAAAGCATGACGGATCCAACCGCGACCGCCGAGCCGTCTCTCAAGCGCGCGCATGATGATGATGATCATCAGTCTCCCGTGCCCTCCTCGTCGCATCTCGAAGACGCTTCGAGCTCTACCAACATACTCTCATCCGAAGTCGATGCGCAAAAGCGCCCACGGCTGCCCATAACTACCGACGACACGAAGTCAGAGTCACCATCTCCTGGCGCCAACGAGGTCACTATCCTACCTGGGCTCGTGCTACCGCTCAACGAGGAGGTCCTCAGGACGTTCTTCCAGTACTCGCACGATCGGCACGACGTCTTCCTGAAACGCAAAGAGGGCAAGCCACAGGAAGAGTGGACCGACGATCCCGTCTTCAAGTCCACCAAGTTCGCCAATGTCTATCGCGTGCTCGACCGCTTGACGCAATATGTGCTCACGCGCGTCGTGCAAGACGGCCCGCAGCAGCTCGAAGAAGTCTGCTTTCGTGTGCTGCTCTTTCGCTCGTTCGCGCGCATCAGCACCTACGAGGTCATTCGCGCCGCACTCGGAGGCCCTCCGACGCTGGCCAACTTCTCGCCCACCGCCTACGAAAACTTCCTCATGCCTCACATCAGCGCTGGCAACCCCGTTTACGGCAGCTCCTACTTCATCCCAGCGCCGAGAGAGTTTAGGACCAAGTACCCGTATCAGTCGACACTGCGCCTCGTCCACCTCATGATGCGCACAGGGCTGCCGAGGCGACTCGCAGACTTGCACCACATGCGCGATGCTCATGCACTGCTGACATCATTCCCGAGCTTAGGACCCTTCCTGGCCATGCAGTAAGTAGTGCGCGTGCTTTTTGTTTTTCCGTTCAGTGCCAATCTCGACTAACGATCTCCTCTTTCATGGTGCTCGTAGGCTGCTGCTCGATCTCAATCTCTCGGATCACTTTGACTTTAGCGAGGAGGAGTTTGCGGCATGCGGGCCCGGCTCCAAGCAGTGTCTCGTGGACATCTTTGGCAAGTACGTCTCGGGCTTCGAGCTGGAAGCGATGCGCTGGATCCAGAAGGAGCAGGAGCACTACTGGGCCAAGTACGGCATCACGGACGTGCCGCATCTGTGTCCTGCGCGCAAGCCGGGCCTCAACGTCGTAGACATCGAGCACACGCTGTGCGAGGTGTTCAAGTACCGCCGCGCCCGAGGGCGCATGGAGGCGCCACCCCGCAACGTGCGCGGATCCAAGCGCGGGCGCCGCGGACGTGGAGCTGCTCGCGCCACGCCTGTGGCTGCATATCCAGCCCGCGGAATCAAGCAGGAGGACGAAGACGGGCTCGACGGGCTCGACTTTGAGCGCATCCGCAGCAACGGCTCCAAGACCTCGGGGCAGGAGAAAGTCAAGAGCTTCGTGCCGACGGGCGACGCGGTGACTGGACATCTGCCGGCCAAGTGGCTCGTGCCGCGTGCGCCCGAGGAGTACGAGCGTCCACCGCCCGTCGACCGCAGCGAGGACGTGTACGAGGTGTCGCACATTGTCGCCATGACACCCACGCAGTCCAAGTGCCTGGTGCGCTGGAAGGGCTTCGGCCCCGACGACGACACGTGGGAGTATTTCGACGAGCTGGTCAACGGGGGCGCCAAGGAGGCGGTGGAGGAGTACCTCAAGTGGCTCCGCACCGTCAAGGACGAGATCGAAGCCATGCTGGACGAGGAGAAGAGCAATCGCGAGGCGCTCGAGAAGATGCCGGCCGCTAGCCTGATGAGCAGCGCTACCAAGGCGTCGCCGGAACCGCATGGGTTTGGCACGCGACCGGCACTGCCGTTTGCCAACATGCCGCTTGCACTGCCTTTCTGAACGTCCAATCATTCTGTTCTTCGCATGCGGCTGAAAGATGCGGAGGGTATATTGCAGTGCAAGGCAGATGTGTGATCTAAAAACACGGGTCGATGCGTTCGAGCTCGTCGTCGTCGGCTTGGATCTGCTCTCTGAACCAGTACGGCAGCTGGTCTTGGTCCGGAAAAGTGATGAGGTCTGTATCGAACATTTCCACGAAGCGTTCGTTTGTAGCTCTCGCCCTGTTGCCTGCAAAGTGGCGGTACTCGAGCAAGATCGTGGCGAAGTTCCATCTCTGGAGCTTCCGCAGGCATCCCAGCAGGACGCCAATCTCGTGGATTCCTGAAGTGTCGGTTACCAGGATCGGATGATAGCTTGCAGTGAGGAGGATTTGGAGCGAGTCTTTGACCAGCTCTTCCGTGATTGTGGGCGAGGCAGTTTCGTACTGTGCGAGACTTGGGGCCGATGGTGCCTTGAACGAGTGTAAGAACGACAAATCCAGCCCTGATTCTTCATCAACATTGGCAGGAGGATGATTCTCGCGAGAGATGTCTTGGGATCCCCATCGACGCAGACCAAAGTGGAGTAGGCGGATGCTGTGTTTCTTGCAGAAGGCGGTGAGACTGGGCGAGGGCAGTTCGGCCGTGAGCGAGAGGATGGTACGCAGCTTGAGTGTGCGTACGAACGAGTGGTTGGCGGCAGCCGGTGTGGCTGAGCGATAGATCTGCGGTGCGACGCTAGCGAATAGCGCAGGTGGCTCTACGAGTGCCGCGGTTGGGATGGCGTGTTGAGCGTGATGGTGGTGCGAATGTGAATGCAACTGGCTTGAGCTTGATGGCGCTTGTGAATGCGACGAACTCGTGGACATGGCGGAGGACTTGCCATTCGTCGATGGCGCAAGATGGCTCGACATCATTGACACGCTGGACCTGACCCAAGCAGCAAGGTTGCAGAGGAGGTGGGAGCAAAGTCAAGGGTGAAGGCAGCAGCCAATGGACCCTGGCACACCAAAGCCTCGGAACTCGGACCAATCCCTCCACTTTGCCTTTCCCCCCTGCCATCCTTCCACTCACACTCCTCGCTCTTTCCCCCACACATCCGCATACTGAAGCTGACCATCCTCGCGCCAACGATGCTCCTCTAGCCCGCATAGGCCCGTTTTCAAATATACAGCGCCACTGCGCATGATTGGCGCCCTCGCGCGCACCCTCCAGCCCGCACTGGCGACATGGCTGCATCCGACTCCGCTCCGCTTCCTCCACCTCGCTGACATGTCGAGACGCTCGGGTCGGCTCAGCGCATCCAGCGTCCCATCTGCTTCGACCTCGACCTCGCTCTCTTCGCGCGCCTCAAGCTCCAAGTCCACCGTGCCGTACTTTGAAGAATGGCCTACTGAGGCGCTGCAAGCCGAAGTCAAGCGGTACGGCTTCAAAGTGTCGCGCAAGCGCGCTACGCTCATCGACCAGCTCAAGGCGGTATACGCTGCACTAGAGCAGTTCGATGCTGCGTTCGAGCCCCCGCAACACCCTCTGCCCGCAGATGGCGATGCGATGCAATACGGAGCGCCACCACGGGAGCCGGCGAGAAAACGAAAGCTCATCTTGCCTACCTCCGCCGAAACGGGTGCAGGTAAGGGAAAGGGCAGGGGGCGCAAGAGCGATCCGTTTGTGCTGGATGCAAGTTCGGACTCTGCGCCTTCTTCTCAGCCCGAGTCTGGCTTGGAGCAAGGCGGTGCGGACGAGCCAGGTGATCTGACAGCGCAGCTGGAGCGCGAAGCGCTTTCCGCCACGGACGGCAGCACCGACTCTGCAGATTCGGATGTCCCACTCTCGGCCTCAAACTCGCCCATCAAGCAGCGACGAAGGCGGTCAGCATCGGCCAGAAGCTCGTCGTCGGAAGACGTTCCGCTATCCAGACGTCAAGTAGAAGAGGAGGGCGATGGGGAGGTGGTGGATCCGTCGCCTGTGCTGGCCGAGATTATGACGGCTGCGATGCGAGGCAGCCCCGCCGTATGGGGGCGCATACTCCGCTTTGAACCCATCAGCTTCGATGAAGTGGTGAGCATGGCGACCACCCACGGCCTCGCCATGGACACGGGCAAGCGCAAGGAAGAGCTTCGGACCTGGCTCGACCGCCAGTGCATCTGTTTCTACTCCAACGACCTCACCGGCACACGAGCACGACACTGAAATCGAAAAGCATTGACAAAACAAACAGGTGACGCGATGCACAGCATCGAGCGCATGAAAACGAAAGCAGACAGTCGAGACGGACTAGGAGTGCGAGGTGGGCTGGAGGAGGCCAACTTGCTTGAGACACACGGCGAGCTTCTTGCGTTCGTCACGGTCGAGTTTGGAGGGCGTGGCGACGCAGACGTGCTTGTCATCGACTTGGACGATGCCCTTTTTCCTTCGCTGGTGCTTTTCGATCGAGTTTTCGCGCAGCTGGCACTTGTAGTCGCAGTGGTCCTCGTCGTACTGCTCGATCTCGTGCTTCGGCTCATCGTCCTCATGCGCCTTCTCGTCGCGCTTCGAAAGGCCGTGCAAGCTGATCATCGGTCCGCCGGCATTGTGAGCCGCCCACCAGAACAGATCTCGCGCCGAGCCATCGGCATTGAAGTAGCTGTTGAGGCTGTTCGGGTACGGATCGGGCTTCTGGTCGACGGGGAAGCCACCGAGCCAAGCCGATCGCTTAACGTAGCCCTGCTGACGCATCCACTTGACCGCACGGATGTGGAAGTTCTTGATGTCCGCCTGCGATCCACCACTGGCCTGCGTAATGCCGTACTCGGTCATCCAGATGTCGAGGCCAAACTCGTTGTGCACCGACTCGATCCAGTGCGTAAACTTGTCAAACTCGCGCCACGAACCGTACCAGTGCAGTGCGATGAACGAGATCTTGCATCCGAGCTTCTTGCACTCGGCCATGAACTGCTCGAGCCACTGCATGTTCCAGCACACCTGTGGCGAGCCTACCTTGACGCCCTTGTTCGCCCACGGCTGCATCTCCTTCATCCACAGTTTGGCTGCTGCCTTCGGTCCGAGGTCCGACTGCCCCTGCACGTCGGGCTCGTTGAATGCCAGCATGTACTTGGGCAGTGGTCCACGAGAGAGCTCCGCCTTGACCGCGTTCCACTTGTCCCACTTGGTCGGACCCCAGAATGTCGCCACGTACTCGAAACCCAGCTTGTCCAGGTCGGCAACACGAGTGTCCTGCCAGTGGTGGTACCATCGGAAGTCGGTATTCTTGGTCGACTTGACGCCATTGATGCAGGATGGATCGCAACCCCATGGAAGACCGAGTGCGTGGCCGTTCGAGCCGGATCCACGTGGCTCCACGCTGGTGTTGGCAGCCTCGTGATGATGATGATGCTTCTTGTGATGCTTGTGATGCTTGCGATGGTGGTGCTCCTCGGCATTCGACACCGCGGCCAGCGCGATCAAGACCAGCGACGCAATCCCCCGAACACTGATCCTCATGACGACGTATGAAAGTAAAGAGAGAGAAAGCGGTCTTGCTCAGCAAGAAAAGAGGGGGAAGGGGAAAAGTTTCCTCGGATATGAACACGGCGAAGGGAGATAGGATCCACAAAGACGAGGGAGTATGGATTGAGGGGAAGGGGGGAGGGCGGTATGAGGAGACGATGCTTTTAAAAAGGTGGGCAGGTTTCATGGATCAGGGGTCGGAGCCTGTAGGCACCGTGCGCCGAGCTTGGCAAGAAAAGTTGTCAACACTCGGCCTGAGCGCCAACCGAGCGGTCAGCAGAGCTCATGAATGCTGCACCCTAGAACGGACAAAGGTGTTCTAGGCTGTGCGAAAGGCGTCCAAGCACAATGCATTCAACCGGCGATACTTCATCTTCCCACGCCGCCCGCTCCTCCGAAGACGCTCCGTAAAGCCCACCTCACCGGCCAAACTGACCGAAAGCATTCACTTGCCGTGTGCATTCGTTCCCTTTCAGCTCGACCTCGCCACGCAAAAAGAAAGCAAGAGCATCGTGAGAATAAGCTGAGCAGTGGGCAAGCTCTTTGGAGCACAAGGCTTTGTTGCGGCATTTTCGTGTCACTGGCCGCGATCCATGTGCGACGCAAGGCGATGCACATGCACGCGCTGCAGCCGACGTGTCCATGCGCGCAGTCCAGCCCTGCACCTCAAGCGGCCAAAGCGTCAAGCCGTGCCACAAACAAAGCCCCCTCGGGTCCAAAGAATTCCTTGCTAGAAGGCATGATCCCACGTGCAGGTCTGTGCACCTAAATGCTCGCTCTAAAAGTACAATTGGCTCAGCCTGCGGATCGATCGTGTTGGCCGCGGGCCGGGCAGTATAGCGGATCCGAGCGTACATGCATACTCGCGCATTGCTCATTGTCCCAGCGAGGTCAAAGCGGCCGGCTTTTACCGTTCCGTGCCCCCTCTGCCAAGTGCTGCTAGTGGATCGAGTCTCCGCCCACGAGCACGGCGAATCCGGCGCCGATGAGCGTGCATCCGAGCACGCTGATCCACTTGAGCCGATGTCCGAGCAGCACATCGGCGATCTCGACCAGGATCGTGGTCATGAGGCAGCTGACCGACGCCAGCACAGGTCCCCACAGCGAGAGCAGGATCATGAACGCCGCATTGAAAAAGATGCCGCACCACACCACCATGGCAATCGAGACGTAGGTGCGCAGGTTGTGCGGCAGCTCAAACGTCTCCCACCCAAGCTGGTGCGCCAGAACGATTCCGATCCAGAACGTGGTAAACGTGGTGAGTCCAATGCCGGCGGTCATGACGTTGGCGTGCAGACCAAACGGAAGCGGCGGCGGGATGGATGGGTCGTGCACTTTGCGATATGTCGAGCTGCGGCGACTCACACCCGGCCGCGTCGCGTCGGTGGAGATGCGCGCGGCAGAGACATTGTGCGAGCTCTCGTCGCCGTCTGCGTACGAGGCGTCGGCGAGATGGTGCGTCGAGAGGTGGGAGCGCGTGCGATGCAAACGCGTGGCGCCGGCAAGCACAAGCTCCTCCTCTTCCTCGTCCAGCTCCGACTCCGTGACCTGGCTATCTTCGTCGTCGTCGCGGCGCTTGGTCTCGCTGCTCGGCACCGCCTTGGCATGCACTCGCACCCTGTCAGCGGTTTCTTTGGCGATCTTGCTTGCGTCTTCTTCCGCGAACGGATTTGATGGCTCCGGCGGCGGCGTGATGCTCTGATAGTCTGGGCGCTCCTGGCTAATCAGCTTATCTGCCAGCGTAGACAAGGACCGCCGTTCGTCCAGCTCGTGCTTCTTGGCGGTCTCGGTGACGTCTTGCTCGTCATCGCCGAGGATATGATGGGCACCGTCGCCGTTGCCGGCGTGAAGTGCACGTGCATCGCCGTCCGTCGCGCGTGCCTCGGACTGCGACGAGCGCAAAAGCCCCTCGGTCTCGTAATCGGTCCGGCTGTCGTCGTGCTCCGGGTCCTGGTATCGGACGTAGCTGCGCGAGCGGCGATTGCGCCCGCCGGGAACGGCCGAATACATCTCTGCTTGCTTGATTTCATCCGGAAGTGTACCGATCAGCTTGAACGCCATTTCGTACGCCGCCATGGTCACGGCTCCGATGAACGCCAGCAGGTCTCCCAACACAGGGTTGTGCGCGCTACTGACCGGGACATCTGCCGGAGCTTCGCGGCGAGTAAAGACGCGTGACACCGCCGCAGCGATGGAGCGGTGCACGAGCCGGACAGCGGGGTCTGTATCTGCAGGCGGTTTGCCATGCACCGGATCGACGGGTTTTGGAACTTTGCGGTGATCCGCGCCCCCGTAGGCGACGATTATGACACCCAAGCAGGCAAGCAGCACGGAGAACACCTTGCGCTTCTCCCACTTCTCGCCGAGAAACCAGACGGAGAAGACGAGCGCCCAGACGGAGAAGGTATTGTAGATGGCGGTGATGTCGGCCATCGACGTCATGGGCACTGCGCAGTACCAGCTGAGCGCGGGAATTGTGATGCCGATGGTGAGCACGACGAAGAGACCGGCAAGACGAAGGACGTTGAAGCCGAATGTTTCTTCGAGGAAGGACACCTTGCGGCGGATCATGCCACCCTGCTCGGCATGGTCGGCGTCGCTGAAGGCTTGACTACCCCTGCCAGACGCACGGCTGAGTCTGCGGCGCACTTCGTCGGCCCGCGGGTCCGGTAAAGAAGAGGGCGCCGTGTCGAGCTGCCACCGCAGATTCTGTGCGATGAGATGGAGGTAGTGCGTGATGGGGCGCTTTGTGGTCCACTTGAGAAAGAAGAGGTGCATGGGAAACAGCAGCAGGAATCCGCTGTGGCCGAGGTAGAGCGAAAGGAAAGGCTTGCGGTAGTTGAGCGCCTGCTGCACGTACTGCGCAAACTCGGTCTGCAGCGTATAGGCGAACAGGCTGAGTGCAAAGGCAAAGATGGCCTTGCCTCCACCGGGAAGGTTCATGAAGCTCTTCTTCTTGAGACGGTTGGCTGGAGCTTGAGCTGCATCGTTCTGCTGCTCGTGCGGCTCTTGGCCTGCATAGCTGTCTCGGAAGATGTTGCCCGACATGGTGCAGCGGAAGAGCCACGAGCGCTGCTGACAGAGCAGCTCGGAGAAGCTCAAGGGGCTCTAGCTCTAGCGTCTCTCGTGCATCCCAGGACAACCTGATCAGTTGCACGCCGTGTCTTTGAGCTTGGAGAGACGATCGAAGACGCCGAGACAGCCAGGCCTCTGCGTCTTTGAGCCGGCTTGGTTCGGAATCGATCCGAACTGCCGCTTGCAAGGAAGCCAAGTGTGATCCTTGAAGGGACGAGAGGCAAGATGAACGGTCGTGGAGCGTCAGATGGTGGTCGACAGGCATGCGAATGTTCGAGTGCCGGCTCGGAAGGGCCGCTCCACGAGGGTCTCCTGAAACGCCGTGTTGAGCTGCAAGGCACGCCCACTGCATGTGAGGCTGGCGCTTCCTGCTGTTGCTGCTGTTGCTGCTTCTGGGGCGAAAGACCGAAACACCAACAATTCCGAATCTCCGACTGCCGGTCACGATTCCGATCCCACACGGGCCACGCTCACTTTCTCAAAGTCACACGAATTCAATCGACCCACCAACGTCGGCTCAAACCCGACCGACCATCTGCACCCACTTCGACTCGGCTGGCACAGCATTCGTGCGTCGTTCGGACCGCCTCTAACTCACCGGCGCGGATCCGACAAGGCACTCGCGAGCCAAGTGTGAGCATCGACATCTCGACAGCCACGTCATGGCTTCCACTTCGGCAGCTGCTGCCATGTCTTCCGGATCGCGCTCAGCCGTGCCCGCCGACCTGCTTGCAGTTCACGACTCATTCCAGCGATACAGTCGGGATGTGACCGAGCACCAGATTCCGCGACTGCAGTCGTGCACGCAACTCACCCTGCTTGCCGACTACGAGGCCGAGGTGATCTCTTCCATAGACGGTCTCAAGCGCCAAGTCAACGACCTCAAGTTCGCAGTCGACGAAGCAGAGTCCGACGCGGAACGTCGCGAACTCCAAGCGCTAGCTTCTGCATCCAGTCAGCAGCTCGAAGCGATCCGACAGTCGGTCCGCAAAGCCTTGCTAGCCGCTCGTCGCAGCATCGACAATGCCCGATCGGAAGAAGCGCGCGCTGGGCTTCAGCTTGCAGCTGACAGTGCCAAGGAGCGCACCGGCGGCCGCGGCGGAGGCTCTAGCGGCGAGGACAAGCTCATGACTGCCTCGCAGGATGTCACCGATGCGCTGCGCCGTACCGTTGCGCTCATGTCGTCCGAGCTCGAAAAGTCGGCCATGTCGTCTCAACTGCTCGAGGAGTCGTCGCAAACCATCTCGAGCCTCTCGTTTCAGTACGGCTCGCTCACCACGCTCATGACCAATTCGGTCACAATGATCAAGACCATGGAGCGCGAAGACCTCATCGGCAAGGGCATGGTCGCCGCCTCGTTCCTCTTCTTCCTTGCCTGCGTAGGCTACATTGTGTACGTGCGCCTCATCAGCAAGGGTATCGGTCTGCTCGGCTTCTTCTTCCGCCTCTTTGGCCTCAACCGACTCCTAGGCGGCACCGCCAGCCGGAGCCCTCAAGACCTGCAGCAAAAGGCAGAGCTCTTGAAACAAGCCGCACAGTCGGTCACCAGCACACAGACAGTCGCATCGGCAGCAGTGTCCGTCGCAACTGCAGTCTCGTCCGTCGTAGCATCAGCCGCAGCTGCATCCACGTCCAAAGCGCAACAAGCGGTGCGGGACAAGCCCGTTGACATTCAAGGCGAGCTCGAAGATCTTGTGGATGCTGTCTTGCCCGACGACCAAACACATGGCCACCGCGACTTGCCCATGACCAGGGCAAACACTCTTCCCGTCGAGCATGTCGAGCTGTAATTCACTTAGACCTCCTTCATGATTCGAATGTGTATGTTGAGGGCAAAGCATGCTGTTCAGGATCAGAGGCGACTATAGTACAGAGCGCGGGCTTTCTATTGAGATTGAGACTTCGATTACGACGAGGTCGGTGCGGGTGTCGAATCGGGTCCATCAGTTGCAGACGAGGCAGCTGCGGGTTGGAGCACCTTGTTGCCGAGGCGAGGAGCCGACGCAGTGGTCACAAACTCGGTGGGTACGGGCAGCTTGGCCGAGGCGAGACGAAGAGCCTCCTTGGCGACCTCGGGACGGATCTCGACGGGTCCGCCGATCTCAAAAATGACCTTGCCCATGTTGGCGCGGCAGGCCCAGTACTCGAAGCTGCCCTTGCCCTTACCCATACGTGTCTCGTTGCCCTTGATGCAGACGGGGATATCCGGGAACACGCGCAGGAACACCTGGGCGCCCTTGACCACCTTGAGCTTTCGCTTGAGCGCAGTCTCGGCTGCAACCAGCTGCTTTGCCGACAGACGTGCGGGGGCGAGCAGACGAATGCCATACACACCCTCCTGCACCGTGGTACCCTTGGTTGAGCCGCCAGTGTTGAAGGGGATGGTGATCTTGTGCGCCTTGCGGTACTTTGTCCTACGCGGTGCGAGGTTCGACTTGTGACGAGCACTGCCCAGCTGAGATGTAGGCGAGGCAGGTGTGGTGCGCAGCGAGGGACGAGCGGCCGAGGTCATGTGAAGCGAACGGACGGGCGAGGCGACAGAGGGTCCTGCAACGGCCGCATTGCGCAGGCCAAGCTTGCTGAAAGACGCGGTGAGAGACGACCACATGTCGGTAGTGTGGTGTGAGGAGAAGGAACAGAGCCTCGACGACGGTATCGAGTCGAGTCGGGATGGTGATGGAGAGATGCTCTGAAGGTGACTGCGAGCAAAATGCAAGACCTTGCCAGAGCCTCCGAAAATCAGAAGAAGAGGAGGATCGGATCGGGCAGTATTTTTGGCCAAATGGCCGATTTTGATTGCGATCGTTTCACATCCGAATCAGAAGAGCTCGCCGAGCCGTCGCGGCGTCACAGCGTCACGGCAGCACAGCAGTGTGTTGCGTGTGCCGATGGAATAAACCTCCACCTCGCCAGCCGCACTCGCCCTTTCCGAGCCACACATCTTCCCCCCTGCCCTTTCCTCTCCGATTCGACTTGGCCAACACTACTCTTCGCACTTTCACCATCATACCACACGATAGCGCAGGCGAAGTATTCGGCATAGCAAAAGCAAGGCTAGATGTCCACCTCGGCCGATCGCACGTACGAGCAGCAGAACGACTCGGCACTCGACGCGCTCTACTCCAAGGTCTCCTCTCTCCGCTCGGTGACCATCGACATCCACAACGACTCGGAGAGCCAGCGCGCAGGACTCTTGGCCCAAACTTCGGACCAGTTTGACAGCTTCTCCAACCAGCTAACGCGCACCTCGAACCACTTTTCCAGGAGCATCGTCAACGGCGCGAGACAGCATCGCTTGACGCTTTACATTGTCGGTGGATTCGTCGGTCTCTGGCTGCTCTACAAGCTCTTCTTCTAAGAACATATCGCTTCGCACAACATGGCGTCGCTTTCAGCCAGCAGTACTGTGCTGCGACGAGCAGCTTGCAGGGCATTCCGCCCAATGGTACAATCGCGCCTTCTTTCGCGTTCTTTCTCAGCATCCACAACAGCAGCCATCATCGGCAGAGTATCCCCGCCATCTGTGTCCAGCTCTGCGCACAGTCATAGGATCGGCCTCTCAGTCACAACTCGACTGGCATACAGCACTGCGTCTTCGGGTGCTAGCCCGCTCAAGTCGTGCCCGGGCTGTGGTGAGGCGCAAGCGCTCGAATCGCTGTCGTGTCCGGCGTGCAACACGCTGCAACCCTTGCCCTCCGACATCGACTACTACAAGGCCATGGACCTCGACTTTGGATCGATCCCCAAGGGAGGCTGGGAAGTGGACACTGCGGCGCTAAAGCGCGCCTGGCGGCTCAAGATGGCCGTCACCCACCCGGACCGCATGGTGGGACGCACCGACAAAGAGCAGCAGATTGGTGCTCAGCAGAGTGCGCTCATCAATCGCGCGTACGAGACGCTGCTCAACCCCCTGCCGCGTGCTCACTATCTGCTGGAACGCTACAAGGCGCCCGAGGTGTCGGAGTCGGACTCGCTCGAGGACCCCGAGCTGCTCATGGAGGTCATGGAGCTTCGCGAGCGACTCGAAGAGGCTGAGAGCGAGGCAGAGGCCGCCGAGGTGCGCGCCGACAACGCACGTCTGCTGGATGCAGCCGTCGACACCCTCGCCCAAGCGTTTGCCGCCTCGCCGCCGGATCTGGCTTCGGCCAGAGAGGCTGCCGTCCAGCTCAGATACTGGACCAACATCGAAAAGGCAGCAAGGGAGTGGTCGCCGGGCAAGCGGGTCGAGCTGCAGCACTAGTCAATGTCGCTCGCCACGTGCTGCCAAGCCTACTGGCTGTATCTCTTGCTGATATCATGATGGAAATCAAAACATAGATGGTTTCGTTTTTGATTCGAGGGTAGATGACCGGCATATGAGCACCTTGGCATTGCCTCGGGCTTGATGGAGCGTCGGCCAGAGCTGAGGATCGGAAAGCACTGCAAAGTGAGGACCAGCCGTGGCTACATTTGCAGCTTGGCAGGCGCAGCGAGTCGGGGAGCTGGCGACCCTGCGCAATCGCTTGCCGAAGGGGCGGCCGCTTCCCGACAGAGAGCAACACCACCTCTGACCAGCGCTGCCTGCAGGTCGACGAGGCGTCCGTGTGAATCGCAATCGGCACCGTCAGATGGCACAGTGTGATCTCGCAAGAGCGGGAACGTCGGTTGTGCCCAAATCCGCTGGCCCGTCTCGTCTCGCCCTCTTCGTCTTTACCGCAACCGACGAAAGCGCACAGATATTTGCTCTCTCCCCCGCCCTGTCTCCTTGATCTCTCTCTGTTGGTGCTCGACTGTCACCGGCTTGCAGTAGGATGGTCGCGATGCACATTCTGTGGATCTGGCCTGGAAGTGTCTCAGCCCTGTTTGCGAGGATTTTTCCCCGGAGGCGCTTAGCGTGCCACCGGAACGAGGCTGCTGGGAACGCGATCCAGCAGCTGCAACAGACTCCGAACGCCAAAAAGGTCGAGATGGGAAAAACGCGCTGCGCAGGCCAAACTGCGCTTCCGTGCAGCGGGCGGCTCTAGGCGACCCCAGATTTTGATTTTTCGCGGGCAGCGAGCGGCCAGAGGGGCTTGGCGCGTGAGTGTGGCCCGCGAGACAGGAGTGCGCTGAGCGGCGGGTGTGTTGCTCTTCCTTTTGTCTTGCGAGACCCTCGAATCTGGGGATGTCGGGCTTGCCGCCGCCGCTGCAGCTGCTGCTGCCGCCCATGCATCTGTCAGTCATCTTTCATGCATTCGGGCTCGCAAAATTAGAGTCTGCCTCTGGACGCGAGGCCGAGCGTCGATTCCAGCAGGCGGCGGCCGCAGAAGCAACAGCTTGAGCTGCACGTCTGCGCTCGCTTCGACCGTATGGCCATTCGGGCCCCGCAACCCGCTTGCGCTTGAGAGTCCCACACGCACTCTCTCTGCGCTCGCGCCTGGCTTGAGATCTGATTCACATGGCCTCCGCAAAGCTGCATTTCGAATCCGACTCAGAGCTCCACCACCGCCAAAAGTCGGGCGCTTCCCGAGTCCACTCATCACCGTCACCGTCACCCTGCCTTTGGCTTCGCGCAGTCCTCCTCCCCCTTCCATCGCGCCGTCGATCGTTGTCATCGCCACTCGCTGCCATCCCATCTGCCCTTTCCTAGACTTTTTCCCTCCCTTTATCCCTGCACGCGCCGCACGCTTCGCTCGTCGCAACAAGCATCAGCAGCACTAGCCTCCACCACCAGCTTCACCAGGACGCTGTCTCCAAACCCGAGCAAGCTGTGAAGGCCCAGTCCGAATCCAAGTCGCGCCATATCGGCTGAGCCGGCTCGCTGACTCACTCTGCGCATCTCGGCCTCGGTCACGCTGCCATCCGCGCGCGCAAGCTGCGAGTCGCTCGCCTTCATTTCAGCTCCCTTTGAGCTCCCCGGAAACGCACGGAAGCGGCAACGGCGGCGCAGCAGCAGCACTGCCTCCGATCCATCTGCCTCGCTCAGAAGGAACCAAGGGATCGACCGAGATCCGACAGAGCTCCTGCGAGTCCCTTCTCGCCCAATCCGCACGCCGCTCTCCTCTTCCGGTCCAAATGACCGCTCTGATCCCGCAGCCCTGAGCCTCGAGTTCCGCAAGATACCCTTTCCATATAGATAGAAGCCGCAGGCCTCACAAGACCGCACTGCCGCCCAAGCAACTCAGACCGAAGATCAGACAAGATCAGACATCTCGACGGCCAACTCGCCGCCGCGCATATAGCCTCCCGGCGTGAATCGAAAAGACGCCGAACCGTGGCACCGCCAGGACCTCCGCAACGATCAGCAAACAAGAGCAACACTGCAGGGTGAGTAATGCCTCGGATCTTCGCCCATTGTTCCTACGCTCCAGAATCGGCCCGAGACGCCGAAGTTGATGGGATTGCAGTAGTCTCGAGGAGGATGGCCAAGCGGATGGTCTAGCTGAAGCGAGGCGCGGTCACGGTTGTCATGCGATGACTGTGGTCGGGAACGCAGCAGCGAACCGTGGACGCGTTGCCACGCTTCCGGCATGGCGCGTCTGATGAACCCCTACCGTCCGCTTTCACATCAGACGTCTGGACACCAATCCAACCGTGGACACGGAAGCGTCACAGCAACCGGCGGAGCAGCAGATGCACGCGGGACTCGCCTGGCTAAATCCAGCCGCAGCATCGATTCGTATCGCTTCGCCGGGATGCTTTTGGCCACGGCCTGCACGCATATATGCGCGTCCGCATGCTCAAATGACATCGTGTGGATCTCGTGGTGACTTTAGCCATCGGCCAAGGCAGGCGCACGTCGTCCCATCTTGGAACGACCGAGCCCGACGCCATGCTGTCGTACTTGGGCCTGCCCTTTGATCCTTTGGACGGCGAGCGAGGCTCAGCCCAGCAGCGTCGCGCGAGTGGACATGACCGCTCAGACTCAGCGCCCGGCATGCGCGGACTGGCGCTGACTGGCGCGAGCGTCAGACGGGACACTCCCAGATCTGCGCGTCCACACTCAGAGCGCTCCATCGGAGTCCTCGACACGCTTTCGAGAGCGCGCAATAAAGAGCAGTCATCGGATCACAAGCGACTCAGCCACAGCCGTTGGCTAAAGTCAAAAGTCACCGCGCGCACACGGCCTGTCACCACCACCGCCGCCAGGCACTGGATGCTGTGCGGGAGTCGCCTGCTGCGCGTCGGCGCTGTGTGACGATGAGGATCGCCCTTCAGCCCTCCCAGCTCCAGCGCCAGTTTTGTGCGTACCATTGCTGCTCCCGTCTTCTTGCTCTGCCGATTGCTGTCGTCTTGCACTGCAACCGCGTCCCGTTTCTCTCGAGCCGACCGAATCAACCGGGTGTCGCGAAGAATCCTGCAGCAGGGCTGAGTCGGCTGCTCCTACCGGCGCCGCGCGACGGGCGCCGGGCGCCATCCGAGCCTGTTCTTGGCCATCACAGCGCACGAATCCGCGCTCGCAATGCGCCATCGGCGGCACCAGATCACAGCGCCCGGCACGGGACGCGCTAGGCGCTGGCTTGAGCCAGGTCGTCAGTCTTGCAGACCCTGACTCGGCTCTTGCGCCTGGTCGGCTTGGATCCGATGCGGCCGGCTGCCGGCCTCTCGACTTGTATTCAAAGCCAGCCCTGCTTCCGTTCTGCCATGGCGTCGAAGCTTCTTCCAGCCCCACACATTTCCCTCTCGACCCCCTTTCGTTTCTTCTTCCGAGCATTTCTCGATTGCAGCCGATGCAGCCTCGACCAGCTACGACCATCTGTACAGATCGAAGCATTGTCCTCGCCATCCTTGCGTCGCCATCCGTCGTTGCCTCGAGTCCACTTGTCGCTCCCTGCTCTGTAGGGCGCCCGGCACTCGTAGATCCAGTGCAGCTCGTACATCGGCGGATCGAGACGATCCTTGCGTCCCTCGTCGTGATTCAACAGCTTCCTTGACAGAAGAAGCGCCGACACTGACGGCACCTGTCTATCCTTTCCCTCATCGCCATTCTTTGATCCTTTCGACAAATCGACATTCAAAGGCAGCGACACATAGCCGACTGTTGAGCGGGCGATATCGATTGCTGTAGACGTCCCCGGGCTTGGACCTAGAGGGTGCACGCCAAGGATAAAGCGCACGTCTACCCGGCCCGGTTCCAACACTTTCTTTGCTTGTTCAGCCCTCCAACTCCACCTCGAACGACCAATCGCCTACGTCGGCTGCATCGACGAGACTCACGCTCTAGACCAACAGAAACAGAGCAAAAAGCTCGGCTCGCCTTTTGCACTATCGGACCGACGCCAACACCATCGCCTAGTCGGAGCCAGACGCTCACACGTGAGCCCAGCCAAGATGCCGGACATCGACAATCCAGCCAGTCCGGTGCCCGTTCAAATCGAAGAACGCAAGTCCCCAGGCTCGCCCCACTCGCCCTCTGCAACGCGCAGCAGGCATCCGCACCATCATTCGCCGAGCTCTCAAGGCTCCACACCTTCGCCATCCAACTTGTCGCACCCAGCCTCGCTCAACGGCGACGATGCCAGGCACGGCACATCTCCCGCCACTTCGGTCGACGTGCCATCGGTGCCGCCTGCGGGCCTGAAGCTCGACACTGCCTCTCACTACGCACAGACCCGTAGGGAACAGCAGGCATCGCTGTCGCGGGCCGGTGTGGCTCGATCGCCTCATCCTCTGGATGGATCATTTACAGGACGGTCCGGTGGCATGCTGGCCACGATGCAGGAAGAAGGTGGGCCCGGCTTTGCCGACAGTCGACGCGACTCTTCGCTGGGATTCGACTCGAACCAGACGTTTTCGCAGATGGAGCAGGCCATGCGCGCGTCGCGACATCGGTCCGCCTCGAGTGCAGCAGCGCTTGCGCTCCACGGCAGCAGCGGCCCCTATGTCGATCGTTGGGCCAGCAACGCCGCAGGCAGGATTGCGCCCGCGTCCAACCTGCCGTCCCGTACCCTTTGGGACGGAGTAAGGACGGGAGAAGCCGCGGGCGGACCCAATGCGCCGAACAGCATGGCTGCCCAGAGGCCCCAACCCCACCTCCAGCGCGGCTTTTCGGCCTCGTACGTGCGCAGCAAACCGGAGCCAGCATCGCCTTCGCCGTTCCTGAGCTCGCCAGCGGGCTTCCACGATCTCGGCTTTGACTTTACCGAAGGCTCGTTGCGCACACATCGCTCCAACTACAACACCAACTCTTCGCCCTTTGGCGCGGTGCACGATCTTCCCGAGCTGTCGTCGTATCCCGAGCCATCGCGACTCGGTGGAGCCGATGCGGATGGCCCAGATGGAGACAACGATCGTGCGCAGTCCGGTTACGAGTCGCGACGCCACTCGGTGGCCGGTCCCACGATTGCCAGACGCGATTCGTCCAGCGCCGGTGTGATTGGCGGCCATCGACGAGCGATCGGCTTCGACGTGGCCGGACCGTACACGACCGATAGAGGCGGTCACGAGCTTGCCGGTCACGGTACCACCGCCGATCGAGGCTGGCCCGTCGCCGGCAGGCACGGCAGGGATCGCAGCATCACCAGCGTCAGCGCTACTGCCTCGGGCTTCAACCCCTTTGCCGGAGGCAGCCTGGCCCTCTCTCTGGACGACTTAGCTGGCGATTCGGACTTTGAGCCGTCTTCGCACGCCCGCACCCCTCGCCGTGACATGAGTGGCACGAGAGGCACCGCTGATCCAACATGTGTCTCTGGCACTAGCGCACCGAATGTTGGCCCGCATGCCGCTTCCATGCCCTCCGCATTCGACGAGGGCAGCCTCGACGGTTTTGGAGCCGGCTCGACCCGATTTGCAGATGCACCGCGCCTGACGCGGGCTGGCTTGGACAGCCTCTCTGCCAGCTGGGACACGATGGCTCCTTCGCACATGGCGACTCGCTCTCCTGGTGAAGGCCAGCACACCTTTGCCGAGATGACGAGGCGTCTTCGGCAGATGTCGATTGGCGAACAGGATGTGCACTCTCACTCGCACCGTCACGGCTCGAATGCCTCGTCTTTCTTTGACAACCAGGCCGAGGGCACGCGGACTGTCCGGGCAAGCCCAGGCACGTCACCCACTGGCGTACGGGGGCTCGCCGCTCCTACCACCGGGCATGCTTTGTCGGCCCAAGCCAAGTCCTTCACGGCCTCGCAGCCGATGGCGAGCTATGGTCAGGACTTTGCGGGCGCCATCAGTGGAGCCGCACCGGGCGCGCATGGCATGCATGCCGGCTTCGGCTTTGCGCCACCTGGCTCGGTGCTGGCTCCAGGCAGCCGCATGCCGTATCCGCCCCCAACCGCGTCTCCCTTCGGAATGATGCAGCAGTCTGCTTTCGGTCCCGGTCCCGGTCCTGCTCTGGGCTTGAGCGGTCCTGCTCCTCTTCCTGCGCTCTCGCCCAACGACCTGACGTTTTCGAGCCTGGCAGCTCTCGGTCCGATGCCACCAAGTTCGATGGGACCTCCGGGAGCCCTCGGCGGTGGCGGCGCGCCGTTCGGCTCGGGAGCGTCGGGGGATCTGCAGGACCTTGGCAAGGGAGTGCCGCTCGGCAGCCTGTCGAAGGACACGCCGCTGTACATTGTCGAGTTCAAGCAAGGACGCACGGATCTGTTCTTCCGCTCGCATTCGCCGACTCAGTCGCCCTCGATGCGCGAGGAAGAGCCCATCCGCCGAGGCGACTTAGTGATTGTCGAAGCGGATCGAGGCAAGGATCTGGGCACGGTGGTCAACGACAGCATCACGGTGGAGCAGGTGCAAGCGTTCCTTGCGCATCAGTCGGATCTGACGATTGGCGCGGCTGCAGCGCTTCAAGGCAACGGCAGCACGGGTTTGGGCGCTGGCAGCAGCCGCGACGAGACGAGCTCGAATGCCTCGGGCAGGAGCGGGTCGCCTTCGGCCTCGTCGGCTGCGAGCGGACCGAGCAGCAGTGCGACTTCGAATGCGATGGCGAGTCGACCCATGCGGACGATCAATCCCAAACGCCTGTTTACCAAGGCGACGGCAGCCGATACGAGCACGCTTTACTCGAAGGCGCAGGACGAGGAGCGTGCGCTGCAGCTGTGCATCTCGAAGGTGATGCAGCGTGGACTGCCAATGAGCGTGGTGGCGGCCGAGATGCAGTGGGACCGACGCAAGCTGACGTTCTACTACACTGCGAGCATGCGGGTCGACTTTCGCGATCTGGTCAAGGAGCTCTTCCGCCTGTACAAGACGAGGATCTGGATGTGCCACCTCGGCCATCCGAGCGGCACGGGTCTCAGCTAGAGGAGGGCGGTCGAGGGAGCGGGTCACCATGGCTGGGCTCACGTAAAAAGCCAGCGAGCAAGGCTGCTTCTCCTGTCCACTTGTCCTCGTGTCTTGACGATGTAAGCTCAATTCCATATCTTCACGCACAACTTTGGGTATCGTGTCATCAGCACGGTCTGTATTGGCTGTTTCTTTGGAGTCTGGTTGGATGCAATGCCCGAGTGTGCTTACTCGTGATGGAGTTGGTCGTGACGACGGCTGCCTGATGTTGGCGACACCTTGCCAAAAATGATGGCAAAAAACAGAAAAAAAAAAAGAAAAAACAGGAGGGAAATTCGGGAGCGGAAAATGTTGAGCCAGGGCCCAGGCGCTCAGACTCGAGTGTTGGGTGGCCCACCTGCGGGCTGCGAAATTACCGACGGGTGCTTGGCCGAGAGCTGCCAAAAAGTGCATGTGACCCTGCACGAGCCACGAGCGGAAGAGTGGAGAAGGAAGCCAAGTGCTGCAGGTGCTGGTGCTGCTCCTGCTGCTGCTCTGATTTTGCCCCGAGGCTGCGCTGCGCTGCAAGCTTCGCACATCTTCAAGCCAGGGTCGGTGCCCTCCGACCAATCAGCCTTGCGCGATCTGTCTTGGCCTCGTCCCGCAACGCTCGCTTCTTGCTTCCCTTCATCCATCATCGACGTCCTTCTTCTTTCGTTCCACCTACAGAATCGATTCGAGCCCGTCGCAATCATGGTCTGGTCTCCTCCCGTCTCGCTTGCGTCTGCCAAGGACAAGACTAGGTAAGTCCCGATTTCTCCCCGCTCCGTCCCTCTCGTCCATCTTGCTGACCCCGCTCTTGTCTCGCGCTGCTAGCTTTGCCTACGAATCTACTGTGCACCGATGGCCCGCCATCCTCACGCAGGTGATCGACAGCATCTACAGCGCCAACTATGCGCTCTCCTACTCGCGCACCAACCAGTCGGCCAAGATCGACGAGGGCAAGCAGATCATCGAGAAGATCGCCGCTCTCAAGCATGACATGAGCCGCGACCGCCCGCTCGAGCCCATCGGCGTCGTCTCGGGCAAGGACGCCGACGAGGGCCCTTCCACCGAGCTCTTTGACTCGGTCATCGACAAGGAACACTGGACCTGGTTCCAGGCGCCCTGGCTCTTTGCCGAGTGCTACCTCTACCGCCTGCTCAGGACCTTCTTTGCGCGCAGCCAGCACTGGAAGCAGTACGATCCCTTCTCCAAGACCAAGCTCGACACGTTCAAGAGCTCCGGCAACGCCATCAGCGCACTTGCCGTCACCATCGAGGAGCTCGTGGCCAAGTCGCTCTCGTCGGAGCAAGGGCCCGAGTCCACCCCACAGGGACGCGAGATCCTGTTCCACGAGATGGCGCAGATGTCGCTGTGGGGCAACGCCACCGACCTCAGTCTGCTGACCAACCTGTCGTACGCCGACCTGCAGGCGCTGCAGACCACGGGTCGCGAGCAGCAGGAGGCACGCAGCAAGTACATCCTCGCCAACGACCTCGACAAGGCGTGGACGCGCATCTCGTCGCTCAACAACGGCCGCGTCGACATTGTGCTCGACAATGCCGGCTTTGAGCTGGTGACCGACATGATCTTTGCCGACTGGCTGCTCACCACGCCGCACGTTGGCGAGGTCGTCTTCCACCCCAAGAACATGCCCTGGTTCGTCTCGGACGTCACGCCGCCCGACTTCCGCCACACGATCGAGTCGCTGCTCGAGCCGAGCTTCTTTGCGCGCCAGGAGGCGGGGCAGGACCGCCACCGCAGCGTTAGCCGAAGCCGCGACCTGCAGGCGGATCCGTCCAAGTACTCGTTCAACGCCTCGGGCGGACAGGGAGCGCAGCCGGCTGGATCGCGATCGCTGCAGATGGCCGATGGCAACGAGCGTGGTCGTTCGCCGCATCCGTCGGGCAGCCTGCACCTCCAGGCTCGCGAGGGCAGCGTCGACTCGACTGGACGTGGGCGCACGCCGGCGGGCAGCCGCAACTTCCAGATGGACGCGGCGTACTTTAAGAATGCGCGCTCGCAGACGATTTCGCCGTCGCGCTCGTACGTGATGGACAGCTCGCGCTTCTCGTCGCTCTCGATCCACGACGAGGAGCCGAGTGGCGACGACGAGCGTCACGGCCGCGGGCGTTCGACGACGGTCAAGGACGAGACGCCGTCGTCGCAGACGCCCGTGCAGGCGATGGTGCGCCGCTGGATGAAGCACATGGAGTCGGGCCGATTCAAGCTGTCTGTGGCGCTCGACACGCCGCTGGGCGCCGACACGGGTGCGGCCAACGGATTCTGGACGCAGCCGGTTTCGTACGCCAACATGGCGACGCATGCGCCCGAGCTGCACAAGGAGCTCGCGACGCAGAGCGACCTGGTGATCTTCAAGGGCGACCTCAACTACCGCAAGCTCACCTCGGATGCCAACTGGAAGTCGGACACGAGCTTCCGCGACGCGCTCGGCCCACTGGCTGGCACCGTCGAGATCCTGGCGCTCAGGACCAACAAGGCGGATGTCTGCGTAGGGCTCAAGCCTGGACAGGAGGCCGAGGTGGAGAAGGAGGACGCAAAGTGGCGTGTGGACGGAAAGTGGGCCGTCGTGCAGTACTGCCCTCAAGACAAGTAGACGCGATGCGAGTGCAGCCGATGACAAGAAAGAAATCTGAATTGCTGTAGAGCCATCATGTTGACAATGCGCTCTTGTCCCGTTTCTGAGGCTGTGTGGACTGTTTGGAGGGTTGGAGGGTATCGAGTTGTAGAGGCGCAAAGGATGGCGGGAGGTTCGACTTTACGTCTGAGCCCTTTAGCCGAGCAGCCTTGATCTTTTTACTCTGACTGACGTAGATGTGGTATCGGTTGTAGAGGACGATTTCGGCGAGGGCCGTGAGGAGTGCGACGAACATGGAGACGAGCACCTTGTGGGCGGGGGTGGCGTTTCCGCTTGCCCACCACGCAGCTGTGGCTGTGGCGAGGGCCGAGAGAAAGATGTTGAGCATGACGCTGAGTTGACGCTGTGCATCGCGCCACGCCTGCTCCTCGTTCTCGGCCATTGCTTTGCGCGACGCAGGATCGAGCGATGTCGGTGTGGATGATGCGAAGCGCTGTGCGAGGGGAAGCGTTGGATCGACGCCGGCGATGTTGGTGTAGGAAGTGGAGATTTTGTAGGCACCCGGAGTGTGCGTGGTTGAGCTCGACATGCGCGAGTATTCGGCCTGTTCTTGCGCTTTGCGTATCGCTGCTAGAGACTCTTCCAGCTCCTTCGACTATGTACAGAGTGGCATTAATTCAGTCACTCGTAGCTGAAAAGGAGGCATGGGCGGATGCAACTTACCCTTTGGAAGACCGGTTTGGGTGGCACATAGACGCGGGAACCCCTCACGAGGGCCGAAAGCTTGCAAGCGCCGTCGTTCACTCCATTTCCATCGGCACCGGGCTGTGTGGATGCCCAACTCGCGATGCTGATCAGAAGCGTATGTTCCAACACCACCGCTTGGTCTTGCTTTTCCGAGCTGGTGCTGGTTGTGGGTACAGCTGGGCTTTGTGCAGTCATCTTTTCCGCGTGCTGCAAAGGTTGGTCTGCCAGCGCGGCTCGCAGCGCTTCCAATGCATCATGCTTTGAATTAGTGACAGCGAGATCCCGCAACCGCCGCGAAATGCTCGGAGACAAGATGAGCTTCGTCATGGCTCCGTCGAAGGTGTGCGTGTGAAAGGGAGGGCAAGCGAGAAGACGAGAGGCAAGGCTGGGTGTAAATTACAGCTGCTGCAGGGTTCGTCGGAAGTCGGCCCAGCACCGAGCCTTTCCTCCACACACAAGCGCGCGACCAAATCCGGCCGAGTGAGAGTCTCCAGGTGTTGGTCTCTGTGTGCGGGGAGCGACGTGGCGCGTCACGCTAGCGCGCTTCCGCTTCTGAAACATGCACCTTGCCGATCCGTTTGATTTTTGCCATTCGCCATGGAGTCTACCAAGAATGCTTGCTCAGCTGTCCATCCCCGACGCACTCACTTGCGAAGGCCAGATCCAGTTTGAAGACGCTGGGCTGAGGAGCTGGATCGCTGCCAAGGCTGGCTGATGCGTACCCTTTGTCAGCGTGATTGTGGGGCGGGTGGCATCCGATGCATAAATCACAGGCCGCGCTCGGATCTTCCGAGCCTTGAAAGCGGGCGTGGCGTGTGCCAAAGGGCGAGGAAAAAAGTGTGATTTCAGCAGAGCAGGGCGGGGCGGAATCGGCTACGGCTGTCCAAAATCCTTCGCTGCTGCTGTCAGTCGAGCCAAGCTGCGCGAAAGAAAAGAAAGCTCGAGCCTGCATGTGGGCGTGCGGTGCGGTGCGGTGCGGCTCACGACTCCTTTGCTAAAGTCACAGGGCACACCTGCACCTGCACCGACACATGCAGTGAGCTGCAGCTGCACCTTCGCAAGCACACTGCACCGCACACGCACACGCACACCGCACACCGCACACCGCACACCGCACACCGCACACCGCACGCACATGCCACACACTCGCTCAGTCGCTCAACTCGAGCCCACTTCGTCGCCTTCATCCCCCTTCTCGTCGTCCTTGCTCCGATCATCGGCCAGCGCTCAGAACCTAATAGCCATCCCATCGCATCATCCGATAGAGCCGCCTCCAAGCACACTCATCGATACCATTCTCCAACCAGCAAGCATCTCAACCAACAGCAGCAGCACACAGTGCCCCATCGCGCATAGCTCCAGCTCTTCACGACCAGCCAGCACTCCAACGTATGGTCTTCTAACGACCACTATTACTCTGGCGCAGAGCAGCCCACACCCGCGCTCATGGACGTCCCCACCCTCAACGTCGCCGCGCCCGTATTCACCCCGGGCGCAGGCGCACGTTCCAATGCTCCTCCAGTCGCAAGGGAGCCCTCGCCGATGCGCCCATCCTCCTCGGCTTCGGGTCAAGACACTCCCGTTCACGACCAGCGCCCATCATTGCATTCTACCATGGTTGGTGTCCAGCATCTTTCCGCTCTTCTGCGATTGCACTTGGCTCATGCTGACAACTTGTCCATATTTTCTCATCTTTCCTCCCACTAGCTTTCACAGATTCAGAACCAGATGACTCCTGGCGGCGGTGTTCCAGGCGGCATGGTCCACATGAACGCCGCCTCTCGACCCTTTGTTCCCGGCGGCGCCGCGCCTCTCTACAAGCAAGAAGTTCCCATCACTCCACTTCATTCGGCGCCGACTCCGACCAATGGCTTCAGCCGCTCGCCGCTCGCCGGCCACGCCCTCGCTCACGGCTTGAATCCAGGCAGTGTCCAGCTCACTGGACTGCCTGCCTTCCTCGCAACGCCGCCAATCATGACGAACCCCCCTTACAACTCGGCATACCCAGCTGGCCCACCCTCGCCCATCTCGCCTGGCGCCTCCGTTCCTCCGAGTCCATTCGCCATATCTCACCCGCAGAACGCGCTCGGTGTTCAACGCCAAGGACCTCTTATGGGCGCAAACATGAACGCCAGGAGAGGCAGAGGGCCGCAACCCGTCACTCCCCTCAAGTCGTCCGGACACAATTCAACGCCTTCCATATCCATGAACCCCGCCGCCTTTGCAGCCAACCTTGCCGCGCTCAAGGCCAAGAAGAAGGTCGTCGTTTCCATTCCCAACGAGAAACCTTTGCCAGACGATTCGGCGCTCATCTCGCAGCACGACAGCGAGTCGCTCAACAGCTCGCCAGAGTTCAGCGGAGACGACAAGGAACCGAGCTCAAGTACCCAAGACGTCAAGCTGCGTCACGCTCTAGCGGCCGCTCAGACTCGTAACAAATGGATCTTGCGTCAGCCATGGTCTCGCGATCTTCACGACCAAGTGCCTTGCCTCGACGTCCCGCTAGACGCAGTCATCACCTGCGCAGTGCATCCCGAGCCTTGGCCACACTCCTTGGGCTTGCCGGACACCATCGAGATCTACCTTCCTGGTCAGAGCGCCTGGGACGAGTACCAAGAGCAGCGTTACGAGGAGCAGCAACTCGAGGCCGAGGCGGCTGCCTTGGAGCAGCAGCAGCTGCAGCCAAACGTCCTGCCTTTGCTACAACCCAAGCCGCTCCTGCCGTCGGAACTCGCCATCTTCGCTCCGGACCACAAGATCCGCAGCTTTTCCATCTCAACTCCCGCCGATCCCAACATGGTCTCCTTCAAGCTCAACCGCTTCCTCCAATCGCAGCATGCCGACTCCGCCGCTGCAAACGACGCAAGCGGCGCTGAACCTCTCCAGAACGAGCCAGGGCCATTTGCCCGCCTCAATCCCGATCTGCCTAGTCGACTGCGCGAGGCTTTTGCCCGTCGTCGCGGAGAAAGTACAGACATCAGCCTCCGCCCGCCCACGTCCAAGCATGGCCACACAATGTCGCTCGGCTTGCCGAGCTCGGGTGGTCCATTTGGCCCCGAGGTCTTCAGCGCTCTCGACTTGATTCGCGCCAATTCGGACCAAGGACCTTCCCAGCCTCCGTCCGACACCCACGATGCTGAGATGCCTTTGTCCGACTCGGAAGCCATGGCTCCGAGGGCTCAACCTTTCCTCTCTGAAATCGCCGAGGATGACGCAGAGGAAGAGTATGCCATCGCTGGAACCGCACGAGCATCGTCAAAGCCCTCAGGCAGCGGAAACTGGAAGGATCTCGGCAGAGGTTTCGGATACGAAGTCGAGCCTAATGCTCACGCTTCCACCAGCGACCGAAAGGCTCGATCTCATGCGCGCCAAGCATCCAGAATCTCGGTCAGCACCTCGCGTCGAGGCGGCCAAGACAGCGACGAGCTTCTCTCGGACGGCGAACACTTCGAGATCCGCACCAACCCAAGCGAAGATGCCGACGCCTCGGACTTTGAGGAGGATGCGGGCGAGTATGGGGAGGAACACTGGCACGCTCGTCGCGCCAGCGCACATCTCTCTGCCTTTGGCGACGCTCACGACCGCCACGGCTTCGATAGTGTCTCGGGAGGCAGCGACGACGACAGCCTGCGCGACTCTCTCACCCCGTCGGACGAGCAGTTCAGCAATCCTTCGGATGAAGAGGCGGCTCGCGAGGAGAGGATGCTGCGCCGACAGCATCGCGCAGCAGAGCGAGCGGCTCGCCAGGAGCGCAAGGCCCGCCTTCGAGCACGCGCCAACACTGACAACACACTTCCAAGCAGCAGCATTGGCGAGGCCGACCTGTACGAGAACGGTCGCTACGACTCGGATGGCGACCAAGCCGATGCACAGCGTCACGACAGGGCGCGGCGCCGTGACCTCGATGACATTGTCAGCAATCCGTCCGACGAGGTGCACTCCGACTTTGATGGTACCGAGACGTTTGGACACACCCACCGCCATGGTCGCAATGACGACGGCCCTCGTCTCAGTCAGGACTTCCGGTTCCCACCGCCCAAGCCGACGGGGTCGAACGCATCGCAGCCTCGTTCCAGCAATGGTCCCACAATGTCAGGAACCCTCGGTCGCGCTGCGGGCTCGTCCATGCTCAATCCAGGCGCCAAAGAGTTCACGTTCGGCGGCGTTGCCACTGCGAGCGCTGGAACAAGGGCGGTCTCGGCGCCATTGTCCAACGGCCAGGATGCCGGCGCACACTTCCGCCTGCCCAGCATCAAGACGTCGAGCTTTGGGTCGAGCGCGCTCGGCGAGGCGGCTGCAAATGCTCCCCATCTCAATGTTGGTGCGCCTTCGTTCAAGCCCGGAGCATTCACGTTCAAAGCTCCCGACGGTGTCCGCCTCGAGCTGCCAAATACCACGCATGCTGCAGCGACGGCGGATGGCGCGGACGCAGAGGACGACCGCATGGCGCAGAGCGAAAGGCAAGGACGCGAGAAACGCACCCGCTACGGCCCCATTGACTATGCCAGCGAGGACGAGCATGACGCAGCCTACGGTACAAGCCCGCCCCGGCCCAAGGCTTCGGCTGCGAGTATCGAGGGCCCTCTGCGCAGCTTCAGCACGCTGTCAAGGCAGGGCCCTCCTCCCTTCCTGCCACCCAACTTCCAGCAGCAGCAGCAGCAGCAGCAGCAGCAGCAGCGCGCTGTCTCCCATGACTCGCGCTTCACTGCTGACGCGCCCTCTTTCGTCCCGACGTGGGCTAAGGGTGCAGCTGCGTTTGGCGGATCCACCAGCTTCAAACGCCCGACCTTGCCGGACTGGGCGCCAGCCGAGAAGAAGCCGATGCCGTCGATTCGTGACCCGAGCATGTTTACGATGGAGACAGGCAACAAGGCTATTCCAATTCGACGTCCGGCCGAGGATGAAGCTGAACAGTCCGCAACTCAGAATCGCTCGCCTCAGAGCGGTATCGCAGCGCAACGAAATGCCGCCATGCAGGCTACGTCTCCGGCTCAGAGCAGCGTGCCCAAGTTCGACGGTCCTCGCGCAGCAGGCGAGGCGAGTGGAAAGTCATCTAACAACACCCTGTCAGCCCCAGCACCGTGGGAGACATCGCGCAAATCCGAGTCGGAATGGCAAGCGGAGAGAGCACGTCCGATCCACATTCCTACTGGACCGCACAGCTTCCAGTCTTCTGTGGCTGGTTCACTGGTGTCTAACGCCGAAGCACGTCTTGGAATGCGTTGGGCACCCCACCACACACCTTCTCTGTCTCGCGACAGCATGAGCGTGTCTTCTGCAGGACGACGCCAGAGACGCTCCGACCGCAGTCCGCAGAAACACCGCAACGTCAGGCTCGATGATGGCGACGATGAAGACGAGGAAAGCCTCACCGACTTCGTGGAAGAGATCGCGGAGCGAGTTGACAAGGCACTCGAAGGCTGGGCCGGCAAGATTCTGGACGAGGTCACCATCATGGGCCAGGTGCGACCCAACCCGCGTCACCTCAGCCCAGCATCCGTCGAAGTCAGCTTGGACCAGGACAAGATTGTGCAGGAGCTCTCGAGGCGCGTGGAGGAGGCATTAGACGCCCACCTCGCCAACACCTTCCAGTCGCATTCTCGCAAGATGACCGACGCTTCCGACGAGACGCAGACTACCATTCGTCCTTCTCGACAGAGGTATTCTTCGTCTGATGACAAGGTGGCCTCGGGTCTGGCCGATGCGTCTGGCGAGTGGGACTTTGACTACGTGCAGGAGGTCCTCGACATGAAGCTCGGCGAGCTTCGGGACCAGTTCAAGATGTCCATTACGCAGGTTATAGAGAGGATCGATGCGCGGTCCGAAAGCAAGGACAGAGGAGTGGCTCAAGAGGCTGACCATGTCAACGGTCTGACGGGTGCAGACGTTCAAACCAAGCTCGCTGAAAGTGTGGCAGCACGCGTGCTCGAGCCACTGGACTCGCTGCTTCGATCGCACGTCCAGACGGCGTTGGAAAGCAAGTCTGCATCGGAAGGCAAGCTCGAGCAGTCTGTCCAGGCCAAATTGGACGAGAACCTCTTCCTGCTTTCCGAGAAGGGAGCCGCCGATCGATCGAGCCTGCAGCATATGCTCGAGGCAAGGGTTCAAGATCTCGAGGGTGCGCTGGGCGAGATCGTCGGCTCTGTCAAGCTGCACTTTGAGACTGCCTTCCAAGAGCGCCTCCCGGCCATCGCCGAGGATGTTGCAGCGAGGGACGTCGCTCTGGCAGACAAACTCACCAACCAGCTCGGCCAGGCGCTTGGCCCCGTCTTGTCGGAGAACCGCCGATGCCTCTTGGAAGACAATCAGCGCAGCCGAGACGTGGTGCTCGAGTCGATCCCCTCGGCCTCGCAGACGGCGCAGGCGACGTTGCAGCTGCTAGAGCCGCTGGTGCAGAGCCTCAAGAGCGACCCGATCGACTCGGATGCGCTGGTCACGAGGATCGCAGAGGTGATCGGCAAGCAGTCGATCGAGCACATGGTGGATCTCAATCCTGTGCTCGCGCTGCTCGAACCGCTCATCACGAAGCAGGACGATGCGCGTGCATTCAGCAAGAAGATTCTGCAGCGGCAGGAGGAGACCGACCAGACGCTTTCGGAGCTACCGGCCGCCATCAATGCCAAGACCGAGATCTTCCTGTCGAGCGCAAGCGCCACGAGCGAGACGCAGGCACAGATTCTGCAAGAGATCGGCGCGATCAAAGCCGAGATCGAGCGCAAGGCTTCCGAGTCGACCGGTGCGGTGCCAACGAGCATGGTGGTGCTGCAGGAGAAGCTCGAGGAGCTCACGCGAGACCGGGAGCTGCACCGCGAAACTGCAGGCAAGACGCTCGCCGAGCTCGCGTCGGTGTACCATGTGCTCAACAGCTCGTACGAGGCTCTGTCGCGGCTCGAGGCGCAGCACGCAACGACGGAAGAGACGCACCGCGAGCTTCTAGCGCGATTCGAGAAGCAGGCGCAGGAGCAGTGCGAGCTGGGTCGGGAAGTGCGCGAGGCCGAGGCACGCGCTGCTCGTGCCGAGGCAAGCAAGGCGGAGCTGGCGTCTCGCTCGTCGGCTGCGGATGAGGAGGCTGTGGCGTTGCGCGAGCACGTTTCGCGGCTGACCGCCGAGCTCGCCGCGGTCAAGGCAGAAAAGGCTCAAGACAAGGAGGGCTGGACGAAGGCGCTAGCTGCAGAGACTGCGCGAGCTGAGCGTGCCGAGGCGACAAGTGCCGAGATGCAAGGCCGTCTGGGCCAGGTCGCCGAGCAAGCGGGTGCGGCGGAGCGCGAGGCGTACGAGTCGGCCAAGGCAGTGCTGGAGCGCGCTTCCAAGGCGGAGGGTCAGATTGTGGCGCTGGAGAAGCGGCTGGCGGAGCAAGACACCAAGATCGCCAACCTGCAGCAGGTATGTGCGACGCAGAAGCAAAAGGCGGCGCAGAGCCACCAGAAGCTGGCCGAGGGCGAGAAGCGCGTCAAGGAGCTCGAGACCAAAGCAGACGCGCTGGCCGAGGCGACGGCTCGCCTGAGCGTGCTCGAAGGCGCGGCCGCGGAGCTTGGGGAGGTCAAGCAGCAGCTGCACGAGACCGAGCAGAGGGAAGCGCACGTTCGGGCTGAGCTCGAGTCGTACAATGCTCGCTTCGGCGAGCTGGAGCGGGAGCTGGTGGAGATCAAGGCCAACTATGTCGAGGCGGCGACGCACGGGTCGACGCAGTCGGAGCTCGCGGCAAGCCAGGCGCTGGTCGAGACGCTGCGCGCGCATGTGGCGGCGCTCGAGGCGGCGGCGGCAGCGTCACTGGCCGGCATCGACGGGTGGGAGGCGGTCGAGACGCCGCGCACGGGCGCGTGGGCGTCGATGCATGCGCCGCGCGCCCCCGCCCGGGTGTCGCGCAAGAACCTCGGCGTGCTCAGTGCGGCAACGAGCGCCGACACGTCGGCCAAGTGGGTCGAGGCGCCCGCGCGCTCGTACTCGTTTGCCTCGACCGCAGGCAGCCGCAAGCAAGTCGAGGTGGACGAGGGCGGATGGTGGTCCTGAATCCAGCTGATCAATAGTTCATTGCGATGTAGAAATGGCACGGTGATAGAGGTGCATAGCGTGGATACCCTTCGAGAGGTGCCTGGGTGAATCCATCACGACGTCTGCTATGTTTTTGAGGCATGTCAAGTCGAGCTCACGATGGGTTCTGGTCTGACTTGCTCTGGGGATGGCTGACCTCTTTCAAGCGGCGCATGCTTGTGCCGACGGCGCCGAGCGGATCGCCTAGTCCACGCTTGCTGCCAAGCGTAACGTTGCTGTGCCCGAGTGCGGAATCGAGGATGGTGTGGGGCCACAGGCGAGAATCGCGGAACTCGGTCATGCGCCTTGAACATTTTGCTCAGGCAGGCTTTTGAGAGTGGGGTGGAGGTTTTCCTTTCTGGCTTTCTTGCTTGTTGGCCACGACCTTGGCACTCGGATTCGGATTCGACGATGGCACGACGTTTGGTGTCGTACAGCGACCTAGCTGACGACGTGGCAACTTCTTCCGACATTAGCTCAGTCGTAGGTGGGTCTAAGAGGAAGCGTGGTGTCGGTGTTGGAGGGGCCGTTAAGCATTGGGACGATCCGTCTTCTTCGGGGTCCGACATGGACAACCAAGGTGCGGAAGAAGGTTTAAATGATGGTGAGGAGGGGGAAGGGGGGTATGCATGGAAGTACGACGAGTTTGGACGATTAGCTGGGGACACGACTACCCCGATTGAAGAGGAGTTCGATTTCGACGTGCCGTTTTCCATCCCCTCACCTCCCCTTCCCTACTCTGACCACAAATTCCAAGAGGAGGTTGATGTGGAACGGACACATCGACCGCCTGTTGAAGTGGGAGGAGGAGGTCGAACGCTTCTGCACTCGGAAATCTGGTCGAGCGCGGCAATTGTCGATGCATTCAAAGCCGCACACCACCAATACCTCGCCCACCACATCCCCACCACCAACACCAACACCAACACCGAGAAAGTTCCGGTGTCACCTCTGTGGACAGAAGCTCCGCACCATAAAAGCCTCCTAGCACAACAAGTAAAGGCCGATACACTCCAAATCCTCGCCCAAAACAAACCCTCCGCAAAGTCAAATCAACCCTCGCGCACATCACTTTTATCCACCGCTACGCACGTCCCAGCGGCAGAGATCGACGGAAACGCAGCCTGGAAAAAAGCCGTCAAAACCGTACAATCCACCCCAAACACAATAGGCAGCACCGAATGGAACGCTGGCTACAAGGCCGGCTACAACGACGCCCTCAACCACATCCCTCCACAGATCTGAACCAGCAATGCCACAATGATACCCCTTCGATCCACACGGCAAAACGACAAAGAAAACGCGGATTCGTACAAATTCGCCAGGCAGTGAGCAGGGTGTGGGGGACTGAAGAAGCGGGGGTGCGAGTGCGCTCGTCACTCGTCGACCAGCTGGTCGACGCTGGCGCTGCGTTCGCGCTCGCGAGCCGGCGAGGCAGCGTTGGCGTCCGACGGCGAAATGGCTGCTGCACTCGCGTCGCGGCGCGTGCGGCCGTTGACGCTGTCGGCGCTCTGAGCGAGGTCGCCGTCGCTAGCACGTGCGCCGCCGTCGACCGCGCCCGATGGGCCACTGCTGGGCTCCATGGGCGACTGCGAGCTCGAGCTGGCCGAGCTGAGGCGAGCGTGTGCGGCGGCGCCTGCCGAGGCGGCTGCGGCCGCCGACGAGGCGTGGTGCACCGCGTCGTGCTCGCGCTTGTTGGCGCTCTCCTGCTCCTTGAACTTCTTCCATCGCGAGCCGCAGCGGTCGCACAGCGTGCCCGGCCCGTTGGGTCCGCGGCGGAACTTGGCGTCGTGCGGCGCGGCGCAGTTGGAGCACGTGCGGTTCTTGGTGCTGGCGAGCTTGCGCACCGGGTAGCTGCCGGCGTCTGAGGGCGTAAAGTAGCCGCCGGGCGTGCCCATGGCGCGACCCGGCGGCAGCGAGGCGTGGTCGTGCGGATCGCCACGCAGCCGCGCGAGCTTGCGCGAGCGCTCCATCTCGTCCATCTCGTGGTCGTACGGATGCGAAGACGAGTACTGCGTGGCGCTGTACGAGCTGGCGGACGACGTGGACGGGTAGGTGGTGAGCGCGGGCATCGACGACCTCTCGCTGCTCGAGGTGAGGTAGGAGCTGCTCGGCGGCGGCGGCGAGCGCGCGCCCATGCCTGCGTAGCGCGCTGGCATGCCCGGGCGATGTGCGGACGAGGCGGGCGCCATGGCGTACCGATCGGCGCGGTCGCGCTCGTCGGCATAGGCGTACTCGGCTTCGACGGCTGCATTGGTGAGCGGCATGCGCGTCAGGTGCCTCGGCTCGGCGTCGTGGGCGTCGTGATGCGCATCGGGATACGCACGAAGGCGCGCGGCGCCAGGATGCGCGTACGACGACGGTGGCGACATCTGCTCGGCCAGAGGCGCGTGGTGAGGACGCGAGACGAGACTGATGGGCGGGCCGGAGGGACCCTCGGTGGTGACGGTGATCGAGGCGGATCCCTCACCGTGGGGTACGCTGACCGAGACGCCTGTGGATCCGGGCGCGCTGGAGCGTGGCTCGTAGGCGTTGCGAAGTGGCGGCTCGGCCTCGCTGGGACGGGGTCGCTTGATGCCGATCATGGACGGAGCAGGCTGTGGCGGGATCCTGGGAGCATGGCCAGGCTCTGCGGGGGCGGCGTGGTCGGGGAAGCGGTCGGTGCGATCGCGCAAGGGAGCGTTGGGAACGCCTGCGAGGTCGAGACGGCGTGCGAGATCATCGCGCTCCTGCTCGGCATGGCGTGCGCGCTGTGCCGAGCGCTCGAGCTCCCTGCGGAGCTTGTCCAAGTCGGCGTAGACCTGGGAGCTTTCGGCAGCGCCTTCAGAGTTGTTTGTGTAGGTCATGCGTGCCTTGACCAAGGCGCGGACGAGCGGACGGACGACGTCGTCGAGGTAGGTCTGCTCCAAGAGATGTTCGCCCAACGAGGTGGGGATGAAAGTGGAGTCGTCGCCGGAGTCGGGCGCAATGCCGGGACGGAAGCGGCCGGGTGGATGGTGGTCGTAGTGGGCACGAGAGGCGGCGCCACCGTCGTAGGGAATGGAATCGGAACGCTTGGGACGCGACATGAAGGGCAAATCCGTGTGGCGGCCGAGGTCGATGTGGGGCGAGTTGATGAGCGGGGTGGAGGCGGCCATGGCGGGGAGGAATGCTGAAGAGGCGGGGGAATGAAGAGCTAGGATCTGAAGATCCCTTTAGTCGATACGTGTATGATCGTCCAAAGGAAGCAAGCCGACCACTAGGAAGTGTTCACGCCGAGGTTTGTGGATGCGGTGATGGCGGGAGGAGCAAGTGATCCACCTTGGCTGAAGAGCAATGACAAAACTCTCGTGATTAAGTCGACTAATGCAGGAGATTCAATCTGAGAGCGGGACGCTGTCAGCCGATCAACGGGATGGAGCGGGATGCGTCCAAGTTGGTGATGTGAGGAGCCGAGGCAAAGGACGTGATGTGGTCGAGCTGGCGGGAAAGTTGGGCAGAACACAGGCTAGGCAGAGCGGAATGGCGCGTATATCCTGCCAAAGCCGATTGCGACCTGTGCTGCTGTGTGTAGGGTGCGATGCGTGTATAGGATGAAAGCAAGGCGGATCAAGGCAAGCGCTGAATGTGTCGACGACAACGAAGACGGTTGCGGAACGCTACAAAAAAAGTCGATGTTTAGGCGGCGCGGATGACTGGCATACAAGGGTGATGATGGAAGGCTGACGATT